GTCTTGCATCTGAAACATCTTCCCCCCCCCCCCCCCGCCCTGGCTCTCTTTCTCGTTCTCGCAAAGAAGAGAGGAGAGGTTGTATCGTTTTGGAACTGCCGTCTCTGCAATTCGTGTTTATGTAATCGTAGTAGACTATTCTTTCTGTTTTATTTTTCAATGAACTCTCGTTATTAATTAAGAACGCGATTCATGGGGTAACGAAGGCGGATGGATAGCGTGGACGTCAAAAAACAAAATAGTAGACCATTTGACAGTCCCCTTTCAAAATCATCACAGTTCGACCTCCACCGTCGTGATGATCCTGCCGATGATATCCCGGACCTTCGACTGGCAGAACGACTGCGCGAGCTTGCTCGTCCAGATATCCTGGCACCAGCGCAGCGTCTGGAGGATCGTCGACGTGGGCGAGATGGTCGCGTGCTGGCAGCACACGCTGGCCTGCATCGTCGGGCCCGTCTCGTCCAGCGCCGAGTCGTCCTTGCGGCACAGCTGAATGCCGACCATCATGATCGCCATGAAGAAGTCGTTTTTGAACAGTTCCGCAAACCATTTCGCCGATTCGTGGTGGTCGAGGTCCTCGTAGATCTGTCGCTGCCGCACGAGCACCGCCAGAGAGCATTCCAGTGCCGACCAGTAGGATGTCGGATAGCGTATGCTGGCCTGTGGCTGGCGCGCATATCGCTGGTGGAGGGTGAGGAGTAGTCGGCGGAAAGTTATTTCTAACGTCGAAATCTGGAGCGTTTTCCACGCCGGCGCTGCGTTTTCGGGGAATTCCAAAAGCGTGCTCCGAAGCAGGAAGGTCTCCGAGAGCAAGCCTCGGATGCGCGAGTCAAGGCAGCTTAGCTGTTCGTAAGAAATGTTTCCCGATAACGAATTTGCAGCCGTCACCACTTCGAATGCCGCACTGAAGGAACTCGCAAGAAGGATCTGGAAAGACGAGTCTGTGAATACGGCACTGGGAGCCGGGATGAAATCCTCCCTTCTTTGCGGATCGAGATCTTCATCGTCCAGATTCGACGGCGGCATCGTGTTGAAGTCATCGATCTTTAAAAGCGGGGGCATCCCGCTAGTAATCGCTTGCTGTAATTCAAGATGAACGATGGTGGTCCAAAGCCTTCGCCGCATTTCTATCTGGAATGGAGAAATGTCTGTACTCGCGCCAAAAGTCGGATCACAGTGCAGGCGGATAGACATCGCATGTCGAATCACAATCCCCATCAACGGACCACAGGAGTCATACTCGTGACACGACATGGCTCCAATGTGCTTTGCAATCACCATCATGCAGATAGCATTGATAGTGAGAATCGTCGGGTTCAGGATGAAGGCTATTTGGAGTAGACATACTTCAGCCGCCCGGAGAAGTCGCTGCACTTGCTTGGTATTCGCGCTCGACGTGGTTAGACACCCAATGCCAATGACCATTAGGTATTGTGCTAGCCAGTCCCATCTGGGCGTTTTCTCATTTTTCCAAAAGGAGTCTATTTCCGCCTGAAAGGTGGGTTTGTGGAGGACCGGGTATATCCGTTCTACCGTAGAGAGGTAACTTTCCACGTATGACTGGATCTTTTCTCTATCGGGTATGATTGAAAGAATAAACTCCTTCGGCTTATCCATCAGATTGCCTATATTCGATATTCCGGCTCGCGGGTCAGGCCCTGCGTCCTGCGACGGAAGAGGCGGATACTCCAGGTGTCCGTTGTCAGGTGAGAATATTGACCGAAACTAATAATCCGGCGTTAATATTAGCATCAAAGCGCTGCAGGTTGGGGCAAGGCGGGCCGTACTTCTTTCAGATACACAGCCCAATGAGTCTCACCCCGGAACTTCGACAACCATATGGCATCTTTGTCCGGGTATGAATACATCGGGCTTATATCGTCTTTGAGAATCGCAACATCTTGAAAGTTGTCTAGATCCGGGTCTGTCGTGGGAGAGCAGCTGCTTGACAAATTCAAATCCGGCAGCAACTGCGGCGACTCCGAACTGGCTGTGGCCGATGCCGAAGACTCTGCACTCTGGATGCTGGGTATCAACTTAGCCTTTGCACTGCTGGAAGGATGCGAAACGTATGTGCACTCCTCGGTCCGCTTACTGCGTATGCAGTGGCTACATGGCGTCTGCCTGTCGCACTTGACCTTGAGGCGCCTGCAACGGGAGCACGAGATCGCCAGCCGATGTCTCTTCCGAACAACCCGTTTTTGTTTCTTGGAGGGAGGCTCAAGAGGCCAGACGTGCCACATGCTGGGCGGAAGCGTCCCGACGTATGTGGTGGGATGGATGAGCGACGTTGTGGCGATCGAAGCGAGACGCGCCAACCTTGCGGGAAGGGCAGGCATCTTATCTGATCAGATTAGATTGATAATTTTGGGTCACATCACGTGGCTCCGGCAACAGCGCCGCCTGATTGGCCAGCGGGCGTAAATTTCGGATGAATTGCTGCCGGCATGTTACATGGTATTACAGGGGGTGACATTACGGAGTACATTATTGCAGAATGAAGCTCAGGAGAAAGACGGTACAACAATGATATTGGCCAAAGAGTTCTCTACTGTCGTCCCTTGCGCTTTCTTCTCTCTCGTTCGTATGCCTTTGCCTCGCGCCCTTCCTCGCTCTGAATTTCCGCCACAAGACGGCGGTATTTTTGCTCGTACTCTGCATCGCGAGCGCGTTTCTCCCGCAGACTCTCACGCGCAATGAAATTGGCATCTTTGCGTAGCTCACGCATGGCGCCTTTCCGTTCGCGTTTATGCTCTGCCTTCAATTTGCTGAGCTCGGCGCGCTCGCGGTCAGGGTCGTAATGTTTATCTGGATTAAATGACTCTTCAAACTTAGGTATCGCTGTCTTGATCGCTAGCGGTCGGTGGTTATGGAGAAGCAGAGGCCGACGACTGCGTCGAGCCTTCTTGAGGCGAAGTGCCACATTATCGCATACCTGCTGGATATGCGCGGATAAACCTACAGGCACCTTCCCAGCAATATATTGTTGAACGTGCTTGAGCAACGCTTGAACAGGAGTGAAGACCTCGAAAAACGCAGATTTCTCAGCCCACAAGTCCGAGGCAACATCAATAATGGTAGCCAGGGACTGGATAAGTGACACTTTTAAGCCTTCCGCTTTTCCTTTTTCCAGAGATGAATCCGCAAGAACATCCCAAAACCCAGGCTTTTTCACTTCACCGACCCCATTTGCAATGTCGAGTAGCATTGATGTTGAAGGTTGTCGTACGGGAAACATCAGGGGTACATTTCTTGATGGAGCTGGTGTCAGGAGGCACAAAGCGTTAGATACGTAATTGATAAGTTCTGGAATGTATCGTTTTGAGAGTGCTTGATATTGCAGGCACAAACTTGCCACGTATGTTCCAGTGGCAATATCTCCTAACGACTCAATATTACCCTGACCAAGGTATCGGGCTATCGAAAGCATTGCGGGCGTAACAACGGGATGAAAATGATCCGAGGTTGGGAAGATAGTCGAAATACCAGTCAATAGAATAAGGTCTCCCGGAAGGAAATTTAAGGCACGAGATTCCCTTATTTCACGAAGATGGGCTCTGAACGAAATCGCCACATCTTCAGGGTGTGACTTTGATAGTGAATGAATATGACGGAGCAGGTTTTCCAGAACAGCAAATGGAGGATGTTCTGGATGGTTTGTAAGGTAGGCAGTGTGTTCAACCAATATTCTGGCGAACCTTCCGAGTTTAGCTTTATTGTCGTGGTGAAGCTTAGGGTTATGTAAAGCACGGATTCTTTGCACTACCGTTGGTAAATCTTCCGTCTTCACGCACTCTAGTATTTTGAGAAATTCATCATGCGTTGAAGGGCATGGATAGGTGTACGCCAGGGATGGGTTATCAACGTTTGACACGGCTGTATGAGAGTTTGCGCCTGCAGTGCCTAGGGGAAGCGTCAGACCGTTGATAAAATCGTCATCCTCTTCATCCTCATCCTCATCCTCTACTGCACTCTCATGACCATCGCTCTCATCGAACGACAGGTCCACAGCAGATCCGGTCTCAATTAGGTCGTCCTCGAGAATAAACTCATCCTCATCTTCGACATCCAGGTCTGGCCGTGTCGTGAGCTGATGTAGACCGAACTGTTTGGCATCGTCAAATTCGGCGTCATCATCTCCCTCCAAGTCTAGGCCATTTTCATTTGCGGATTCTTCATCGTCTTCACCTTGCATTCGCTTTAGTCTCTCTTTTTCAAGTTCGCGTAATCGGTTAGCCTCTTCTTCTGCGATCTCCTCCTCGGTTTTCGTCCGGTCAGAGGGCTTAGAGCGTTTGTCAAAAGCCATCTGCTTTAGCCTCTGGTCGTATTCCTTATCTGCAACCTCTCTATCTTTACCATCCAGCAAGGCGGCACGATCTGGATTCATCGCCGGTTCTGGTGGTAGTTCTTGGCGAGGCGGTTCCGGGGCTCGGGTACTTCTCATCATCTCAAAAATGCTCGGAAGGCCCTTATCCAAAGCATCTCTCAAATCGTCATCATCTTCTTTTGCTTTCTGTCTTTCGTATTTATATAATTTCGATTTAGCTATGAGCTCTTTCATGACCTCTTGCTTTGATTTCTTTCGTCCGGGCTGTTCATCGTCGTCCGAAGCTCCTGCCAGCCCCTCCATATCATCTTCCTCGAAAACACGTTTTCGCTTACTTCGTCGCCCGGCGTCGCTTCCATCATCTGAGGCACTTAGAAAATCCTCTTTAAAATCATCGCCTGGGGCCTGGTCAAAGCTTAGCGCCTGGCCTCCATGGGTGAGTAACATTTCGTCGTCTTCATCATCTTCTAAGTTGAACATGGTGTCCTTCTTCAATCGCTTCTGGCTTTCTCTCGCAAAGCGTTCCGCTGCTCGTTCTTCCGGTGTCATCGTAGGGTCATTTTCACCAAAGCGCCGATCAAGGAGCATCCCGATCTTATTACGGCCGTGGATTTCTTTCAAAAGGGTGTCTTTTCTCTGATACGATTATATCAGTCGAGAGTTCATTAAAAAAAACAAGATTTGATTCGGAATTACCCTCTGCTCTCCTAGGCCTCTTGTAACGCCTGGACGGTGCCGCACCGTCTCAGACGTTCCCCTGCTGGTCGTGACAGCAAACTTTGAAGGCCGCGCTGGTGCTCGCGCTTCGAATGGGTTGAACTGTTCTCGTAGCTCTTGCAACACATTATGCCTGTGGGCTTTGCTGGCGGCAGTGGCGCCAGACTTCGCATTTTGCTTCTTCTGCTTCTTCGACTGTTGCTGGGCGATGATACCTTTCTCACGTAGCGAGGCCTTTAGTCGTTTTAACTGGGAAGGCGCCATGGCGAAGCGCAATCTTGCCGGTGTCTGATCTCTCACTGCGAGGTCTGCTGGTCGCTCGCGGGAAAAATATCCTTCACCGCCCGAAACGAAGTTAAACTTTCTGCCACCACGGGTGCGGCTCATCTGGGCGCATTCACCTCCACCCGAAACCGCTGGAGCCTGGACAGGACCGCCATGGCGTCGCAGGCCGGCGACCGACTCATTTGGCTGTGTCTAGGTCTGTCGAAAATCTATGCTTGATGCTTCTGGCATGATTCTCAAAGTTTACAGGAGTTACGCTGTATTTTGCAGCACGCGGTATCACAGCCGAACTATATCGCATTCGGGAGCTTACGCAGATCAAGAAAAGCAGCGAGGAGGAGAGCAGTCATGTAATCGGAGAGGCCACAGAAGATGGTAACACAAAACTTGTCTTTTAAAAACCATGGTACTCATTGTCTGCATAGCTTTGAATCTTGGAACTTTACGGCAGCTGGCGCAAAGCCCTGACTATGAATTACGAGCATCGTAAGCTTTCTTTCCTCACATTTGTGCTCATAGAGCTAACAGGGCTATTTCCTGCATCTAGATCGATGACAATTATTTGTGAAAGAGCTACAAAAGGCCCCGCTCGAGATTTATTGCTCAAAGACTTATCCGGCCTGGATGCAGTTCGCAGGGACAATGCCCTAACCGCGCTATACTTTCTGCTAATGGGCCGGCCTCGTATGTTAACTTTTAGCCCTTTACGATTTGGGTGAACACTGATATCCTATGTTATATGACAGTGACTCGCTCCTTTACCTCTCATCGTTTTAGGGACCCGTCCACTTTTCGTAGCCTTATCGATTGTTTGTGTAACTTTTTGGGCGAACATACTGAAGAAACCGGCATGATATCCTCTCCGATTCTACCAAAAACTAGACCACTGGGAGAGAATAGAGCGTTGGCTATTTTGTGCGTTCTCTTGCCGGACAACGTTCTGACGGCCTTGGAGGCTGGCCTTGTGACACGATGGCTTGCAAAATATCCTTTCCCTTGCGCATCACAAACGAGGTCTAAAAGACGAAATGTGGTCTTTTATATGAGAACACGCCCTGGGGATGACCAGCTGATGAGTACAATTTTTGAAATTCTTTTTTTCCACCGCGAAGGCGGGAAGCAACTTCGACTTTGCGGCCTAATGGGAGGAATAATGCCGGCCGATATATTCAATTTGCCTTCCAATATGGAAAGGAATGTTTGGGTGTTAGACGACGAAAGTACAGCTGAGCCCCGGCCTCGGGAAGGTACCGTAGAGGACCAGGCTCTGCGACGCCGCCGGAGAGAGGCCGTGGTTATTAGTGAAGGCGCGGCGCCCCTAAGCGGCCTTGATATCTTTGAGCCAGTATGAAATATCCGCAGAAACAAGATGCCAAAAGATGAAGATGGAGGGTTGAAAGAGTAAAGCATTTTATTTTGGTTGTTATATACGGGGTACCTGGAATCCTGCCTGCTTAATATATCCCTATTATTTCTATCATTACATATCGGTGTGTCGTGGAAATGCAGCTTTTTTGTAAAATTTAAGAGTAAACACATACGAAGAAGGGAAAAATAGGCTTCCAATTAGCACTGTTTCAGTGACAAATTCTTTTATAGTCCCATCCAACTCAGTTTTGCTAAATGATCTGTTTTCCTTCGGCTCGGTTTCATCATCCCCATCATTTTTAATTCTGATGTAGCCCGGTAGAACATGACAAGTGCCGTCCGTTCATCGTAATTGGTTCCATCCTCGCCGCCAACAATAGTGTAGAATGCGCGCCATAGATCGTACATATTTACGAGAGCCCCGGATTCCAAATAAAATTGGTAAAGCAAGGCAGTTTCGGGTTGAGAAGCGGAGAGGTTTTCGAAACTTGTATCGGAATCGAATGCCAAATAGTCCGATGGATTCGACAATGCTCGCTCCATAGTGAACCTAGGTCGGGGGGTGAATGTATCCTTTAAAGGGCTTTTAAAATCGTACAAAAAGGCTTCATGTAAGAACATGTCGTCGGGACATACCAGGGAGTCTACCAGATACTTTTGGAAGATCCCGTGCAATTGTTCAACAATAGCTGTATATTTTGCTTCATCATTGGAAAGCTTTGCCTTGCCCTTCATTAGCTTGAGGCGTTGAGCTACCAGAGCAGTTTTATGAGTAACCCGAGAACTATCATATTGTGTTCGCAGGGGTTCATGTTCTTCTCTGCAAGCCAAAAGGTTTTGTAGTTGAGTGTATAGATTATTCGTTGAGGGGATGGCTTCCTTGAGTGCAAAAAGCAACTTCTCAAGCAAATCAGACGTCAATTTCTTGATGGTGGAAAGCACATCAGTGACTAGTCTCGAAGTGAATAATTCCCCGGCCAGAGCCTGAATAACAATACTCGACATGTTTGGTGCTTTTACCGGTTTCACATGTTCTAGGACAGTTTTTAACGTTTCTAAACATCTAAACATGCGCTTCATTTTTTGCTGCCCTTGTTTCAAATTCTCTAAGGAATGCTGGGCTAGAAAGATATTGTCATCAAGAAGCTTTTTCACTAGCTTTGAATCACCTCTTTCCAACGATTTTTCGGCATGTCTACTTTGGTTAGTAATGGTGGGAGAATACAATAGAGAAAACCTACTTTTGAAATGAGGGTAGATTTCGGATTGCTTCGCACAGCTCCGGCTGAAAGTCATCCTGGCGTATTTCCTTCGCAAGCAATGCAGCCAACGGGTTTGCGAAAAAATGTGACATGTAAGCATACTGTAAGAATTAGATACGCGCTGCATATGAATCACTTCTGAGGAATTCAATTTGCGTACCCTAAGAGAATTACCAAACCTTTCGGGGCTTTGGAATTGGTTGTCGGATTGTTCCACGAGAAGTCTGCTTACATTATGGCCTAGCCATAGTGTACCATCTCTGTGGGCCTCTAAATGGAAAAATATTTGATGGATAGAATCTTTTGAGCCGCATATATCGAAACACTCGGCCTGAAGTTGCCCGATAGTTGATCTGGGTAACCGGGCTTCAAATAAATCCATCGAAGTTGCCACTCCGAATAGAAAAACAAACGGAATGCGATCGCGCCAAGACCTAATGAAAATGGCTATTAGAGAAAGCCCCGAACAGGTTAATGATACTCACCACAGTAATGAAATCAAATCGCTCATAATATCAGAATCAAATGCCTCGCTATCTTTAAATGCAACTACTATTTTTTGCCCGTCATTCTGCCGTACAAATTCATGAAGCAACTCTAGATCATACGGGAGGAGTTTGGGGCCCTTTCAGCTAGTTAGAAGAAGCCCCAGGGGTTTAAGGGGGGAGGATACCAGGCGGGTGGGGGGAGCGTAGTTGCTAGGGCCATTCTCTGTTTCAGGGATACTATTTCGGATAATAGTCCTCAGAGCGTTTTTCAAGTTTGTACAATCACCGGATTCAAGTACAGCGATCTGAGCAGCGCCATCAACCCGGACATGTTTGCGGAGCTGATCTAGAAGGGTCGAGATGGATGAAATATTGGGTCCAAGGGAGATGATGCCACAGGAAATGCGCGAATCGGAGCTAGTGAAATATTTCAGTCACAGAGAACTTTTATTAAAGCCAAGGTCATATACCTCTCAGGCTCAGCATGTTTGATGAAGCTGGTGAGATCCTCCACAACTTTGGAATCCGCGTCATGCAATATTCCCTGGGGCTTTTTTTTAGCATGAGACTATTATGAAAACCAAGAAAACTAAGCTGACTTCCAATTTCTGGCCCTGACTGGTAAAGAAGTCTTTGAAGGCGGTATACCGGTGTTTAACTAACAACCGGCTCTCAAGCCCGTCCAAAAGAGGAACAAACAGGAATTCATCGCTTTGAGCAGATTCCCGAGGTCCGTGGGACAGCTTGCGTCGTTTCGACAGTTGTGAGTCACCGCCTTTGGATTTTTCAGAAGGCTTATAAATATATACACTCTGCTCATGCCTATTAGCGCTCAGTAATGCGTATCAAGCCTCAGACGAACAGAACCTGATGCGCGATATTCTCTTGGGTCTCTGGAGCCCTACCAGCGCTGTCACCCACAGGCATTTTGTCAACGAGTGCAAGTTTCCGGTACGTCAATATGAAGCCCCGATCCGCGGTGAAAACACATTATCAAAAAATGTTTGGGGTCAGGGTGAAGAAGAGTGATTACATAAGCAGTTGTTTAAAATTCTCTATCTGAAGACTTACGATATTGCTTCTTTTAGCTTTTTTTCCCATTCATTTTTGGTTTCGATGTGCTAGACCGACATTTACATTCATGCGCCGTTTGATCCTACAGGGAGCTCGGTGGCATCAACATGGCATCTACACCCGTTGTATGAACCCAGCCTCCCGCCTAAAGCCGACAAGTTGTCGATTGCTTTCATGTTCTTCAAAACTACAAGTGAGAAGGCCGGAGGTGACAATCCGACACTTCGAACAATCTTCCCTTGGATCCGATGATCGGAGAGAAATTGACCCCGATGCGGACACCAAAGCCGAAGAGGAGTTCCTCAAATCCAAAATCGCCGAACTCGAACAGGAGCTTGAAGAGATAAAGGAAGAACCTTTTGCGCCAGATAGTCCGTTGATGAGAAACTTATCGAAAGAAGATCGGGCAAAAGCATTGGACGCGTTGCGCAAGTTTGAAGAGGAGTATAATGATGAGGATGATGAGGATGAGACGGAACTGAACTCATCGATGGATACAAGTGTAGATGACTTGATGAACAAGGAGTTTAACAGCCTGATAGCCCAGGAAAATGATCTGTGGGATCCAACTATAAAACCTGAGGAGTTGTCCGACGTGCCTAAAGAGTCGTTTGAAGTCGAATTGACAGTCCCTGATGCTCAGCAAGCTTTCGTGGCACGATTCAACAAGACCCTAAAGGCCTTGCGTAAGAATCCTACCTTTTCACAGAGACAAGATACATGGATATCGTACAGACGTTGTAAAGAATCGCTACCATTTTTCCTCGATATTGTTCCCGAAGATGCTATACAGATGCTTTGGCATTCCCAGATACCCCAGTCGACTGCAGAACGTTCTCGTCGTTTACACTGGGAAGCACTGGCAGAAGATATATTAGCAAGCGGCAAAGGGCTGAACACAGGCCAATGGCTACAATACCTTGAACTATTGTGCCAAGGTGGGAAGTTTGAAAAAGGCATTCCACTTTGGGAGGAAAGAGCAGAAGATTTGAGAAGTTATACCCCCGAGGAGCTCGAGAAATATCTAACAGTAGGCGTGCAGCTTCATGTTGCAGCTGACCGTCCACAACGAGCTCAAGATATTGCAAATGCTTTCCTTGCCGCAAACACGACCCGCGATGCCCGGATATTAATACCTGTTTTATCATCGTGGGCCCGTAAGCCTACCGAAGAAGCCAAGGAAATTGCCTGGGTCCTCTACCTTCAAGTTAAGACCATGCTCGGCTCGGATATCACTATGGAAGATTATGATTCAATCAGCCTTGGCCTATTAAATGCTGGTCAGACCTACCTAGCTCTTGCTGTCTTTAAGGATATGATGGTTACTGGGCAAAATTCGTCCTGCGACTCAACGGATATTTTCAAAGCTTCTCTTGGCATTTATGATGGCCTTCATGCCTCCAGTATTAACGCATCAGATGTGAATAAAGTATCCCTGGCAGCCTTGACCATCCTCCCTCGCAAATTTCAGAATAAATTCTTCTATGCTAGCTGGATGAAAAAGCTGATTGGACTGGGTGAAGTCGACGGAGCTGCGTCCGTTGCGGAGTTAATGTACGAACGCGGCGTTCGACCCGACGCCAAGCATTTGAATGGTATTGCTGGCGCCTGGCTACGTCAAGGTAGCCCTTCAGCAAAAGAAAAGGCAGAAAAACTTGGGTGGTCAATGGTCCAAGAACGAATAAACCGTGTTTCTCAGAATAAATCCAATAAACCGTCAATCTACGAGGCGAAGAAGAGCGTGAATATTCCAAAACACTTGCAGCGAGCCGTACCTGCCGCAAATATCGAGACCTTTTCGATCCTATTGTTATATTATACCAGACAGGGCCAAGACGACATGATTGATCACCTCCAGAATTGCCTTGAGATAGCCCAACTAAGACCGAATGTCTTTTTCATGAACCACCTCCTTTATAGAGAGCTTCGACGGCAGAATATATTAGGTGTATGGACAAAGTATAAGGAGATGACGATCGATATGAAGCCGGATTTAGAAACCTTTGCTTGTCTCTATGATACCGGTAAAATTCAATTTGACCGTACTAGGTATCACTTTGATGCAAATTTCCCGACTGTCCGCTTCCTATATAAAGAAATGATGCAATGGTACATAAGATTAACTCCTCGTCAGCAAAATAAAACAAGATGTGAATTCTCAAAAGAACTATACGACCAAATCATCCGCTGCTTCTGCTTGTCTTTAGACCCCCAAGGCGCCTTGGTGGCGCTTCGGTCGATGAGGCAAATATTTGGTTTCTCTCCCGACTCGGATACCACGCGAATTCTCACATTTCTCCTCGTTCGTCTTGCACCAGCTCCTCCAGGTATCCCCAAGCCCCGTCGTCGCCGCATTTCGGCTACGCCACGGGCCAGGGAGAATTTTGAATCTATATCTAGACTTTTATCTGTGGTACAAGACTGGAAAACAGCAGGCCTTCCCGGGTGTGATATAAACGATTTGGATGAGGAGGACCAGAAAACCTTCCAGATGGAACTGATGTGTGACCTTTTACGTATTGTCATGCGGCAGATCCGAGGCAATGCGAACAAGGTAGAGTCAAGTATTCAGCAGGCTGCTGAAGAGATGAATGTTGGCGAGCTTGATGTAGGCTTGCCGCCGGATCTAGAGTTCTAGAGTTAGTTTATGTGTTGGCATTGGGCGCTTCAGCCTAGCATAGACGGCGTTTAGGCGGCGCTGTACGGAGTTCTGGCATTGAAAATGGGAATACCATCTGTACTATATTGGACATCACCACATAACGGGTTTGGAACCGCATATGTATATTACAAACATTTCTCTTTATCAAAGTTTCTTTTCATCTCACGCGATTGGTTAAAAGGCGTACAAGGGGTATGAAACAATTAGAAATACACGGCTAGAGGCTTTTCCGTTACTCTACTGAGTAGTAGTTAAATGGAAAAGATCATGAAGTTGACGGATATTGAAGAAGAGTATGTAACTGGCCTCCATTTGGGAGTAGAAAAAATGAAAACAGGCGGTCTATTTCTTCCCTTTCTTCTTCTTTTTTCCACCACCGCTCCCACCAGTCCCACTAGCACCACCGGCATTCACGGCAGGCCCACCACTTTCTACCAAAACCGTGTCGTCATCACTGATGAGTTTGTCGCCCGCCACCGATCCGGTAGTAGACCCCGCCGGTGTTTTCTCTTTATCCCCAGTGGCTGGCGCAGTTAGCCGTGGCTGTCCTTCCTGTTCCAATTCCTTCATGAAGCCCTCCTGTATGCTCGCCTTTTTGCGATCCCACCACTCACGTTCCTGTTTCGCTGTCATTTGAATATCCTCGACTCTTTGTCGGAACATCGTGTTTAAGGCCATTTCGTTTGCGGATTGGAAAATCGTTTGCCCCCAGCCAGGAACGAAGGCGTTGGCCTGAAAAAGTAGGAGGCCAGAGTAAGTATATTAACCGGGTCACAGGGGAATGCAAGAAATGACTTACTTCAGAAACGACATCTTTGAACTCCTCTTCTAATTCTTTCTCGGCCCTCAGAAATTGCTGCCACAGCTCGTCGCCGACAGTGCCCTTTTGCAAAAGTGCTGCAAGAGCCGGTTTTTGACCTCGTAGTTGTAATAAGCGTTTGATATCCTCAGCGGCACGGCGCAGCAGCGCGGCTTTCAGCACAGTTTCAGGTACAGGAGGCTTTTTTTTCTCATTGCCTTCTGAGGGGCTGCTCATGTGTATCAGGGAGAAGTAGACATCTCGCTGTACGTGGGGCGGAAACCAGGGCTTCAAAGACGAAGCTTTGACTGAATCAAGCGGAAGGCATGTCCATTAGCCGTTGAAAAATCCAGGGAATTCGCAACAGGGTGCCGAGAGACATGGAAAACTTACCGGCCTTTCTTTTCCGGTAGAGCGAAGAGAAGGTCGCTAACGAGCCGATGAGAACACCTAGATAGGCAAAGGGAATGGCAAGGCTAAGCCAGTCCACCATCGTGACTGGCAGTGGTTATATTGTCAATCTTTGGAGGCGTTGAAAGGCGGTGCGAAGGAACAAAAGTTTTGGAGGGTGAGGAAGCACGAGAGGAAGCAGAGAACGCAGGGAGACAAAGCCGTTGAGAGTGCAAACGGCGGTAGGATCCGAACAGCAAGGCCAATCGCAGAAAATGCTGGCGCTTACGGAGGTCGCGGACTGATCTGGTGTCGAAATGCCACCTTGACACTAACAAACTCACGAAGTATAAATGTCACATGGTTAGAGTTTGCGCGTGCAGATCGCGATATCGAAGAGGCTGATTTGCCTACTGTAAGGAGTTTATGTACGGAGTACTCCGTACGGAGTATAGAGGACAGAGAAGACGGGCCCGGTTGCTAACTATCAAAAAATAACGAGAATAAAAAAATAAATAAAACGCTCCTCCAGAACTGTGCATATACATGACACTGAACAACAGTATACAAGTGGTATTTTGCCAGGCAGAACAAGTCCCCTCAACGCCAAGATAAAAGAAGACGTACGGAGTATGTAGTTTATATCCCAAAGATAAGAGAATTATAAAGACGTCCCTAAGTTCAGAATGGCCGGGCCGCCGGCCCTTGATCGAGCAGCTGCATTGACTCAATATCCGAGAGAACTTCGTCAAACGCGTCATGCACAGCCTCCGCAACCCTCCTTCTGTCCCACTCTCCTCGCATGTTCCAGATACAGTCCATCAAGCTAGTGTTGATCTGCTCCAGATCTTCTACAGAAAAGCCAGCTGTCTTTGCTGTGAACTCAGCATGCAACTGCTCCACAAGCGAATCATCGACAATAAGTTCAGGGTGTTCAGGCTCATCTTCTTGCTTGGAAGCCTCGGAGGCTGGCTTTTTCGCTTCAGGTTGAGTAGAAAATGGAGGTATAGGAGGTGGTCGATGTTGTGAGCCAGGGATATCGAACCTGCGCTGTGTTCCGTTAATAAAGTTGATCTGGGAATACACTCCACCACCCCTCAGGGGAGTTGGCTGTGAACCCCAAGCACTCTGCGTATCTGGAAGCTGCTCGTCGTCAGACATACGGTACGGATAAAGATTAAGGTCCGGGCCTTCATGTCGCATAGAAAAATTGAACGTTGTCTGGGTATGCAATTGCAACTCGGAGTGCCCCGAGTTCTTTTTGTCAGATGTAGTTTGGGTGGTCGACGCATCGTTAGTATAGTCGCCAGGTTGCGAATTCGGAGCCATCGGAGTCATTGTCCCCTTTTGAGATAAGGTGGAGATGCCAGACTGCTGTCGAAGTTGCTGGGATGGCGCAGTGTAGGAATGCGGAGGCCTGGGTTGAGCTGCTGGCCCAAAAGAACTGCTTTGGGTCTCTCGACTGAAACCAGAGATATCGTCCGAGTTAGACATTTGAATATCCCCGTCGACGTCACCGCTCTTATCAAATATCGACCCGTTGCTGTCCGGGCGATACTCAACATTGTGAGTCGTAGTATCGGCCTGCGGTAAGTCACCATTCGTCAGAGCAGCATTGTCTGTGTTAGGGGTGTAGGGTCGAACAGGAGGCACACCGTTGTCAGTGCTGCCAAATGTTTCTCCCAAAACAACCGGTCCGGATAATTGGTTTGACGACTCAACCCCATGTGCTATATTCAGGAGCGGTGGAGGTGCCATGCTCTTATCAGCAGCTTCTGCTTCTTTCTTTGCCTTTTCGATTGCTAGCCGTTCTCGTTCCAACTCTCGAAGATATACATTTTCACACTCAGCAACGAATGCTGACTCAGTCTGGTCAATGAGCCCAATGTCAACTTCAACATTGGAGAGGAGCTCGTTGGCTTTAAGCAGACGGTCAGGATCATCAAGCATTTTTGCGTCTTTGGCGAGCCGTTTAATGTCAGCAAGAAAATCTTTCGGACGCTTATAGTACCCGTTCGACAACCGCTTTTCGATCACAACGATGTCTATATTGTAGTAAAATTTGCCGGATACAACTTCTCTTAAGCCAGGAATTCCAAACTTATCTTCATCTCTTTCAAAGGGCCTGAACGTGGTTCTCTGCTCCAAAGGAAGATCAGATGTAACAACATTAGGGTCTTGGTCATCGAACAGGTAACGAATCTGGGCTTCGTCAACTGGGCCAGCACGGAACCTTTTGTAGCTCCGTTTGATTTGATCCATAATGGGCTGAATTCTAATCTTGAGCAGGTTCAGCGTTTGCCGATCCTTTTTCTTCTGCGCTTTGAGCTCCTCTTTACTAGGCGCAGCAGGGGCTAAAGCAGGATCAGGAGGTGCTATTTCGAGAACCTCAAGCTTCCGCTTTTTCCGATTTTGCGGATCGGGGAAATCATTCGGAGCGGTTATTATGTAGTCAATAATGGCCTGGAAAAATTCTTGTCTCCATGGGTCTTTGGGTGCTAAGATGTTATATCGATTCTTCTTGGAGAAGCCAAATAATGACCTCATCATTTCAGGATCAACATCCTCTCCGCTGCTTTCTAAAAATCCTAGAAGAAGAACCGGATCGGTTGGAGGCAGAGAACGCAGGAGCCCGATAAACGTTGAGATAACCGTCTTTTCGACAGTATTGTACCATGTTTCAATATTGGGGATATAAATCACACTTGGTTTATGTCGCTTAACTTCAGCAAAAAGATGCACCATGGCTGTTTCGGGAGATTTGACGGGATCGCTAAGAAGGGTGGGAAGATCGAATGACTGTACATGTATTCCTTCGAAGTGCTGCAGGATTGCCGCTGCTAGGTATTGCTGGCCCATACCCGGTCGCCCACGGATCAAAAGTCTCGGTCGGAAAACGCGAGATCTTTCAAAAGCTTGCTGCATACGTTCATGTCTAAATCCAGCATCATCGTCTGGCTGCTCGTACTGCGCTTCTTCTAGAGCAGTAAGCGTCTTTTTCTGAGGCAAAACCTGACCCACCAGCTCTTTTATTTCCTTCAAAGTATGGCGCAGCAGAGGCTCAACGGCAGGAGGAAGAGGGGAAGCACCGGATGAAGTTGATCGTTCTGAAGAAGGAACAATTTTTTTCAGTGATATCATGAAGTCTTTCGGTGTAACAATGATCTTCGCAGGATCAATGAGCAGTCGCTCCTTTGATTGGTATATTTGTGGATATATTCTTTGAACCGCGTTCAGGGCGGCTTCTGTACAAAGAGCTCGTAGGTCTGCACCGCCGTAGCCCTTTGTCAAATCTGCCAATTCATCCTTGACTTCGTCAGACAAAGGTGGAACCCATTTGTTTGTATGGATATTGATTATAGATCGGCGAGCTTCAGTGTTAGGAAGCGGGAAGTAGAACTCCCGATCAAAACGCCCTGGGCGCCGAAGTGCAGGGTCTATAGAGTCGGGTCGATTGGTCGCTCCAATTACAATGACCTGCCCTCGCCCATCCATGCCATCCATTAAAGCTAACAAAGTTGAGACAATGGAGGCATGGATTTGTTCCTGCTTGCTGGACCGCACAGGGGCAAGACCTAACAAATATCAATACGAAGGTATTCATAGATCGTTCCAGCTGCAAAACTCACCATCAATTTCATCAAAAAAGATAATACTGGGCTGTGTTTTCCGGGCTTCCTCGAATAACAGGCGAAGCTGTCTTTCGGCTTCACCAACCCATTTGCTGAGTGCATCTGCCCCCTTTCTCATATAGAAAGTCACCTTCTTTCCCTCCGTACTTACACTCGTGGCCAATGCTCTGGCTAACAATGTTTTACCCGTACCTGGAGGCCCATGGAACAAGACACCACGCGGAGGAACAATGCGCAGCCTCTGAAAGACTTCTGGGTATAGTAGCGGAAGCGAAACCATTTCCTTTAGCTGTTCAATATGTCCTTGAAGACCGCCAACATTATCAAAATTGACATTGGGATCAACCCCTAACGGATCAGAATCCGCCAGTGCTTGACGATCTTTGATTTTCCCTAGGTTCGCTGGCGTGCCTGACAGTGCTTGTGCGGCATCATTGTTGCCAAGCTGGCCTGGCATGCTAAGATTGGCTGTATTTGCAAGTATGGAGGGAGCCGCAACTGCAGTCAATCCAGCCGGTTTGGGCTTCTGCATTGCATCGTCATCGCTGCTGTCACTTTCAACGCCTCCAATAGCCCCAAGAGGGTGTGGTCCACCCAGAAGAGGCGGCGGCCCGCCACCGCCAAAGGGGCCATAGGTGGAAAGAAGAGTCCGTTGCCATCCACCGCCACCACCACCACGAGGTCGACGAGAAGGGGATTCTGTGATATCGTTTTCAGCCTCCTCTATCGGCAGCGCCAATTCTGGTCTAATTATTCTGTAGTCAACAGATTTTCTGGCCCGACGGGGCTTTTCGTATACTATTTCGGGTGCTAAACGTCGACGCGGTCGGGACCGTTTCAGCTCGGCCAGTTCTACAGCCAATTCGTCAGCTTCCGATTCTACACCTGCCTGGGAGTTATCAAGTCGTTTTCGTAATCGAGAGCGACGGCCATTGCTACTGTCGTCAGGCTCTTCAGGATTTTGACTATTTTTCCGGGGAGAATGATTGGACGTTTCGGAATCAGAAAGATCATCATCGACTGCCTCATCTTCCGCGGGCTCGAAATCACTGCCGTCATCTTGTCTTTTTCGGGGAGATTTTCGGGCCTTGGAACGGGTAGAACGACGAAGGGAATGGGACTTTGTTGTCTCTTCTTCCTCCGCAGGCGCGTCGACACTTTTTTGGTTTCGATTCTGCCGGGTCCTCCGGCTTAATATTGGGGCATCTTCCTCCTCATCTTCGTCTTCTTCGGCTGCAGGTTTGGACTCCGGAACAATTGGCTCATCGGCCATTTCTTGGTCCCCAGTCTGCTCCTGCGGGCTTGGTGCATGTGTGACAGTATGGGAGGTAACAACAGCAAACAGCTGGTCTTCGAAGCTCCCCTGATGGTCGCTTTCCATGATCTCCAGCTGCGGAGACCCTTCGCAATCTTGTTCTGGCTGGTCTTTACTATCTTCTTGGTCCGGTTTTGAGTCTGGTTCATGCTCTTCTATTATCGCGTCAGTTGGGTTGGGTGTTTTCGCAGTCTTACGGGTTCGCGGACCTGCAACGGGGCTCCGGGTTCCCTCCCGGACCATTTCAACGTGGCGGCCGGATCCGGATAACGCAACGATATCCTCGCACTCATCACGGTTCTGACGTGTAACACGTCGATTTCCAAACCGAGCGGTAAGCTTCACATCGACGTTGTCTTGAATCCCGGCGCTCCGGGCTCTTGTTGATCGCATTGAGCGAGACGATAGCGGCGTTTCAAGTGGAACTTTAGGCACAGAAAGCTTTAATAAAAGACGTTTAGGGGGTGCTCTGCGTTGCGGTGTAGCTTCCACGCCATCTCCTGGTTGCTCTTCTTCTTGTTCTTCTTCCTCCTCTTCGCCAGCCGATCCACTCTCTGAGCTTGAACTGATATAAGTTTTTGCGTTTTTCGCCGCTTGTCGCTTGACTGAACCTCGCAGCGTCCGCTCCACATTTAAATCATCTTCCGGCTCGTCTTCGGATTCTTCTATTTCCTCCATCATTGATAGCGTGTCCGAGATTTCGGATAGCTCATCGTCGGAGTCGGCGTTCCGTTTTTGTTTTTTGACAGGCCGTTTTTTCGCCTGCTTCAACTTTGAGCTAGTTTTCCGCGCTCGTGATGCTTGGTCATCGTAGTCCTCATCACTAGAGTTCGACTGATTTGCTATTTCCTCCATAGTTCGTTTTGGATGAGCTCGAGGCATGGTGAAGAGTGAGCCGACAGGCTGTCTAGGGTAGCTCTTTACATCGACCACATTAGTAAAATGCGGACAAAGCGCAACAGCAGACTAAAATGGGGGATAGAATAACATTGGTGCGTAGAATACTCGTCGAGAGGGAGCTTTACTGACAGCGTCCAGGAAGTGCTCGAAAACACAACAAGGATCGGCAGCGTCCAGGTAAGATTAACACCACAGCAGTAATGTACATTCAGAGCTGAAATAATATTTATCGGCCATGCATGCTAGAATATATGAGATGAGAGCTAGGTGAACAGGTTGGATTGTTGGCAGCGCGCTTTTTTCGGAGGGGAAAGCAGCCGCCAGTACGGAGTAGGGAGAGCGTAGCGTCAGGCAGAGACCGTGCAGGAAGCAAGCAAAGGTGCCAGAGAGATAACCAACGAGCGGAAGATGGCAATACTAGAAACCGCACCTGGCAGCTCAGCGTGAGAAACAGCAAGCAGCAAGTAGTGAAGCCAGGCGGAAACTCCCTTGGCCGTCGCGGTGGCCGCCCAGCGCGCGCTAGTCCCAACCAGGCGCCATCCAGCCACGCGCACCTTACCTAATGTGGCCTAGCACGGCAGGCTCTGCAGCAGCGCGGCGCCCAATCGAGTCTAGCGGGGAGTCGGAGCCGCGTGCAACCTGCGGCCGAACTCCCGCCTGCACCGCCGACTCGACTGGAGTGTTTCTCCGTGTCAACAAGCACCGCGCACTCAGCCTTGCATTCGCCATCGCGCGCCCGCACCCACGCCCTCACCACCACGCAACACTCGCCCCGCATTGCCGTAACCTGTAAATCCCATATTGCGCACTTTTTATGCCCGTTGCGGGCGTAAACCATCGGCGTGCAGCTGCCCCCAAAGCTCCCATGAATCTGTGCCTTGCCGCCAGGGGAGCTCCGGGATCTACGCCAGGGGCAGAGGCTCAAAAACAAGCTTATCGCCGTTAGGGTTTCCGATCGCCCTCCCGCAGTTCGTGCTTTCTGCGTTGTTGACTGCTCGCCGTGCGGCTCTGCAGGACGTCACGGGTACGATGACTAATCTACTGCTTAGTAATAATCACGTGTAGTTACACGGTATCCATGCACCAACATCGTTGATATCGAGCGTGCGCCCAAGTTCCTACTAGTCGATTGTCACCTTTGCCATGTAAGGCAGCAGACAGGGGTGCGATGGCATTTGTTAGGTTGTTTAGACGCTCCGTTTCCCGCCACTTTCCGCCAACCGCCCCTCGCAGAACTTTCACTTTCTCCGCCTCCCAACTGGCTACTCCCCAGCAAGGCCCCAATGATAATGGGCAACATAAAGTAAGCATCGAAGCCTCAATTGACCATAGTAGACTTTAATCTGAGACGATTTTTCAGGCACCTCCTTTCGCGGCCGTTAAACGGCCCCTAGCAAAGGTCTTTCTTGCCTCCTTCCTAACATATCAAATAATATATGTGATATGGCTACAGCTGGAAACCAGTGATGCCCAAGCCAACATGCAAAGTCTGTTATACTCCATTATACGGTGACTGGCGTATTCACTGATGAATATGTAGAGGAGCTGTCGACCCTCGAGAAGCAGGCGCGTGAGCTAGCTGCTACCAGAAACAAAAAGGAAGCCTAAATCCTAGGATCTATATTGCTATTTATCGGGGAAGCTTATTGTATATTATGGCGCGATCATCATGTATCCTTGATTGAATTGGAAAGGAAAATGCCCATGATCTTTTACATCGCAGCAGTCTTGCACTCTGGGTATTCAGAAGAAGAAGAAACCTTGAACCGCGCTATGAATCCTTTTTCCAGTTATAAGAACCCCAGACCATCGCCAATCATCTCCAAATCTTCGCGAATACTGTCGATATCAGCGCCTACGCGCCCTGCTATCTCTGCTTTTCGCTGCACCCCCATATTAAGCCACTTTAATAAAAGGTTTCCATCAACAACTCCCCGCCCGCCAAATCCATCACTCTCAACCGCTCGGTACGCTTTTGGGTTCAAGCCACAGGCATGCTCTATGGTTGTTCCAAGCTGGGATTGTAGTGCTGATAGCCGGCGGTATGTGTCTTCGCTCAGAGCAGTAATCACACCGATCGAGCCGGACTGGGATGTCACAAGTACTTGGTATGCTGCTGGGCCAGAGTCAATATCCATGCCGTCTTCAAGGTTAAGTGGCAGCTTTCTATGTTGGGGCAGTAGTGTCATTGTCGACGTAAAATTCCCTGTGTGGAAACGACTACGATGAAGGAGTCGATCACCTTTTGAAGATGCAGGGTCTAATAAAATGGTTTAGCGGCAGCACCAAATCTACGAAAGGATAACCAGGTATTTACCTTCCGGGTCGTATTCAAGAACATGTATAGTGCAGTCGTCATCGGCGACTAAGATATACAACCGTTGTGCATCCGGTAAAAATTCTGCGGCCATAACCTGAAGATACATGCTATCTTTACCAAAAAGCGTCAACTTATAGGGCTCTTCCTATAAAATCAAAACTAGTTAGTGATGCTAATCCTCTCCAATTGTAGGGGTGGGTTACGCACGGAATATCCAGTAAACCAAATCCCCTTAACAGCATCCCCCATTATACACAGACCTGTCCCCTTCAACTCTTTCAGAACATTGACGTAGCATTGCATATCCATAAATGCTACAGGAAGCAGGCTTCCGTCCTCTTTCAGCCCGCGAACTATACATTTTTGGCCTTGGGCTGCAATTAAGAATCCTTGCCCGCCAATGTTAGAAATTGCAGTGACAGCGCCTTTTACATCTTCCTTAGCAAAGAGCCGCAGCTTTTGGTTTGTTTCTGGATGTTCCGGATCCGGAGCCACATCTATTACTTCAAAGACATAGATAGACCCGCGAGGAGGAATATCCTCGCCTCGTACAATAGCAGTTCCGATTGCTATCATTTCTTTCATTTCATGGGTGGTTTCGGAAACTTCCATAGTGATGGCTTTGATACACATACCACGCTCAGCAGCACCGAGTTGGTATCTAACAATTTTCGTCAGATTATTACAATTAATATGTTATCTTGACTCGTATTCAAACTCACGTGTCAATAACAGACCATGTGCGAGGGCTAAGTAGCTTTATACACCCTGTATCTAGCTGAGGCATAAAAGAGATTTCTAAAAGGTCAGTTAGTATAACTATGAGGAAGGGTGCTAAACAACAGACATGCCTTCATTTCGCCATTCAGTATGCACCTCATCATCATCTGGAAGTTTGAAGTCTGTTTTATGGCAAGCTCCCAGTACATAAGTCTCTGATTTCGCCGCATACTCCAACAAGTCTATTTGCTCGCCCATATTTATCTTGCGCATAGCCCATGAGTTTTCTAACCGAACATTTCCAGGTAGCCTACACATTCGCACCATACTCTAACGAATTCTTGTTAGTCTCTTGTCAAACAAAAGTTGCCTTATTTCTTACACTTTTGTCGATATACGCAAATCCTCTCTCACAGGCGGGGATATGGAAGCTACTCAGTGAATGAACGGCTTTCCCTCTAAGTTTTAAAACATGCGGAGAGCTGGTGGATGACTTCATAATAAAACACGGATTGGGCCCTGGCATGAAAACCGTTTTATACCCGCAGAGATCTGGTAATACGCGAAGGGGATTAAAACGTGCAGGGCTTAGTTTATCCATATCTGGATCATATTTTGGTAGAAAATAGTTGGTAAGTTTCAAAAATCGCAGGTTCGATTCACCGGGGAGCAAGGGATAGTACGGTTGATAGATCGTAATGTCATCAGTGTTAGTACGAAGCTAAAATCTATAATCAGCGTAATGGTACTGGATAAGTAAAAGGTAAAATCATACTATCATATAGGGCTGTCGGCTAATCGAGTCTCCAAGATCAGCAATCAAGACTTCGGATAGCTTCTCGCGATAGGTGGCTCGTCGAGGTGGTGGCTCGCGTGATAGAATAGGGAGCAAAAGGTCGGCACCCTCCACAGTGCAAAGGGGTGTTGTAAGGTCCGGAAGAGAATATAACTTAGATAAAATCAGCTTAATCTTAGAGAGTCTCTAGCTTCAGACTCACAAATAGACTATTGTCTGCACGAAGAAGAGCCAAAATAACATTATCTGTTGCACTTTTATCCTGGCCCTTGGTATTAGGGATAAATGTGCGATATTTATCGAGGTATAAACAGCCTGAAAGCCATTTTCCCGAACTTAATATTCCTTCAATCCCAACTTCATCCAAGTCACCATTCTTGTCTGCCTGTAGAAGAAGAAGAGACTGGTCATCTCGAATAATAAGAAGATAGGGTTCCGCGAAACTAGTTCTAATCACGGAAAGCTCTCCGCTCACATCTTCATCCCAAACAGGGTATATTTGAGCCAACCCGAGATCTGTGCAGATAGTCAGTCGTTACTGAAATAGTGGAAAAATAAGGCCCTTCAACTCACCAACATCATAGCTCCTGACTTCCGACTTGAGCACTTGGATGACTCTTGTTCCACCTGCAAGGGTTCCAATATCAACAGTAACGTCTTCATTAGGATTGAAATCTGGCGCTTTTATTTCATCTATCCCATTATTTTCAACTGTATAAACAACAGATCGCTCTTTCCCCAACTCGGTAGATTTTGAAAAAATCAAATATTTATCGTAATTTCGTAGCGAGGTGTTTGTCGTGCCGGAATTTCCAACTTGCACAGACCATACACTATTAAGGTTATTCATCCTCATAGAATCTATAACGTATGGCTCCAATTCTCGCTTAAGAATAGCAAGTCCACCAGCGTTGCCGCACCCTTGAGTGACAATGAGATCTAAATCGGCGGATAAACCGGAAGAACTCTGGCTTTTGCGGCTACTAGGCGCTCCAGGAGGCTTTCCCAAGCTTATGCTCTTCATAGGTCCTAGATTTTGGAGTTTGTCGTGTGCGCGGAAAATAAACTCATCTTTTCTGTGTCCGTTTGTCTGCGGAGGAGTTTTTGTAGCCGAAAGGGGGTTTATGGGGGTAGAATACAGATCATCCTCATAAATATCATCATCTTCACCATCCAGCTCAGAACGATCTCCTGAAATATCGTCAGAGGACTCGGTTTTGTTTTTTTTTATCGATTGGGACGGCCTAGACCAGCCTATGAGAGTGGAATCGGCTGCTTCACTCCCAAAAAATATCTTTCCCCGCCCAATGCTCGCAGCGCATGATGACCCAGCCCTTAGTATTGAGCCCCCCGCTTCATCAGAAACCAAAAACACAGAGATCCCAGAAACAGACCGTCCATCCACCTTGAGCCGTATGATAGCCATCCTTCCATCGGCCAATGAAAGCAACATATCACCGCTCTCAGTACCAAGCTGCTCCACCACACAGCCTTCCAGACGTAACTCCAGGTCCGACTGGTCTGCCATCGAAAAGGCTGATGCTTGTCGGGCAAACTCGTTGACGCCAACAGCATTGGTCTTCCCAGCCTGGTCAACATGGATAAGCTCGTTAGAGCCAATCAAAAGGGCTCCGCCAATAGGCGGTGGTAGAGGAACCACTTTCCACAAATCGCTTGGTAATCGTGAGACCGTAATCAAAGTTGTAGATGCTCGCTGCTGCATATCAAGAGTAAACACAGCATATAAAACTATATCCTTCCGCTCATGCGATAGTGAGCATGATGTAGCAACACTTGAATACAGAATGCCAAAAGTAGGTTCTCTATATTCAAATAAAAATGCGAGATGTATTGGATGGGTCAAGGCAGGGTCCAGAGCAGTAAGTGGAAGGACGAAGGAAGACCCATAAGGAGTTTTGTGCATTGCCGCATTTTCAGGATTCGATTCTGCGCCACTACTATCGACTTTTTCAGGCTTCTCATCGTCTAGGTCCTGATCAAAATCGTCCATTACAAGGTCGTCGCCCGTCTGGTGAAAAGGAAGAATAGCGACGCTATGGATACCAAAGTTAAGAATAGCACATCTGCTACTGGGGTCAACAGCCAAAAGACTGGGGCAAAGCTTTAAATCTGGGGTCCACGGATTGCTATGCAGATCTTCTCTTTCGTAGTAATGGATGGAAATGGTCGATATTCCATGTTTCTCATGGTCCCATTGAACAAGGCTAAGTTTCGCGCTTCGAGTGGCTACCAATAATGCCTCTCCTCCGCTTTTTGAGTCGAGTATTTTGACTCGGCCCAATCCTGTTACTGTTCCAGAAAGGTCGTATTCAGCAATTAAGACCAATTTTGTAAATTGCTGTCTCTCAACTCGACTTTTGTCATCAGTGCCGGAAGATGAAGTAGTCCCGTAGGCAACATTGATTAGAGAAAACACTTGGAGTATCGATGTCTTTGCGACTATCAAATTGTTGGACACTGCTGAAAGGAATGGCAGGCAGAGAGCATGGGTCACTCCCGAGGGCGGAAGTAGCTCCGTGTAGCACTGCATGGTGAATCTGGGCACTGCGCAATTTCACTCCAATTTTCATGTTAGTTGTAGCCACAATTCTGCCCCATTTCAGCTCCTCCAATGTCTGTGTGAACAAGAAGTTGCTGCTGTGGAGGAGACTTTGATATTGACGAGCGCAGTCTAGCGCCAGTGCCGCAACAAAAGTTGCTGAGTCATTTATCAACTTGGATGACGACATTCGAGATCTGAATCAAGACCTCCATCCAGCCACTCGTTTCTCCAGACAACACTGTCATGCTGAACAATAACGCTTTGCGTTGGCAGAATTTATTATGGCGCTGCTTCAATCCACGCTCATTTGGATTGTATACGCCGTTGCAATCGTTATTCTCATCACTGTAGCTTCCACCTTTGTTTATATCTACCAGACCCCACGAGATCGCTCGGCTTCAGTAACGACTGTTTGCATATTTACTCTAACTGCCTTGTTGGCGACCGTCTTATTATTACCTGTTGATGTTGCGCTGGTCTCGTCCACAACCTCGTCAAAATATGGGAGGAGAAAAGATTGGGCATCCCAGAACGAGGTTGATAAAATTATATATTCGCTGACTGTGGTCTACTATTTCCTTTACTCGCTGGATGCCGTCCTTTGCCTTTTAGTAGTACCCTTTACATACTTCTGGTATGAGGAGTATGATGAAGTGGCACACGAGGAGGGGTGGCAAAGTACTGGCAAGCAGTTCTGTGGAGCTTTGAAATATACAATCGTATTCATAACTTTAACGATAATTTTGTTCCTGGTCGGCTTGTTTGTCCCTGTGGCAAAAGATCGAAATGGCGCCCATTTTGATTTAGATTACTTCAAAAAGTTATTGATGGAGAATCGTATGTTCTCGTGCTTTTCCGTTCCTTTTCTTTCCAAGTTAGGCACATGCTAATGGGACAACATTTAGATGGGGAGCGGGCTTTGACTTTTGCCCTTGGCCTTTTGATAGTGATAGGCATCATTGCCTATGTGATATACTCCTCAACGGGGCTCGCTTTTTTCCCAGTAACTTTTATCAAGTCTGCCCCATCGATTTCAAGCCCAGCGCTCAGTGCAAGCATTGAATCTCATTTAGAGAGCAACAACGAGCGCCAGCGTCAGCTCGAGGGCCGTTGCAGTGGCAACCCGGACCATCTTTCCTCCAAGGATAGAAGGGAACTCGACTCCTTAATTCGAGAAGAGCGAACGCTACGCCGCCGCAAGCGTCTAGCCGAGGCGGCTCGTGGCCAAGGGAGGAGCCATATTGTCAAGGCGTGGTACAAACTTGGCGCCATTTTCCGGCCAGTAAAACTCCTAGGAGGCCTTTGCTTTTTAGCGTTCTCCATTCTAATCTGGATTTCAATGCTTCTCACTTGTATCGACAAAGCAAAGAACTCTGTCTGTAAGGAAAAGTGCGGCTACATTCTCGGCAAAATTAATATCCCTAACCCTATCAATTGGTTACTCCTAAAATCTGCAATTGTTTTCCCCGCCGACTACGTTATTTTCATTATTCTGGTGCTATACTTGTTTACCAGCTCCATCGTCGGGATTGCCACAGTTGGCATTCGGTTTCTATGGATCAGAATATTTCAGATCAGAAAAGGGCATACATCGCCTCAAGCTCTCCTCCTTGCAACATCAATACTGACTCTGATCACTCTCGCCTTGAATTATTCAATTTCCATGATCGTTGTCCCTCAATATGCCACATATGGCCCGCAAACATTCTGTGATTATCCGTCCAAACAATTTACAGCCCTTCTTGACTGCTCGAAGCACAAGGAATACCTTAAGCCATGTTCCGAACTCGCGGACAACCCTGCCTCTAGATCTGTTTGCACCCCAAGCGTTGCCAGCACGTTTCTTAACCGTATTACCTTGAATTTCCCTTTCTTTGGCATTATCGATTTCTGGTCACAATTCTTCTTTCTAGGTGAGTGACATGCCAGTTTCTATGGTTGTTTTTGTAAGGTCTCTAATCGAATTATTCCGCCTAGGCTTATCTCTCATTATCTTCGTCACGGTACTGATCCGTGCCCCGAGACTTGATGAGCAGCAGATGGATGAAGATGCTGAGGAGGCTGAAGAAGAGGGGCTCCTTGCTGCCACAGGTAGGAGATTTGGTGCTACTTGGCAAGACATCACAGGCCGGATACATGATCAGCCAGGAAGATATGGATCTGGCTCTGCGGGACGTCGTACTCGAGATGATGAATGAGAAAAGTTTTTCAAAGTAATGTTTCTCTTTCTGATATCGGTACCGCTGTTATGTATAATATTCAAGGGCTTAGGAAGGATTTCTGTTCAAATGTAGAGGATCTCGGTTGGTAGAAAAGGGTACTAAAATGGGAGGACCGTGATGGAATCACACACAATTCCGGTTATGGGGCTATGCATAGCAGTGTATTCTATGAATTTGGGACCAATCCAGGCCATACATGGCGTTGACTCAAAGGTCTTCAATGCAATATTTATTCTTCAAGTACCCGAAATTGGAATTACCCGTTCGTCGTTCAAGCGCCGATGGGCGTTCTTTTATCGAATTCGACCGCTCGATGCTGCCTCTCCTCTTCCGACCCCTCAACAAGGTGCATCTCCTTCCAGCACCGTGAGCAGAAAAGCAACAAGTCGGGGCAGTCCAAGCATTTTAGATTGGCATTATCATTACATATGCAGCACCAACTAGGAGTTGATTCGCTGGACGTTGTAAAGATGTTCTTTTTCTTTGAATCTTTGTTCCGGTTTATGGGGTCCGCTGTAGGAACAGAAGGCAGAGCAAGAGAGCCGTCAGCAGCCTGGAGTTCCTTCTTAGTAAGATCTTGAGTGTTGTTAGTATGCGGACGGTCTGTCGGACTTTCTGGAGTGGGGATATCATGATCCAGCGAAGTTGGGGTCCGTAGTTTATCAAGGATCTTTCGAACGTAGTCCTCAGCTTCGGCATCGGCTTCCTTTTCCTCTAAGTCATGTTTGGGAGGAAGGCAGGGTGTTTCTAGTAGTTTAGTGATACTATCGTCTCCAGCTCTCAGAAGCTGATGTTGATGGTCAGAATGCGGCTGAAGATTAGAAGCAGATGATGAGAGTACAAATTTCTTCGCCTGGTCGACCAGACTGTTTATCTCATTCTCAGCTTCTAGCTCATATTCAAGTTTCCAATTTTCCCTGACTCGCAAGTCTGCTAGAAGATTTTCTACGTCTCCTTCTTGCTCGGGTACGGAATGCGATGATCTGAGGTAGGTGGGAGACCCTCCAAGGTCCCTGAACCGTGCAGACAATGGATCACCATCAATAGCATAAGAATAGTCCTCATCATCGGTATCAACATCATCAATTACCCCCCGTGGGATCCTACAAGCTGAGTCAATATCCAAAAGTGCATGGGTGTGGCGATGAGGCCGGTCAGAACCAACTAACTTTCCAAACTCCAACTGAACGGAAGAAGGTTTTAGGGCATTCAGGCGTTGGAGGAGACCATTATCGTCATCAGATGGCTGTTCGCCCATATTTATTGGATGCCAATAGTTATCTATTTCATATCCGCTATCATGGTGAATATACGTTCATTTGCCCAGCCTCGCGCCAGCCCACCAATACCCGAATGCTTGGCAGATGACATAAGACAACGACTGCCATCAATCGTCGCGCAGCAAAGCCAGCGCGCTCTCGAAGGCCTTTACCACATTCGCATCTAAAGGTCCATGGTTAGTATCGAATGGATATGTGATAAGGTGTCCGTCATACAGTGCTGCTTCTTGTCCTCCAGTCGATCCTCAGACGTTTGAACATAGTCCATCCTGGTTTTAAATCTGCAGTAACACGAAGCATTAAATCAAGAATTTGCTCTCTGAATAACCGTATACCGCACCTTTTGTAAGCCCTATCTTCGTCTGCAAACACTGTGGTTTGTGACCATGCGATAAAAACCTATCCTGAAAGTTAACACGCCAATAAACGAACGAATACATTCATAGACCACCCACCTCCAGTAAATCCGCAGTCTCTTTCTGTAAGGCATTTTCCATGTCGGACCTCTCGTCCATGGCTTCGATAAAACGCTCCTGAAGCTGTTCCCAGCTGCAGTTGCGAAGAGACTTTGCCATGGGATCCCATTTACCTGGTGTAGGGCTGAGTCGCTGCTCTAGATTTTCTGGCATTGATTTTTCATCATTCTGGTCTGAGCTGTTGCTGCTCTCTGAAGTGGTTGGGGCAGAGCCGCTTTTGGTGGTTGCTTTGGAACGCGATTGAGAGGCTTGAGGCATTTCGCCGGTTTTGGTTGAATTGCAGCAAGTATTAAAACAAGATCAATGGCCAGTTAAATGAAGTTTTTTTTCAATTTCTGCCTTTATGGATTAAAATTTTCCACCAAGCAAAGCAAGCACAATGTATGTTTAGCAATTAGTTGGTGTGTGGTGGCCGTTGTGGGTATCATGGAGTCGGGCAAGATGGCAACCTTGAGGGCACACCAGGGGAAAAGAGATCAGTGCAGAGTAGTTACTAACTAGTTAACTGATCGTCAGCTATACACATATATTGTAGTGCTGTCCTTCATTCATCAGTTAATGTCCGCCCACGAAAGTTAATTCAACCCAAAACTGCACGCCAACTGAAGTGAATACCAGATGGTGACAAAAACAGACAGGCAAACATGTCAAACAAGAAGACTTGATAGGGCTGAATACAGTTTAGTGCAAAACTCTCTACACATGTGACCTCATTGCAGCTCCATTAGGTACTCAGTAGGTACTTACTTTGGACGAATGAAAGTACGTCTTCCAGCTCTCACTCAACAAGGCGTTAGTTCATGCAATAACAATACACAAACAGTTGCTGTACCTGTTCACTTAGTCTCTAGGAAATTATCAGGCAGATTATGGAATCCTTGCCATACGAAAACCCACGTCAGGGCGATACTCCTTAAATGTCGTTGGCGTGCCACGTCTGCAGCTGTGAGCCCGACTCGCAGTTGTCATTTTACTGCCCAACATGCGCTCGGAACCAGCTGTACACCCTCCGTTTCGATCTCGCGAAGACGCTACTAGGCAAGGAGGCAGCGGGGCAAAAGATTGAGCAAGCAGTGAAAGATGCCACACAAGATCTCGGGCTGGTTCGCAGCCCTGTTCAGCCGGAACAACCACGGGGCGAGCGGTCCAAGATAACCGTTGAAACGTTGCGCACGCTCAAAATCCAGGCGGAAATTAGAAGCGAGAGCATACAGGTACAGATAGCCAAATTACGGAGGGAAATAGAGGGCGGCAAGCAGGAGATTGCGAAACGCCGGGCGGCGCTCGCCAAGCGACGGTCCGATGCGGAATCGGCGCGGTATCAGCTCCCTGACCGCCGGGCAACGACGGTAAATAATGTGCAGAAGGATATTAAGAAAACGGAGAATGCGTGGAATAGCCTTCATACGAAGACGGCGGAGTCAAGGATGTTTCTCTGTCGGGAGGTGGCCAGCCTGTATAATTTACGGCAGAAGAGCAGGAGAAAGAATGGGAAGATTATAACTACGTATTCCATAGGTGGGGTATATATCGTTGATCCCAGGGATATGAACAGTAAGTCAATAAGCGCTGGCGTCTTTCTGTTGAGCCTGAATAAACCTTTGATTGTGATATAGGTGCCAGCCCAGCTCAAATTACGACGTCACTCTCGCATATCGCACGACTCTTAGTTCTCGTTTCGCGGTACCTTGCGCTCCGTCTACCTGCGGAAATCACCTTACCTCATCGAGAATACCCCTTACCCACAATACTCGCTCCATCTTCATCATACATTGAAAAAGATATCCCATTCTCAGCAGTATCACCTTCAAGCTCTGTTACGCCGCGAAGTGCTGGAGCCCGGGCACCCCCACGGCCTCGCCCCCTCTTCCTGCAGCGAAATCTCCCTAAACTGGCGAAGGAAGATCCAGCTGGATATGCCCTTTTTATCGAGGCGGTGGCCCTTCTGGCGTGGGATGTATCGTGGATATGCCGGTCTCAAGGATTATATATTGGGAGTGAGTCGTGGGAGGATGTTTGCGATATGGGACAGAATTTGTGGCAGCTCCTCGTCGCACCTCCAGCGCTGGTAAAGGCGTTAGGCAGTCGTGACGGTGCAACAAAAGTCTCAAATGGCAAAGAGGCGACCCGAGGGCGTACGACATCGGCATCATTGCTGGGCCATTACTCGCATGGAACGGTTCATTCTTTCCTTGGGAATAACCAAGGACTGGAGTTCATGAAGACTTGGAAATTGCCGTCGTACATCAAGATCGCGGATAAGCTAAAATCGACTCTTCTGAGCGAGATGGCGACGGCGGAATGGGAAATTCTGGAGGAGGAAGAGTGGGAGGACGACCCTCGATTGCAGAAACAGGGCGAGCAGCCGAGTGGGCCTATCATTGTGGATGTCCCACCATCGAATCCGGAGAATGCGGGTGAGGAGGCGGGGAGGATCATAATGACGGCGTCCGCAATCGCCGACTCAGCGGATGCGCCGCAGGTATCCGTCACAACTCCAAACGACAAGGCAAAGGGGACCAAGGGCTGGACCAAGATCAACAGCCGCTGAGGTGTAGTCGCGCGAGGTCTCGATCTTTTTTCTGGCTCCACACCATGTAGGATGTACAGACTTTTCCCCTGGGGTCCAAACTCCGGGGCAACGGTCGCGGTGTTTGACGGATTGCGGAAGGCGGTAAACGCCTCATGGGATCCTCTTTGAGAACCGCAACAATCGGCATCAGCGGCCTCGGGAAGACTAAAACAGAGGGCGCAAGTCTGGCGGCGATGTTTGCGGTTCAGGCGCGCGCCAAGACAAAACGGTCTTTGGGCACGCCGACTGGCCACCACGTCTATCCCCGAGCCATTGGTCGGATCGATCGGTGTCTGGTGTTTTTTCGGTTTTTTTTTTTTTTTTTTTTTCTTGTGTTGGATCTTGATGGACTTGCGCAATTATTGTCGTGGTTTTGTGGTGGGGAGCGAACTGACATTTTTGTCTTTGTGGAACTTGGTGTGGGTTCCCTGGGCTGGGACCCTTCGGATGCCTGTGCTTACGATGGCGATTTATAGATCGTTTCTGGAAAAACTGTAGCTTGTTTGCAATCATATTGCATGCATAATATAGGTGTTTGGGAGATGGCTCCAGGCACGTTCTAGCCTTTGTGCTTGGGGGCTAGTGCATTTCATGCACTTGAACATGTCAATGCAAAATCCTACGGAGACCAGAGTAGTAACTAGTAGCATGGAGGGAAGCCGGCGGGAGGCTCTAGCTGCCGTGAATCTCTTTTCCTATGAGGTTCACAGAGCCAAGCAGGATGCATTGTGTCCATAGCTCCATGCTGCAGTGCAGTTGCACGGTCGAACCGCTAAACGGGAGCCGGTGGGAGTGTGAACGGGGGTGCAGTTGTGGATGAGGCTTGATTTTTTTTTTTTTTGCCCTTGTTTCTTCCTTTTTTCTTCTTTGTCCGCTGGCCGCGGCTCAGTGGCAAGGCGAGGCCTTTCCACTGCTATTTGTTTCTCCGTCTTGACTGTCAACAAGCCGCAAACAAAGGACCGCACGTGACGGCGTTCCAGCACTCGGGGCTGCAAAAATACGCTAGTAAAAGGCAAACGTTTGTTTCGGCCTTGGCAGGGGTGGTCTGTTTCAGCAGCTTTCACGTGCCGGTACCGCGCTAGTACGGTCTGGCTTACCTCCCAATCACCGCACACGGCAAGCCGCTAGGCCGCGAACGGGCAAGCGCAGGTTGCCGGATTTCAGGGGAACGCGCGGACGAACGAACGGGCAGAGGGAGCACCGGCGAGCGACGGGCGGGGTGGACGGAGGATAGCCGGGCACAGTACGTAGTTGGGCCATACGAAGAGCGACACACGCACCACCAGGCCGCGACAGCCCGCACGCCGCGGGGGGCTACGCATGTTGTATCCGTGGCCCAGCTCAATCTTGCCGTCCACCAACCACACGCCCGCACGCAGCGCCAGCAGATCCAGCGGTTCCTGGCCGCCAAGCCGTGGGCCCGCAGCCTCGCCAAGCCGCCCTCCTCCCGCGGCGTTTCCTTTTAATCTCCCGGCTCGCTCGCTCTCCTCGTCGACTTCTCTCCCTCTCTCTCTCTCTCTCTCTCTCTCGCTCATCCTGGTGAAGACGCTTGCTGCCACTCCTTTCGCGCTCTCTGCTGCGCCCTTCCACTCCTTACCACTGTCTGTCTGCTGTGCTCGTTGTCACTCCTTCAACAGCACCTCCTCCGTCTTCATTTCCATTGTCTTTGTGTGAAACTAAGCCTTCCAAACATTCACTCCCTGTAAGCGCGCCCCCTTTCTTCACGCTCCCCTCCCACACGGGTACCCCTTCACGCTCCTCTTCTCTCCTTCACTGCTGCATCTCGTCACTCGCTCTTTGTCGCTCACTTTCACTCTTTTGCCCTGTCTGTCGCTCTCTAATCTATATCCTCCCTTCGTTCCCATCTTCGTTTCGTTCTGATACTCTCTCTCGGCATTGCATTAACCTCATCCTTATTCCTGGCCAAGGGGTCTGGCACCATTCTAATCTAGACAAAAAGGTCTTTACTCCCCCACGCCTGACTCGTTCGTCATGCATTACAAACTCGCGATCGGAGCTGCTCTTGCGGCCTCCGTCACTTCTGTTGCCGCTCAGGCCTGTGACCCCGGCACCGCCAGGCAACTCGGGGGCAACTGGTATTGCAAACTCGTCGACTCCATCACCTACAACAACTTCGAGTCCTCCGGTTCCTACGATGAGATTACTGGCATGGACAACGGCCGTTGCACTTCTCAGAAGAAGGCCTACAGCGGCCCATTGGCTCCTTTGGACGGAGAGGTAGCCGCCCCAAACCAACTTCCAAATCCCCTAAGCTAATATCTCCAGATTTCCCTTCATTTCCGTGGTCCTCTCCGATTGAAGAAGGTTGCTTTCTACACCATGGGCAGCTCTGAGAAGCGTGAGGTGAAACCTAGCCTCCACTCCCGCCGCCATGGTCACGGCCACCTCCACCGCAAAACCGCGGAGAAGCGCGCCGTCGGCGACGTGGTGACTGCCACGATCGACGGCAAAGTTGTCCAATGGGTCAACAACTATGACGGTTCTAAGCCTGCTCCTTCTCCTCAGGCCGCTCCCGCTGGCGCTCCGGCTCCAGCTCCCGGTACTGACTCAGGCGCCATTAAGGGCAGTACACCCAAGGGTGATACCCGCAAGAAGACCCCATCAACCAATGTTGGCGCTGGTCAATGGGGCCGTCAGGCCATGTACGATGCCGAGAAGGGAACTGCCGATGGTCTCACTTTTCTCAACCACAAGGGTGGTCAGGGCTCCGGTGTTTTTGACATGTATGTCTATTCTGCCACGCCTCTCGGCTTTGTCACCCTGCTAACTTCGCTTTACAGGTCACTTGGAAACTCTCTTTCCTTTGCCTCTGAAGATGCCACCTCGGGTGCTGCCTCTCCCTGTGTCCTAAGGGATACTTTGTTAAGCGACAATCAGGAAATTGTCATCATGTCCGACAAGGAATGCAAGGGTAACGATTGTGGAACTGTTCGCCCTGGTACCGTTGCTTACCGTACGTACCATCCCTACTAAAACATAATATAAACATGGATACTAATGTTTCCCACAGATGGATTCAGCGGCGCAAGCAAGATTTTCCTTATGGAATTTTCGATGCCAATGAGTGGCAAGAAAGGCTTCAACGCGGATATGCCCGCTGTCTGGATGCTCAATGCCGCTATCCCTCGTACCTTACAGTACGGAAAGTCCGAATGTTCTTGCTGGAAATCTGGCTGTGGTGAATTCGACGTTTATGAAGTCCTCGACTCTGGAAACACCAAATGCAAGTCCACTCTTCATGGCAATCTCAAGGGTGGCGACAGCAACTACTTCAAACGCCCGACCGATAAGCCTGTTAAGATTGCTGTTTTCTTCAATCCTCTCACTAGCAGCGCTCACATTAAAAATTTGGACGATAGTTTTGAATTCGGCACATCCCTTGACTCGGCTGCTGTTGCCCAGTTCTCCCTAGAGGCTGCTCTTAGCTCTGTCTTCACTCTCGCTGCGTAAATGACCCCAGGATGGGAAAAATAGACTCAGATCACGCCGATTGGCCACGCGACATCTTGCACAACTATGGATGTTTGACAACAATGTTCCATCCTTGCCCTTTTGTGGCTGCTTCTCCCTACTTGGCATGGTCCAAGCCGGAGCAGTTGCAAATCAAGATGCAAGATAGTCATGTGTGACCAGTGTTGGCATTTCGTGAAGATGTTTGCAGAGCTGAGACCTATCTTTCCACTGCCAGATGCTTGCGTCTTTATTTATCTTCATGACTTACTTTCTGAAAAAACAGTGCAGTCAATCGGTGTTGCATGCTTAATTTTTATTGTACTTTACATTTGATTTCAATCACGGATATACTTCTGGGCAGGGGCGTGGGTTACTTTTTTTCATCGGGGAAATATTCTTTTTAACTTGAGGATTAACGAACAACAATTGATACTCTTGCAGCATAGTTAACTGTTTGCTTGCTGGGACTCATGTGTTGCCACCATGATGACAGTCCCTGGTGCCTGATTCAAGCTTGTCCTCCTGTGATACCCCTTACCACAGCAATCTCTGGATTTTAATACCATATTTGGTGCTTTAAATCAAATGCTTTATAGTTGATAATGTTTCACGCCGAGCTTTATTTGGATTCTGACTGTTACAGTCCGTAGTGCAGCCGTTCCAACCCCCTCGTATTGCAGTCCAAGCTTCATGCATGGCGTTAGGTTGTCGCAGTTTAACTATTTGGAGGCTGGTGGCTGGGCCGCAGCATCAAATCTGCCGCGATTCTCAACGTTCGAGACTGTTCTTCGAGTTGATCCATTTGCTTTTGTGTTTCATACAACGATCTGACTAGAGACATTGGGACATACTTTCACGTCGCTTTCTTTTCGATTCCAAGATTGGGTGAGCGCGCCGCTTTCTGGCGGATAATGATCACCTTTCAGGTCCCAATACGCGTGTTGTCGCGAAAATATCATCTGTACTCAATCCTTCCATTCCTCTCTCGAAGACTCTCCTCCACGACATCTCAAGCTGCGCCAAGCAGTGAATCGCATGAAGACTTCTTCCGGTATACCACGGGTCGCTGGCTCTGGAATGAAGAGGAGCAACTCCGCCAGCGCTATCGCAGGTTTAATGTCTGTGAACTACAAAAGGTGGCTGCCCAGGCACTGGGTCGCAGTTTGTCCTCCGCGTCGTCAACGCGTCATTGCGTGGAAATGAAGAAGATCGCAGAAGGTAATTATTACAAGGTATTTCGCTTGCAAATGGATGACGGCAGGGCGGTCATGGCGAGAATTCCTCATCCGAATGTACGACCTGTCATGTATGCGATGGCGTCGGAAGTTGCGATGGTGGACTTTGTGAGCTTCATCTGGCTTTCTATTGCCTTGTTTCCATTCTTGGCTTGAGTGCTAAAGACGCGTTCTAGGCTCGATCCGTGCTGGGTATACCCGTGCCCAAGGTTCTAGAGTGGAAAGCGTCTCTTCATGGCAATCCTGTGGAAGCTGAGTATATTATTATGGAGGAGGCGGAGGGTACGCTCTTGTCTGATGGATGGCATACCATGAAGCCTGCTGAGAGAGAGAGCATCATTGATGGGATTGTGGAGGTGCAACAGAAGCTCGTTTCGGTTGCTTTGAATCTGTATGCATATGCTATCGTTCCCTATGTCTCTAATTTATACTGACACGGCATTGAGCTCTGGGCCTCTCTATTTTGCAAACAGCGGGTTTCAGGGATGTTCGGCTGCAGAGATTATCGCTGGTGGCTCGCCATCTGCCAGAGAAATAGTCAAAGACCGGTTCGTCATAGGACCAACTGTCGATGCGTCTTACTGGGAAAAAGAGAGGGCATCCATGCCTATTGATCGTGGACCATGTGAGATATTTAGCTCCGAGGGAAATGTACCATTCAAAAAAGGAAGTATATTCTAAATGATTTGGCCAGGGAAGTCAGCTGAAGACTACGCCAAAGCCATCGCGTATCGCGAGATATCATGGATTACGCGGCATGCTAAGGACAATCCACTTGATCCACACTACACATACGAAGCAGCCCAGACTTCGCCAGAAGCCCATATTGAATTACTTGAGCGATACATGTCTGTTATAGGAATGCTCATTCCCAAACAGGCTGATTTTACCAGGTCTACGCTTTGGCATTCTGGGTTCAATCATGACAATTTATTTGTGAATAACGGTAAGATATCAAGCGTGGTGGATTGGCACCGCGGTGGCATTTTACCCTTGATTTTCCAGGCCGATATTCCACCGCTGGTGAAATATTGGGGGGAAAAGGTACTGAAGCGCCCTGAGAACTTCGCTGAGCTCAACCAAGATGAAAAAGATAAGGTGCTGAAGCAAATATCGTCAAGCACCAGGCAGGAATATTACAAAATGCAAACCGCTTTGGAAAATCCTCTTGTGGCACGTGTGCTCGAGATACCTCAACTACAAATGATACGGTATCTGACAACACTTGCAAGTGATTCATGGACCCACGAGAGCGGGATTCTCAAGCTCCGCGAGGTCCTCCTGAAAGTTATGAGGTAAAAAAAATCTGGCAGCAACCAAACATTCATATGTATCTGATTGCTGAATCTTCATTATAGACGCTGGGACCAATTCAATCTGAAAACGTCATGCCCATATCATTTCTTAGACACTGATATCGAACAGCACCTCAAAGCTGGGGAAAACTTCAATGCATCTCAAGACTTCTGGGAGTCTCTGGATGGTATCGTCGGTCGGGATGGATTCACGTGGCACCACTATTTTGATGCTGCAGCGTAAAATGGGTTTGAAGGATCTGAGTGGCAAGGAGAGAGAAGAGTTGGATTATTGGACACACTGGGTGATTGATCGCCAACGAGAGAGAGAAGAGAAAAAAGAGGAAGAGGCAAGAAAAAAGTAACACTATACGTTGGTATGCCCACAATGAACTCGTCATTCAAGATATTAGAATATGCAGCTGACCTTCTGCTTGCTTGGTCAAGTCACATTATACATCTAGCAGAGTAGGGAAAGGACCTGGGATTTATATTTCAAAGAAAGGGCCGATCCGTTGGACCAAGTGGCTCGTTCATTTCACACATGAATCAGGCGCTCGCGGTGGCACCTTTTGATCTATATACACTCTCGGCGCCTCTTGAGTTTTGGAAGGAGTGGCTGGGCGCTGCCTGCTGCTTCCTATTTCTCAAAAACGAAGTCACGATGGGCATGAAGAAGGAGCCACCCAACAGTTGTACCTTCCTTACTCATATTAGGAAAGCATGACCGTGTATAGGGAAAGCGCCATTGAGTTCTTTCCTATTTCGAAAATAGAAAGCGCAGTCTAATGGTTGCGCCTTTCGTATATAGGGACACGCCTTCCAGGTTTGAACTAGGAAAGCACAACAAGCATTCCTTGCCTTTGATAAAAAGGCATGATGGGCCTGGGGAAGGAGCAACCCAACAGTTGTACCTTCCTAACCCAAACTAAGAAAGCATGACTGTATAAGGAAAGAGCAATACAAGCTCTCTCTTAAAACAGCAAGAGCAGCCCAATGGTTGCACTTTCCATAGATAAAAATGCGTCTGTCAGATTTCAATCAGGAAAGTGTGATGAGTGTTCCTTCCCAATTTGAAAATGGAAATGAGGAAGGTGCAACTATTCGGTTGCACCTTCCTATTTCCAACAAGGAAAGTCTGACTACGTATAAGGAAAGCGCGATGCAATTTCTTTCCTTAAACAGAAAGAGCCACCAAAGCGTCGTACCTTCCATATATAGGGATGGACCTGCCAAAATTGAACAAGGAAAGTGCAATGGGTGTTCCTTCCTAGCTTGAAAATGGAAAGTACGATTTACATAAGGAAGGAGCTACCCAACGGTTGTGGCTTCCCTTGAACGTACATTCAAATTAGTGGGACGCGATCATGTATTGAAACAGGACGATACGTCATTCCTTCAAGCCCTTCCTACTTTCAATCAGATTGTACCTTATACAAATTTGTAGCTCTCAAATTGAAAGCAGAAAGGCATGACGGTTGTTAATAGTATTTTCAAAACAAAAGAGAATAACAAAGTTGAAGAAGTAACAAACTGTCAAATCATTTCTTCTTTATATATCTTCATATCAGCAAGATATGATGGGTATCTATTTCTGTTTGTGAAAGTAGCAACTGTTAGATTGTGCCTTCCCTCGCATTAATACCTTCCAAATTCAAATCAGGGAGGTGCAATGGATGTTCCTCCATATTTCTGCAAATAGAGACTACCACAGAGTCCAGACAAGAGGAAAGAGCATCTCAACAAGCTTACCTTCTTAATTCGATCCAGGAAGGTACGGTCGGGCATTGGGAAGGAGCGATGGGTGCTTCCCTAGAGACGGAAAGAGTAATCCAACGTTCGTGGCTGGATAACGAAGGAGTGGTTCCATTCTAGGAAAACACAATCGGAGTTCCTTCCCGGGTGAAAAGAGCAAAAGGGCTTGGTGGGGACCCCGTTGAGGAAGGAAGAAGAGTCTAGCAAACATTGCCATACATAGATGGGTGATGCGTAGTACCACCAATTCTTCAGAAGCTTCTGCACCGTAGAGCCATACTACAGCCAGACGAGTCCTTCCTGTATCCAGAGCTGCCGTTCAAGAGTTTTGCGCTAACAGGACCTTTTAACATTTGCGCGGCGTCGGTTCCTGATCCAGGAATCTGGCACCAATGGCGTGGGCACTGGTGATCTCTACATGTGCCAATCCTTCAGAGGCTGACGCACCAGAAAGATTACCTAAGCATCGGGCCGAGAACCATCCCCGGCCAGCGCGCCAGCAGGCCAACAAACCAATTTGCTATGTAGTTCACAGGTAGCGCACTCCTAAGGGACAACTCCCGTTCACGGTTCCAGCGTTGAATTCGACTCTCGCGTCGCTTGCGAGAGAAGTTCTTTTCCGCGTTTCAGGTGATTCAGCCTGCGCTCTGATCTCAACCTCGCCAACCCATTCCCCTCTACCGTTCGGTTTCATGCATGACAACTATTTCTACGACGAAAGCTGCTTTGCTGAGCTTAGTAGCCTGCTAGGCTAAAGGGGCTCGTTTTCGTCCAAAGGTGATGGGTATATCGACTGGGAAACGCATTGTTTTATGAGCCTCGAGCACGGCGGGAAATGCTTACCACAATGTCTGAAGGTGCGCATGCTGCTACACCACATGCAGATTTCTCACCTAATTCCTTATAATCTTTCCAATATAGAGCTTTTCCTCGCCGACGTACCACTCTCTCTTTTACAGACCGAGCTGAATCGGCGGAGTTTCGATGTGCGCCCACATGGAGCGACGCCTCGCGACACCACCACACGGCCTGCCTGTGGTAGTACGACCCGATCAGGGTCCTACAATACCCCAATTCATGTCTTCGCTGTGTTCCTTATATTTACCGTGAGTACATTAGGTACGGCACACGAAGTTTTATCACTCACATGCGTCAAATGCTAATATGGATTCTAATACAGCGTGCTCCTTTCCTATAATCGCCCGGCGGTTCCCTCGCTTGCCCATTCCACGCCGTTTTCTCTTCTTGTCGAGACACTTTGGTACAGGCGTTCTTATTGCTACTGCGTTTGTACATTTGCTCCCTACGGCGTTCGTCTCGTTGACGAATCCATGTCTGCCGCGCTTTTGGAATCGAGGCTACCCGGCAACAGCTGGGCTAGTAGCTATGATTGCTGTGTTGTTAGTGGTTACTATCGAAATGATTTTCGCAATGCGAGGTGCGGGTCACGTTCATGGAAGTGAATACGATACCCTAATCGAAGAAGTCTCCCGTAACCACGATTACGAGAATTTAGATGGGAGGCACAGCAGTGAGAACTTGGTCTCACAACCCTCAGATTCACGGCGAGGAAAAGGCAGGCCATCTCGGTTACATACAATTTCAACCTCGTCGGGAGAGTACATCACGGGCGAGACTAGCCCGACACCAGAAAACAATAATAATCAGCCTCAGTCGGGTGAAGAAGATCTCCAACTTGAGGAACTCGAGCCATACCCCGACGATACTTTTGAGTTTAACGATTCTCAGTCTAGCGGTGTTGTCACTCCCCAATCCCACAGTCATCAACACCATCATGTCCATTTTGATACATCGAAGGCTTTAAACCCGCAGAAACAACTTTTGCAATGCCTGCTACTCGAGGCCGGCATTCTTTTTCACAGCATCTTTATTGGTATGGCGCTTAGTGTCGCCACCGGCGCAAATTTTATCGTTTTGCTTGTCGCCATATCCTTCCATCAAACCTTTGAAGGGTTTGCCCTTGGTGCAAGGATAGCGTCTCTAATACCAGACTTGTTTTCTGCTTCGTCGCCGAAACCTTGGCTCATGGCATTGGCTTATGGGACAACTACTCCAATCGGCCAGGCCATCGGGCTTGGGCTGCACACTTTGTATGACCCTGCCAGCGAAACTGGCCTTTTGACCGTGGGAATGACGAACGCCTTTAGCAGCGGGCTACTGCTCTTTGCGGGATTAGTAGAGCTGTTGGCTGAGGACTTTCTGAGTGATAGAAGCTATGAGACATTACGAGGCAGAAACAGAATTGAAGCGTGCCTTGCTGTTGCAGGGGGTGCGGCACTGATGGCGTTGGTCGGCGCATTTGCTTAACTTTGAATATTTCGCACATGGAGTGGTTTATTAGATAAATCAATGTTTACTTTTTCTGCATATATTAGGTATACTTGTTTATGCCCTAATTTAGTTCTAGGAGAAATGAATCAAGTTCATTGAAGTCCAATTAAAAAGGTCTGAGATATCGTATACACTTTTTCGTCTTTATCAATCTAACATCAGACATAATAGTCATTTCATCATGGAAAATATATCCGTGTATCAATGCTGGACATCACATTTTGAGAGATCGTACAGCAAAAAAGAACAATCTTACTGCAAATATTCAATAACCATTGCACTGGCTCCACCACCACCATTGCAGATACCAGCGCAGCCGAGCTTACCCTTCTTCTGTCGCAACACACCCAATAGAGTGGTAAGAATACGGGCGCCGCTTGCACCAAGAGGGTGGCCAATGGCAACAGCACCACCGTGAAGATTAACTTTATCCTCATTAAGGCCAAGGAGCTTCATATTAGCCAGCGCGACAACGCTAAATGCCTCGTTGATCTCAAATGCATCAATCGCAGATTGCTCAACGCCAGCGTGCTTGAGAGCCTTAGGAATAGCCAAAGACGGGGCAGTCGTGAATTTGCTAGACTGTTTGGCAGCATCAGCCCAGCCGAGAATTTTGGCGAGGGGCTTAATATTAAGTTCTTTCAACTTGGATTCGGAGACAAGAACGATGGCAGCAGCGCCGTCGTTGAGAGGAGAGGAGTTGGGGGCGGTGACAGTGCCGGTGTTGGGGATAAAGGCGGGTTTAATAGCCCGGAGCTTTTCGTGGTGCAGCTAGGATAGTTATGTCAGAGTGAAGGCGCATGCGCTTAGGAGGGCCAAAATTTGACTCACATTTTTTGGCTCCTCGTCCTTGTCAACAATGGTAGCCGGCTTGCCCCTGACACCAGGGATTTCGACGGGCGCGATCTCAAAATCGAAAAGCCCGGCTTTTTGGGCTGCCTGTGCACGTTCATAAGTATGAATAGCATAGTCATCCTGCTGTTGTCGGTTGAAACCATGGTCCTCAGCACATTCCTCGGCTTGAAGCCCCATAATTTCTTGCTTCCAAGCGTCGGTGAGTCCATCCTTCATGATGCCATCGATCAGGGTTTGATTGCCATATTTGGCGCCAGTTCGCATATTGGGGATATAATGGGGCGCATTAGACATGGATTCGGTTCCACCAGCAACAATAATGTCGGCATTCCCGGTGATAATTGTTTGGGCTCCGAGGGCCACGGCTTTCATTCCGGAGGCGCATACTTTGTTAAGGGTGGTGCAGATGGTCGAGTCGGAGAGGCCAGCACCGAGCGCACACTGCCTGGCAGGGTTCTGTCCAACACTGTGGGAAAATAGTTAACCATGATACCTCAAGTAAAAGATAGTGGGTTGCCAAGTGATTTTTGGAGGGGGAGGAAGGGGAGAGCTGCTGACTTTCCAGAAATGACGTTTCCAAAGAACACCTCTTCGACATCTTCAGGTTTGATTTCAGGGACGCGTTGGAGCGCGGCTAGAAGCATTGGAATAAGACCTTAGCGGAACTTCGCTTCGAAATACTCAAGCTTGCAGAGGTCTTTCATACCCTTGATCGCATGGGATCCCAACTGAGGGGCAGTCAGGCTGGATAGAGCTCTGTAGACATATTTATTAGCATAACCAAGGTTCGCCTTGAAAATTGATAAACTCCATCCTGTTGAAGTCTCGTAGACTAGCTACAAGATGAAACTAAAGCTATCAAATAAATTGCTGGGGGCTCAGTCGACTTACCCTAGAAATGAGCCAACGGGGGTCCGTGCAACGGAAACAATGTAGACGGGTGGGCGAGAAGACATGTTTGCTCTAGAGCACAATGAACGCAAGGTCAACAAAGACAGGAAGCGGTTTGCTTTCTAGAACAGTAGTGGACGAAGTTCCCTTTTGCAGAAGTGAATGCAGCTTTGTTGGGATGAGAAAGTCCGCGAGCGAATTTGAATGGTGGGAGCTTATCGTCGCCGGGATCGACAGTAGCTAATTAACTACGGAGTATATGCACAGAGATGTCTGTATGGAGTAAATGCGCCGATAGCGGCAACTCTAAAAGGCAAAAGCTGCTTGTCCAGCAATTCTGTTCTCGTTTGGGCGTATGAGGCGGATTTCCAGTCGCAAATAATGCAGAATCAGCCGCTTACATCTAATTAACCATCAGCAGAGCAGCGTATTTATGGAACGTCAGCTGTGAATCGTATTGTCAATGAGCTGACAGCCATTTAGGTTTAGCGCCGGAACCTTCGCAGCCCCGGGCGATGTATAATCCGAGGGGGTGTATTACATAATCTTCATTTGTTAAAGCTATTGAAGAGCTGCGCAGACTCAAAGGCTACACTCGCCCGTTGAATATCTACTAGGCGTTCGCTTATCGGACAAAATCTAGGGGGGCTTATTGTTGTTAATTGCGCAAACCCCTAGTGTTATGATTTGCACTTGGCGTTATTTTTGAGGAACTCGTTCAAAAGTGTGCGCTACCGCTGTTTTCCAACATGGATGACCTTTATGATGAGTGAGTATTTCTCTTTCGGGTGTTCAACAGTATCTGCCACTGAAGTACTCTAACTTTGTACTGTAGATTTGGAAACTATATTGGAGGTGCAGAGGAGTCCGAGGAGGAAGAGCACCATGGCCGCGTCCCCACTAATTATGCCTATGATTTTGGGTCTGAGGAGGAGGAAGAAACAGCCGCTCCAGATCAACAGTTAATGGAGATTGATGGTGAGGGTCTATAATATCATAATCACTACCTGCCCTCTTTGAGCTGACTGTTCTTGATCATAGAGCAAGGACCTTCAAATGCGGTTATTCTTCACGAGGACAAGCAGTACTACCCTACCGCGAAACAGGTGTACGGAGCCGAAGTTGAGACATTGGTGGAAGAAGAAGATGCGCAACCATTGTCGCAGCCCATTATTGCGCCTGTTGAGCAGAAGAAATTTACTGTTCAAGAAGCAGATTTACCGCCGGTGTTTTATTCACGCGAGTTTATGACTGATATGTTAAACTTCCCGGATCAAATACGAAATATTGCGCTGGTTGGCCATTTACATCATGGAAAAACGGCGTTTATGGACACTCTGGTTATGGAGACACATGATATTTCCGAAAAGCTAGATAAGAGGACGGGAAAGAAAAAAGACGAACAGCTAAGATATACCGACGTGCATCTTCTTGAACGAGAGAGAGGCATATCGATAAAGTCGGCGCCGATGAGCTTGGTATTACAAGGAACTAAAGGGAAGTCGTACTTGTTCAATATCCTGGACACCCCGGGGCACGTCAATTTCGTGGATGAAGTAGCAGCTTCGCTCCGGTTAGTTGACGGTGTAGTCTTGGTTGTTGATGTGGTTGAAGGGGTCCAGATAAATACAGAGCAGCTGATTAAATACGCCGTTCTGGAAGATCTTCCTCTCACGCTGGTCGTGAACAAGATGGACCGCCTCATCCTTGAGCTCAAATTACAGCCTACCGATGCTTATTTTAAATTGAAACATGTAATCGAAGAGGTCAACACTGTCATCGAGAAAACATTGCCTGGGCAGGGAGAGAAGAGAAGATTAAGCCCCGAGAAAGGAAACGTTGCCTTTGCATGTACGGCAATGAATTGGTGTTTTACCCTTCCGTCCTTTGCGAAAATGTATGCCGATACATACTCAAAAATTGACGTACCGGAATTTGCTCTTCGCCTTTGGGGCGACATATTTTTTAACCCGACAAGCCGAAAGTTTACAAGAAAGGGGACAGAGGAACGATCTAAGAGGTCTTTCGTACATTTTGTTCTGGAACCTATTTATAAGATCTTTTCCCACACAATTAGTGAGAGCCCAGAGGACTTGAAAGCTACACTGGATACACTGGGAATTAACTTGAAACCTTCTCAACTTAAATCTGATGCAAAGGTCCTCTTGAATCTTGTGTGTGAACAGTTTTTTGGGCCTGTCTCGGGGTTTGTTGATATGATTGTAGATCATATCCCATCACCACTAGAAGGGGCACCCAAATTACTCGAAAAACACTATACCGGCCCCCTTGATACTAAAATTGCAGCAGAGATGTCAACTTGTGATCAGAATGGCCAGCTCGTTGTCCATGTTACAAAGCTATTCAGCACTAGCGATGCTGCTAGCTTCAACGCCTTTGGGCGAATAATGAGCGGCACTGCCCGCCCCGGACAACAAGTCAGGGTTCTGGGCCAAGGCTATACGATTGATGACGAGGAAGATATGGTCATAGCCACTATCACGGACACATTCATAGCCGAAACCCGATACAGCATCCCTACGAGCGGTGTCCCAGCTGGAAATTGGGTGCTTCTAAGTGGTATCGACAATTCAATTGTTAAAACTGCCACACTTGTTCCTATCCGCCTTGAGAATGACGAAGACGCATACATCTTTAAGCCAATCCAACATATATCCGAATCCGTATTTAAAGTGGCAGTTGAACCTATCAATCCCTCCGAACTTCCAAAAATGCTAGAAGGTTTGCGAAAAATAAATAAAAGTTATCCCCTGATATCTACTAAGGTAGAGGAGTCGGGTGAACACATAGTTCTCGGGACAGGTGAACTATATATGGACTGTGTACTTCACGATCTTCGTCGCTTGTACGCCGAAATGGAGCTAAAGGTTTCAGACCCTGTCACTAGATTCTGTGAGACTGTTGTCGAAACCTCTGCTATCATGTGTTATGCAATGACGCCGAACAAGAAGAATAAAATTACCATGGTAGCAGAGCCACTGGACGACGGAATCGCTGAGGACATAGAAGCTGGACATGTTCTTATACGCGACCCTGCGAGGAAAGTTGCTAAGTTCTTCGAGGATAAATATGATTGGGATAAATTAGCCGCTCGAAGTATCTGGGCGTTTGGCCCCGATGATATGGGACCTAACATTCTTCAAGATGACACCTTGCCATCACAAGTTGATAAGAAGCTCCTTGGGACTGTAAGGGACTCTATTCGGCAGGGGTTTAGCTGGGGTACTCGTGAAGGACCTCTGTGCGAAGAGCGTGAGTTAATCATTGACTATGGCTTTTATTTCACTCTTTTATTGACACCATTTACTTAGCTATCCGAAATTCCAAATTTCGCCTTACGGACGTAACACTGGCAGATCAAGCAATTTTTCGAGGAGGCGGCCAAATTATTCCCACTGCACGACGTGCCATTTACTCCTCATTCCTCATGGCATCCCCACGCCTAATGGAGCCCATATACACGTGTTCGATGATTGGCCCGGCGGACTCCGTTGCTGCCATATATACTGTACTATCCCGTCGTCGCGGCCATGTCCTAACTGATGGACCTATCGCAGGGACGCCCCTGTATTCGGTTCGTGGGTTAATACCTGTCATCGACTCTTTTGGCTTCGAATCAGACCTCAGGATTCATACACAGGGCCAAGCAACAGTATCACTGGTATTTGACAAATGGAGCGTTGTTCCCGGCGACCCTCTTGACCGGGACGTGAAATTGAGACCCTTAGAGATGGCGAGTGCGATGGCTACCGCTAGAGATTTTGTCCTCAAAACAAGGCGGCGTAAGGGACTCGCAGAGGATGTTACCGTTAGTAAATTTTTAGAGCCAGAGCTGTGGAAGGGATTAAAGGAGAGTGGAGTATTAGGGGAAGGATAACTTATGACTTGAAAAGCAAACATGTTTTCTTCTCATTTATGATATCCGGAGTTTGAGTATTTTGTCTGTAAATGATTAAAAATAGACATGTACTAATAGTCTCACTGCTTATCTGATTAATAACTAGTAGACTGACGATAGGTGTCCAACATTTTCATCAATATAAACGCCCGTGTGCATATAGGTACTCCGTACATGCATACGAATATGCAAGCCCAATGCAAATTTCCCTGCCAAAACCACTGAGTATCCAACTCCATTTCAAAAAGAGCTTCATTTACAAGTCTCCAGCATCTTTTCAATCATGTTCATCAAGCTCGCATTCTCCGCTGCCGCAGCGACTCTTTCTTTATCCCCTAATTGCTTATTCGCCTCCTCTACTGCATTATATGTACCCTCTTTGATCCGTACGTCAAGCCTAAAGCGGGGCGGTAAGCTTCGCTCCAGCCGGACACGGATACCCAAGCCGATGACAGTTGCAAGGCTACAATGAGTAATAGTGGGTGTAACTAGCACAGTTACTTTTCGGAGGGGCGAAGCAGGATTTTCCGGGAGGGCTGAAGTAATAGAGATATCTGGAAGGGAGACGACAGCTAGTTCTCCTAGTGATATAGGGTGTTCAGGGTCGGATATTGTGGATATTAAGTCTGAAAATCTCTCAATGAGTACTTCGACACCCACATGAGCGTGGCGGACACGAACCGTAAATTTCTTGCTCGTCAATCGGCTCTTCTAGTTCATCTTCACTAGGAATCTCAGTATCCGATTTCTCAAGATATGTATCAAACGGGTCATTTTTCCATGGCTCTCCCGATAGGTCACTGCTCGCAAAAATAGTCCCCTCGTATGGATCTGGCTCGCGAGATGAAGAGACGGTCTTCTTTATAGGCTGACGCGTTGGTAAATCCGCAGAGCGGATAATTGTGGGATTGAGATTTTGTAATGGGGCGGACATGTTGACGTAAATCTTTGCCCAGATGTTTCTAGTAGGTCCTGTCCGTCACATTCACAAACAAAGCAAACAACGAAGTGCCGAGATCATGTATTAGGTGCTTTGTTTGTAAAAGGCCCTATTCAGCAGTCTTGTGTTTATACGAACAGCCAGCATTGTGTCGTTTCATCTAGATAGGAAGAAGTGAGAGAGGGGCTTATCTAAGCGCGCCTAGCTAACGACGTCACAGATACGGTCACAGCGATACAGGAGTGGCGGCTCGTGTACTCCGTACCGGACGTTAGTTCGAACATGGCTAGATCAAACCCTATTTCATCTTAACCAATGCGCTGAGTAAGCAACATCCTCTCGACGTTCAGCAAGCCGAGCTGGCTCACTCATTGCTCACTCATGGCTTCAGTTGACTCTGACTGACCCCTTCCAGATTGCTGTACTGCAGGGAGTTTTAGGGGATATTTTGCGCATATTCGTCCGTATCTTCTTAAGACAGAATTACCACTGCTAGTTGCCGTACAATGTCATTCCATCTACCCCCAAATGTTTGCGGAATATGCTCCGTAAAATAACCCCCTCCCATCACAGGATTACGACACAAGGGGGTTTGGTCAATTTTGATCCGGCCCTTATATCCTTGTTCTAAAGCTATCTAGGCCTGAACAGCCTGTTTCAAAATTTTCTTTATTCTGTTTGCTCTCATCTGTGTTGAGCACGCTGAAACATGATAGCTTGTGTTGGATGGGTTGAAGTTTTTGTGATATGGTGTTTTGGAGTGCAGCACAATGGTTTTGTTTTGCATAAACCTCTCATTATACACTTTCTGTCATATTTGCTGCTTTCCTGTTTCAGCTTTGTATCAAAGTGTGAGATGAGCAGGGTCTTCAGTTCGCTCCATAAAACCTGTGCATTTTTCTGATCATATAGATTTCTATCAACACCACACACCTTGAAACACGGGTTAAAAATTATTGTCCCGAGTGATCGGCTCTATATTGATTCTGTGTATGTGCCTGGGAGCCATACCCTCAAAGCTATCTATTGCCTGTGCTTCAAACTCTTTTCTTCCCAAGTAATGACTATTTCCTGAGACTTTGTTACGACAATCCAGGCCCAGCTATGGTCTTTATATTCATTTTCCTTGTGGCTCTATGGGTGAGTATAGGTTAAAGTTACGGCTTTTACTGAGCAACAAAAGTTGAAGCCACTTCCTTTTGTGATTTTCCAGTTTCATCCTTTTATTTTGTGGCACTGCCCCTGGCCTTGAACCTGGATTCTTTTATTCCGGAACTTCTCACTGATGTCACTAATTCTCAGCATGTTGTTGCACCATCTACGGAGATATTAAAGCAAGGGTGAGAATACTAGATGTTGGCATTGTATAGAGAAGATGACACGGCACCAAGAGCACAGCCAGGCGAAACGAGGCCGCTGTAACAGATGACATGATCCTCAAGGAAGCATAAATGACCAGCTCGTACCGTTAGATCACGTTAATTGTGGGCGTATGACGAAACCGTGGAGCTAGTTAGGAAGAAAATGAGAAAAAAACAGAAAAAGATAAGAAAATCAGGCCAAAGTTGGCAGGCCAAACCACCGAGCACGGACTGTTGATGTTGTCTCTAAACAAAAGTCCCCCATTTTTTCCTGAGTGTCCAGAAATGAATACGTTGGTGGTAGTGGGGATTCACTCGAAAACCAGATCAGCAGCGAAATACCCGAAAACAATAAGGCTATAACTTTCGCTTGCCGGGCGCCTTGAGCTAACTAGTCTTTGACATGGTGGGTCTAACTTATCCTTGAATTCCTTGTCTCGTTTGGTGATATCTGATACTGTAGTCTTTTGTAATACCATAAGAGTATTTCTAAGCCAGGGCCACTCTAAAGCCGATGCACTCAAGGCACACTCTAAGATACTTGTTCGCAGTGGAGCGGGGGAATCGACTTTATCGCCCCAAACTTCGCCTACGAGCATGAACCTTGCTTCTAGATGAGGGTAAGAGGATTTAGAATATCAATTTTGGGCACTCGTTAAGGCCTGTTCCGTATCTGCACGGAATAGAATATATTCCTACCTACACCGACTGGACCCAGGAACGGCGACGAAAACGGGGGCTAAGATGGGTTTGTTTAACAGCTGGGATACGACTGTTTAGCGTCAACTAGCAAATCAACGATATGGCCTTTTGAAAAGGCTGCTAAGCGCCGCCCTCTGTTCCCCGACCCACCCAATGAAATGCAGGTCAAGGAGATCCTCACAGGCCGGCGAATCACGCTGGGGACTTGAAAGTATGTCGTAGCACACCCATGCGCAATGTTACATGTCCCCGGCGTTTTTTTCACTGAGACCCAAACAAAATGGAAACCAAAATCGCGCTTCGCAGGTTGTGGCCGGAGGCATGAGTGGCTTCACTTGGTGTCCATCCGTGATGATCCCCCTCTACCCGGTTGAAGGAGGGTAAAATCCACGACAATAACGTCTATTCACTTCAGTTAACTGGCAAGCCGGTTCCTTGCAGATACAGTATGGTGATACCGCTCGACGCGAAAATGATCCGCAGAGTAGCAGAACGCAAAATTGAAGAGCCTCGCCCCGGACGGTGGCTTGCTCTTTGTGAAGACCGTGGCGGCTGACAGCACTCGAATTATCGGGGCATGCCAATCACCATCAATGCTGTCGTACACAACCCTCTCGTGCTCTGTATACCCGCACGCAACAGGAGTCGATAACTAACTAACCTGAGACACGGCTCGCTCTTGGTCCGGAGCGGAGCTGCAAAATAACAGTCCTTTTGAAAGGCAGCCGCGTAAATGTGACGACCCCCCAACGGCTAGATGGATCGGCTGGCCTGGCGAGCTGCTGGCATCCCTGCGGGTTCCCTGTCGAGAAGTTCGCGATGTTCGTACTTCAAAAATAGTAACGCTAGGCCGGTTCGGGCAATCGTGATGTGCTGCTTCGCCCTCCTTTAGCGAGTCCAGCTTCACGCTGACCTCGAGCAGCGACAAACCGAGAAGACGCGCATGAACTCCCGAGAGACCAATTGCCATTCTCACCTCCTATGGTTGGCCCCTCAAAACGGGCGGCTGTCCCTATTTTCGCCTGCTTCACTGCCTCCAAACCAATGATGCTCGCCCCTTGCCAGTTAGCATGCTGGGGCCAATGATGCCGTGCAGAATACACAGAAAAAGCAGTGATCACTCTAGTGCACCAACTTACGTCTGCTCAACTTGCGCACTGCATGTATCAATTGGCAACTGGTGCTTCTGTTCCTGCTTTGCACGCGCATCGATGGCCGGTTTGATACACCCCTCTTTGAGCCTCTTTCTCCCACCTCTCTCTAATATCAACCCGCGGCCCCCAAGCCGCTCAGTTGTGACTATATTCACGGCAACTCAGGTGCTTCTATAACAGTAATGGCTGTGTTGGCTCGTCCGGTACCCCACTCCTTCACTTCTCTACGAGCTGGCCTTTTCTCCGGCCCCCTGGATCCGTTTCAGTTGGCTTTTGGTCAGATATATATTGTTTCATGCGGCTGTCTACGTTATATTCCCTGCTATTCACCGGGGCCGTAGCACTCAGGGTCTGGGCTTTGTGGCAGCATTCACGTCACCCCCAAAAGTGGGATTTCATGTCTCCGGGCTACGGGTCCTAACGACTCCACTTTTGCCAGACCTTCCTACTTTCTTCTATATTTCATCTTCTTTAATGAGCGCATTTATATAACTTTCTCTTTCCCCCCGCGCCTAGCTTCACCTTGCTCGCAGCCCAGATAACCGGCTTTCTTTTCTTAACACACCACTCTCTTGAGGCCAGTTTTAGGAATTTGTTTTCATCTCAACTTAACCTTCTTTTTAACTGTTTTCTCGTTTTTCATTTTAAACCACGTTTTTTTGCGTCTCTCAGAGGTCTGGATGCTGTTCTTCTCATTCGGCCTCGATTCGATACTCCTGGAGCGGCATATATCAGTGTGTCCTTTCCCCCATTTATTTTAAAAATAAATGCAACCCATCAGTCTTGACAAGGGAGAGATGCCCTCCAGGGAAGGGCTTAAAAGTACATGCCACCATTCCTTGCTTCTACATTTCAGATGAATGATTCAAAATAGAATTCTGACTGTGACTTCAAGGCTATGTTTTTGTTGATGAACATAATAGACATAAACGCCTGAAAGGTATATATATACTGCTCTTTCCTATTCTAGTGCATATTTGTAGCTAACTTGATCCAGTGACAAGGGCTTGTAGTGGCTGCCGCAAACGAAAGATTAAGTGTGACTCAGCGACTAGTAATATCTGGCCCTGTGCGGCGTGCACTAGGCTGAAGCTCGTATGTGTACCGCCTAACTGGAGCAATTATTCGGAGGATTCTCGATATGGCCAAGAGACGGAACCATTCCGATCTTTTCCTGAGATGTCATGCCTCCATAATGCTCAGCAGCAAAATTCTGCCTTTCAGAATGATCTAGAGGAGTTTGCTTTTGACCCTTCCGTTGTAAATATACCGAGGCGTCCGGCCACAACCAGCACCAGCAGCAATCAGCTACTGCAACCGCAGCCTTACTTAGGTCATTTGGAAAACCAGAATCTATTTATTTCACAAATCCCCGTATTATCCGCCCACAATGGCCTATTGCAACCTCCTTTCAAATATCGCCCGCGTGATATCAACTTTGAAAACTGCCCATCTCTTGATACCAATCTCCCTAGACCTACCACTTTTACGGACTCTACATTTATCTCTACACCTTCGCCTTCAATGCGGTCCTTTTCCTCTAGCCCTGTATTGCAACAAGAAGGAACTTCTCTAAATCCTGAGTTGTCTATGATACAAAGCTTGGATGAACTATTTGGCCCCCTAAAGATCGAGATAAATGGAATTGGTGAGCCCAATTTTTACATAATGTGCCTCAACCCATTACTAATAGTTAACCAGCGCCGTATATCCGGCAGCAGACAAGCTTGGAATACTTGCCTACTCCTGTAATACCATGTACAGCAGAAAATACTCTGCCAGCAGCATATACTGATTTAAGCAGCCCCCTCACCATACCCGAAGACCTAATGCCATGCGAACAGGATGCTATAGAATATTTCGACTTGTTTTTTGACCATGTTCATCCATATATCCCAGTCATCCATCGCGCTCGCTTTTATGAGCAATGGAATGCCGATAAAAATAGCGTATCTCCCCTTTTGCTAGAAGCAGTATTTGCTTGTGCTGGAATGATCTGTGGGGATCCTGCCATTGGGATGCGATGGCTCAACCTGGCAAACGGTAGGCCTTGCATGTTATCTTACCACCCCTATCTTTTCTAACAGTATATTCAGTACACGAGTCGGCATTTTTAGAAGCTCCGAGGCTTAGTACTATTCAAGCATTATTGCTGCTTCTAAAGGCGCGAGAAGTTGCGCCAAAAAATGGCTACTACTACAGATCGTGGCAACTAGTGAAAACCATGATTTCGATGGCCAAGGACCTCAATATTCATGAGCATTATAGCTACCATGCTGACGGCAAGAATTGCGGCATGGAATCTACAGAGTGTCTAATCAAATCCAGAGTATGGCAGACCTTACTTATCACTGAAGTATTGATTGGTGTACCACAAGGTCAGGAAACAGCCGCATCTCACACTTTATATGATTTTTAACTCTGTTGTTAACATTTATACTAGGACTCAAGGATTTCGGGGTAGATATAGAAACGGTAGAAGCTAGAACCTCATGGAACATTTCCGGCCTCGATGCGTATGAAACGGAAAGATCTCGACAATATTCTTACTTTGTTCGCATTGCGTTGAATATTCGCAGATTTGCGGATAGTTATAATCAAACTAAAAAGCAACACAACTGGGCCAAAGACCCTCGTTTCACGAAAAATAATAACTTACTTGACCAGTGGCTTACTGACTTGCCAGCGGACCTTCAAGTTTCTCTGCCGTCAGCAAATTCTTCTCCCTGGCTATCATCCCATTTTATGGGTAACCTGAATATCTGTTTTCATCTCAATGTCATTTTACAATACCGGCCACAGCTTGAAGATTCAGCATATGACCAGTCGGATGGTATGTGGAAGGCTCGCATGGATCGAAGTCTTTCTTCAGCAAAGACCATTTACCATCTTCAGGAAGCAATAGTCTCATCTTATGGGCTGCATGGTTTATGTTATATGCAAAGAGGCATCCGATTTACTGTATACTGCACGCTGACTTGTCTCACAGTATACCTGGTATGCTTCTTCTCCCTGCTGTTGCTATCGATTTTTATTAACCCATACCACAGAAAGCTCTAACTTTCACCGAGTCTCACCTTGATATCGATGCAAAGTTATATTTCTCACGACACATGCGGCTTCTTGAGCAGTGTAACGAGGAGTGGTCCCTACCTGAAATCCAGGCTTCGTTGTATACTGTTCGAGCAGCATTGTCTGCAAATATCAATATGCCTTTCGACTTGAACTCGTTTATCTTTCCATTTGACTTTGATTCACATAATTCAACCCAAGTGGCTCAACCCATACCTCAAAACACCCCAAATCGTGCACTTCAGAGCCCAGACACTATAAACGATGCCACTGCCTCTCCAGTCTTACTCTCGACAAGGACAGAAATAATACCCACGACTCCTTTGCCAATGATTTTTGAAATGCTGCCATGTGATACAGCCATCAGTTCCTCCATTGGCATTCATTTAGAAGACGGACTTGGGATTTGGGACCCAACCCGACTTGTCACGTAAGTTTTAATATATCAGCTAATTCTCTACGACCGCATTTGCTAATTATTTCCTCCAGGCAAACGGACCTTGAACTCTCTTCAGGAGCGTTATTAAGCCCAGCCTCATCTCCAGCCTCTGTGGTAACACCAAATCGAAACGCAGGGGATTATAATTTTCCTATTCAATTCGACATGATCACCTCTCCCTTCCAAAAGGACTGTCCCTATTACACATTCGATTTCGAAGCATCAGCTACATCTAGGGGTATACAGGATTGGAATGGCGAGATAAGCGGTATCTATTCTGTTCCAGGGTTAAAGAGGAAATGGGATGAGGTAGAGAGTTTTTTTGAAGGACAGATTACAACGACAAAAATATAATAAAGCGCTGGCCGCCCAAACTATTTCTTCTGCCCAAATAATAGGTCAGCTGCTATGATATTATGACCTTGCCTTCTTGGCCCATTTGTTTATGTGTTGTATGAAAAGTTACGGAGCTACCCCTTGGATATTAGCTGAGCAGCTAATGTATAAGGCGAGCAGGTGTAAAGTGCTGATTTGGGGCGTTGATAAAATGTATCATTGCTCGAGGTTGAATCTATTCCGAATCTATATTGTCTTGGCATATTTCAGTGTTAAGCGGACATTTGACATCATATAACATGTCCATGTTGTGCATATGGTAGTAAAAATGTATAATTCATGCGACCCAACAAGATACCCATAGCATGTCAAAGCCAAGAGAATATTTAATGGAGTTTCACAACAAGATACAGAAGTAGCTAAACCCATATAACCACTGTAGGATTTTGTTGCATCTTTCTCGTGTTGCTGATTTATCGGCTGTTCAGCTCCATTCAGTATGCAAGGTCGAATTCATAGATGGTTTTGAATCGGACAACCAAATGCTTGTGCAAAGCGCCAAGAGCAAGATATGGTAGCCAAATCGGTCTCATATCCAACATTAAAAGGCGAAGGTCATTATATTTGGAGCAGTATTTCAAATGTACGAAACGTATGGCATTTTACCGTCTAGCCTCTTCGCGTCACGCCAATCCTGTCATCTCGGCTCCTGATGATTCTCGCCTTATCGCCTGGTAAAGGTTTTAATTCGTCGTTTGGATCAACAGCTCCAGATTTGTTTTCACTGCTAGCGCCAGTATTTTGTTGCCCTTGTTGCAATTTTTGCTGCTCTTTTTGTCGAAGTAACCGGGATTCTTCAAAAGAGATTATGTCTTCCGTTGTGATGGTGATAACAGTCGGCTTGCGGCGAATCATCCTTGTTGAGTTCTCTGCTTTCTAAGGATCTTTTTGGCACGTGTTATTTATTTTTTTTGAAAGGCGAATGCGAATGCGGTGTTGTATGATCAGAGCCTGGGATGCTTAAAGTCGAAATCGTTGCGGGGAGTACGGAGTACTTCGCACCTTTCTTCAGACTGTTGTTGCTGACTAACAAGCTTCGATCTCATAACTAGTCACGTGGATGGCCATCAGCCAGAATTTCGATTTTGAAGAACAGAAACCAGCGAACATCAGGTCCCGTCCAACACCAGCCTAATCAGGACTCATATATTGGACTTTTCATCGGCTGTTGCAATGACTGCCAGCCTAGCACCTCGGTGCTACGCGGCCTCTTCGTACCAATTTAGAATCAGGACATTAGCCATTGCGCGCGAGTTTTCTTCAACATGCGGAAGATGGGATGACTCTACTCGTGGTATGCATGTTTTAATAGTCGGGGACTTTAAAAAATGTATGCCTATGAAGCTAATTACTTTACAACAGACCCTCCGAAACGTCCATCGAATGCTCATTTTGATCGCCCCTTTCGTCGCCAACAACAAGCAAACTCGCCTTCACGACCCTCTTCATCTCCTCATTCCAAAGATTTCACGTTCCGCTCTTTTAAGCCTGGGTCTTCTCCCGGTATAGATGCCCGTTCGCTTGGTGCAAACCCAGGCAGCTCAGACAATAATGGCAACCCTCGTATGTCTCTCTCAATCAGGAGAGTCCCCCATGGAGGCGGACCGAATAGTAGCCTACGCAGTGGGAACCAAAAAATTTTATCAGCAGCGAATTCATCATTACGTTTGCGGCGGAATCCGGCCGGATCAAAGCGCCGTTCACCACAAGCAAAGCTTCGCCGCCCTATTAAAAAGGCGACTGTATTCGAACAAGATTCCTTCGAAGACGACGATAGATTACCCGAGGGTGATATTATTGGGTACGAAAATGAACTGCTTCAAAAAAAATACAAAAAACCTGAGCAGTATACCCCTACTGTGTATACTGTGGAAAAATTAAAGGACACATGGCCGGCTCTTCCAATAGGCCAAGGGGATAATTTGGTCGCTAATTCCGTAAATGTTATGGACAAGTTGAATTGGCTGGGGGCTCGGTATCTTGGGTCCTATGAGACCCCACAAGAGCTGGCGAAACGAATGATGGATGGGAAGAGAGTGTACTTCAAGAGTGACGATGAGAAGGCGGAGGTGTTGGATATTGTGAAAGAAATGGCGACTAAGAGAACTGAAGAAATGACCGAGCGAAAGGGAACAATTGTTCCACCTCAAGAGGCTGGTTTCGAGGCTGTCACCGATAAAGAGACGGAATCGCTCGTCACTACCTTGGTTAAAGGAAGATATGACCGACCTCTGGTGGACAAGCAAAAAGCAGGACCCTCCCCCCTTGTGGCAGATGTGCTGAGACAGTTGACAAACAATGGCACTTATCAAAATGTGCATGCCGAAAAGTTCTTGACCAAATTTTTGGATCACCTGCCTGCCAATTTGAAAAATAAGACGCAAAAGGCGATTTAAAAGGGCTTTTCCTCAGGGACAGCCATGTACCATAGAAACTTGTATAGGGTATTTCATCTGCTTACGTCCATGGCATGGGAGCGTTTTTAAATGCTCAATTCTCTTTGTAACGTAAATTGGAGTAGAATATATGGTGTGTAAATAGCCTCGACGCGAATCTAGTTTAAAAATATTGCGACTCGAATTTACTCTCGCTCGAATGCTTGTCTGGCATTCTCGAATGCATTCTTGACCTCCTTCTGGCCCCTTTCTGTCATCTTTTCCATCTGCTCCAATGCTTTGTGCAGGTCATCGGGCCTGATAGTTTTATTGGATCCCATTGCCTTTAGTTTTTTCTGAATGCTTGCTCGAGCGTCTTTGACTGCCTTACCAGCCTTCTCAAAGTCAAGCTTAGCGGCCTTTAGGGCTTCGTCGCGCGACTCACGTGTTGGCGGCGGAATTGGGAGGTTGAGCTGGAGTTTATTACGCGAATCTGGTTGCGGGTTTAGAGACAGAGATGGGGCAGCCTGAAGAGCGGATGTGATAGGTTTAGTGTACTATTTTGGATAAACCTGTGAGCATTAAAGATAGCAGCATGAAGGGAGCGTTAAAAATAAAACGTACGTCTTCCGCGCCCACGATGATGGTAATCATCCTCCCTTTTGGAATAACTTGCGCCAGGTCTTTTAGTTTCACTATTTGCTTGTGCTTCTCCTGACCCGAAGTCGACCTCAGTGTCACCCGTACATTCTCAATGATCTCCGGATTGAGCCGTCCGCGAGACTGAAGCTTAGCCAAATCTTCTTGCAGTCGAAGAACCGCACGTTGTATACCATCTGATAGGGGCGAGAAGTCGAACGGGTCTGCAACGGCAGCAGGTTCGGCCTGCGCCGATTTCCCTTTGTTCTTTTTGAGGAGTGCTGGTGTTGTGGAAAAGTAGTGTGAGCTCTTCACGGCGTACAATGACGAGACACTACTCGTCCTGCCGAGCTGGTTTGAAAAGGCAAATGCGGTGCTCCGGGCGCCATTGTAGCCAAACGTGCGAGCCTGGTGATGGCATATAGCCTGTGTGGCTCTAGCATAGGGTATTCTAAACGGCGGCGACATAATGGAGTGTGTGATATAGAGACTGCGGTTGGCGAGGACGAAGCAACAGCAAAGCTCCAGAGCTAAAATCTCGGCGTTGCCAAGTCCGCTGGCTGCGTGAAATCTCGATCGAGCTTTATCTCTAGCAGCTTAGTGACAAATGATAGTCAAATTATAGTCTACATCCAGCATCGGGTAAAATTCAGAAATCGGTGTGCGATTGGCAGCTAGAAGAGCGGACGATAGCTACGTAGCCATTACCTACAGCGCTAGATCCGACATCTCAGATTGACAAAACAGCAAAACAGGAAAACACCGAAGCAACGCAAACAGAAAAAAGCACATATCCCCTTTTAAAAGCCCGTAAAAAAGTCATGCAAGAAACATTAAAAGAAGTCACCATCCAATTCTTATATTGGGGTTCGAGTTCGTAAAAAAACGCTTAACTTTGTCGTCCACATATGCAATTCTTGCTGAGAACGGCAAGGCATTCTTTCATACTTTTTTTTATCCTTTATCCTTTTGGCTTTCTTAGCTGGATATCACAAGAGTCCTGCGACAGGTTTATCGAGTAGCCATGGCCTTTGTGATAAGCCTCTTCAGGGCAAGTTCTTTCTTCTTGAGGTCTTCGGGCGAAGACTCCTCAATTTCAAGCTGTGCCATGGCGTCGCTGAGGGCAGACTCGATCTTGTCCTTGGCTCCGCGCTTGATCTTGAGGGACATCGATGGGTCGGAGATGATTTCTTCAACGCGGCTAATGTACGACTCGAGCTGCTGGCGAGACTCGAATCTTTTGCTGAAAGCCTCGTCGGAGGACTTGAATTTCGCGGCTTCTATGGGGAAATTAGTTATCATATCAAATATAGGATAATAAGGGAAACTTGCCGCTAATCATGTTTTCAATCTCAGTACTGGACAGCTTGCCAACAGCATTAGAGATAGTAATGTTGGCACTACGGCCAGAGGACTTCTCAGTAGCAGTGACCTTCAAGATACCGTTGACATCAACTTCAAAAACAACTTCCAAAGCAGCGTCACCAGCCTTCATTGGTGGGATAGGAGAAAGCGTGAATTCACCCAACGAAGTGTTGTCTTCACAGTTTGTCCGCTCACCCTGGTAGACAGGGAACTGGACAGTGGTTTGGTTGTCAACAACAGTTGTGAAAGTTCGTTTCTTGATGGTTGGAACAGTCTGGCCACGGGCAACAACAGGAGCAAAAATGTTACCCTCCATGGCAACACCAAGGGAGAGAGGAACGACATCCAAAAGTAGTAGATCCTGAGTATCAGCGGATGTGGCCTGGCCAGAAAGAATACCAGCCTGGACAGCAGCACCATAGGCGACAGCTTCATCGGGGTTAATGCTCTATATCAATTGTTAATAAGAATCGTAGTGATAGATGGAAGTACCATATGTTTACCTTTTCAAGCTTCTTGCCATCAAAGAAATCACTCAGCAGTTTCTGGATACGGGGAATACGAGTGGAGCCACCAACAAGGACAATCTCATCAACCTGAGCCTTATCCAAAGCAGCATCCTTCAAGACTTGCTGGACGGGCTCCAAAGTACCGGCGAAAGCCTTGGCGTTAAGGTCCTCGAAACGAGCGCGGGTGATTTGAGAAGCAAAATCCTCTCCATCGAAGAGGGAATCAATCTCAACCATGGTTTGAGTTGCGTTAGAAAGGGTGCGCTTGGCACGCTCGCAAGCAGTTCGGAGGCGGCGGAGGGCACGGGCATCACCAGAAAGATCCTTCTTGGTCTTGCGCTGGAATTCTTTCTTGAAATGATCAAGGAGGTTGGTATCGAAATCCTGACCACCAAGATGAGTATCACCAGCAGTAGCCTTGACAGTGAAGACGCCACCCTGAATGTTGAGGAGGGAAACATCGAAGGTACCACCACCCAAATCGTAGATGAGAACATTCCGTTCCTTGTCGGATTTCCCGGAGCCCAATCCATAGGCAATGGCAGCAGCAGTAGGCTCGTTAATAATACGGAGAACGTTCAGTCCAGCGATGGCACCGGCATCTTTTGTGGCCTGACGTTGGTTGTCGTTGAAATAGGCTGGAACAGTAATAACAGCCTTGGAGACCTTTTTTCCAAGCTTGGTCTCGGCAACCTCCTTCATCTATAAGGCCAGGAGAGTAAGACATATATTCAATATTCAAAAGAGTAAGCTAGGGGGTATTTGGGTAAATACCTTCACGAGAACCATAGAGGAGATTTCCTGGGGCGAGAAAGTCTTGTCCTCACCAAGATAGCGAACCTCAACCATGGGGTTGCCGCCCTGGTCAACGACCTTGAAGGGCCATGATTCGACATCCTTCTTGACAACGGGGTCATCGAACCTTCGTCCAATGAGACGCCTTTTCAACTATTAGCCTCAGTCCTCTCTGGGAGTGCGGAGTTGCTAGAAGAACTCACTTGATATCGAAGATGGTGTTCTCAGGGTTCATGGCAGCTTGATTCTTCGCTGCCTCACCAATCAAACGCTCCTCGTCGCTGAACGAGACGAAGGACGGAGTTGTGAAGTTACCCTGCTCGTTAGCAATGATCTCGACATTAGTGCCTTCATAGTTGGCAACACATGAGTAGGTTGTGCCTAGAAACCAAACAGTCAGTTTCTCGTGTATGATCGTCTAGTTGGGCTAGTAATGCAGCGGCGTTATATGCGACTCACCAAGATCAATGCCAATGGCGCCCTCATAGACTTCGGTAGACATTTTGGAGGAAATAATAGAGAAAACTCGATGATCCTCAAGCGAAAGTCACACAGCAGAAAGGACTTTTGAAAGGTCAAAAGCGAAAGGGCGGAGTACCAGGTCGCAAGCACTGAGAGCACTGGAAACGAGAGTATGAATACTCTACGGAGTGAATGAAAAAGACGTCCTGTGGGGGGAAGCGAGAGTTGAAGCGCTCGACTTCGCGGGTTTTGTATTTCAAAAAAAATTTCAGGCGAATCGTTCAGAAAACTCTAACGCCGCCAGTAATTTTGACATTTTCACGTATCGTTACCGTGGGCCCCAATGTCCACTAGGCTTCTTTAGGACTAGCTACGGGTCACCTGATATCGCCTCGTCGCCTCAATTTGTTGTGATGGCGAAGTAAACAACAGATCACGGCGTGGGAGAGGAAGACTAGACCTGGATACAAGTACAGTGGGTACATAAATAGGATCTATCGGTAAAAAAGCAATCCGTGCCGCTCGCCAACTCCCAAGTCCGTTCCGTCCATGCCGCTGAAATCAGACTCAAGTTGGACCTCTGGAACTCCCTTTTGACTGCCATGAAACCTCTCGAAACATACCAAAATCCCTACAACTCTGAGTCTGGCTTCTCCGAGCAACCCATAGGTAATACCATAAAGCTAAGCTTTAGGCATGCATGACATGAAGGAAAAGGGTGAATGCCTCGTATTCAACATTGGGGCCGTTGGGCAATGCTAAATTTGCAAGTCCTCTGCCAGGCGCCGCGTACATTTCGATGTCAATCTTTGTAATTCCTGGTCCTAGCCTGAGTTCATACTTGGGAACTGTGAAATCTGCAGACCGTATTGGAGAACCAGTGGCATGTATTTTTTGATTTCCGACGGTAACTGTCAGCTGAGTTTGTCGTTCAAGACTGCTTGACACCACGGTAGGCTTAATAAATAGGTGATTGTGAGAAAATGGAACACTGAGAGTGACTGATTGTCGTGGGCTGATTGAAGCTGAAGGAATTTCTATGTTAAAGCCCAATCTTTCCTCCGAGTGTACATTGACATGGGTGATTAATCTGGAGCGGGGCACCACTATTACAAGTAAATACTCAAGTCAATCACATAAAGTACTTCGGGACTGCATACCATATTTCTTTGGAGGAAAAGCGTTGGCAGCTATTGGCAATCGGGCAGCAGCTTGTCGCGGAGGGAGAATTTTTCGGGGGGTGGTTATGGGAGTAGTTTGGCCTGGAGTGATGGAATTCGGGGAACCGTTCGCCAAAGTGTTCAAAGCAGCGGGAGCTGGTGCAGTTCCATTTGGTTGTCTGTTATATATATTTACGTTTGGAGCCATACCTCTAGGAGGCTGGCTAGGTGGACCTTCGATCTTAGCTCTTGGAGGGGATGCTGCCATTGGGGTACCTTGAGACGGAGTCTGTGTTTTAGAGAGGGGTGGAGCTCTCTCACGCAATGTTCTAGTAGAAGTATTTGGTTGGATTGGCGTTTCCCTACTACCAGAGCCAGCCCTGACGAGCTCCTGCTGTCTCTTGAGCGATTCGCCATCAACAGTGAAGCCAGCCTTTTGTTTTTCACTTGCACTATCTCCTGACCTACCAGGAAATTTTAACATGAGTTTTTGTGAATTTGCATCTGAGGTCTTCGCATTTCCGACTCTGAGTTTGATGCTAGGAGGGGCTGGCTCGGGCACCACCCTCCGGGCCTCTTCAAGTCGCTCCTTAAAATGGCTCTGTGCTCCAGGCATTAGCAATTATATTACAGACTCTGGGGTATACTACCTCTAGTTCCCCAGCTAATTCAACTATTGCACTTCCTTCCACATTGAATTCTCTCGTATTCCGCCAGATATAGCTAACTTCCTCAGCAAAGGCATCCCAAGTGCGGTATGGCGACATCGTAGTCGAATCCTTTCTCCCCTCCGCTCCACGAATACGCCTAAGCACAGTCCATAGAGACGTTGGATGCTTGATAATATCGTAATATTCTTTGTATAGTCCGCGGTCGGGCTTGCTTAAGAAAGGTTGGAACACCTCTACGCCACTAAAGAAGAATAGTGAGTACTCTGCCAGGTGGAGGTACCGATCAACATACTCTTCATCCTTGAGGCGAATCATTTCGGATATAATCCTTTCTTGCGCTTTTTTGAAAGAATCCCCTTTGAAGTCCGCACTGCCGCTGTCGGCGAAATCAATCTCACGGTCCGTTGTTGGTGTTCGATGACTATGGCGCCGGCCGTTGGTACGAGGACCAGCATCACTGTTATCATTCCGAGGCTGGGATTGTCTGCGTGATGACTGAGGAGACTGGACTTCTTCCTCATCTTCGTCGTCATCTGGCAAGGGGGCGGCAAAGGGCGTATAATTTTCATCCTTGTACGCAGGATTTATCTTGATCATCACAGCTGATACAATTTTGCGTATTCTTTCTGCATTTGAAAACAGAGACGATCCTTTTGTATTGTAAGCCTTTGCGTTGGTAACCATTCGGCGAAGGTCAGCCTCAAGAAGAGTGAGGCAGGGATATTCATGATTTTGAAGTTTTTGCTACATAAAACAGAATATTTGTGAGTCACGGCATAGCAGGAATGACTATGAGGATGCGCAGAAGAATTATTTGCTCGGATAGGCGGGCACAGTTCTCACCTCAATTGTGTCTAGTGCAAGCGGGAGTTTGATGGCTTGAAAATAGTCTGGATACTCATTCTATACAAGAAAAAAAAGTCAGTAAAAAATTCCGAAGCTACCAGTAGTATTTAAGGTCGGCTGATAGTTTAGATAGAATACTTCTGGCGGGACGCATACTCGATCGGGAAGATGTAGAAACTCCGGCGCAACTAGATTTTGACTATTTAACAGGCATCGCGTGATTAGTTACTGCAGGAATACTTTTCACACAAGATTTTCAAAATGACTGACTGTTTATCTTTGGCGTCTTTGATCCTGTGAATCAATTCAAGGCCTGCTTTTGTTGTTCCTTCAGGTGTTTCGTTCGTTTCGGGTATGTAGGACTGTATCTGGCAGTGACCGCGAACATTAGCCAACAAGCTTGATGGAAAGTCAGGCGACGCAATGCCAGGGATAAAAATTCTTTGCGGCAGTTCTGACACAAACCACAGCGCGCAGTGATGGGTCATACAAGCACATGTACAGCAGAGGCTGACGACTTTCCAGGGCAGCTAGCAAGCTCTAAGCATGGCGGCCGGGTTGCTAAACCCAAGCATGATCCACCCCATGAGCGAATCGGCCATTGTTCATGGCTGTTTCACTGGCGGACAATGATGGCTCAGGGCGGCAGGCAAGGAAGGCTGAGACTTACAGTGACTCTGCGCCGCTTGGGCAGTCTCGCGACGACAGGCTCCTGGGACTCGGCCGTGCTGGCTTGTCGTTTGGTCGGCATGGCCCTTATCACTGGCTGGAGGCGGCGAGGATCAGGGCTGGAGCTTTCGAGTAGAGTGGAAACAAAATTGGCGGCAAGGCGGCGTCAGCCACAGGGAGGTCAAATGCACAGGCGCTCTACTTCCATGTCCGAGGGCACGGTTTGGAGCATAAACACACGGTAGCTTTCGCCAGGGCTCGACGGGGCTTCTTTGCGACTGGAGCGGCTCGCGGGTTTGCGAACGCGACGGTCGGCTGCTGGATGGGGGGTGCTGTGGCGCGCGTCTGTGGCTGGTGCGAATGGCGCTTGCACAGGCCATCCGCACTGGAACTGCCGCAGAGAGTGCTGCACAGTGACTGCAATGCCAGCCAGCTCTGCGGCACCAGCCGCCTAACAGGATGTCTGCTGTGGCTTTTATTCACTGCCTGGATCTTTATTTCCTGATACTTGGGTGCTGCCTGTTCAGCATCTGATCTGTATGGATGTACTGTATGTACTGTGTACCTTTGGCTGTTTGTTGTTTATGCAAACTAGCCTATGAAACCACCTTGATTGGCTACATTGCGCCTAGAATGATAAGCACCGTGCCTGCTGGCCAATCACCTTCCCCTCACCATACAATGCAGGCTGAAACGCTTTGTATTGTTGATACCTTCACAAGCTGCCCTCATTCCTGAATTGCCGCCGCAACTGATCCTCACCTTGTCTCCTGCGTCCTCATTCCACACCAGCTGCGGTTGGGGTTCTCTAGTGTCCTAACATTTTGAAGTTGCTCATATCTTCATACAAGCCCCCCTTCTCCCTTGCCCAGGACTGAACAGGTGAGTCTGGCCTCTGTTTATCCATGAACCCCTCCCCCACGTAGACAGTTACAACCCATTGCCAACACTCCCTCTGTACACCCAAAGGTTTCTTTACGAAGCGCCTGGGCCTTTTCTATGAAGCTAATTGCATTAAACAGCCACTGCAAGCAGACGTATTGTGTTTGCCTGTCAGTCGTCCAAGCAGCGGCATACCCCACTCTAGTTTACCGATGCCGCCGATAATGGACATCGATTCCTCCCGCCGAAACAAGAGACCCCGACCTCTTTTGGACGAGGAGAAGGAAAAGTTGGTGAGTTTCATCGACAAGATACATTATTCAGCCAGGTACGGACCTGTCTACCTCGTTTCTCCCGGCATGTGATCCTAATCAAGCGAAAGATACTCCGATAACGAGTTTGAGTATCGCCATGTCCAGTTACCGAAAAACATGTTGAAAGAGATTCCTCCTGAATATTTCGACCAATCCAAGGGTACTCTTAAGCTTCTATGGGAGGAAGAGTGGCGAGGGCTGGGAATCACACAGGTACGGCACTCAACCGTCCCCAAAATTGCACTCCTCCAATCGCCTCCCTGACTTTTTCAAATTTAGAGCTTAGGATGGGAACACTACGAAGTTCACGAACCTGAACCGCACATTCTTTTATTTAAGTGAGCTTACATTCTCTGCATGCCATTGTTATGGTTGAGCTAACCTAGCTATTTGGCAGGCGCCCGATAAATTATCAACTCCCAGCTCAGTGATGATTCCACCGCCATAGCTACGACCATTCCAGGCGTTCTTGATTTATGTTTTCTGGCGTTCCAGTTTATTTGGTAATGGATTTTAATATGCTTGATTTCTTCGGCATGAGTTAGCGAGTATGATTGACATGAATAAAAGCATGTAATACACCATTTGGATGTCTTTCCAGATTACTTTGAAGCTGAATCAATACAGTGATTATTGATATCTGCTAATTCTCGCTTCGTACAATCTCAATCTTATGTGCCTTCTTGAGGAATGTTGCTTTTGAATTCTTGTTACACAATATTCTTTTTAAGCCATTCTTCCCATTGCTGTGCAGTAAAGCTGCTACTGATGGATCTCTCCTCGATACCCTTGACAAGAGTAGTTGTCAACTTTTGATTCTCAATCTCCAACATGATCCTGAAAGGGCATGCTTACATTAAAAAAGACTGTTGGAGTGACATGGACGCCTATAATTCGGTTCGACTATCTCACTATTAGTAAATTATAGCGAAGCATCGAATACAATGGAAAACCCACCTTAGTAAGAAACTTGATATCATCTGTCACTGCGTTCCCGCTGTTCAGCGACCCATCGGGTCCCGGCTTGTCACTAATCTTAAGCAACTCATATACTTTGCTTTCGTCCACTCCAGCAACCCCAGCCGCCAGTTTGGCCAATCGTTGGTAAGTCTGGTTTCTCGTTTCATTCACGGCATTTTCATCGAAATACCCCGTCTGTTCTTTGAACAATGCAGCGCTAAAATCCCAGAACTTTTCTGGAGCCAATCTCAAGACCGCCAGAGCAGCTTCTTGAGTCAAGGTTGATGAAGGATGCCATGGTTGAACTTGCGGGCGGAAGATCACGCGGAGTTTTGAGGCATATGAGTTTTCGATGACACCTACAACAGAGCCATAAAAGGTACCAAAGAGTTTGGCAGAGAACTGTTTACCCCGCCGTAAACTCGCATAATCAGTGCTTTATTTCATCTGTGATATGAGCATCTGCTCTGCACTCTTACCGGGCAGACATAGTCAAGGTCTGTTAACAATTCCTATGTATAAGCGCGCGGAATCCTGCATTATACGTTGAGAGCAGATAACGTACAGAGCTCAAGGGTATGTTTTGGGTCAGTAGCCCCATAGCGACCAAGTTGTAGACCAAAGTATTTTGGTGCCAGAGACATAGTCGTGAATTCTAAGATGTGTCGACGTTGAACCTATTATGTAGACAAGCTATTTGTTGTCGAAATGGGAGGGGCAGTTTCGGAGATAAAGTTGAGTTTTGCGAGCGGGGAAGACGTTGATATCTGGCCCGGAGCGGGCTACGTCATTTGACAACGGTTCTCAAAAAGCAAAGAGCGGGTATCCATATTGTCATGGGGAGCCTCAGGAAAGTATTATGTATGTACATGTACAATTGAACCGAATGGTTGAAGGCTGTGCTCTGTATTCTATTCAGACATCTCTCATCACACCGGCAATGGCACTCCAAATGTTGGAGCGACGTTTACGATCTAAAAATGCGAAAGTCAAGGGAAACGGCATCAAAATATGAAGAAAATGGAGAAAACAACAAAAAAAAAATTCATCTACGCTGATAAACTCCGTTAATAGATGGGTATGAGCAAAAAAGGAGGCAAAATTAGCGAAAAAGGTCCGGGTATCAACGTTTCTCATGTGGTGGAGGTGGAAAGGTCTTTTACGCTGGCGTCGAAACCAATCCACTGTCTTTCCGAAGTATTATATGCACCTTTAATGTAAATAGTGCACTGTCCCTTAGTACCCTTCAGCGCGACCAAGCCCTCGACTACAACACAATGTGGCGAGGACTGTAAGCCGACATTACCTAGGCGTTGATAGAGAGCACTGAAAACTTTTGCAGCCGCGACAAAATCAGGGTCTGGTTTCGGTATCGAATAGATGATATTTTGAAATGGTGATTGCTCTGAGCGAAGTTGCGGAGGATTTTCGACTTTCGGAAGGCTTTCCTGCAGGGAACCAGGCCGGTAGTCTTTCGGCACTTCCGGCAAACTCAGCCGTGAATCCGTATCTCTCAACCCTGAAGGGGGCGATACGTCTTGCAGATGTTCGGTCTCTCCTTGAGGACTGCCAAAAAATGACGTAAGCTTTGCCGTTTTCAGTCTCAGAAACAGCTTGCCTGCGCCAACAAGGGCCAGAAAGAGCTTCTCGGGTACTAGGATGTTTCGGAATCTCTTGCCCTCTTCAAATGGCATCATTCGTATGACCGAAGCCACACCGCCATCATCGTCAATTTCGAGCCTGGGAGTGATTATTAGTATAGGGTAACTATGGTCGTAGGAAGGGAAATCTTGGGTACCCGAGATTCACGTATTCTATCCTTGACATATTTAAGGATAATGGAAAAAACATGGTTTGGTGGATTGATATCGAACTGCCAATTAATCCCATCATCTTCGAATCCTTTGTTGCAGATTTCAGAACCATATCCGATAGCTCCCCTGGATAAAAATTAGCCTATCAAATAGGAACGACCATCTAAAATTAATAAACCTACTTCTAAGGCTTTTGGCCAGGTCCTTATCCTTTAAGAGCTTGGTCAATTGTTTTAATTCGGGATCGTCCGGTGAATATGACCGTCCCACGCAAGGGCGAGGAATGGCTAGAGGAATGAATAGCGTTAAGTCTTCCTCTTCAACACCTCCAGCATCCTCAAAATCTTCAACATCTTCATCGTGTTCATCATGTCCTTGTAGCAGCCTAACATCATGGTCATTTTGCGATGGATCAATCGCCTCTGCCTCTTCGTCTTCTTCTTCGTCGGCAAGAAAGGCCGTCAACGGTTTCCAAACTATCCTGTCCCAAGCCGTAATGGCGAGAAAATATAGGGCAAAATTAAACCAGAACCTCCTTCAAGTTCAGCTGTCAGCTAAGTTTTCATACACAGAAAAATGGAGACGGTGTATACCTCATCCAAGGTCGCTTTTTGAATTTAACTCTATGAACCTGGAGCAAACCATTTTGATAATGAAGCGGTCGATAGAGCAGTAAGGCTGATGTTGGTTGCTGTTGAAAGACCGGCCGACGGATAGGAACGGCTCGTAGGGAACGGGGAATCATTTGTATTACTGTCAAGGAAAGACGTGCATGTCGGGAAGGGGGGAAAGTGGCAGTTGAATAAATGCAAGCAAAGTGAATAAAGAGCGTCAAATGTTCGAGGTCCTAGGTCGATGAGCGAAAATGCACCGAAAACGGAGAATGCCAAAGCACGCTGCGCTCTTTCACGGGCTGATATCAAACTTTCGACTCTCCGCGCCGATGCCAAGACTCAACGCTAGTTATGTACATACGATCAACCTCGTCCCCATCAGCACTACAACTCCGCCCTCACCTCCAGCGCGCCCAGAGCTGAGCAAGCAACACCTTTAGCTACCGGTTGCGTCAGCAAAAGACCTCTTGACAGTTCCGTGCCACATTTGATCGGCCCCCCAGCGCCCAGGGGCCAGTTCCGGGACCCCGTCATTGTACCAATATGAAGCAGTGTTACTCCTACCTTACCATATGCCTGGCTGCGGCAACTACAGCTGTCGCCTCCAAAGATGCGTCGATATATATGCTCAATAACGCACCAGCTTCAGACTCGCGAACCGAGTGGCGAACAAGCCCGGACGCGGCTAAGCTGGTACTTACGCGACGGTTGGGATGGCTGGGAGCATCGGCAATTGGAGATGTTGAGGAGAAGGTATTAAGAGATGTAAACGATATTGGGGGGCAGCAAACAATTTTGTTTGGAGATTCGGATCGAAGAGAGCTGCGCCATAAGCTCCTAACCATCGTACAAGGATTTGCCCCTTCGAAGAGTATGAGCTCCTCTAAGCCTCATTCGACATTTAGTCGGCATTCGTTCTAACAATACGTTTCCCTTTCTTCTAGAAATCTACGAACAAAAAGATCAGCTTCGCCATGTTAAAGTGGCTAGCGCAGCGCCCAATTTCATGGGAACGGCATATATCAATAGCCTGTTCACAGAGACAGCTCCACAAAGCCCAGTCGCCCAACTATGCTCGTACCGATCACAGCAAGACTCAAATACAATTCTTGACCTATCATTTCAGATAAAGGTACTGAAAGAAGAGGAATTTTTCCAGGCACCATGGGGCTAACGTTTACTAGGATGGTTTGGAATGTCCTCCAGAAGAGCTGGTGTTGGAGGATCTAACGAACACTCTTCTTGCGAAGGATGGTAGCCACAGGGGATTGGACAGCATGATCCGTTCTTACGTCGGAGCATCACCTACTGCACCAGGAAGCCATGTTTCTGCTTTTCTCAGGGTTGTCAATACCATGACCGGAGTAAGTATCCCCTCCCGGGGCTAAACCCTTCCCGCGCCCCATGCAGAAGAGCAAGTAATTAACAGCAGTCCTCTAGAGCAAACGCCTTGTTACAACTGATAAACTCGCAGCTCAAATACTCGATCTTGTACATTCAACTGCTATAGACACAACCGTCGTCGTTCTCCCGGGCCAAAGCTGGGAAACACCCTCACCAATCCGAAGCACCCGATCCACTTCGCCATCAGACAAGCGTCGCTCCTTCCCTCAGCTCACCCCCATAATTCACCGAGCTGCCTCCAACTCCTCCAAACATAACAACAACACGCTTTCCACTCTCCTCCCACTTTGCTACGCTAGCAATGATACCTGTAACACCCGCACAAACTCATGCTCCGGCCACGGATACTGCTATCTCAAACGATCCGGCTCTAACAAGGGCAACAGCTGCTACGCTTGCAAGTGCCTGCGTACCGTCGATCATACTAATACTAACGGGGGCAACAAGACCACGCAATGGGGCGGGCCAGCGTGCCAGAAGAAAGATGTGAGCATGCCGTTCTGGCTCTTGACCGGATTTACGGTTCTACTAGTTGTGGGAATATCGCTTGCTATTGGAATGATGTGGAATATGGGGCAGGAGGAACTTCCTGGTGTGCTGAGTGCAGGTGTTTCGGGCTCCAAGGCGCAGAAGTAATAGCTAGATTTCTTTTTATTATTATTATTATCTCTCTGCCTTCTGGTTTACGCTCCTTCTTGTTTGTTTGGTGCTGCGCAATTTCCACCGCATGATCTGAATTTCCCCTTATCCCACTGATTTTCTATATTTGTTTTGGGATTCCCGCACTGTAAAGATAGGCATCTCTTAGCACCATGGTCAATAATGTTGAAAAACAATAGAATAAAATAAAATACAACTACGCCAGTTTCCCTGAAACAAACCTTGCTTGCGTAGTTATATTTTTGGAGTGGAGCTAAAAATAAATGTGTTGTCTGTACTCCGTATACTGCTAATCATTCCAAAAATTGACCAAAGAAATGTTTGTAGATACAACGGCGCCCTATCGCAACTTCAAAAATGCCAGTAAAATATAAGATGTGCACAAGGGGGAAAACGATCCTAGTATGCACCAATAAACAAGGAGGGAGCAGTATGTAAAGGCATCCTCACAACGATTGAGGATGCTATGAAGGGAGGCATCAAGGGGGGCAAAAAGGGTATAACTACCTGGGAGATTAGGGAGGCTGGAAGAACAGGTCCGGCGAAAGGAAGCCAAAATAACCCTTTAATGAGCAGAATAAGAATTTTGTTCTCAATAGTGTCCGTTGCACTAAACCCAAAGGAATGTTATGAAACAAAAAGGAACTCCTCGCACCATGCTCGCATAGCAATGAAAATGACATCTGCAAAAAGTACATCGAAGAAAACAAAACCCTCCGCCTTCATATATGTAGTCCGAACTGTCCAAAGAGTAAAATAAATAGTAAGAAAAAAATGAAAAAAAAAGGCGAAAAAAAGAGAAAAAAAAAAAATCGTAACATGTGTGTTCATGACAGATATGGTGTAGATATGGCAGTGCGTTGTTTGGAGAGAGAATTGGAAGTTGTCGGAGGAGATTATGGTACATCAATCAAGTCACAAAGGCAAGCCCCTATAGTAGCCCTACCAGTCTGGGAGCATGGGACATCCAAGGACCCTGAGAAAGGTTTGTCGATATTTACGTAAACAAAATTTTACCTCGCGCCCGACTCGAGTTGGCGGGGAGTAGGCGGAGTGTTCCTTTCTTGGGAGCGCTCCGATCTGTCGAATGATGGAAGGAAGATGCGATGACCGGCAAGTGGTGGAAGTCTCGGTCTCCATACATTCCCAGTGCCGTTGTTTGCGGGAGGATCCGCGGCATTATTTGATGGGCGTTGAGGTTCGCCACTTTGGCCGGACGTTTGTCGAGTGGCCGATGAAGATGATAAAAAGCGGCCTGGAATGCCTATTCTGGAGGTGAAGGGGTGCAGGCGGCTAACGAACGCTGCAGGTTCGGGAGGCGCTGGGTGCTGGTCTGGATTTCGTCGGCCACGTTCCGGTTCATTGCTGTTGTCGGCGCCATCGGGGCGGGGTTTCGGAACATAGTAGTCCGCTTTACAGAGGGGACAACATGCCCGGCGGCTAGTCAACCAAGGGTCGAGGCAGGAAGCATGGAAAGCATGGCCGCAAGTCAACCCGCGGACATCATCATCGTCCTCGATGGTATCTAGGCAGATGGCGCAGGAGTCTCCTGGATTCGCCAGTAAATCGGTTGGCACTGCAGCATGGATGGGGTCATCATGATCATCATGATCATCGTCATCGTCCGAAGCGACGCGACTTGCATTGGGGTTTTGCGGTGCAGGAGTTTCCTTGCTGTTTGCTGTTGATGGTTGGGCATCGGGGGTGACTTGCACAGCCCCCTTTTCCGCCTGGTCACTTTTGGGTAAAGGGGCTTGCTCGCTATCGTTAGTGCCGGAAGGCTCGGCAGAGCTTGGAATGGCCTGAGCGGAGGTGTTATCGGTATAGGATCCGGATGCCCGTTTGAGGCTGGCAGGTTTGGCAGTTGTGGGTGGTTCAATTCCTCCAGCGGTAGGAAGTCCGTCGTCTGCTCGCGAGGCACGCCAGGCCTTGTACTTGACAAGCGGGAATCGGCTATTCACTTCATCCATCGTCATGAGTTTTTTCTCTCTCCGCCTGCGGGTCCTTGGAACAGTCATGAGATCGATTGGCTCGCCTGTATCTTCGTTCCGGAGTTGTCGATGGCGTTGATTGTAGCGAAAGCAGTACTTGACGCCGACGATGATCCTGTAAAGCACATGGCAATATCAGCAACACAGAACGTCAAGAAAGGCTTGGATGAATGCAGGTGAACTGTCGCGTACCAGAGATTAGTGAAAACGACACCGAATCCCAATGCCACGAAGAACAACAACGGCTGGCTATTGCTTCCCGAAGCCGGGCTTGGATCAGGCATGGCTGTTGGCGTTGAGGTGGCAGTTGACATTTTTAGGGGTATTTAGAGCGCGACGACGAGCCGCAGGCTCTGTAGGAGGTGAATCCGAGAAGCTTTGAACAGGTTTGGCTAGGTCCTGAATAATAGAAATAGATGAGGCGGTATGAGAGGCTCTGGTGCACCCCGCATAGAACACGATGGCGGAGGGAATCGAGACAAGCGAGCCAAGCAGCGACCGAGGCGGCTACAGCCGGATGGAAGGAGAGAAAGATAAAGATAAAAAGAGAGAAGACGAGGTTGTCCTGAGCGAGCTGGAATCACGACTAGAGGGCACTGTTCAGCGTGGTAGGGAAGGGTGCGACGGGTTCTAGCAGAGGCATAACGCAAACGCCAGACGACGACAGGCAGCGAAAGACAGGCCTGGGCGCCGAGCGGGCGGATGGGCAGAGCGCGCGCGGCGGCGGCGACGACGACGACGACGGCGGCACGGAGGACGCAAAAGAGCGTTGGTGGCGCGACGGACGGCCGGGGCAGCGCAGCGGTGGGCGAGGTCGAAGCCGGTGGACGAGAGAGCGGTGGTGGTGAAGTCGGGGGGAGCGAGGCGGAGCGGGCGATACCCCGGCAGAACGAGCCCCAATACGGGCCTTGCCGCTTTGGGCTGGCGGCGCGGCGAGCCAGCGTGGGCGCCCACGGCCGCGTTACCTGGTCGGGCCTAGCGCGGTGCTGGCTGGTCATCGCATTACCGCCCGGCAGCGTCATGAAACATCCCGCTCGCCGCCTCTGCACGCCCGCCACAGCAGCACCAGCAGCAGCATCACAAGTCCTGGCGGCCAGACACCGCAGCCCGCGCGCGCGGCGCCCCGGCCTGCTGTCGTGGCATCCTCCCCGGCCCAGCGCCATTGGTACAGCAGGGTCGTACGCCAATCGCGACGCTGCCTGCCGGGATTCCAAAGAACAGCCACCGCTAGCTCGTAACTACGTGGGCCGCAGAGGGATCGTGGGAGGAAGAAACAAGCGTGTTTTACCCAGGTCGCCGTCTGGTGCTGATCCCTGGTTCGCCCGTGCAAGCACGCCGCTGCGCTTTGTTTCGCCCTCCTCACAAGAAGAATAATAATCTTATATCAAAGGGTCGGGCGGATTGCTGGACAGGCGGGCGTTTGGTGCGCTGGGCGATCGCTCCCACCCCTGCCAGCAATCTGCGCTTGGCGTGGGCACGCGCATCTCCTTCGAGCGGGCCGCCGGGCTCCCTGCCCTGCCTCGCACAGCGTCAGGTGTCGGTGTAACGACTCCCCGGCCGGTCAGTATTGTTATTTCACCCTCAAACCCTACCTTTTGCTGCTCGATTTCTAATCCTGTCTCCAGCCAGAGCCCATCAACTCAACTATGTCATCGTGCCCACATCGCTCGGTCGGGAAGCCGGCCTGCAACCACTGGCCCACTCTGCTTAGCCGACGCCTCGGAGCAAGAAAGGCGTTTTTCAGAGTCTGGAGTGCAGCCTTTGCCGTTTATTTCTTTTCTTTTAGTTACCCTTCTTGCTTTCTTTTGTTGCAATTACGCAGATCATTACCCCGCATTGTGGGGAACAGTAATTCCTCTGTTTCGTCCGCAAGAGCGATGTTCTACAGCACATCGCCTTTTTCACCCGCATCCCAACGATATGGGTATGAGAAGCAGATGCAGGAGGTCCCTCGCTCCTCCGTAAGGGTACCGGTTTTGCCGGCGGCTTTATAGCTTATCCCGACATCTGCCGAGACGGCTTCCTCCCCTTCCTCCCGCTAGGCTTTTCAGATTACAGCAAACTGCATATGCCCACACATGATGCATTACCATTCTTGTTAACGGAAAAAGATGAGGCTGTGGGGAACAGGCACTAGCGTGGTCAATTTTGCATCTTCTACCTATCCAAGTAGCCAAGGAACGAAATAGGATGACTTGAATCGAAGGAAGTGGAGAGTCTGGATATTTTTGGAACATATTGTCGAGAAGCCTTTCTTACGACCCATCTCATTTTTGGTGGCGTGAGACAACTTGTAGTGATGCATTTTTCCTGCATCCACCTGGACCATCGTCTTTGTTAACTTATGCATGTATTATTCAGGGGTGCCGTCATGCCTGGAATGATGTACAAGAAACATTCTTCTTGTATCCCGGAAGCTGCAGTTTCATCTTGGCCAATCTATTTTCAAACACACTGACTATTAACTGCAACAGGGAATAATTATCAAAGAATATAGACCACAGATTTGGATAAGCATTTTATCCCCGGGTATTTAGAAAGTCGAAGATTAGCTTCGATATTGAGAGATCATAGATACCATGTAAAACTGTGCTTCATGGTATCTCATTTCAGTTTCTCCATGTTCAATCTCTCTGTGAATCAGACAGAAATGATATTTCTCAAATATTCCCCATTACTATGAAATAAAGCGTATTAAAAGAAATGGTTATGATGAGTATTGACCTGAGTTGCCAATATGAAGATATTGAACATAAAGCAATTAAATTCCAGATCACATTCCAACACCCCTTTTACTATTAGCAAGTCAACGGTCCCGCCGATATCCACTGGTTACCAGTCTTACAGCGACCCAGGAAAGACGTGAACTATCAAGAGGTCCGATAGATCCAATGAGGTTATTCAATACCATACTTCCCATACTGCATCTGCTATGGTCAATCACAAAAAATATCTGATTTCCCTGTTCATTCTTCCAGCAATCTCTCATAGACTTTTCGAAGAGATACTGTGAAAATTGTATCATTTTTATCTACTCCCAGTATCCTGAATACCAGCCAGCAAAATCTTAGTCAATAATCACTGAAGTGTTGCATCCTCATTAACTAGGACATTATGAAAAACAAGACCATTATGTGAAAATGGCAGCTAGCAGTTGTACTGTTGCAAGCAAATTGGATCTTTTTGACTCTGAATGTAAGAAAAAAATCTACCCTTTGCTGGATTCAGATTTGATCTTAAAGAATCCAGCCATTTCATATTGCTTAAGATGCACATCAAATATATATTCACCATTTATGGCACTTATCATGGCCAAAATAGGAGGATGGATAGCTCACAACTCCAGGAATATTTCCTCTAGCCAGTTAAGAACAGTGTTATGCCTGGTTTTACACATAGAGGCCCAAATGTCACTCAGCATTATACTGGTATCTTGGCTATGATTTGATAGCTTTAAAGAATTTCTTCTTCTTCTTCTTGTGGTCAGAATCTAAGCCATAGAAATGCTTGAATAGGCTGTACCGACAAATTCATTGTCGCCGCTTCTCGCTGAGAATGGCGATGATGCTAGGTGCGTGATGCAAACCCCAGAATTCAAGTCTAGACTACCATGAGCCCTGATGGCATAATCGAGATCCTGCTTAAAGCGACTCAAGAAGTGCAAGTAGTATTCGTCCATATATTTATAGGATGTTTCCATCGTTTTCTGCTGGTCAGCTATGAGAACAATAGGCATATAACAATATCAGCCCGTTTGAAAAGGCTTAAGCTTGCGATGGCCAGGAGCCATTGTCAATTGGCTCGTGGTCGCCGGTTGAGGCCGCGGCCCGACAAGCGTTCCAAAGTCCGGAGAGTTATGTCCTTCGGTCAATCATTATTCCGAATCGGATTTTCCCACCTGCCGGCGGAGTATGTACTCCTTAAGGATTGGATGAACGAAAAGAGTGTCAGAGTCCTGTTGAATGGCGGAAGGATTCTCTTCAGAATATAGAGTATACTTAGCCAACCCTTAATGGACAAACCAGCAAGGCCAAAATCAGGCACAAAAGTGAGGTTATGTAACCAACAAGATGGTCCATATCCCTTCTTGAATTCCTGGACACCAAACCAGCTTTCATCCTTTTTCAATACACCTGGACGTGAATCTACGATTTGCTGGAACTCGTAAGTCACACTACTGCCACAAAAACTGTAACATCAATCATACCGAATATTTTGGGGGTATCGATTCATTAGCATGCTGCCGAGGGCCATTTTCATCCAATACCCCGCTCTCATGAGCCTCCTCTGGTGAACAGTAGCAGCTCCTGTTCTTGACCCGATTTTGGCAACTTTAGGTGATCTGATCCTTCCGGCTATGCCTTTGACGTGTGCACGGTCCGCGCTGTGGGCAAAAATCATCTGCTACAAGAAGGCGATGCGATCGATACTGGCGAAGTATCAAGGGAAAGTTAGTGAAGGTAAGGATAGGAAGCTCGGGGCCACATGCCGTGGGGAAGAGTCTTGAGAACAGTTTTCCGTAACAACACGGCTGTCATTGATTTCGTCTAATAAAACCCCGCGTCCAGTAGACCGCGGCGTCTAACTAACTTTTTCATGCCGTATCCGGTTCAACTGTGCGTCTCGTATCGAAGGGGCATAGACTGCCGAATATTGGCCTGTGCTCCGCGGTTTCCTCTGGCTCTTGCTCGTAAAAGAAGCCGCGATTCGCCGGGATTATTAGCAGAGCAGGGATTGCTCCTTTCGCAGTCGCTTATTCTGGCAATTCTGCCAAATATGTAAACCACGGCCTTTCAAACCTGAAACCAGCAGTCAGGTTTGACTTTGAGAAGGGCTGTGGGAAGCGATACCACCCATAGGTCATGATACCAGCACATATTCCTCCTGGTCGCATCTGAACTCTGATGCAGCTTTCCAAAATAATGAATTGAGGAATATGTTGATCGCCAACTTAAATCTAGCTTGGCTTCAGTGGGTATGCTGTTTTCTCTACCTATGCAAATCCACCACGATGAACTTTGTTGCCTCTCTTTTCATCAGTATATCGTGCGCATGGTATTAAACAGCCCGCTAGAACCTGAAAATGGGAGAGTCTTGGAAGTGTTCTGCCGACACGGGGCTTTGATGGTTGTTTTTTCAAACAAACCATATTTCAAACTTGGTTCAGCACAGTCATGCGAATCTCGGGATGACAGTTGAAAATGTAGCTCCTGGGCTATATGCCCACGTCAACTGTTGGATATTGCTGGGAGTTTGGAACTCTACCAGTGGTGTCGCCACAAGCAACAGCGCATGTCCCGCTGAGTCGCGGAGCATTTGTCATAATCCTCGTCGATATTATTCCTTTTAGGGTCTCACTTTGCCACCCATCCCAAAGAGGATATACATTTTGGGGTGCAATCGCCAGGACAATGGCCGTTTTGGTGCTCCAAAACACGAAGTGTGGCGATAGCCCACCCAGAAGGAGTATGGAGCAAGCACACAATCGGTTTCGGATGTCGGAAGTTCAGCCATCGTGGGTCGCCTGTGGGTTGGTGCGGCTGCGATCCGCATCCTGTGCGCCTCTGCCCGCCCGCTGAAGCGCCCAGAGACGGGAAGTAAAGGCCGTTGATGGGCGAGGATGCCGTCCGCCCCTGGCGTGTCAGAGAACAGGACGCTGTCTGACAACCCCGATGCGGCATAGCCCACGCTGAGTCAGCGGTTTCCCGGCGTCCGGCGTTGCAGTTCAACCTCCCAACTGTTCTTCCGCGCGGACAACCATGAGGCACAAGACCCTGGCCTCAAACCGGAGGCACAGACACATCGAGACACCGTCGATTGCTGTCAAGATGGCTTGGTATTGCTTAGCCCAGGCTGTGCGGCGTTTGGTTTTTACTTCCCTTGCTGTCGAAGCACTTGCTGTATCAGCATTGGCCTGCCCAGTTTCATACTACCACCCTTCGCAACAGTTCTTTAGGACCCTTTGCTTGAGCTGACGCTTCTCAGGGTTCAAAGCTGCGGCGGTAGTTGAATTCTCCTGTCGTTTGTGGATTAGCCAATTGCTTCTTGCTGTCCCTACTCCGTTCTTCTCCGCAACTAGCGGCGCCAGACGGTTTTACTAAAGGCCTTCCGGTTTGGCCTTCCCAGTGGCTCTTAACCACTTCGGTTGGCGTTGCATAGCTATGCGTGCAAACATCCTCCCGTGGAGCTGCACCCACCCTCTCCCGAGCAAATGCTTGACTCGCTAGTTCTAAGATATCAGGGATAGTTGAGACACCTGGAGTTGGAGCACTCCGTAAAGAATCAAACACAACGATATGGCGGCGATGACTCGGACGCGGCACTTGGAGCCCCTCAGCTCTAGATCCGATAAAGGTCTTATAAGAGGAACCTTGGGCCTCTTTACTAGGTCTGTAGGCTTCTCAGGATTTCGTCGCAGAGCGGCAAATTTGGAATTTCCTTCCACCACCCTTTATTTATCTTTTCTCCATTCAATTCTTAGAAGCTTTGATAGCTTGGTAGTGGAAGGCCGGCCTTTCATCATTTCAAAGACAATGATTTTCAAGACCACTTCTGTTCTTTTGGCACTGCTGGCAGCTGCAGACTTGGCGGCAGGGCACGGTGCTATCATAAAAGCTACAGGAGACCAGGGTGGACAGGGAAGCGCTATCGGAAGTAAGAATATCTTATCTGTCGAGACTTGGAGTAGAGTACTAATGCTGTGACTAGTTGACCAGAATACCCCTCGTGATGGAACGAGAAGAAATCCATTTCAACAAGATACTACTCGCTTTCGAGGGGCTGAGAAAGCATCTTGTGGTGAGACCTTACAGGTAAGGCGTCCTTATACTTGTTCGTGTGTGAAAGTATGGCTAATCCTTTGCGAAGGGTGGTGACAACAACATTGAAGCTGGTACCCAGAAGGTCATGGATGACAACGGCGGCACCCTTCCACAGGTTTCTGCTGGTGGTCAGCTTAAAATGACTTTACATCAAGTTAACGCTGATGGCGGTGGCCCCTTCAAGTGTATGATTGATTCTACTGGCACCGGAACTCAATGGCAGGATATCCAAGTTTCCCAAAATGTTGATGGTCGAAGAGGCATCAATCTCCAAGGCCGTAAAACTGATTTTGTATGTATTTCCCCGTTGCTGGTATAAGAATCATTAACTGACTGCTTGTAGCCATTGACTGCTGAGATTCCAGCCAACCAGCAGTGCACGGGTAATGTGGCGGGCCAAGATAATGTCTGCATGGTTCGTTGCGAAAACCCGGCCCGTGCCGGGCCCTTTGGAGGCTGTGTCCCCGTTCAAATGCAAGGTGGCAACAATGCTGGAAATAATACTGCTGGAAACAACGGCAACAATGGCAATAATGCAAATAACGGCAACAACAATGGCAACAATGGAAATAACGGCAACAACAATGGAAACAACGGCAATAATGGCAACAACGGCAATAATGGAAACAATGGGAATAACGCTAATAAGGGAAATAATGGAAATAACGGCAACCAAGGCAATAACGGCAACCAAGGCAATCAAGGAAACAATGGAAACCAGGGCAATAACGGAAATAAGGGCAACAATAATGGGGCCACGGCTAGCTCCTCTGCTGGAAGCGCTGCCGCTACTGGCGCCACAGGAGGTGCTAAGGGTGCTGCGGGAGGTGCTGCAGGAGGTGCTGCGGGAGGTGCGCTTAAAGGCCTACTTGGTGAGGCGTTGGATGGTGTTAAGGATGCCGCTGGTGGCGGTGCCGCCGGAGGAATCCTCGATGGCATTCGCGGAGCCGCTGGAGGGAAGGCAAATAACGCCGGCCAGAAGAACGCTGCGCAGAATAACGCTGGCCAGAATAATGCTGGCCAAAACAACGGAGCGCAGAATAAGGGAGCGCAGAATAATGGAGGGCAGAAGGCCGTCAACAATGCTGATGCTGAGGCGGATAGAAAAGCAGCCGATGAAGCAGAGGTCGAATAAGGATCCCATGTCCTTACTAAATGCTCAATCTGATCGGAGCAATTTTGAAATTCACTCTTTCTCTGCGGCCTGGCCGATTCTGAAATTTCATGTTTATAGTCTATTCTTGCTTTAAATACATAGTTTTCAAGTAAATAGTGACTTAATTTCCTTGCGTTTCGCAAAAGTTCATCACTTTAAGTGACTTAACTAGATAACTAGTTACTTAAAGCGGCACCGGCCACCTCGTGGTCTCCCAACCCAACTCAACCCTGTCCTTGACTTTGCTATCGGCAATATTTTGATACTTGCCCATCATACGACCGTTAGAAAATGGCCCAAAGAGCTGCCCCTCAGAATGTACCCAACCCTGTTGTTTTTTTTGACCTAACCCTGGGAGGTAAGCTGATCTGTTTTTCCCTTCGTTTTGAATCGTGCTCGTTCATGTTAATGCGTTTATATACCATGGAGTTTCAAAATGGAACCATAATACCCAGTCATAAAACTATTGCATTGATATCATTGATATAGCTGTTTCCAGTTCTTTTCATGCTTACCCGTGTTTTGGGGTTGCTGCCCCTTGGACGCAGGCGAACCCCTTGGTCGAGTTAAAATGGAATTGTTCGCAAATATTACTCCACGTACGGCGGAGAATTTTCGCCAGTTTTGCACGGGAGAAACCAAAGATGCCCGTGGACGGCCTCAAGGGTACAAAGGAAGCAAGTTCCATCGGGTGGTGTGTATACTCTTAGATCGTCGGCCCTACATGAATTACGAAGCTTTCGTGCTGATGCATATGTAAGATCAAAGACTTCATGATTCAAGGTGGCGATTTTCTGAATGGTGATGGCACGGGCCGAATATGCGTTTATGGAACCACTACATTCCCTGATGAGAACTTCAATTTAACCCATGACGGACCCGGTTTGCTTAGCATGGCAGTACGTTCCCGTCCTTCTTCCATCCGCGTGGATGAAACGTGCTGACCTGATCTAAGAATTCCGGTCCCAATACGAATGGGTGCCAGTTTTTCATCACTACAGTTGCAACCCCTTTTCTAAACAACAAGCATGTTGTATTTGGCCGGGTAGTTGAAGGGATGGATATTATTAAAATGGTAGAAAATACCCGAACTGCGCGAGATAAGCCAACCCAAGATGTTACCATCGCCCAATGTGGAGAAATGTAAACTGCCGAAGAACGCACGCGGAGTGTCAAAGGTTCGATAAAGAATTCTCCTTCTTATATCCAGATAGGAAACGCTATCAACGCCTTTTCATGAACATATACTGGAAAGAGTATACCGGGCACGCCAAAATCCTTTTCGTAGAAAAGTTGGATATCACAATTTAAACTGTTCTAAATACTTTGTAGCAGCATCAATCGCCTCATCAACTTTGTCGACCTCTGTACCATTGCCGATAGATGTTGGCGCTTTCCCACCTGCTTTTCCTCCAACGATACCAGAGACAACCCCAGACCAGTTGCTTGCAGAGCCCCCTTGGGCAGAAAGAGACTGCAAAACAAGGGTTAGTCGATCAATTTCGTCATATCAAAGAAAAGCAAAAAAGAGGTCAGTATTTGAAAACTTACTGGCGAGACATAGCACCCATGCGCAACACGTCCCTGGTCAACATCCGCAGCAAAGACGTAAAGTGATTTATCCTTCAATTTCGATTTAGCATGGTTGACAGACTCGCTGATGGCTTTTGCGTTGGCAGAAGTAGGCAAACGAATAACGAGATAAGGGCTATCCTTATTTTCGGGGTTGTCGAAATGGGAGTTGATTGCATCCAAAGCGGCTTTGATTTCTTGTTTCTGCATAGCCTTCTGCGCATCAAGGAGTTGTTTGTGAATTCGAGCAAACTGTTCTCGGAATTTGGCTTTTTCTACAGCAGATATGGAGAGTTGATTCAAGTCAACCTGGATCAACTTCGCCTCTTGTTCTTTCTTGGCACCCATCTCCATCTTCTCGAAATGGTCAAGGCGATTTCCGAACTCTTTCGCAATACGCTGCACCTTGTGTGCATCTTCACCGGTAACCGCGATGATTCTTCGAATACCTTTAGCAATCCCGCTCTCCTCTAGGATCACAAGATCTTTGATGTCACCAGTTTTTTGAACGTGTGTACCACCACAGAATTCAATGCTGACTTTTTCCCATCTGGGATCCTTAACATTTTTTAGAATCTCGTCAAGCTCAACACCGACAGACACTACTCGAACAGGGTCCGGATAAGTCTCCCCAAAAACCGCACGAACGCCAGTAATTTCACGGGCCGTGGCGAGAGCTACTTCCTGAGAATAGACAGCGCAGTTTTGGCGAATGTACTCGGTCGCCTTTTCTTCAATCTTCTCAAGATCACTGTCCGAGACGGCAGATTTATGAGAGAAGTCGAATCGCAGCTTTTCAGCGGCGACAAGCGATCCTTTCTGATCGATATCATCCCCAAGAATTTCTCGAAGAGCGAAGTTGAGAATGTGGGTGCCGGTATGGTTATTTCTGATAGGCCATCGCCGGAGCTCATCATACTCGGATATAACGGAGTCGCCAACCGACAAGTTACCATATTTGATGAAACCTGTGTGGAGAGCATATCCTCCGTACATTTGAACGTTTCTGACATCTAATTCTGCCTTTCCATCGATGATAATTTTCCCAGTATCATATTCTTGACCACCCTGCTCAGAATAAAAATTAGTTTTGTCAAGAATGATACCCACTTGGCCATCTTCTGGAATGTCTTTTGTAGAATTCACAAATTCCTTGCCATGGTATATGGAAACTATCTGTGAAGTTATGTTTCCTCGGCCAAATTTAGCATTGTCATCCGTTTTAGGTATGTTGTCCTTCTCCAACTTGCTGAGATCATGGACAGTGAGTGTAAGAAGGTCTGACGCTGTTTTCGCCTGGCCCTTACTGGCTTCTTTTGCTCTCAGCCTTGCTTCTTCAAATTCATCGTTGTCGATACTTAGTGACCGTTCTTCGGCCATTAATTGGGTCAAATCGACGGGGAAGCCAAACGTATCGTATAGTCGCCACACATCTGCTCCATGTAATTTCCCCAACCCCGAACTTTTAGCTTGTTGTGCATAAATTTCGAATTGTCGCTCTCCTCGATCCAGTGTCTTGGCAAATGAGATCTCTTCTTCATCTAGAATTTCCATCACATCGGCCTGCTTTTTCTTGATTTCTGGGAACATACCGCCCATCTGGTCGACGACAGTCGGTACAATTTTGGAGAAGAAGTTTCCAATTTCGACTTGTAAGTATTTTCTGGCGTAGCGGGCGCCTCGGCGTAGAACTCTCCGGACAACATAACCGCGTCCCTCATTATTTGGGGTTGCACCATCGGAAATGGCAAACGTAAGAGTTCTGACATGGTCAGCAACCACTCTATACGCAGTATCAATTCCATCCACATCTTCGTCACCGAACTTTCCGGTGTAAGGGCGGACACCAGTGACATCGCGAATGGTATCAAAAAGAGGGGAAAAGACGTCGGTATCGTAATTGGATGATTTATTTTGAAGAACAGATACCAATCTTTCGTAACCCAAGCCTGTATCGACGTGCTTGTTCGGAAGAGGCCGTAGAATTTTTGCAGACTCTCTGTTGTATTGAATAAAGACATTATTCCAGATCTCTAAAACATCAGGGTCGTCCATATTCACTAGATGGGCGGCGTTCCGACCGCCGATTCTATCATAGTGCACTTCGCTGCAAGGCCCACAAGGCCCTTGGTCTCCCATCTCCCAGAAATTATCTTTCATATTTCCAGAAAGGATGTGGTCTTCTTTGACACCAACTGCTAGCCATAGGCCTTTCGTTTCCAGATCAGGCTCGATGCCCGCATCTTGATTTCCCTCGAAGTATGTCACGTATAAACGATCCGGGTCCAAGCCGTAGACTTTTGTGAGGAGCTCCCAGGAATATTGGATGGCTTCTTTCTTGAAATAGTCACCGAAACTCCAGTTGCCCAGCATCTCAAAGAAAGTCTAACGATACAAGCTATCAGTATAAGGCAAAATAGCCCGCATAATAGGAAACTCGTAGTCACTCACATGGTGATAACTGTCCTTCCCAACATCGTCCAAGTCCTGCCAGAGAGTCAGTCGGTTTTCTCGAAGCTCGCGTGTTCCCTTCAAGAGTCCATACATTGTGCTTTCCACCAGCGCGAATACACTAAGTCCGACGTCAGCATCATATTTGACATAAAATCCTGAGAGATGGCAAACCTTTTGGGAGTTATGCGCACGCTTCAATTGGGCAAAGTCCGAATTTGGGTCGACGGTGCCTAGGAAGATAGATTTATACTGATTCATTCCCGCATTTGCGAAGAGTAGAGTCGGATCGGACAGCGGGACGACCGGCGAGGACGGCACTGGGCAGCAAACAAGCGGTTAGCAGACTGTGAAGGCAGCTTGGACGGGTGCGGGGGAGCGCCAGGGCGCGCACCGAATGTGTGGCCATTCTGCTTGAAAAAGTCCAGGAACGTATCGCGAACTCTGGCGGCGGGCCAGCCCAGGTCAGACTGCGAAGTGAACGGAGACGACGCCATGGCGGGCAGCGAGAGAGCGAGAGCAGGGCGGGAGTGTCGAGCAGGACGGGCGGCGGGGTGGCTCGTCGTCGAAGGCGAGGAGAAGAACCTTCGAGTCAGACTGGCCGCGCCGCGATTCGCCCGCACCACGGAACTCCGCGCACCCAACATGCGACGGTGATGGGCGCTTCCACTTTCCGGAAACCAGACTGTGCGGGCACTAAGCGAATCCCCGGCGAAGGCGAGCGCTGCGAGGCGGTGGTAAACAGCTGAGTTTTTTTTTTTTTTTCTGCGGTGTCTGGATGCGTGTCAGCGAGCGAGTGGCGCCAAAGCGGCCGGCGGGCGACCAGCTTGAGCACGAACAGCCGCTGGCCAAGCGGTTTGGACGGCTTCGCATCGGTAGGTGCCCTTTCGTGTCGAGCAGAGCAGGCCGTTGACATGCAGCTTCTCGTCTTTTGCAGGACATCCGTTGTCTGCAGCCGTCCAGTCCGTCGCCACCACGGCCACCGGCCGTACTGATCTGCTTCCCCAGGCACGGCGCATGGAGGACGATGGCATGCAGGTCGACGACACGAAAACGCGAGTCTACATTAATGATTTAGAGAGCGAGATTGCTGAAATCGAAGCCACGGAGAGGCTGCAGCATGTCGAATTCCTCCCCGAAATCGAGAAGACTCTGATGGCTATTCCCAAGTCTGTCTTGAACTACAAGTCTGAGACTGAACCCGTCCGTGACCGCATACCGTGTGCGCTGAATATCCTGGACGGAGACAATAGTAGTACTCAGCTGCGCATTGGTGATACACCGCTGCAGAAGAACAGTCATGAAGACAGGAGGAAAGCTACTTCCACATTGCCTACTATTGATGCGCAGCATCCACACGAAATATCTGCTGATAGCGGCTCCAATGGCGTGTCATGCCAGGACGATTTCGATGCTATGGATATCGATGACTGATTTCTGCGGCCATCGTCTCCGATGGCCATCAATTAGAGCTTCATAATTGATTCGAGGTTCGTACATACCGTTGCCGCTCGCCAGGTTGCGTGCTGGCCCCCATCCACACGGCGTCACAAATGTTCGTTGTTTAACCCTCTTGGTAGATACAAGAGGGTATTCAGGCTCAAGAACACCGATGTTTATCTTCTGCATTCCCATGTAGAATGCTCTATTAGTCACTGTACAACAATATTTTACTGGACAGCGGATCCTTTTTTGTCTTTTGAGCGATGAGCGATGCATAGTTGCAAATAGTAGCGAAAGGCTCGGTGAAAAGTGTACGGGGTAATGGATTATTATACAATAGATTTCTTGGGCTTCTGTCTAATTCGACTACATCAAGCTGATGCTTAGATTCTAAAAGTATGATGGGAGCAGACGCTATAGGAATTTCCCGCCAGAGAATCGAGATGAAATGTTTGAAGATGACTTATTGAGCAGCTCTCGCCGCTGAGCATGATTGATCTTGCTGGGGCCTCGAATGTCCTTCTCCTTGTCAAATGCTCGCGCACTCGGGTCGTCTTTTTCAATATCTGTCGCCTTGGTTTGGTGCTGCGAGTACAGTGATTTGTTTCTTGCTTTCTCCTACATATGCCAGTGTAAGTCTCCAGTATCTTAAGGCTGATATGTTGGAGCAAAAAAAAAGAGCTTACATTATATTCCTTTACCTGTTTCGAGACAGCTGAAGACTGTGGTTCCCCCCGAGGTGTAGGTGCACTGGAAACGGCTGGAGCCTGGATGCCCATAACCTCATTTTCCAGCCGTTTTCTTTTCTCTTCTGCCGTTTCTGTCCATGTAGATGAGACTCCTGTTTTCCCTGCCGTGGCACCAGCAGCTCTCCCAGTATTGAACTTCCGGTTTCGTAGTTTGGTCGGATCTACTCGTGAAGGAAAGTCGAGTTGATCGGGCGGCCGTAACATCCAGTCGTCTCGTTTACTGGGCTTTGAGGCGGGTGGTGCCGGGCCTATCTGTGTCTCATCGTCAGATACATCACGATGTACCGGCGACAATTGCGCAGTTTTAGTAGGAGGCAAGGTAGGTCCATAATCGTCATCGCTGCTACTACTACCCTCGTCATCGGCTTGCGGAATCATATGGGCAGGCGGCATCATCGGCCCTATAACCCGTGGCTTCTTGCTCTGGGTTGCCTCTCCGGAAGTGGAAAAGTCGTCATCTTCATCAATTTTTCGCTTTGAATTGGGCGAAGAGTGTTTCTGAGCCGAGCTAGACATGGTTGTTATAGTGATATATCTACTCCGTATTGCTACGCAACCGTGTCGACTGAAAGGTAATTGGTGTGCTTAGTCAGCCGGCAGACTTGTGAATTACGATCTTATCTTATCTCCATCCGAAATTTCACTTGACCATCCACGCACTTCAGGAGATAACAAGCCTTTAATAAAAATATGCCTTGCAGTAATTGCCTACAAACGTCCCACCACTTTAATGGTCACTACAGTACTAGCATCTATTTCTATCACAATGTGTTGGCCGATAAACAGCGCGGTATTGTGGCACCCATGCCACTTCTTCATGGTGTATTTCCGGCATTGTATGAGGTGGCCGGTGGGTTATAGGCGTTACAGGGCAGGATGTCATTGGGATAGCTTCAGGTGGAGCTGGAGGATGCATTTGGGAACCACACGCAGCATCCTGCGCACAGTAAGGGCAGCTATGCTGATGGGGGCCGTTTATCAAGTCAGGGTGATCCCCCGTGAGACCATACATATGCTCGGATGCAGTGCATCCTCTTCTTGGTCGCGGGCTATGAGTCATGCCTAGTAGAAAATTAACTTGATTCAAGCTATGATATCCTATTCCTCACTATACTTACGCCGCGTTGCATGCCGAGCTCGGTGACGATGGGGAGAATCAAACGATGGCCATCGACGTCGTGTACGGCTATACGAGCGCGATCTAAATCTATCATCGGGAAGATTTCCAATATTAACATACTGCTCTCCGTCAAATACTAAAACCTGTTGATTCTACAATTGTGAAGAATGGGTCTCGTACCTAGGGTCAGATTCGTCATCATCGGTAAAATGAACTCGAGGATTTCGACTATGGCTATGACGTAGATGCCGCTCATGACAGCAAGGACTATTATCATCGTAGGGTCGCCTCTGTCGATCTCGACTCCTATATTCCTCGTCATTTCGTCTAGTTTGATTCTCAGCGAGTGCTTTATTTATTGGACGAAGGGATCTTACCGTTCTCCTGATCCCGATGGGCGGAAGTTTCCCGTATCCCTATCAAACTGACTTGGGAGATGAGTATGGCTTCCAATAAAGTTTGCAGGCTGTGGTGGCATATACACCATACGATTTATGTGTTGCTCCTGCGTAGAAGTGTGAGTGCCCAAGCAGCATCCCTGAGCATCACACGGTGCCGTCAAAAGAGGTGCATGCACACCTTGGAAGCAGCGGTTGGATGGGTTGCCCAGACAATCATTAGTTGCCATTCCGTGAGGCAATCCATTCTGATTCAGGTGACAACAGTGCCCTTGCGTTGAGGTGCATGCAGTTTTATATGCCTTCCTCTTCTCTCTGTCTAGTCTTTGCCTTCTGCGAGAACTGCTGCAATTTGTACTTTCATCACTCGAAGTGTACGAATTCTGACACTTTCGGCAAACACCAAATACTGGAGCACGTCCAGGGATTATCGGATGACGGCGGTGGTAAGACGGAGATCTGTACCGTCCACATACACCACATCTATGTCTTGATTCTGTTGATAGTGCATGATTTGGGAACCCCCTTTCATGGAATGATGTACTGGGTATGGTTGACGGAGAAACGACATTAAATCGATCTGCTTCTGGCACTGGAAATGGGTAGTATTTTCCTGGGCGAGACAAAAGGTGAGACATGGTGCCTGAATGTAGCAAGGCTTTGGCAATCAAATCCTTTGCAGAGGCAATTTTAACGGGCTTGCGGACAAATGCAGGTCGGCCAGACGGCAGCTTTTGGACATATAAAGCACCAGGCTCTAGGGTAGATTTCTGGGTAGGGGGTGCGTTGCTAGAATCCATAGAGATAATTAGTTGGGGCAACTGGATGCTTTCAGCATGGGTCAAGCCGGATGATATGAGGAATGCATAGGGGGCAGGAATATTAAGGTGTAGTGTAGTATATATAGAAGTGCTAATAAATGACGTCCCAAGAACCAGCTTGCAGCGTTTCTCTGCTGCTGAAGTGGAAGCATTGTCGCGGAGAGACTGGTGGCCTGGGGTAGGTATGCTTTCAAGGAAAGATCTATCAGTGTCGTTTGGGTTGGGTGAAAAGCCAAAACAAATAGCAGTATATTCTAAACATTAAGTTCGATTTATCGCGCATTTGCCGTCGAAGGCCCCATCTTCACTGCTTTAAGAAGTTCTCTTCAAGGCGAATGGACAATGCATCGTGGGCGAGAGCAGCAGAAAATTGGGCGCCTGGGGTCTGTAAAATATCAGCCTCTCTATGTAGTTATGTCTCGAAGATAGCACTGATATTTTATCTGCTAGAGCACAAAAGGGGCCTGCGTTTTTCAACTCTAGATCCAGCTATTAGATATCGCTGTCAGGAGGATAAGGATGTCAGGGGGCTACGCCAGGATGGATATTAGAGTTCAGGAGGCTAGTTACGGAGTACTTACTCACATTTTTAGCTATCACAACTTTTGTTTTCAAATAATTCTACAATTCACCAGTCTACGCTCTACCCTAATAAGCGCGTCTAAAATACCTCCTACCAATCGACACCAGCTGTTTCTCTATCCTTCCAGTTTGGTGTGCTTTGTTTTCTAGCAGAGACATTAGTACTTTGAGCTGCATTCCAATGCGACCTGCTGCTAGACTGATCACCACTACCCCCGTTGCCAGAATGCTGGCTTCTGAATGGGTCTCCTCCTCCAGGACGGCTCCCGGAATTTTGACGTTCAATGCGGTTTTCGTCATTGCGAGCACTATTGTTATTTTGAGAATTTCCGGAGTTGCGGCTGCGAAATGGATCTCCAGCGCCTCTTGGTGGATCTTCGACACTCCGACTGTTTTCTTGCGAATGCTTCCTTCGAAAGGGATCTCCTGAAGCTCCTGTATTGTGTTGAGAACTGCCATTTCCCCCGTTGCTAGTCTCACTTTTTGCGTTTTTTGTCTGTTTGGACTGCCCGTTACCGCCATTGGTTGTCTTGGTTTTCACCGGAACCACCTGTACTACGTTACTACTAGGGGGTGCACGGCCATATATTAAAACTCCATGTAACGGAAGTTGGGTCGTACTGGTATTTCCATTGGCTCCATCGATATTAGGTGATTCGGTTGGCATGCTAACCCCCGCGGTAGTCGACACTTGAGATGGCGGAGGGGATGCGAGATGAGTCATTGGAGGGTATGTATGAAGGTTCCCCGAATTTCCTAATACGCTGCCATAGTGTGTTGTTCCCGAACCCGCTGGTTCGGGGAGAGTAGTCACAGCTGGACTTACCCGGGTTTGTCCCGTCTGCTAAAATAATCAGCAACCTATGATGTTTTTCAACACTCTGACTGTTCAAACCTGCACGTGGAGAAGCTGATCTACGATTTCCGACTTGGGAAGCATTTCTAGCTTCTTTCGTATAACATCCAGATCCTGTTCTATCTTTACATTGAACTTTTGTTCAATGGTTTCTGTCCCCTTGGGTTAGCTTATCGAGGGTGCCAAATTATGGTTTCTCCTCACCTTCCATTCTATACTTAAACACAAACTTGGCGTACGGCTCCTCCATGGTATCTAAGTACCAAGGGGCCCGCATTTTATGCAAATATCCTTCTGCTCGTCCCACTTGGACTTGGTGAGACAGCGATTTTTCTTTGACAACAGATTCCGGCACGGTGTATAATGCGGGCTCGGCATTTTGTGGGTCAAGATACGCCTGAGATACAAAAGTGGGTTGTTGGGCTGGTGTAACAACTTGAAAATGCTGGAGAGGTACCCAATACGGCTGCTGGAATGCTGATATTGGTACTGCTTGGGATTCTGGCTGTGCATTGGTGTCACCATTAGCATTTTCAATACTTTTGCTTTCATCTATCGAATTGCCCGATCGCCATTGATTATCTTGATTGTTTTGATCACCAGTGCCACAATTATCGTTACTGTTAACATTTCCCCAGTCATGTTGCTGGGTTTCTGACTTGCTGTTTTCGTTGTCAGTTTCCCAACTACTCCCGGTGTTATTGTTATTGTTTTGCATTGAATCATTTTGGTTCGTTTCGTTGTTTGTGTCCTTAACATTGATAGAGTCCCATCGATGGGTATTAGTGTCATTTTCATTGCCCCAATCCTCCTGCTGCCAATCATTGTTGTTACTATTGACATTTTCGGCCTCGTTGCTATTCCAGTTCGGTTCATTTGTGACCCCAGTTTCACCATTGTTGCGAGTCTCGGTCCAATTATCTTGAGATCTGCTTGTTGACTGACTGTTATCATTGTTTTCCCAATTTGAATTGTCTGGGTCATCTTGATTCCAGTCTCCGTCAGGGTTTATACCACTCGCTGACCCGCCACGAGATCGATTCAGCCCATCCCACCTCGGTTCAGTATGCCCATATTTTGTGCCTCCAGAGCCGGACCTATGCCGGATACTGTTAGTTGAATGGTTGTTTGAGTTGCCGCAGCAATTGTTATGCTCTCCGTTCTTTGATGCCTCCCTCTTTGAATGGTGATTTTGGTCTCCTGTCTGGGACTGGCAATAGGGCGCTCGAGTCCTCGGCCCTCTGCAGTGATGTGGTACCTTTTTACCGTTGGATATCAGGTAACACCCATTATCCGCAGTGTCTGAGTCATTAGAGCCCGTGCTGCAAACCTTGCAAGACGAATGCTCACCCCCACCACACTGCGGCGTATTAACGTTCAATACAATCGACGGAACTCCCTGGTGTGATGTTTGTGTTGTACCGTATATAATCTTTTCGCCCGAGCTTTTTCTACCCCACACGTCTAATGTTTGCTCTTTCTGAGCATCATTAGACAGGTTGCCATGACCAACGGCATGGACAGCATTTCGTTTTGCGGAAATTCTACCATCAGATAAGTGGTGAGGATCAGCCGATGGTTTACCTGAATGGTTTGAGAAGGAAATAGATGGCCTGGGTGTATGGGTATGCTGGCAACTTTGGTATTGCGTTTGCACTCCAGAGACATCATGATTTTGACAGTATCCTTGGCCACAGTTTGTGCCAATGCTTGCACCGTGGGCTGCCGGTCGATCTATATTTTGAGGACTACATTCTGGACAACTGCATTCGTGTTCTTCTTTGTCAAAGTCGCTTATCGCATCACAGCTTTGCGGCTTGACCCGGTAGTAATAACGATATCTTTGCCTTTCCGTCGTTGGTTTATTCTCGTGTTGGTAATGGTGACGTTCGGAAGAGTGACTGTTAGATCTCCCTCTGTGCTCTTGATGGTGCCGTTTATATTGATTGCCATGGTACCATTCTTGTGATCCCTGTCGTGCCGTGGCAGCTTCTTGCCCAGCACAGGCAGAACAGCCCATGTTAATTTCCGATTGATCTGTGTTGAATCCCATCTCGTGGTGTTGACGGTTTGTACGAGCCCTAGAGCTTGTGCGATGACCAGCAGGATGTTCTATATTTCGCCTTCCATGATGTGAACAGTCATAGTCCGTGCCGTATTCACTATCCTCTTCATGTCGATGCCTGCGACGTATGCCAGTTGACCCCTGATGACCATGGTGCCCGCCATGTCGAGACCTAGTCGGAACATAATATCTATCATTTGCACCATCAAAAAGCATGCCAAAATCCCCCAACAAATTAACTGGCTCTGGTTTTGTTTCTGGCCGGAGAGAAGGCTCCATTTTGTTATATTTTGCTTTTGCAATTTCAAATTCCTCGTCACTCAGCGCGGCGGCGATATCTCAAGCTGAGAATTAGCCTCTAGGTCTTCTGTGGCCCTGGTGAGAAACATACCCTTGAAGTCAAGACTTGGAGCCATGGCTGAGTCTGGTGTGCGAGAACCATCCGATACATTAGCTGGTTGTCCATTACGTGGCTTACAGCGAAGGACAACGACTGTAATATCTCCAAGATGGTCGAAGTGGCTTTTAGGCCCAATTTCTGGCATGCCAGGTACTGTCGGAACTATCAAGGATACCTTAAGTCAGCTTGTCAGAATACTTTGTGTTTCGGGTTCTAGCCACCTTACTTATTTGCAACGGCTCAAATCTCCATGGTCGGCCAGCGCATCTTCCATCGGCACGTAGTTCTTCTTTCTGTCTCACACGAAATTCTACCCCCTTTCTTGTTGACTTTTCCTTTGCTGTACTAGAGGCTTCGTCCACAACAATGTTGTCCCTATTTCTATTACACTGATAAACGCCATCAATGAAGACAAACATCGCGAGACCTGGAGCAATGTATCCGCTGGATTTCAGATTGATGGAAAACGGGGTTGAAACAGAAGGAACAGCGATATAAGTCTCCACCACACCATCGCCGTAGGACACGCCATATTCTTTGAAGGGAATATTTGTTGGCGCCCATTCAACATGGCAAGTGAGCTGCTTGAGAGTTGGCATTGTGCTTGAAGCTGGTTGCTTAATTAACAGTAGCTGCTGTTACCTTGTTGGTGTAGAGACTATGCTCAAGGAAGAAGTGACATGTTGGGTATAGTAATGTTGAAGTTGAATATAGATGGTAGATAACAGCAAATCTTTGTTCTGTGAAAAAAAATAATAAGCAGCAGTGTTCTTGTCGGGGTTTGCCGGTGAATTGTTGATATAACAACGGAATTACCCTGTTAGGTCACGGCTCCCTCCTTCCCCCAATCCTCCATGTCATTCACCTGGCCAAACAAAAATCAAAGCTCCAGGCGCCAAATACCATGATGGTGCGATGGAGCACTGAACCACAGATCTGTGATAGGATGATCAGCTGTATATAAGTATATATATTTGGGTCTGAACAATACATATTCTGTGATGCAACATGGATAGAGATCTAGCAGGCTAGGTAGATAAAGCCTCGAGGCTTGAAGTAACTACAACAGGGGAAAGAGATAGGAAATACACGGAAAAGAGCAAAAGTGCAAAGACACTTTATATAAGAGCACGATGGTCTGATCCATACTTCTAGAACTGCTAATGAATACATAACCAGTAAGACAATATTCAAACAAGAAGCCCTGGGCCCACAGCATAAAATCCTAGGCTATACGCCGTTTAACCAGACCTAGGTGTAAGTTCCAAAAACCCACCTCCAACATGGGCAATAAAATTGCTTGGGCTTCCATTCCAGGCAAGGCGAGATGATGGCGATAACGGCGGAATTGATTCGTCCGAGCTCTCGTAGTTATTGAATAGGGAGTCAGCTGGACTGGCTTCCTCCTTTGGTGGCTGACTATCGAAGAATAAGAGGGAATATTGATTCCAATCGTTATCAGCATCTGGTGGTGCGTCGAAATACTGGCGATCGCGCAGGGTGCGTGGCAATTCCTCTGGAACATACGGTGGCGGGCTCATCTCATTTTCTCCGAAAGGCAAAGCAGACAATAAAGCAGCTGGGTTGGACTCTGGGAAACGGTTTAAAATATATCTGAAAAGGATAGAGTTGTGTTCATCGTCGCTTCTAGGGGAGTCGATGGATATAGAGCTCTTCCAGGGATGAGTAGTATCTTGATCAGGCATTTCGATATCCAGATAATCAGAATTATAGTCATCAATACTGTTCTGTCTAGAGGGGGGCCAACTAGGTGCAATAGACCGGAGGCTGTATTTAATAGGAAGAATGGAGCTGTCACCCAAATAGATCGGCGATTCAATAGGGTACATTGCCCGATACATGGGGGTTAGGCATAGGTACGCCGGTTCACTCATTGTGAGAACGTTGGAGTAGTAGACCAAATCACAGACAGAAATGTACCGGAGAGACGTTAAGTAGTGTATTGGAATGCGTCGGGCAGCGGGCCAATATGATCAGACTGTGGGCATAGAGTAACGGTGCTGTGTCAAGTACAGGATAGGACAACCTGAACTTGTACTGATCCGATTTCCGCAACCAAAATTTTCCAAGCCAATATGGAGAATATTGAAGACGTAAAGGAAAAGAGGATTGATGGTGAACGTCACAAACTGTGCTACTCAATTGAGGATTGCGGTGGACAGTGAGAAATGTCCCCAGCTTTATATACTAGTACAGAGTAGTCAGTATGAGAAAAAACATATCTGTCGTAGGCCTAGATAGGTGACTCTGTTTCTTCAGCGCAAGGGCCGTGGCAACCGTAGCCTTATGTGCAGTATATATGGACGCACGTTAGCTCCTGCGACTAGCAGTGGGCATATTGGGTTGAGAATAATACTGCCCGGGTTAGTAGCTAGTCCTCAACCAGACCTCAAGATAAGGAGTTGAACAAATGACTTCTCTGGGAGAAATGCTGGGTCCTGGAGCTATCAAGGCAGATGGGAAAACAGCTGCAGGAAGGTATCCCATCGGAGGCTGCCGTTAGGCAGGCAATCAGGCCATCACATGAGGGAATGATACGGGCCAAAAAAGCCAAAATCCAAGACGGGATAGCAAGATGTGCCGTCCAATCGCTCGCTCCAAAGCACGAGCTGCCCAAGTCGGCACAAAGACGGATAACAACGCGATCCGACCCCGTCCGCTGTGTTGCACCGATTCCGACTCCAGCAGTGGGCGGAGGCAAGCGCCGAACTTTCGGCAGAGAGCTCCGTTTCGCCCTGTTTTCAGTAAGCACTCTGATTTGCTGTCTATACTCTCTCGGCAGGCAGGGCGAAGCTGCTGTGACAGGTCATGCTCGCCCAGGGCCCGGGATTAAGCTCAGCGGACGGGGCTCGGTTCGTTGAACCTGCGTCCTCGGCAGCTATGATAATGTCCGACGTACGGACCTTGGTGGGCTCCAGGAGGGATGTGAGCGGCTACTATCACCGAGGGAGGATGAGGAGGGAGGTTGGGGAGTTGATGAAGTGGGGAAGTGAGGGCGCAGACAAACCAGGCAAACATTTGAGCCGCAACCTCTGCAAGCCTTGGTAGCTCACAATCTACTCCGTACCTAACTTCGCTCGGAATACAATGAACAGATGCACCGTTTATTTACTACGGAGTACGGAGTACTAGCTAACTGCTCCGTGGGCAGGAGAGATGGCAATTCCCATGTTTCCGTCGCTCTTGGGTTTTACACATGCCTGCATGTCAAGCATCCTGGCACAGCTGAGGCAGAGCAGAATTTGCGCCCCCCCGTTCGCTATCACAAAGCAAGGGGCACCCAATAAGATATTTTTTACGAGATAAAATCTTCAACTAATAATAATATGTCAAGCCACCGGTGTCTCATTAAGATCGGGAAAACTAATCCCCCACGCTAAACATCTCAGCCTTGTTGGCTGGTTTCCCCACCTCGAGAACGGCCCCAACCCTCTGTACGGAGGTGGCTTAGATAGACACAACGGTTGATTGTGGCACGGAAGGACTTCTTTTCTTTACGGAGTACAAAAGATTGAATTTTGTGAATGTTCATGGATAAGTGACATTAAGCCTAGTAGATCACAGATACAATTGGCACTCTATGGTCATTGAATATGTAGTCGCTATGGTGTAAGTATTGCTTAAAGTCTTCAGTATTATAAATGCAGTATTAGCTCTCTATACATAGGAGAACCGCTAATCGACGAGAAGGTAAAGGGAAATGTACTCCATACAAGTATTCTATGAATCGAGCACTAGCCCACGCCCAGGAACTGTCAATCAGCAACGAAAAAAAAAAAAAAAAAAAGCTGCTCAGAAACAGCGGATGTATAGGGATAGTTAAAGCCAGTAAGAGGAGAAAAGACTCGGAAACAAAATTTACCAGAGCAGAGAGTAGGAAATAATATCTACACGGCCCAGCTTCCTCGTGCCCTGACACCCCAGCCCTCAACGCCAGAATCAGGGTTTCTCAACGTCGGCTGCTTGCGAGCCCATTCATGTATGTATAGTCGCAGTGCTACCCATCGTGCACATTTGTCTAAATTGCCTGAGACGCTTTCAGGAGCGTTAAGATGGCCCTTTGCGTTCGCAAACTGGTCATCTTTGCGCAACTCTTCCACCGGGATATTTGTAACTGAGCTGATCTCTTCATCGTAATCTCGTGCAAGGCAAGGGTATCCTAGTGAGAGATAATTATAGATTTGCGTGATGAACTCGTCATTGAATTCATGCTCAATCATTTCTTCTAGTGATCGAATGCTCTCCTTAGACTTTTTTGCTTCACAATAACGAGGTTTCGCAGTTGGAACAGCAAGACAAGTAGTCGATGTTACAGTGCAGGCAGCGGGCGTCTCGTTACTCGAATTATCGGGTCGAGTTTCAAATATTGTTATTTTAGGAGAGGGAAGAAAGAGACCGCTGGGTTTCTTACAAGTGCTATGCCATAGGCCGGGCTCCTGGCATGCATTTAGGTTCATTTTGGGAGCCCAGAGGGGGCTGGGATGCGGCTCCTGTTGCTCACTATCTTCGCTGTAGTGGGAAGAGGAGTGTTGATCAGATTCACACCTTGAAGTCTGAGGAGACTCACATTGGGGAAAGACAATATCGTTGCCTAGCATCGGCGGGCGTACAGCACGGTCTTTTGTGGCTGCTTCGGTGCCTTTCTGAAAGCCAGCAGTAACATCGATTTTGAGGCGGCTCAAGATTTTGGAATCGTCAATGGCTCTTTTTGAGGCAATGGCTGCCGCAGAGAAGTTTGACTGGCCAAGGGCAAATCGTTGTTCTCGCGCCCGCATCACTGACTCCTCTTTATGCCGGCGCATCTCTTCCAGCTCCCATGTTAAGTCGACACTGGACTGTCGTCTGAACCGAGTCTGATCAAAGGACATTCTCCTGAATGCAATCTCTACGCTGCTATCATCATCTGCAGTGTCGTCCTCATCCTCTGGGTCAATAGCAAAATGGGAGACTTGCTGATGCACTTGCTCGTTGGGGAAAGCCGCCAAAGCCTGGTCTTGAAGCAGCTTTTCCTGTGTATTATCAGGCAAGGAGTAAAAATTAACATCAATAAAAGAGTCCGGCGTATTGTCATAGACATGGGGATCAGCTTCGCGTGGGGGCACATTTCTGGGTGTACTCAGATTAGGGGAAGTTGCAAGAGACGATATTGGGGAGTGTAAGGACTCTTCACTGCTACTCGAAGGTATTGCTGGCAGATCGGGAACACGAAACGAATGCCTTCTGGTCTCTCGGCGGCAAACAAGATTTGCGTAAGAGAATCGGGACTCCGTTTCATGCCTCAGTCGTGGATTTAGAGAAGAAGTCCTGATGATATTTCGACTCTGCGGAAAGCCATAGCTGTTGTACGTATTATCCTGGCGAAAAGAACGCTTTGCAGTCTCAATTAATTGAGGAAGAAATTTCTTGGAGGTAGTTTCAGGGATTCGATAGGCGAGTCGTGATTCAGCGTCATTTTGAAACTGCACTGTCATTTCCCCGACTTGTTCCTTGGTCGTTTCATGTTGCTGAAATTTCACCCGGCCTCCTTGAACTTGACGGCTGTCCGACGCTTCAGCGGCCCTGTTGCTGCTGTCCATTTTCTTGTATGACCGGCTGCTTGACTCGACAAGTTGGGGAGCAAATTTTCTCTTTGGTGCAGTGCCAGGTGCTCCTAAGTGACCCATTGGCTTGTTTGTAGGCTGTTCCATTGTGATTTTAAGCAATTTCGCTCAGGCAATCGTTCGCGGCCTCCAACGTGTATAGTAGTCCTCTAGTCCTCGAATCGGCGAGTCTTCGACAAAGAAGCGAATGGGAGAGTAATTATGGTGGTAGATGAAAAGATGTTGCCGGCGACCATCTTTGGGTCCCATTGATTTCTCCGATCTGGCGAGCGGTATGGTGTAGACCTTGTCGCCGTCGCAACAATAGGATCATGTGGTAAGGGGGACGGGAGAGCTCGAACGAGAGGAGGGAGGTAGGTGTTTTATGAATAATGGCAGACGAGGCTATCCACCAATAATGAGAAAAGGAGAGACGAAAGCCCCTTTTTCCCGAAGAGAATGAAGTGATAGGAGGCGTGTCGGGCAGCCTCAGGAGGAGGGCCAGATTGTCAGCCCCTGCCATTAGCTCCCGCTAAGCTCGGCCACCCTGGAGAGAGGGCGCAGCGCTAAGGTTATTTAGCTAACCAGTAACGTAGCCCTGCACCTATCCTACCGCGGAGATGTACTCAGAGCCGGCTTAGTCATAAAAATCACAGCCGCAAGGAGGCACTAGTCCGGGCTGGGCCTAGCCCCGCATGTTACCATGAAACAACGTCGTCATCAAGTTTGTTTGTTTGCTTCCTAAATCCCGCAACAATTGATTGGCGGAACTTGGTACTGTGGGCTGTTTGCATCGCTCTTTGTCGGAGCCTCCCGCAATTCAAAAGCAACCAGCCATGGACGAAATCTGCCATAAGCCAATAACTTCTGCCGCCCGAGTTCATATTATGCAATTTGATAGGAACGAGAAATCCTGGCAAGACCGCAATCTCTTCCCTGATCCGTATCTACTCGCGCTGATCTCGCATGTGATAATTTAGCTACATCGACATCACCATGGGACAATTGTTAGCGCAAGACCCGAAACGGCCCCGATGGCCGATATTTTCTTATCGCTCGCCTCATGTTCATAACCTGGTCATCTACCTAAACATCTCGTTTCAGCAGTCTGAATGACAAACTTCAGCCTTATGGGCCCGGCCAAGAGTTTGGGCTCAAGCCCACTCAACGGTAACACATGGCCACTAAAACTTAATAATGCCAATCATGAGGGTACAGTGACATTGTAGAGAACAAAAAGTCTGAAGTAAGTAGTGCAACTGTACGGAGTACTTCTCTGACAAGCCCCATGGCCACATTGGCAGTCACCATGACAAAAGCACGAAAACCCGGGATCAACCGATGCCCCCAAACTCTTCTAATCATCGTCATCATCAATATCATTCACCCTTGTCCACGTTGGAGGTTGCTCTTCAAACTGCGGACTGTCATCACTATCAAGCTCAGCAGTGCTATTTCGCTCACCACTCGATTTAACCTCCGAAATTTGGTCCGTGTCATCGGCCACTAGGTCATCGAAATCCTGCAAATTGCTATTTCGTCTTACCCGAGCATGCACGATACCTGGAAATATTCTCTGCTCCATGAACGGGCCACCAAGACTTGATTGAGGATTCGTCTCTTGTGGAGTAGACGTAATCATGCCGTGGGCCGGGGTTGCGACAGCAGGCCATGTCTGCCTAGAGTCTAAACCGGGCTGTTGGGAATGGGCCATGCGATTCGCTGTTGGCGAATTGATCTGCGAGTATAGATCCACGTGAGATGTGGTAGAGGGCAGACGAGCTGAGTTGGTTGGGAAATTGGGAGACGAAGCGTTGCCGACGAAGTCGTACCCTGTTTCATGAATGACGGCAGAAGAAAGAGGTAGGTGCGAGGTGCCAGTGGCTCCAGCAGATACAGCTACTCCGGAAATGTTTGGGGACGCAGGCTGAGTTGACTGAGCTCCGTGCCACTGCTTATTGAGAGGGATCATGTTTGGTGTCTGCGGCTGAGTCAGTGGCGCCGTGTAGCGCTCAATCCTACCAAAAAAAAAGTAAGCTTCTTTCGTCCCGAGAACATTTAACAAGAGGAATGAATTAATTCATACATGCCAAGTTCTCCGAGTAAAGTCTCATGCCTGAATGCTTCTCTAATATCGGGAACGTTACTTTTGGCCATGTTATTTCCAGCTGCCCCGGGTAAATGGCAATTTTGGCCCAGCCATCTTTGTTTTAAGCATAGCTCAAATCCGCTCTGATCTACAGAGTGTTTAGCCAGCTCACACATGTCGACAGCGCTAAATTTGTAAATCTGCGCAGCAACGGCATACTCCTCAATCAACGGCTCCTTGGTAAAGGCAAATTGTAGTGGGTCATCTGTGGAAAGCGATACGTTCAAGCCTCTCCTAAAGAATGTGGCAAAGGGGTTCCTCTCATAAGTCAGAAACAAGGCATTGTTGCTCAATGGAGACATGGCAATCCCAATTTGATCAAGGTAAAATAGATATTGCAGCAGGGGCACTTTTCGAAGTAAAATGCCGTGGCTAATGCCAGCACAGCAGAGAAAGGCGGATGCAAGGTGGTCAGGATCGCCCGCTTCGCCGCAATGTGGCCGTAGAACGAAAGTGTTGAAACCACGTTGTTTCCGCCATGAATTCAACGACGCCATATTCGCAAACATAAAGTAAATCCAGTAACTATACGGCGGGTTTTGTTTAGTGTTCCATTGTTTGGGAATTGGGAATTTTCGATATAGTCGGCGTTCAGCTTTGCTTTCATCGTCGACACTGTCAAATCCGATAACGCGTTGTAAAAAGATGTGCAGTTTTGGATGGCTGCTTGGGTCCTGCGTCACTTCAAATAGTGGTTGAAAAACATTTTTGATGACCGCCTCGAAATCATCAACAATGCCGTTGGATTTGTAAACGTCATAAAGCCGAGGGACTTGGATAAGCCATCGAATGTTAGATGAGAAGAGCTTATTGTCTATCACCCATGCGGCCAGCTTATCCCATTCGTCCATGGAACGACCATATATAGAAATACGCCATTCAGCCATCTGATACTTGCTTGACTCAAGATCAGCAATGACTTCCTTGGTGATTTCAGCAAGGTATCGCCCTTTTATATAATTGTCTGTTTTGAGAAAAATTTCTCGCAGTCGAGATTCCCCTATAGGATTATATTTCAGGTTGAATTTATCAAAGCGATGGAAAGAATCTGTATGCGCCTAGACGACATTTTGTCAGTTCATGGTGAATGGAAGAATTTCTAGGAAGGCATACATGCATGTCGAGAGTATCAATACTTAAATCATACGCCGTAAGATTGATACTCTCGAAGACTTCGCGTAGTGTCAGGTGCTTTCCATCACGAAATAGAACAACTTCATCAGGAGATTTCTTCATTTTGCTCTTGATGAACCGTAAAAGATGTTTTTGGTTCATACATGCTGAGTGATGAACGTGGGTATCTACTTTTCGAACATTGTAAAAGTCTCTGTGGGGAACTTTCTTGCTATCAGCGATTTCTTGGTATTCATTAAGCAATGCATGAAGCTGGAATTTCCCCTCCAAATAAGAGAGTCGTTTGAATGCAAACGACTTGATGGGACCGTCTGTTGAAACATCGATAATAGTGTCTAGGTCCATGTAAAAGTCCCTTAAGGATGGTACTTGGACTATCGGCCGATTCAAGTCAGAAGCCTGAGAATTTTCATACACTTGATATACGCTGCTTTCATCCAGTTTAAAGGTAAAAGGCGATGCTTCTGGCAACGGCAAAATATCGTCCATATCAAAGTCCTCTCCAATATTCTGTCCTGGCTTTCGCTTCTTACGAGCTGGCGACATAGGAACCCCTTCACTCTCAGCAGAAGACGCCTTTACAGGCATGACCATGCTATTGGACATACTATTCGTACCCGTCGGATCTCCGAGTTCACCCCACGCTGGTTCTGGCGGCGGGGGATAAATATCCCAGGCAGACTCATCCCTGGGATTGTCGCCCACGCCCTGCAGCGAAAACTTGATATATCTGTGCCTTATGTCCAAGAGAGATTGGATCTTTTGACTTATAAGACGTAACTCCGCCGTAATCGCATCATCGCTTGAAGCAAACCCGCCAGCGCCTTGTCCGACTCCAAACCCCGCATCTGCACCATGTATCCCCTGCGAAGCCAGGAAGCGCGATTCAGGTCCATCGGGGCGCAAGGCATGGCTTCGTGCCGACTGTTCAGCAGCAGTCAGGCAGTCGCTATTTAGAACAGTCGTTGCGAGCGGCGTTGCGATCGCGTGGTGGGAGGGAAGAGACAGTCCATGGCCATGGCTGGTCGGTTGGGCAGAAGACTCGGAGTCCGTCATCGATCGAGGGACCAAAGGGGGGCTTTGCGGCGCGTCGCCATCAGAGGGCTTATATGCCTGCTGGTGGCGCTGGTAGAACAGTTTGGCTTCTGCATGGCTCACGGACTTCTCGTAGGCATAGTCATAGGTTGCTGTTCGTCGCTGTCGGTCTCGAGGCAGCACGGGCGAGGTCGCTCCCGTCGCAGCGTCATCGTCGTTCCCGCCGTCCATGCTGTCGCCTGGCGGGTCGCGGGCTGGGTGCGGTGTTGGTGCGTCGTGAGGCCCATCGTGGTTTGAGCTGTGGACTTTGCCGTGCGCTGGATCCAAAGCTTCGTTGCGACTTGGGTCCGCCATGGAATAATGCTCCGCTCCGCCGCAACGAGGTGCAGCGCGTTGCAGAAACAGAATGTCTGCACACGAACAGGAGTGTGTAGCGAAGGGACCAGGCCGCCCTCGAGGCGAGAAACTCTGCGGCGCGACGACGGACGGGATGCCAGCTTGCGTCGCGTTGACTTTGGTGGCGTCAGCGAGCTACGAATCCTCCGCGCCCAGCGACAGGGCGATCAGCCCAACCGTCCAGGCACGGCGCACACCGCACACACACCGCTTCCTCAGGCGCCGGGGCCAGTTGCAATCTCGATGGCACAGGGCTGTATTACATGAACATCGTTGCTACACTCGATTCGACACTATTTCAACGGGGTTTCGCTCCGCTGTCAATCGTGGTTTGTTAGATGCACCAGGGAAGGGCCCACGATATACGTAACTAGCTGCCCCAGTGGTAGGATTCGGTGTTGCCCCTCAGGCCGCATTCACACGGAATAGACGATCGGAGTACGCCGCAAGACTAGAATGATTGCAATGCGGGGTGCCACGGTCGACCACCCTGCCGATCTAAAATACTTGAAAGCCTTTCGTGTTAGCCAGAGAACACCATGAGGGTAGTTATGCCTGAGAGGTTGAGCTGTGGTTAGCATTCTCCCATGCTCTGCTTTGTGAGAAAGCTGACTGGGACTTGACTTGTTCCTATGATAGAATATAATTGACATGCTGTTGTCAAAAAGGTGTGTTGGTAATGATATCAGCCAGGAATCATTTTTATCAATCTCATCACCCTAAGAAAACCACATGATTCTCTAGGCACACAGTGCCCAATTCCAATACAAATGTAGCTTTGCTAGACAAAGCACATCATACCCAAATCTAACAAAGCATTCCAGCTTTGGTCTATGAAAGCCATGATTCACCATAGCACTTTCTTTATATGAGAGGAGAAGCAGAATAAGCTGATATGGCACTTTCCACCAATAGTTAAAAAGCTAGAGGTACAGTAAATAGGTTATTTGTGTTAGGAGTATTGGTACATGAGGGAATACCTTTAAGGAGTATTAAAGAATAGTAGACAAGGCAAAACAAAAAAGGAACAGCTGCTAAAAAGAAAAACAGAGTCGAATGTATGGAAATCGCGCGTGCAGCGAAACCATAACATTTCAACAACTCTCCGGCCACTCGATACTTGGAATCACAAATCTTCCGATTTGCTGACGTTTTGACAGCACTATAGGGTCAAAATAACACGAGAGGACCAAAGAAAAAGCCATCCTAGGCGAATTACAGCGCCCGTTAGTCTCGCCCCATGGAAAATCCAAGACTGTTGACAAAAAATGATGCAAATCGGTGTCCTTGAGCCTGGTGGTTCAAATGAAAAGCAACAGAGAGCTAAGCCATTAGCTGGGCGCACGGCTATATTTTAGGTAGCCAAAGAAGAGATGGTGTCATCTTTCCTTTGCAGGTTGCAGGAAACTTTTGTTGTCACAGAACGAGTTCTGCAATATTCGACTATGAAATCGAAAAGAGAAAAAGAAAAAAAGACAAAAAGATCAAATCAGGATACGGTTCCAGTTAGAAAATAAGCAACAAGAACCTATTGTATACAGACCCAGATCTGTAGACTGAAATTATTATTTGTGTTCTTGACTAGTGACTTGACAGCAAAAATCTCGTTGACTTTAACGATACCGAGCACGACGGGTCATAGGGCCTGGTGCACCTTCGCCATGATGAGGGATGGTTTCAGCTGGGTAATATTGTGGCTGTTCCTCGTATACAGGTTGTCTTCGGTATTCCATCTCGTAATCGACGTATTCTTTTGCCATGTCCCTGTGCACAGGACGCTCAATATAATAAGCTGTAGGATTTTGTTGCTCACGACCACTAACCCTAACCGGAATGTATTCTACTGCACCATCAAAAGGTCGATCTGTATACCTTGGATCGTCCATGTATTGATACTGGGAATGAGATGGGACACGGGTATAGGGACCTGTGTGTTCAAGTGGAACACGGTCGTAGTAACTTTCAGGTGGTGGATAGTCAGAGTATGTGGGTCTTCTGGTGCGAACCCTTGGACTTCGGTCGCGGTAATATGTTTGCTCCAGGGCCAAAGCATCATGAGCTTTGGGGGATCGGGATCGAGGTCGAAGGGAACCTTGGCGTTGGGCTTCGTATCGGTCAAACCTACTCTGAGGTCGCCGAGAGACATTTTCTGCCTGGTGTCGAGTGTCGGAATATGCAAGTGCTCTTCGTCCGTGTCTCGGTTCTGGAGATACCGCATTAGCATGCCTACCAGCCATAGTGTTCTCAACATCGACGCGCTGTTCGAATTCACGATATCCTCGTGCTGTTGTAGGGCTATTTGTCCGCGCACCCCAGCTTCTTCGTCCATCCCGAGGTACGTCCCCGGTCACACTGCCTTCCGCTGTACCGCCTACATCAGTACGCCAACGGCGCGGATCCATATCCTCTGGGTCGAGCCACTGGGCTCCTGAGGGTTCATGCGATCGATGAGCTTCGCCTGCTTTGGATTTATAATCGTCAGGATCCTGACCTGGTACAAAGCTACTGAGAAAGCGTTCTGCGGCGCTCAACTCTTCAAATGGCGAATTCGGTTTGGGTCTTGCTTCTCGGGGTGGAAGAGGCTCTGCCACTTCGCCATCTTCAGAAACATTTCTGCTCTGCACTTCGGATTGATGAATACCATGATGAGGATCATCTGGAAACCCAGAAATAGCCTCTGCCCCAGTCAGATCGGCCTTGGAGAGCCGTTCACTATATTGACGATTGCTTGATTCTAGCGAGGGTCCCTGCCGATGTGACAGTTTGTGGATATCAACCCGAGAATCTGGAGCAGACTTTTCAGCCAATAGAGAGGCCTGAATTGGATCTATATCTTGAATATGTGCCGAATTCAACGATTTGGGACGCATACGATGATTTTCAAGTCTGCTGCCTGGATCTCTGCCATGCTCAATGAACGCTGGTCTGTGAGGATCATATTCATCTTCCTTTGGGGATTCTAGATGTTTACTTCCGTCATTTAAAGGAGATTCGATAAACTTCGGGAAATCATCTACAGCCACCTCTAGATGACCATGATGGGAATCGCAAATAACATTTTCCGACTTAATACCCGCTGAGTGATGGCGTGGGCGTTTCCCACGCTCGCCAGCTGAGTGACCCCGAGGAGGGAGATCTTTTTTAGAATTCAAACCTTCACCCATGGAAGAATTGTCGTTGTCCGCCATATCTAAGGCTGTAGGACGAAATACCCAAGGGAAAGCAGCTACAATCAGCTGGAACTTCGTGGGGTCTACACCAGGCGTCTGGGCTAACGAAGAAATAACAGAATCGTCCGGTAGTCCGATCATTTTCGTTTTCCAATCAGGTGGAGGGTCGTCTCGACTTAAATGTACGGAAAGAAAATGGCTAATGACGGCCGGCAAAGTAAAAGGTTTCCGATCATGTCCGCGGCCGCGTCGTCCATGGGTTGTACCTGGAATAGTACATGTTTTGCAAACTAAGCCACTGAGATTTCGAATAGGCTTCATCTGCGGGTGCGTGTTGAGGGCGTCAGAGAACAGTGCCAAGGGGGGCTCATGGCCAAACCGTTCTAAAAATCGAATTACAACATGGTGTAACAAGACATGGGCTCTAACATTATGCGGCAAATCTTTGATGCCCGACGTGCCATTCCAAATAGCTCTGGCATGTTTGGCAAGCTCATCAACTTGAGCTTGGTAGAATCCGAAGGCTTGACTGTTGGGATTGGATTTATTCGAGGGTGCCGGCCCCGGGCGCGAAGTATGAGGGTTGCCAGAGAAGGCGGGTCCATATGATGGGGCATGGGGAGGACCGAAAGGAGCAGGATATGGTGCAGAGGGCATCGGCGGTCTTGCCTCGGGGCCAGCATATGGAGGTGGGTAGCCTTGGCCAGGATATGGGGATCCATATACAGGGTTAGGAGGTGGAGGCTGGGCATGTGGATCGAATGGCCCATTGGGAGGATAGCCAGACGGTGGACCAGGGTAAGGATAATTTCCTTGTTGAGGGGGGTAGTACTGCGAAGAAGCAGGAGAAGGAGGGCGATAGGGTCCTGATCCATATGCATATGGGGTTCCATAAGGGGTCCTCCTATATGGCGCGGGTGAGATCTGGGGGTATGGGTCGGGGCCAAGTGAATTCCCTTGATAACCATGGTGGGGTTGTCCCATTGTTGGACGAGGCATTGCAAACATGAATGCTCTAGCAGCATTTGGATTGGGGTGGAAGGGTGGTTGTTCAGGCCATTCCGCACGCCAATGCACAACAACACTACCAAGGCTAAGCACACTTGTATGCTTTGCTGCGTAATGCTGGACGACTCCCTCAAATCCATAATATTTGGAGTTATTCTCACAACCATTGCAAAGGAAAAGCTCTTTCTGATGAGGGTCGGTTAGAGGTTTTATTTTTTGGTCAAAAATCCATTTCATGTTCTCAAGAATCAACTTCCGTGTAGGCGGTGCGCCTGGTTTGTCTTCCTCAATTGGCTTGCCCAGGCCACGCGAGATTGCATCTTGCTTGGTGATGTTATTATAGAACTTATCGCGAACGTACATCAGTACATCAGCGGCAAATTTGGGGCACTTGTCCTTTGTTACTCCCTCACCATCTCGCCAGCCCTCGCGAATTATTTGATCCGCATAAGTGGCCATGCGCTCTCGAATAGGTCTCTGGATATCATCCCATTCCTTGTCCAATAACTCCTTTGCTTCTTTCAACTGAGCTTCTTGTTGTCGGCGTTCTTCTGACTTTGCCTGGAGAATTTTGTCTTGTTGAATGCGTTCCTGTTCACGACGCTCGGCGACATCTCTTTGAGAAAGTAGACGCGGTTTAAGAATTTCCCAATCACGATCAGTAAAGGGGTGGGGGATTTGGATTGCTGCTTGAAATGAATCCATGTGGCTAAGGACTGATGCACTTAATGGTGGATCAAGAGTCGCGCACCTGCGCTCAATCTCTGCTTTCCTATTGAACTTCGCTTCGTTGACTTCTCGAATACTCCGCTCGGATCGGTGATGCAGGGACGGTTGCACGGAATTGCCAGTCGTTTTTTGCGCCCCAGAACTCAGGGGTCGTGAAGGAAGAGCAGACCCTGCATCAAAGTTTAGTATCATCCTAGAGTAGCACACTCAAAGGTTAAGCGTCGGATACAGCCGACACCTTAGCATTTAAGAAACAAAACAATTGGTTGGTAGTTGCGGTATACCATGACCAAAATATTACAGAACAGAGACCGGAATTAGCTTACCATGAGAGTTCGTAGAGAATGAAGGGCGGCCAGGGCGACTCGGAAAATTGCAATTCGGAGAGTTATTGGATCCAGCTGCATTGGAACTGTGTGGAACGGTTTCAATATGATCTGGCTTATTGGGTCGTCCGTTTTGGCCCTTGAGGGTAGCCCAAAAAGTACGAAGGCTACCAGTAGCTTCCCATTGTTCCCATCTGGCGGAATCAGCAATTTTCTCTTTCCCATCACCTTCCAGTCCCTTAGCCCATTCTTCTGCAGTTGCAGCCCCAAGGACTTTGACTTCTTCAAACTTATCTTTCATGGCCTCAATTTGGGACTTCAGATAAAACTTGGTTAAGCTCAAGCCAGAGGGCACTTGTGACGACCGAAGAATGACAGAGGAAACAAAATGCATCGAGGACGTGAAAAAAGCAAATGGAATAGCAGGAATAAGAAGTGTTGGCAATGTGGAAGAAAAAAGAAGGTCCATTTCCTATAGTCCAGTTAATGTTGGAACAAGAAAAAAATGCAGTTTGAATAACCACGGACCTTTTCACAATTTTTTTGAAGGCAGTCACTACATGCCCGAACGGCAAACGGCCATATAATCCGAGTTCCATTGGGACCTGGGCCGCCTTCCCATAAGGAACCGTCGAGCGAAGAGAAAGAAGATTTCTTGCAGAACTGACACCCAGTTCCGCAGACAAGTCGCCACATATCCAGTTCAGACAAAGAAGAAAGAGGACGCGGCATACCAGGGTGAAATGTCTTTCGGGATGAAGACCAAATGTGGTTGGGATGAATAAACTTAAGCAAGCCGCGAGTTGAACGCTTAACAGGTGCATCTGTTAGCAAATTCTTGAATGTATTATTCACCTTTAGAAGACGTCCCAATGATACGGGAGGAAGAAATGTGAAAACGTGCTGCCACATTTCCCCTGGAAGATTTGACCTATCCAGGGGAACTGCAAGTGAACTAGACTGATTTGCACTGAGTTTAAGACGCTTGTTGGGGTCCAGCGGATGAATGCCTGTGGGCAACTTGGAGCCATTCTCTGCGACGTTATAACCGTCATTGTTCTCAGGATTAGACCCTTGGTCTATCGGTGGGTTATCTGGGGCATTCCGCTTTCTTTTCCGTTGCTGGTCAAGAGATGTATCCTGCTTCGGGGACTCTGGGGGACAACATAATGTGCCATTTCGACTCGAGAATGTACCCGTAGTTCGCTGGATAGAAACGGACGTCTCCATGGCATCGGAAGCCTCAGCTTGATCATCTGGTGACGGTGAACCTTGGCCTAGGCTCCGGGCTGCGCCTTCCATGGGGTCCTCCAGGGAATCCGCCGAATAGGGGTCGAAGGGGGAAGAACCCGAACTTTGGGGAGACCCAGATTGATTCGTCATCGTTCGCAGAAAATACCTGCAAAATGGCAGCAGTAAACTGAGCCCTATGAGGAGTTGGAAACCCCCAGGCGGGGCTGCTCAACATAAAAAGTGGAAAACACCAAATATGAGACAACGATGGTGCAGAAAACTTATTGGAAAACAAACGAGTTCCCAGGCTGGTGAGAAGATGTCGGCACAGATCAGACAAGGAGACCTAATAACCTTGCTGCATTCTAAAGTGTCAAACACCGTCAAGCAAAGTAACGAGGCAGACGTATAAGATTCCTTGTTGCTTCCACGGTTTGCCAGAAGGCCAAAAAGGAAGCAAGATTATACCTTGGATACTGGACAAGTTTTGTAAAATGAGAAGAGCAGTTTACAATTACACTTTGTTCAAGGTGTAGTGAAATGGAAGGGGTGAAGGAAATCAACAGCCACACATAAAGAAGCACAAGCAAAAATAAAATGACAGTGAAAATGTGGAATAAAATGTAAAGGTCGGGGATGCGGATGCGAGGCGAGAGAAAGAGGTGAGGTTGAGGTTGAGGGGCAGGGTAAGATGAAAACCTGCGCGGTAACTGGAATTGGTTTAGCGCCTTTCGCTTCACTTTGGGCCGTCAAATGATTGGCTGGGAGCGCACTGCATCCATCAGGCCTCGAACACATCGAAGTGCTCCGTATCATATCAACGAACACAGGGATGCCGGCAAGTCTGTGGATGCGACTGACTGTGGTGACAATAATTTAAGGGCGGCTGATTTTGAACTTAGAAACTGAAACATTTGTCGCCAGTCTGTCTGCTACCGCAGCGCAACCAGCGAACTTGTCTACACAACACGGGCGGGGCCGATAATTGACGGGATGTTCAATCCAGGCCTGAGAACCCCATGGAAATACGGAGTACTAGGACAACTACCCAGGACGAGCCGGGGCAGGAGGACAGAGAAGCTTGGCATCACGCTCGCGTGGCAGAGCCTCCGGCTTGGCATGCATATCGAGGGAGCCAACATATGATCTTTGATTCTTCAAATCCCAGGATGGCATCTCTGATAGAAACAATAATGACCCAATTGTTCTACGCAAAACAGCCCCAGGACAACTAGTGCTTTAAGACATGCGATTTCAGCTAGTAATATTTCATGTCGCCACAAATGCCATGTCGTGAGTCGGCTCAGCATCCGCCTAGAGGTTACTATAAAGGGTTGAAAATATCCTGTTTTTATGTTAAAAGAGCACATATCAGTACATTGTTGTGAGAGATAAAGGCCTTTTCTTGTAAGCCAATACAGAACAATAGATGTAACCACTGCTGAGTCATCAGATGGTACCCGGCAAAGGCAGCGAGGCGTCATCCCGAGTTGGGCCTAGCGGCAATGTCTGCCCATACTGTAGTAATACCTTGATGCAAGCCGTTTCATGCCCTATTGCATGAGTGTCAATGCTACAAATTACCCTCTCTGCTATCATTATCCAATTGATAGCTAGGCAATATTCGACTGGATATTGCCTACTGCATCCAACAATAGTCTTGGCTTCGACCGAATAAACAAGGCTTCGCTGTTTTTAACTGCCTGGTGCAACACATAAGGCACCCACGAATCCCTCTCTTCATCCACATTGAATCTCTACTACACCAGCAGCCCCCAACTTTGTCCTCAAACTTGCAAGTAAACATGGCTACCCTCAATCTTTCGACAAATGGCCATTCAATATCAAAGAGCTACCAGTCTGTCATTAACGCCCCCCCACCTTCGGGCCCCGCGGCGAATTCCGAGACCTACGGGCAGTGGGCTGTCTTTACTGTTTCTGCCCCTCTTGTCAGTGCTTTTCAGGACTCTTCTGGAAAGGAAAGCGTATTGAAGGTCCATACCACCGGAGGTTTGTTTCCCACGGCTTTAGTGCCTATATTGTATTGGCACCACTCTGTCTGACGATTTGCGGATAGAGGGTGAATTGGTAGATCTGATCGACGAATTCTCGGAAGGCAAAATTCAATTTGCCTATGTAAAAGTGAAAGATCCAAATAGCAGCCTCCCAAAGAACGTCCTTATTGGGTGGTGTGGTGAAGGCGTCCCCGAGCGGACAAAGGGTTATTTCACTAGCCATCTCGCTGCTGTGGCCAAAGTTCTCCATGTAAGCAGAAATTAGTGGCCTCAATAGTGGAGCGCGTACTCATTGATTACAGGGTTACCATGTACAAATAACCGCCCGATCGGACAGAGACCTTACGCCTGAAAGCATTACTCAGAAAGTGGCCGATTCCTCCGGCGCCAAGTATTCTGCCGGTTCTGCTCCTCCCCCTACTACTTCGACGTCGAAACCCCCAGTGGCATTGAAACCCGCTTTTACGCCCACCCGCACTGCTGGGTCATTCCGGCCACTAACCGGCACTCATCGTGGAGACACACCAAGGAATGAAGTTGTGGACGAAGACGGGTGGGGTGCCGATGCGCCTCCTGTGACAAGAAGCCAACTTGAGAAAGTACAATCAGCCTATCAGCCAACAAAAGTCGACATGAAAGAGCTTATGTCACAGCAATCGTCAACGACATCCTCCAAACAAGAGCAGTCAACTGACAGTACCCTTGGAAATGTGGTCAAAGGTGATTACCAGCCAATTGGGAAGGTCAATATTGCAGAGATTCGACGGCAGGCACGAGAAACTGGAGAACTGAAAGATGATCGTCCGGAGCCTATCAAAGGGTCGTATGAGCCTATCGGTAAGGTTGATATCGCTGCCATTCGTGCGAAAGCACAAGGAGGAGAACCAGTTCGGTCACCGTCAAACAGGATATCACCTGCTGAGACAGGAGAATCCGCTGGTAATGCCGAGCCAAGGTCCCTTGCCGAGCGTTCATCCGCATTCGTCTCTTCTGAACGTCTCACAGCACTTCCAAAACCCAAAGTAGCGAAGAAATTTGGTGGAGCGTCGTCATTCACTGGTACAAAAGCCCCTCTCCCGGGTGGATTTGACCCAACAGGAGTCCCTGAGGCCCCTGTCGTGGGAAGCGCAAGCCGAACGTTCGCTGATGTGGGTGGGAAAACTCCCGCTCAGCTCTGGGCCGAAAAGAAGGCGCAGCAGGGCGGTCTCAGCCCTACCCCCCAGCAAAGCGCTCCATCACTTCAAAACCAAACCAGCGGAGAGGCTGGTTGGAAAAGTTCATATACTGGAAAGACGTGGGCTCCAGTCCAAACTACGCACACTGGCAGATCATCCACAGGTGCTGTTTCAGAACAGAACACTGGCGAGCGAGAACCTGAGAGGGAACTTCCCGACACAGGAAACGTTGGTTCAATCCGTGATCGCTTTGCAAACACGCAGCCGATGGGAGCAGCTCCTCCCCCAGCTTCCACATACCAGCGAGCGGCACCCTCTCCGCCACCTTTGGCGGCCGAGACAAAGCCAACCGCAATCCGCACGGTTCCAATTCCTGGCCTTTCCTCTAACGTCAAGGAAAGCCACGAGGATATTCACCAAGATGTGCCGCCTCCTCCGCCGCAGCGGCGCTCTCCTTCCCCTGAGGCCCCTGCGGACATTCCAGCCACTTCACCGATTCGTGTAGCCATGCCAGTTGGCCGCGGCCCAGCGGGTAGTCATGTCACAGATGCTCATGAAGAACAATTCTCCTCGCCTGCTCCACTTCCCGCCAAGTCCATTGCAGAGCACGCTCCTAAAGAAGAGGCACTTGAGGTTGAGCCCCCGCACGACCCTGCTAGAGCTGTTTCCCAGGCTATGCCTGTTCCTCAAGCTACTGCAACCGGTTCTGGTATTCGTGCTCTCGTACAATATGACTATGAGAAAGCAGAGGATAACGAGCTCGAGCTTCGAGAAGGAGAATATGTTACTAATATTGATATGGTTGATGAAGATTGGTGGCTCGGAGTGAACGCCCGAGGAGAGCAAGGCCTCTTTCCAAGAAACTATGTTGAAGTTGTCGAGGAGAGTAGTTCCACCCATAAAACGGCTGCGGCTTCGGCTGCGACTGGAACTCATGCCATCCAGCAGCCTGGACCAGCTCAGCAGACTACCGGGGCACCAACTTCAGCCAAAAGTCGGGGTCCTACTGCAACAGCTTTGTATGACTATGAAGCAGCTGAGGATAATGAAATTGGATTTCCGGAGGGCGCAAAGATTACCAATATTGTAAGTTGCGTACTGAATTTAAATCTCGCGACTTTCGACCTTTTTTTTTGTGTTTGGCTCAGAGATACTGACGTGAGGTTTTCTCTCACAGGAATTTCCAGATGAAGATTGGTGGCATGGTGAATTTAAAGGTAAAAGTGGATTGTTTCCAGCCAACTACGTCCAACTTGATGAATAAACGGCTTTATCCGCCTCATGCCAATTTGAAGTCCAAATTCTCTAGTCGTCAAAGTAGTAACAAGCTCTCAATCGCTTCTTGCTCTCACCAACCGCGTGTTTTCGCATTATGGACTTGAGTTTTTCTCTTTTATTTGCTTCTTGGCGGGTTAAGTGCTGTTAGTACTACTAGCTAAATTTTTTGATTTTGATAGCGACCTTTTCCTTCCCAAAGAGACATTGGAACAATCAAAATGTTCATATCGATTTCATTACAACTGTTTAGAGGAGTAAATGAGTGACACTCTCATTTCCGTGTTTCATTTTGCAATCACACGCCTCACCCAGCAGCAGTTACTCATGTTTTGCAAAAAAGAAATTTGCCCCAACCACGTCTAACCCATATTCTGATGCCCATTGACGAACCCCATGCCTCTGTTTCCCGTATCCCCACTGCTTCCTCTCCTTCGGAGCTTTGAATTTTCCTATCGCCTCAGCATCACCCCTAAGCAAAACAAAGACATACCGATGATACCCAGTCCCCTGTGGTGGACTAGGAGGCATATACTTTTCAATGACTTTCTCACCCGATTCTTCGGAAGAGCCCGCCCTGCCACCTGCTTGTGTGCTAGAAACGTTTACCATAATCCAGTGGCAAAATTCACTCCAAATTGGCTCTTCACGGCTCTTTGCGTCCGGGTCTGTGAGCACAAGCGTATATGCCTGGTTGGAATTGGATGTGCTATCGGAGGAACCAATTGAAGAGAATTCATATCTAGGAGCATCTTGGGCTTTTGTTATAGGGATCTTGTTCCCGAGCTTTGCTTCCGTATGGGTAGAAGGATAGGTGATGTTCAAGGAGAATTTGGGCTCGAAATCATCCAGAACTAGGAGAAGTTCCGGTCAGGCCTTTGTGGCATCCAAAAGGTTTTCATATTTGGGCGCATCCTTACCATCTGGAATGATATCGTTGGTACGCAGGCTGATTTAAAACAGCCGCCTAGTCAGCTTTTGAAATGTTCGTTCTCGGAACGGCAAAAGCAGTGGCATCAACTCACGCATCTCGAATTGGCTCTGCCATAGTAGAGTTCGCCTTGCCTGTGTGGTAGTTAGTATTCCGGTGACTAGGGGAAACTGATAGGCTCCAATTGGCTCTTAGTTTTGAGATTCTGAACACAGGCAGCAGGAATTGATTCACTAATAGTCCTCTCTGGAGCTACATGCCGCTTGTAACGAGTTCTCATCCATCCCTCATAACCCAAGCAGCGACGTCATACATTCTCATACATTTGCACTGTTTGACAGCGCACAGACAGCTTATCTAATCGCACATGCGGCTGTGAGGCCGAGGTTAGCGCCTTGGCGTTGCATTGACTCGCATCACGTGAAAATGCGTCTCGACCTGCACCGCAACAACAAAAAAGGTTGGCGGAAGAAGGCATTTCATAACACGGTCGAAGCAGAGGTCAAGACTGGACTCGTGAGACTCCGTGAGACTGCCGCTGAGGCCTCGCTCATTTCACATACCGGTATTCTTAATTCTGCGCCCCCTAAGTTCATGTAGCGGCCTCTCCCGCCGCGACAGCTGTTGCCCGCCATTAGCCCTTGTTTTGCCTGGTCCAGCCCATTAGCCTCTGACTTCCCACGCTCCCCCTTCACCTAGCAAGACACCACTTTTGGACTTCGGTATCATAAAAATGGCAACACTGGGAGAGGATTTACTCTCTACTGTCAACAAGTTGCAAGACTTGGTGTTCAATACCATTGGAAGCGACTCTCTGGATTTGCCCCAGATTGTAAGTTGGAGCTATCCAAACATAGCTGGATATGTCGGGATGCTGAATGTTTCTTTCCATAGGTTGTTGTCGGATCCCAGTCTTCCGGAAAGTCTTCGGTTCTTGAAAATATTGTTGGAAGAGATTTCCTCCCTCGTGGCAGTGGCATCGTTACCAGACGCCCTCTGATCCTTCAATTGATCAACGTCCCGAGCGATCACGATGATACAGCCGATAATGAAGAGGTCAATATTCCCCATACTGCCGCTTCTGTTGCCGGCCGTGGAGAGTGGGCAGAATTTCATCACCAACCTGGTCGCAAATATGAAGATTTTGCCCAAGTAAAGCAAGAGATCGAGAATGAAACCGCCAGGATAGCAGGGAATAATAAAGGAATCAATCGACAACCCATTAACCTGAAGATATTTTCTTCCCATGTCCTGAATCTTACCCTGGTTGACCTTCCGGGCTTAACCAAAGTTCCCATTGGAGATCAGCCCTCGGATATTGAAAAGCAAACGCGGAACTTGATATCTGAATATATTGCAAAGCCAAACAGTATCGTCCTGGCTGTTTCCCCAGCAAATGTAGACCTTGTCAACTCAGAGGCCCTGAAGCTTGCGCGCCACGTTGATCCCGTCGGAAAAAGGACCATAGGTGTTTTAACAAAGCTTGACTTGATGGATCACGGTACCAACGCCATGGATATTCTTACTGGCCGCGTTTATCCCTTAAAACTTGGCTTCATTGGAGTTGTCAATCGGTCTCAACAAGATATTCAGGCCGGAAAGCCCCTCGCTGACGCCTTAAAGGCCGAGGCTGATTTTTTCAGGCACCACCCGGCATATCGAAACATGGCTATACGGTGCGGAACCCAGTACCTCGCAAAAACACTTAATACAACATTGATGGGCCACATCCGTGAACGTCTACCGGACATTAAAGCCCGTCTGAATACCCTTATGGGACAAACACAACAGGAACTTGCCAGTTATGGCAATAAACAGTTTAGCGGAAAAGAGCATCGCGGTTCTCTGATTCTACAACTTATGACTCGGTTTGCATCTTCATTCATTTCATCGATTGACGGTACTTCATCGGAGATATCAACCAAAGAACTTTGTGGCGGTGCAAGAATCTACTATATCTTCAATTCCGTGTTTGGAAATTCCCTCGAGACTATAGACCCTACTACCAACCTTTCAGTTCTCGACATTAGGACGGCAATTCGAAATTCCACCGGCCCAAGGCCCAGCCTTTTCGTTCCTGAGCTTGCGTTCGATTTGCTCGTCAAGCCCCAAATCAAGCTACTTGAGATCCCAAGTCAGAGGTGTGTTGAGCTTGTTTATGAAGAGCTCATCAAGATTTGCCACACCTGCGGCTCCACTGAACTATCTAGATTTCCACGGCTCCAGGCTAAGTTGATTGAAGTTGTCTCGGATTTACTGCGAGAACGCCTTGGGCCATGTTCAAATTATGTTGAGTCCTTGATCTCCATACAACGCGCCTATATCAATACCAATCACCCAAATTTTCTCGGAGCTGCTGCTGCCATGTCATCTGTTATCCAGAGCAAGCAGGAGCAGGAGAAAAAAGCCGCACTTGCTGAAGATAAACGTAAGCGTGAAAGGCGACGACTCAAGGAGCTCGGGGGTGTGAATGGAACCGCCACCCCTGACGACAATGAGGATCATCACGATGATGAAAAACTTCAGGCAATTCCATTTCGAGGGCAGAAGGTCGGCAGAAGCCAATCTCCTCACGTCGGAAATCTAGAAAATAGCAAAATATCTTCTTCTCTCAACGGCTTCCAAGCAGCTGCCCAGTCCACAGGCCGAGACTCTTTCTTGAACTATTTCTTCGGAAAAGAAGGTGCTCTCCCTGCACCTGGCCCCGCAGCTGGCTTCTCTCGCCATGTCAACCACTCTACAGAGCCAAGTTTTAGCCAGAGTTTCCGCCGTAATGAAATGCGATCTCCATCAATGTCCCAAAACTTTGCGGACGATGTTGCAGCTCAATCAGAGTTCGGAGATAATCCTTTACTGGTAAGTCCCCCCGCCTCTCTTTCGAGTCGAATTGGATACTGACTGGTCTCAGAAGGACGATGTCGAACCTGCACTCAGCGACCGTGAAGCTCTTGAAACAGAGCTCATCCGCCGATTAATCTCATCGTACTTCAACATTGTCCGTGAAACAATTGCTGATCAAGTTCCTAAAGCTATTATGCACTTGCTTGTCAATCATAGTAAAGATGTCGTTCAGAATAGGTTGGTCAGCGAATTATACAAGGAAGATCTTTTCCCAGAACTCTTGTATGAAGATGACGGCATCAAAGCAGAACGAGAAAAATGCGAGAAGCTGCTCGAGACATATAAAAAGGCAGCCAGAATTGTGGGGGAGGTGCTCTAGTATAACTACTTCGCTGCTTCGCTCTCCTTTAATTTTGATATCCTTGCTTGACCCCGTGCCGTGCTCCATCATCTTACCTCTCCGTGCTCCGCTTGCGATATTTTTGCTAGGCTTCGACTTTCTTTCTGCAGCCATATCACTCAGTGGTGGGTTTCTGTATTTCTTGCTACTATGGTTGAAATATTTTCCCTCTTTATATATTATGACCTTCTTTACTTCTTTGGATAGTATGAAGACTAGCAACAGACAGAAGAGGTGTTTTCATAGAGTTTTATCAAAACTGGCTTTCATTTTCTTTCGTTTCTCTCTCTCTTCTTTGTTATCGAGTTACAATACAACGATGCCACGCCAGAGGACGTTCCTAATGTATGTATATTTATTTGCCTGTATTTCTATTATGTTTATTATTGCCCTTCCTGGTTGACGGGCGAGTTGTGCCTGATATTAATGCTATGGTGTGCATTCGATTGATCCATCTGCTGTATAGCGGTATGGGCTTTTGCTGGATGCAAGCTCTTTAGTTTCAGTTAAAAAAAATATATTATTGATGATATCATCTCGCATCCTTAATTGGGTTCTATACCAATATATGGGAGGGGACTGCCCTTTGGGCAGTCCCCCCCCCCCTCCTCCCCTTCTTTCTTGTTGTTACCCCAACACCTGTTTTGTATGGTTGTTGCTCTTCTTTTTGTATTTATATTTATATACTTATTTTCTTTTGTATATTTATTTATATACTTATCTAGTGTTTTATATGTTTATATATTATATTATTACTAGTATTGTCTATTTTAACTTATTTATATGTTGTGTTGTATCTTGTATTGTGTATATTAACTTATTTATATGTTGTGTTATATCTTGTATTGTTTAAATAAGGATTGTGTTGCAAGCGGGGGAATTCAGTATCCGCTGCGTTAGGATGTAAACTTACTTTTGGGCTTTTTCTTGGGCCTCTATTTTCTTTTGTTCTATGTATGTACGGGGTAGGTAGGTCTAGTTCGATGTTCAACGACCGGAAAAGCAATTGATTCCGAGTGGCATTTCTTATAAAGCCTTACAATCAGTATTCAGACACCCGAACATATGCATGACAACTAATGGTTAAAAATATAGAACAAAGCACCAGTTTCCAGCATACTGGACGAGCGTTGAGCTTTAGCTTTTCTTTTTCGCTGTGCCTATTTCCTGCGTTTTCCTTAGTCTTGCTCCCTCCCACGCATATATACCACCAGCAACAAACACTACACCTGCGCCCGTCATAACGCCACTTGATAGATGATTGCCAAATAAATATACACTCAAAACCAAGCTCACTAGCTTGCGGATGTTGAGGACGACAGTGACAGTCAATGAAGACGATTTCGCACTCAGAAGGTAAACGCCACGTATACATAAAAATTGAGTTAATGCATTGAGGAGAAGGTAAAGTAATTTGAGAGGAATATGGGAGAGAATAGAGTGAAAAAAGGGATTGGTAAGAAGTATAACGAGAGGTGTGGGAAGGCTGGAATTGGCAATAGGATTGGCCGAGGAGCCCAGGATCGATGGCGAGGAGAGCAGATTGCGAATCTGCGGGATAAACTGCCCAGATGTAGGCAGCAGAAATAATAGAGAAAGGGCATGAGAGTAGAATAGGCCCTCACGCCAGCTTTCCCTTCCATACGTTTGGAAGAGTCGATCAGCATAAACGCCTTGGAATGCCGCAAGAACCATAGCCAGCCCTAGGACTGTAAACCCAATTAGGGTTCTGATTGAAGCAGTTTCGGTGGCATTTAAGTCGGCTTTTGTTGATTTACCCTTTGCACTGGCATCTGCAAGGGCAGCAGTGACAACTCCGACTGAAAGTAAGCAGACTGCAGCAACCTGTACACGTGTATATCTCTTTGAGTTATACAAGTATCCAATGATCATGGATGTCACTGGTCCACCGCTTCGAATAATGATATGCAAAGGTACAGATATTTTGAACAAAAACGCCGAGTTGTTCATAAGGTTCACAGTCATAAAAAATGCTGTGAAAATGGCCCACTTCACAATAGGCACAGCTCGTTTTTTGAAGAATAATGGTCCCTTTCCAGAAGAAAAGGAGATGACGTTTGGGAGAGTGAAGAGTGAAGTGATTGCAAACTGGGTGAATGTCACAAGTGCACCTGAGAGTTATCAAGTTAATAAATCCATGCTGCATCCCAACAGCAGCTGGGGAGATCTTACCAGCATTAGGCATGTCACTTAAAAGCAAGGTCCATAGTCAGCAGATAATTGTGAGTCCAATAGGGTTGATACCAAGAACTCACGTTACAAGTGCTTCCAATGTAAATACCTGAAAGAGCCCAGTTTATTAGTACAAATCCATGGGTATTACCCCCTCCAGATCTAATCTTAGCAACTCACATTCGCGCAGCATCCACCAAATATCAACCCCAACATCAAAGCAATGTTCACCCATGCAGGGAGAGTTGCATGTGCAACTGCAGTTGCTATACCCCCTGCACCTTCATTTTTCCTTTTCTCTATACCATCTCTTGTAGCAGCGTGCATAGGCCCATCAGCATGGGTAGCACTCTTACGGGTATGCGAGGGAGGGTCCGAGGTAGAGGCGGCGGCGCCTTGGGTTTTGCGTTGTCTTGCAGAATCGGGGCTCGTTGTTGCGTCCGACATTTTGAGGAGCTCAGCGCTATCTAGCCACGGTTGTCTACTTACGACTCTTGCAGAAAATAACCGGCCGTGCCAAAAAAAAAAAATGGCCGAAATCGGTAGGCTAAGGGTGGTTCTAAGAATAGAAGGTATAGAAAGCAAAAGAGTCTATTAACTAATTCAGAGAGAAAGAAAGTGACAAACATAAAAAACTCCGGTTTCCACCAGTCTGCAAAAGCATCACTTTTCCGCCATGATAGCGAGAGTTGCTCCTTTTCAATCCTGGCGTTGGCCGCCATCAGTCTCGCATCCTGCTGAGTCAGCAGGGGTCTTTCGATGTTTATCAGAAAAGAACAGATATACGACGCAGACAACGGGGAGTGGCGTGATGGAATGGGTATTTGGAGCTAAAAACGCTCCATTAACAATGTCTAACCTGCGCGGTACAGAATTCAGTGTCTGGGCAAGTGATTGTAGGTATAATAGGACAGCAATCTGCCTAAAATCAGTTGCGTTATCTACAGAGGACTAGCTTTCCAAACGACTGCATGCTCAGTATATTACTCGGGTATTTAGTCGCACTACATTTATCTATTTAATTAAGAGAATATTTTGTACGATCGTCTCAATCTTCAATGTCGTCATCGCTTAAAACAAGAGAATCCACTGCGGTTTCGACCTCAGGGGCCAAACCCCTTACTTGCAATGGTAATTTATGAGACGGCACTGGCGGGCCATTGCGTGACATGCGATTCTTTTGCGGCGATTTCGGCACTGGGTCTGTTACCCAGTGCTCCTGCTCGGGATTTTCGAGTAAACAAAGGTCGAGATCAGAGACATTTGGGTGCCGGTCAAATGACCCGTAAAACTGCGTTATCTTTGCAAGATCTCTTCTTTTAGATGCATCCTTGGATACCATTCTCAGGTACGGTAAATAGTCTAACAGCATCTCCTGGGAGGACATCATCAATCTACCCGCCGCGGGTAGCCCCTGGACATCTTCCTTTTGGGATACGCCACCAAACGTCAGGCGACTTCCCCAGGATTCCACTCCCTCACTCCTCGTGGCAGAGCCAGATGAACGGTCAGAGAAGGTTGGATTCATTAACCTTGAAGTCCACACATCTAGTAGGCCGTAAAATTCCTCAATCTTCCTCCATAATCGCATGGAGGTCGGAAAGAACATCTTATGAACATCGCCCCCCGAAACACCCGGGACAGCCCGCCTCTTTACTGGGTATGGAAGGGAAAACAGCAATCCCCGCACAGCAACCAGGAAGCTTATTTCATCCTGACGCAATACATCGATACTAGTTCCTGAGGTCAGGGAAGAAAATCGAGACAAACTCGTACCGCCTCGATTAGGCTGGCCGCCCGGACGAGCATCAGGGCTGAGGACATCTGCATCAGATAGTTCTGAGATGCAGTCGGCAAAAATGTCCGTAAAATCGTCGCTGGTACAGGACAGAATGTAATTCTCATGAAGAGCGGCAATGAATGTCTGTATATCCGTTCCGGTCTCGTTGATAAGGCTATCAATCGAAACTTCCGAGACCTTTTGGCGCGCAAATTGCGGGAGATGCTCAGGCGGTTGAGGAGCTTGTGCACTGGGGCCCATGATGATGGTTGGGTCCTGTCGTTTATTGTACACAACCTTTCCAACGGCATGGAAGATCCCTAGGCTTGCTTCCCTCTGGGTGATAGCTTCGAGCGAGTCCTTTTCTGTCTCTGTCAATACACCCACCGACTTAACCCCTCTTCTGATTCGACTGGCAATTGTTCCACTCCAAATGCCATCGGCGTCGCCCCGTAGACACATGAACTCCAAAGACGAGATCGCGCTCCGGACATCGCCCATGTCTGCAAAGACTTTGAGGGCCGCTGGTCCGGGCACCCGCCGTCGTTTCGATACGCGAGCCTCTTTTTTCAAAACAAGGTCTAGCGCTTTTGTGATGAAAGTAGGGGCCATTCGATTGAAGTCGATAATACTCACACCGGGATGGTTCGATACCTCAGCTCCAAGCAGTCTATGGACAGTGAAGTTGTCCGATATAGCAGCCCCGGTACCTAACAAAGTCTCTGAAACAACAATAACGAGCGGAGGACTCAACCCAAGGTCTTGCCCCGCTGATACACCCCGAAGTTGGTGGGGCGGCACAGCGGCAGCAATGTATTGTTGGAGAGTTGACCTAAAGGCCATCAAAGCCGAAGATCCTGGACTCAAGGATGCTGGAAACTCTTCCACAAGTATAATCCGCTTGGAGTTCCCAGAAGAATTAGAGTCACCATTCCGCGCGTCAGGTATAGGACCGTCCGATTCTCCGGACAATGTAAGGCTGTGAAATTTATCGCTGCGCCCCAGAAAATCCTCAAACTGGGCACTCATCGATACATAGCCAGGCGACATATATTGCTCCCCAGAATAACTCTTCCATTCTATAATATCGTAACTGAGAGCCTTCGAAAGCAGTGATATCGTGGTTGTTTTCCCGCTGCCCGCGGGACCTCTGAGCACCAGAATTCTCTATAGCAGTCAGCATCAAACAGAAGCTAGGAGGCGGGCAACAGAATCAGCAAGGTAAAGAAAAAGGAGGCACCAAGGAAGAACAAAATCTACCTACTTTTCTACTCCTTCCTGCAAAAACATCCGCCAGCCAACTCTGCACATCGGCAACTTTTTTCTTATGAACGGCTAATTCATCTAGGTTGGCTGGCGCAAATCGCTCCGCCCATGGCCTCAGTTGACCACCTTCTACTAGACCGGCGGACCGTCCAATTCCAGCATCAGCAGGCAAAAGAAACCGTTTTGTAGTTCTCGATACATTTGAGACCGTAGACGTCTGGCTGCCATTGGGCTGTTCCTCACGCCCCAGAGGCCGTGTACGTCCATTCACATTGTCCCTCTGGACATACCCAGCGCCCGTTCCAATATTTGACGACTGCTCCCGGTTCCAATCCCACGTAATATCATCCTCCTCGTCTTCAATCTCCTCGACAGCGTCCGGCGTGCTCGTAGTATCCACCGCTTTGCTCCATCGCTGCTCCTCCGTCGCCGTCGCAAAATACGAATGAAGCGATTTGCCCGCGGAGTTCTGGTTTCTCGATTTGCGCTTTTCCGGAGAGGACGTCGGCGAGGTATGTGAGGACGGGGTGGCCAGTCGCGCCGCTGGCTTGCGCGACGGGCGCGGAGGATGTCTCTTCGTAGTGGATGTGTTTGAAAAAATGGCAGCCGTGCTATCGTCGGCTCGAGTAACGTTTAGTCGCGTCTTGAGGCCCTGGCGTAGCGTGGACGTGCTTGAGGATGCTGCTTCGTCATCTGATGACTGCACCACAAGCCTCCGCTGCCGTTTCCTGGGAGGTGCAGCGGTCATGGCGCGGGAGGGGAAGGAACATGTCTTTCGGTTTCTTGTTATCAGCGCCTGTGAGACAGAGAATCCATGTGCTGTCTCCAACACCGGAACTTGTCGAGGTCGGTTTGTCGTTGGCCGTTGGCTAGCTTGTTTCTAACCTAGGCGAACTATATTACACTTTTGAGACCATAAAGAGTAAGAAAAAACGAAGATACCTACAGGGTCCAGGGGCCTGCGTGTGCAGTTAACTAGCAGATCGTGGATTGTTGTAACGGGGATTTTGTGGCTTTCAAAATGAGCAGTTCCTTTGCAAGCCTTATTCTACATACATAAAGAGAGGACTAGTAAGTACTCCATGGTGGACAATAACCGCTGACCACTGTAACTGTTACCCATTGAAGACCGTGCAGGCTATGTATAAAATAAATGACTGTGTATTCAGCAAAAAAAAAAAAAAGATGATAATGTGCAGCAAGGCTTGCTCCCATGAATCTTTTATAAATCATTCGCGAATTAGATATATCGCCGTATATCCACCAAAATACCTCCTGGTATCAAAATCCGAAAGAAAAAGGAAAAGAAAATGAAAATAAAAGGAAATCAATGTCTAGGATCCACCAAGGATATCATAGAAATAATCCTCATCCAGCCCTTCCCTGCTCGGGATCTCCGGACAGTCTCCAGAAAACGTGGCGTCGTCAAAGCGCACATTCAGCAGCCGAATCTTCAGCCCGTAGTTGCTCACCAGGTTGATCAGCTTGTTCGTCTCCGCCGTGATCGGCTGCTGGTTCAGAAGCATCAGCAAACCATCCAGCCACTCGGAGGCAACGCTGTGCGACTGCGGATGCAGCGCGAGGAGAACGATTTCCTTCTGCGTGCTGTTCGTTTTTGTCGTGTTGGAACGCTGGCGGCTGATGGTGGACGCGGAGGCGTTGAGAGTGGAGGCTTTGGGAGTGGTGCTCGAAGAAGATGGGTTCGGTACGTAGCCGTGAATTGTGATTCTGGTAGAGGAGGACGTGTGGGGGAGGGTTTTGATAGTGGAGCCGGAAGAGTCGTCGGGTGAAGCTGATACGTTGGAAACAACGGAGGAGACGGTATTAAGGTCAACTATCTTTAATTAGTAACAGGCACCGTTGAATCTCAGATATAAAACACCTACTCTTTTGTGCAAGGGCGTCTATGTCAGGGATGGTATTATCCATAGAATCAAAATCAGCATAATGCAAGAAACGTCTGTTGTGCGATAGCTGGGCATATCGATACGATGACACCGAATTCATCCGCTTCATCTCCGCCTTCGACGAGACGCCATTCTCGCCTCTAGCAGTTACGTCCATAGGGAACCACGCCCCCTGCAGTAAGCACCGTATCCGCTGCTCCTTGACAAACTGCAGCGCTTCATGATGCAGCTCCTCTCGAACCTGGTGCAGATGCTGGCCCCAGACATCTTCGTACGTCAGCTCCAGAAGCTCCATCTGCAGCTCCCTGAGCCTCTGGTATTCGAAATCGGCCATCTCTTCCTCGATTTCTTGGACATCTTTTGTGCGCGTGGCTCCGCCAACCACAGACTCGACAAGAATCCGCACGAGTTCTGCAATCTTGGAAAAGTCCTCGACCTCAGCGCCCGTTGCTTTCCATAATCGAAAGAAAGCATGCAGTCCAGCAACATGTAGCCGCGGCCAATGGAGCAGCAGTGGCTTGAATATTTTGTCGAGGTTCGACCTCGATTCAAGTATTAAATAGCCCTTGGGGTCTTCTAAGTCCGCCTTGTCAACTTCAAAATGCTCGTACAAGATAGCCGTGACGGCCAAGCACGCCCTGGCGATCGGGCATCTCTGCTCAGCAGGCCTCGTCGACTGCTCCAGCAGCATCTTTTGAAATTGGTCCTGATGCTTCCTCACAAAATCAGTCAAGTCCATCATGCCCAGGAACCCCATCTCCTGAAAATCCCACTGCGGACTCTCACTCTCAAACCCTAGACGCCTCCACTTATACGGATTATGCCTTCTCGAGCCCGTACTCGCAGCAGTAGCAGCAACAGCAACAGCTGCAGAACCAGCGGCTTCTGGCGCCAATTTTTCCGGATTGCTCGCCAGGTGGATACCCTTCAGCGCTCTGCGATGCTCGGTCTTCTCCAGCTCGACGGGGCAATCGCGCCACTTCTTCAGCAGCACCTTGGTCAGCGACTGGAACTCCAGCAGCGGCTGGGCCAGATCGTGCAGGGCGGAGCCCTGCATGAGCACGTAGGCGGCGCGGATGACGCCCAGGTCCTGCAGGCGCTTGATGAACTTGGGCCACTCGGCCTCGCCCTGCGACATGATGGAGTCGCGCATGAGGCTGTTGATGAGCTGCAGGGCGTTGGCGCACAGGGCGTGGTCGGCGGACGAGAGCCGGCTGACGAGCATCTCGAGGAAGGGCGGGTGCGTGGCGATGGCGGGCTTGAGCGCCTGGAAGCCGAAGTGGCCGGAGTAGCCGTCCATGGAGCCGCGGCCAGCGCTGTGCGGGTGCGAGACGATGGAGACGAGGATGGACATGGCGCCGCGCAGGATGTTGACCAGCGGGTGCGTCACGATCAGTTGTACGATCTGTATGTAGTATTGTTTTTAGCAAAAAGAAGACACAAAAAAGAGGGAATAAGGGAAAACCCACGCGATCAATAAACGGTTCATCCACGACCTCCCAGCCCTTATCGACCTCCAGCAGTCGCGCAAACGACGTCAGGCTGTACGCCAGCGTGTTGCCGGTGGCGGTCATGGCCAGGTGCTTCAGCTTGACCAGGCCGGCTTCGGCAATAAACACGTCGGCAAACGACGGATCGCCGATGTTCGACTGCAGCTTGAACACCGCCATCTTGCGCACCGCGTCCTCGTCGCTGCCCAGCCGCTCCGCCAGCTCGGAGACGTTGATGTTCTCCATCTCGGTCGTTTCTATACGGGGGGTTGTGGTCCGTGACGAGAGAGGGGAGGCAGGGCGGGAAGGGAGGGTGTATATAGAGGCCGTCGCATTCACCGGGAGCCACGGATCCCCGGCTTTCGCAGGGGAGGGGGTATATTATAGGGCGTCGAAGGGATATTTCGGGGGTTTAGAGCATGATGGCAGGGAGGTGGGATAGTTATTGGAGGTAGGAAGATTGTTTCACCAAGAACAGAGTGATCAGTAAGGCGGGGAGGGTCTGAGCAAATCACCCACGGAGCAATTCGAATTGGCCAGCAATAATATGGCCGTGGAGAGATCAGCCCTTTTTGCTGTGGGTGGTCGTTGCAGCAGCGGATATCCCTGCGCCGGCCAGGGGGTGCGCACGTGATGCGGAGTCTGGGCGCGAAGTCTGGAGTAAACCGTCAGAGAGCGAGAGACAGACGAAGGCCTTTGGAGACAGTGCCAGACATAGTATTAGGAGAAAAGCGTGAGCAGAGGATTGCCTGGAAACCGCAGATTCATTACCACGTGTGTCTTCTAAATAAATACATGCATGTCTGTACATATGTAACTATGTATCCCCATCACAGCTGCATGCCACTCTTTTGTCCCTCGAAACGCCCGATGTATCTATCACATTAACAACCCAGAAAAAAAAAAAAAAATCAACACCTTCGCGCCATGTAAATTATCAGAAATCCCCACAATGCTTTGATTTTTTTTCACACAAAAATGAAACCAAGCCAAGGCACAGCCCAGTATATCTGAACAGATGAACACTGCAGCTATATCAATATATCCACCCGTTCCGCGATCCAATTCGTAGTTATTAGAACACCACCCGAAAAAAAAAATAATAATAATAATAATAAAGGGAAGTTGAAAAAACACCAATATGCTCCGTAGTATATGAATCTAGTCCGCAGACCTCAAGGAGCCAGAGCAAAACTCTAGTATCTTGCAGGTTTATTGCTGTCGCTGCGGCAGCCCCTCAGGAACCCCAGCCGACATTCCAAAAAACATGGGCGATATCGCGAACGGTATGCATCGCGTCGACGACTCGGCCAATCAAGCTGTCCTCCGGCGAGCCGCTGTCCCCACGGTCGCTGTTTCGATCGGCCAGCTGGTCCGGCGGCACGAACACGCCCGATGGAGACAGATACCACATTTCATCGTTGTCGCCGTTGCTGCTGCTGTCTTTCACCGGGCTACTTGACGTTTTTGGCGTTCTTGTCAGCAGCGAAGGCTGCGACGAGCTAGGGTTCTCATTCGCCTGATGTATGATGTCATTGGCGGCATTGACCTGCTGGAACGCAGATGCATAGCACGCAGGCCCGTATCGACCGTACGGCTCGTCGTCGACGTCCGAATCACTGTCGTATTTCAGCGTCGTCGGCGGCAGATGGGCAATGATGGTCCGCGTATCACTGTTGAAGCTGCTGGTGGACGAGGTACTGTCTCGCGAGTCCGGCCGCGAGTGGCCTTGCGGCGCCATGACGAGCGTGCCATCGGACATCTCGTCGTCGCTGTCGCGGCCGTCATCCAAGAGGCAGCACTCGTCGGCGAAGGCGAAGTTGTCGTCGTAGTCGCGATAGCACGGCTCGTGGTCATCGTCGTCGTCGCCGCCCACGGCGACGACTTGCGACACGACGTTGTTGAAGGTGATGCGGCGTCGGCCGGTGGGCGAGGTGGCGCCCGAAGCCGGGGTCGACAGCGTTGCTTCGGCGGCTCTCAGGGCAATTTCAGCGCGGGGCCCGGAAAAGACGCTGTCGGAGGCGGAGCGTTGCAGCCAGTCCACGTCGGGGTGGTCTGCTGAGCGGGATTTGATTAGGTTGCTGGCGTGTTCGAGGAGGGAGTTGGTGGAGAGGGAGTGCTGCAGGATGGCCTGGGAGATGGTGGTTCTCTTCAGGATGGGCTTTTTCACGGGGAAGCTGTTGGAGGCGGAGGGGGCGAGGAAGGGGAGGTCAGAGAGAGAGGATTCGGAGTCGTCATAGAGAGGGCCGTATAGCCAGGTGACATCAGCTTCTTTCACCCTATGAGCCATTGAACATTGTCAGCATCAGAACGTTATCCCCGAGGGAGCCACAAGACACTCACCAGCCCAGAGATTCCGGCGACAGAGTGGCGAGGCCGTACTCGATCTTGGACCACGCCCTCCAGGCGGCATTCGCCAGGCGATGGCCGTCAGGCAGCGAGTCTTGCTTGCCGACGGCATACCGCCAGGTCTGCCAGAGCTGCTCTTGCTCCCAGCGATGCGAGAGGTAGTCGACGTGCCTGCGAGGCCGCTGTTCCAGACAGGCATCGTCGCCGGCGGTGCGGGGCATGCGCAGGATCTGGAACAGCCAGTCGTCCAGCTGGGCCTCGGACACGGCGAGCGACGGCGGGTCGCAGTCCGAGGGGCTGGCGGGGCCGACCTCAAATTCGGGCAAGTGTAGCTCGTCGGCGAGAGTGTCGAAGAGGAGAGGGTCGAGCAGCGGCGCGGAGGCGGGCATGTACGCAGCGGGCGGCGGGCGCGGCGGCGGGTCGTCGGGGGCGTGCAGGACCCATGAGTGCTGGGCGGGACAGTAGGAGACGGTGTTGCTGGCGGGCATGGCGCGGGGGCCGGGCGGCTGCGAGCGAGCGCGCGGCGGAGCGAGGGCGGCGGGGTGGTGGTTGGGGGCATCGCGGCGGAGAGGGCGGTAGGCGGGGGCCAGCACGGCGGCCATGGTGGGCGGAATTGTCTCCCAAGGTCGGTGGCCCGGTTCGCAGAGGGAGCAGGGGCACGGCAGCCAGGTCGTTACGCACCGGCCATGGCTGTGAAGAGGTGGTGCAGCCTGGAGGAGAGGAGGCAGCACAGGGCTGGAGATAGGATGAGAGAAGACGAGGAGGAGGGCGAGGGGAGGGCGGTGTCTAATAATAAGAAGAAAATGCAAAATGCAAATACAAGCTCTGGCGAACCGTGGATTGGAGATCAAGCTCCAACCAGGTTTTTTTTTTTTTTTTTGGACGGCGCCCAGGCAGACCAGGCCAGGCCCGGCGGGATGGATGACGACAGCGCGGGCGGCAAGCAGGGCGGGCGCGACAAGATGCGAAACAGCAGCGAGGGCGTGCAGGGGAGTTAGGGGAGCAGCGCCCTTTTGGGGGTCGTCTGGGCGGCGGGCCAGGCGCAGCGACGGCGCGGGCTGGCCGGGGCGGGGGCGCCGCCACGGGGGGGGGGAGGGGGGCGCGCAGGGCCTGCCGATCGCGCGCGCCGGGGCTAAGCGACGCCGCCAGGTCGCTTATCGCTAGCAGGGGAACTAGCGCACGCGATAGGCGGAGTCTCAGCGACCGCCCGATAGCTCGGCCTGCCCGAAATCTCCCGAGGTCCCCGCTGGCCAACGGGCTCGTCTTAGGGTGAGGGTTAGCTGGCTCGGAGGGTGAGTAAGCCAGGCACTCACTTCTCTACGGGGTACTCCGTACTGCTCAGCGCACACACTCCCCTCCTCCCGCCCGCCCGCCGGCTGCCCGCCCATGACGCCCTGCGCCCTCACCCCCGTGCCCTGTGCGACCCCGGAGCCAGCCCCGTTGCCGTCGCGGGCCAAGGGCGGCGCCCGCCGCCAGCCCAAGCAATCCCGTAATTATTACCTACACGACCACTACATACGGACATAGCTACGCCAACCACCGCCTCCCGCAGCGCAAACGCTGCCCCAGGCCCCAAGACGCGCCGGTTCCCGCGCTGCCCGCCGGATCGCAATCACGGCACCAGCTCCTCCAGCCAAGCCGTCCTGCCCAACCGTCGCGCCCGCTGCCTCGCCCGCCACGGCCGTCGTCTTCGGGACTTGCCTCCCCGCACGCCCTGCCAGTACATAGCCCGCGCAAAAGGGCCTTCTCCAGGCCTCTCTTCCTTGCACTACCACCACCACTCCCATTCGCCCAACCCTCATACGAACCAGTTACACAATCCCACCGCAGCGCCTGCAATGTGTGCAGAAACTGTCTCCAAGCCAGAGCATGGCCATGCCGAGATCCTGCCCAAGAGCAATGCCCACGACGCCGCCGAGCAGGGCCAGGTCGCCACAGACGCGTATGTTCCCTGAAGAAAAAAAAAAAAAAAATTTTTTTCTTGTGTTTTGGAGACACCCCCCTGTTCATGCGCTGCGGCTAACAAAACACCTCAAGATATGGCAACTCGCTGGTGCAGTTCGACCCCGTGGCCGAGCGCCGCCTGCGCACCAAGATCGACTGGTACATCGTGCCCACCGTCTCGCTGCTGTACCTCTTCTGCTTCATCGACCGCGCCAACATCGGTGAGTCATTATCGCCACGCACCAGCGGGCTGGCTATCATTTTATACCAATTGAACGACGGACCGGCTAACTCGACCTGCAGGAAACGCGCGCCTCGCCGGCCTGGAGAAAGACCTGCACATGACCGGCTACGACTACAATGCCGTGCTCAGCGTCTTCTACGTCTCCTACATCCTCTTCGAGATCCCCTCCAACATGCTGTGCAAGTGGATCGGCCCCGGCTGGTATCTGCCCGCCATCAGTCTCGGCTTCGGCATCTGCTCCGTCGGCACCGCCTTCGTGCAGAACAAGGCCGCCGTGAGCGGCGTGCGCTTCCTGCTCGGCGTCTTCGAGGCCGGCATGTTCCCCGGCATCGCCTACTACATGTCGCGCTGGTACCGCCGCAGCGAGCTGGCCTTCCGCCTCTCGCTCTACATCGCCATGGCCCCGCTGGCCGGCGCCTTCGGCGGCCTGCTGGCCTCCGGCATCCTCAAGCTCGCCCACTTCGGCGGCCTGCGCCAGTGGCGCATGATCTTCGCCATCGAGGGCATCGTCACCATCGGCCTCTCGCTCATCGGCTTCGTCACCTGGACCGACCGTCCCGAGACCGCCTGCTGGCTGTCGCCCGAGGAGAAGGACCTCGCCGTCGCCCGCATCAAGTCCGAGCGCGTCGGCACCACCGAGGTGCTCGACAAGCTCGACAGGTCCAAGATGACCAAGGGCCTCTTCAGCCCCATCACCCTCGCCACCTCCTTCATCTTCCTGCTCGACAACATCACCGTGCAGGGCATGGCCTTCTTCCTGCCCACCATCATCCGCGCCATCTACCCGCGCTACTCCGTCGTGCAGCAGCAGCTGCAGACCGTCCCGCCCTACATCGTCGGCACCTACTTCACCGTCTTCATCCCGTTCCTCAGCTGGCGCTTCGACCGCCGCAACGTCTTCATGATCTTCTCCGCCCCGCTCATGATGATCGGCTACACCATGTTCCTCGCCTCGCAGAACTCGCGCGTGCGCTACGGCGCCACCTTTCTCATCACCAGCGGCGCCTTCTCCTTCGGCGCCCTGTGCAACGCCCAGGTCTCCGCCAACGTCGTCTCCGACACCGCCCGCTCCGCCGCCATCGGCATGAACGTCATGATCGGGAACATCGGCGGGCTCATCTCCACCTGGGCCTTCCTGCCCCACGACTCCCCTCATTTCCCCATCGGCAACGGCCTCAACCTGGCCGCCAGCAGCTGCATCTTTCTCACCGCCATATTGCTCCAGGTCTGGGTTAAAATGGACAATCGCAAGAGAGATGGGAAGGACATCGACACTGAGCTGGCTGGCCTGGACCAGAAGGCTATTCAGAACCTTGATTGGAAGCATCCAGCGTTTAGATGGAGGTTATAAAATTGTTCATTTGCCCTCCCCTTCATTTGCCCTCCCCCCTTTTCCCACCCCCTTTTTTTGCCCGAAACTTGTTCCCGTAGCGGCTCGACTTTCATGCCTCGACGTTGTGATTAGATTGAAATAAACTTTGCGGTTCTTCAGCCAAAATGCGGGGTTAAACTTTAGCGCTAATAGTCACGTGAATGCCAATTTATTCTTGCTTACATAAATACTCTCCGGATTAACATTTCTCCTCTTGTATGCCCGCCCGCACCGCCCTCGCTCACCCCACCGCCTGGTATGAGCATTGAGCACAGCGGATGCTCAACATATTAAGCAACACGCTGGTATTGTAATTGAGCGCCATGGCCGATTCAGCAGAGACCGAAGCTCAGATAGCTCCTGCGGAGCCCCAAGCTAGACATATTGTCTACTGTGGAGGTAAGAAAGATGCCTTGCGAATTTAATCATCCACCCCTCACCCAATCTACGGAGTTGTGCAAGCTGACATCTCTCTGGTGCCGTGAACTCTAGTATGCACTCTTCCGCCTGAGGTATGATATTTTCTACTATATAAAAAAACAAAATTACAGCATTCCGAACCCATACCTCCCTCCAAGGAGCTCCCCCCGCTAAATACTCAATAGTATTGCGAATTCGGCGGCACAGCAAAGAAGTGCGAAGAATGGATCCAAACAACCCATCCCGACCTACACCAGAAGCTCTACTCAGAAGGTATTGCCCCCCCGCCTCTCCATCTTCACCCCCACACACACCTTTTTCTAATACCCCTCCCAGAAGCCATCGCCGCCAACCTCTCGGCGCTCTCCCTCGAAGCGCGCCAGCGCGCGGCCAAAGACGCCGCGAAAAAGGAAGCCAAAGCGGCGCTGGTGGAGACGCGCAACCAGGAGCGCAAGGCGGCGGCGATGATCCAGATCAAGCGCGTGGAGCGCAACAAGCGCAAGTTCGTGACGGTGGTCGCGGGCGTCGAGGCGCACTGCGGGCTGGACCTCAAGAAGCTGGCCAAGGAGCTCGGCAAGAAGTTCGCCACGGGCTCGTCCGTCACCAAGAATCCCGCCGGTGGCGAGGAGATCACCGTGCAGGGCGACGTGAGTGATGATGTGCTGGAGTGGCTGGTCGAGACGAAGGGTGTGCCTGAGGATAATGTGGAGTTGGTGGAGGATAAGAAGAAGAAGAAGGCGGTGGAGTGAAGGGTCTTTTTTTTTTTTTCTTCTCTCCTATGCTTCGTTTATTCTGGGGCCGGCGTTCTCTTTCCTTTTTTTTCGGAACCATTTTGCATTGGAGGGCATAAAGTGTTGATTTCTTTTTGGTATTTTGCGCGCCTGGAATGGAATGCATCCTCCTTTTCATGACTAGAACGCCTGGAAATCGCATGGCATGTGTGAAAAAACAATTATAACTTATTGGTAGCATATGGGGTATCATGAACTCATAAATCATATCAAACACACACTTTAAAAGCAGAACGCTGAGCAAATGAAGTAATATTATTATTATTATAGCTCATCCAGAACTCTTTGTATTCTCTCCTCGGCATCATCGTACAGTGTTTCTCTAGTCGGCACCTTCGAAGGCTTGCTACTATGGCAAGTAGCCTCAGCATCTGGCACCGGCAGATGTCTCCCTGGCCTTTCTTGGCCCTTGGTCATATCACCACCGATCGTTTCATTCCGACACGTCAAGGCATTATTGACCTGCGGTACATCACGGACGACGACGCCGCGACCCAGCGAGTTCTCCGCGCCGCCGCCATTCGACCTTCGCAGGCCCAGATCTGGTTTCAAATGGTCCACCAAGCCGACAACGGCGAGCAGCAGAAGCGTGCACACCATCACGGCCCATAGAATCCTCAACCGCCGACTGACCATGTTCTGCCACTCGATCTCCTTGCGGTCCCAGACTTGAATCTGCTCTCGGACAACCTGGAGCCTCTTGTCCAGCTGCAGCGCGGTTTCCTGGCAGTTTTTCATCCTGCTCTCGAGCGCTTCGATCTTGCGGATTTGTGGAGAGAACTCGTCGAAATCTGCAATATGCTTGTTTGTGTCCTGCACGAGCTTGGTGGTTTCGCGGGTGAATTCTGTATCAACGGCGGCCGTGAAGTCGCGGAGGCGCTGGAACGAGGTGATCATCGTTCCAATGCTGGAGAGTCGGTCAAGAAGGTTGTAATAAGCTACGTCCAGGCGCTGAGAGAAGGAAATCGATCGTTCTGCGACAGACGCCAGCGCGGCGGCGTTGGACCTTTTCGCAGCAGGGTTGTTAGATCACCAATATAAGGGAGCTTCAACCACAGGCACAGGAAGAACCTACTTCTCCAGCATCTCTCGATTTTCCCTCTGCTTCTCCACATCCGCCCTGCTAACACGCGCCTTGAATCGAACAAACGGCAGCCGCACCGACTCCTCGCGTTCCGGCGTGCCCCCTGGCACGATACTCTCACCCCCTGGCCCCTGCGACGACGTAGCTTCGCTGGCGAGCATGTCTCTCTTGCGCGAGCGATGACCTAGCCGGCCATCATGCGAGCGGTGTCTTCGATGCGGACGTAGATGGTGCCTATGCTTCCCCCCCGGTCCCGGTGTGCCTGCACGCGGATCACGTTCTACGGCGCGAGAATATGCGTGGCCGTCGGTGCCCCCCGGATGCTCGAGCCACGTTACATCCGGCGCGAAGAGCGCATCGTGCGGGCGGCGGTACAGCGGGAGGCGGTGCGAGTGGTGGCGGTGGTACTTGGTCTTGGTGCTGCTTTTCGTCGGCGGCGAGAGGGCGGTTGGTGAAGCTAGTTTGGCAGGAGAGCCATGGATCGGGGAGAAGGTTGGGAACTGGCGGGTGGTTTGGTCCATGGCGGCGGGCTGGGGGTCGTTGCTATGTTTACGCACAGCAACGGAGTGTTTGTCCGGCAGAAATGCATCCTTAAGCTCTTTGGTTAGGCATGAGGTGACAAGATCAGCCCGAGCAACCTTGGGCGATGTGTTCGCCAAGCTGGCCGGCCAGGAGCAGCGAGTTTAGCTTTAGGGCTGCCGCGGCTTCACGACGGCCATTGCTCAGCGATACCTGTGGCTGTGCCAGAGTCTGAATCGTAGGCTACAGAGTATAACCCATAGAGACTATGTATATGAACCTAGAAATAGCTATTGTTTGTTGACAAAATGTTGATACTGTTTTCCGGCAAGGTGCTATCCATCAGAGCCCGATGATCATAAGACACCAAACAGTGCTATTTCCAGGGTCAGGGACATATCTCCCAGGTAGTCGATGGGATTTAGTGTTCACCATTCTCGTCTATTCCAAGGTTGATCTCTTTGTTTGCTTGAGAGGCGCTGCACTGTGCACCAACGATTACTTCTCCTTCAAGAAACACGACTTTTCGATATACGTAGAGGTCTCTAAAACAATAGAAACCTGAAGGGTATTTCACGGACGTATTGATTTTAGTCCTCTTAGAAAAATCAACGTGTTCAACCGTAACTCCAAAACACCATTCATGCGGTAACAATAAGCAAGCATCCACCAAATTCTAAGACTTAAGCAGCTTGTTTCTCTTTTCTCGCCTCTTCCGCCGCTCAACCCGCTTATGGTGCATTTTCTCAGCCATCTTCGCATACCGCTCCTTTTCTTCTTTGGCGGCCCGTCTATCTTTGATTCCTTGTATGCGACGCTATGAAAACAAAGCCTATTAGCACAGTCTCCTTACACCAGTCACAATGAAAATTATAACTGAGTGATCAGTTACCTGTCTTTCTGCCTCTTTCTCCTCCTTCATCTCCCTCTCCCGCTCTTTCACCACCGCCATCGCCTTCCGTTGCTCAAGCCGCTGGGCATACGAGGTTTGCCCTTTATTGGGGCGAAATGCTGATTTCGTATCGTGCCAATTCTTGCCTAGCATGCGAAGTGAGAAGAGAAATAACCAGAGAAAAGAAACAACCACACCGCAAAAGCGGGAGCTCACTCACCATTTTTTCGCATCCCCTTGGACGAGGCAGCGGGGGCTACAGCGGGCGCCACAGCAGGAGCGACAGCATCAGACGAAGACATCGCGAATATCCGTCACAGCTGGAGCAAACTCAGAAATATCCGCCGGTGTTCAAAGTGGGCTCAGCGTCCAGCCAGCGGAGGGAGCGTGAACGTCCGCCAAACGGGTCGGGAAATCAGTTTTCTCGCGCCAAGAACGCGCTGTGGCTGTGGGGCTGCGCGGCCGGCCAATCACAGCAGCCGTGCGCATCGCAGATTATCTTATCTTCCGGATCTCGGCGTTTTGTTCCGCCGACCCACCCGCCGCGAATTTAATCTCGCAAGAACGGCCATACGAGCAAGTGATAGCAGCCGAAATCCTGCGTGTGCTGGCTGGCCGAGAATTTTGCGTCTGGTTCTTGACTTTGCGCTACTGCAATATTCGACAAGGTATACGCTCGCCGTCATGGTCTTCTTCCTCGGGTGATGTGGAGCCGCCTTAGGTTATCAGATGCCCCGTTCGACGCCCGCACACGGGATCCTTCACTGCCCGCCGAAATAAATTCCGTCTACAATGCTCGCTCCATAGCACTCTTCAACCTTCGTTTTTTGGACACCCCAGCAGAGGGCCGCCAACTGCAATCGCTTCTCTCGGCAAATGTCAGCTGCGGGGCCGGTATCGGACCTGGCTCCGTCCACCGCCACCATGGCATTGGAGCTCCCAGACATACAACAGAAGGCTCAGGACCAGGGGAAGGAGGCGGTGAAAGATGTTCTTTTTGGCTCTGTATGATATCTCCCCCCATTGCTCTCTTGTTCCTTCCTTTACCTCCCAGGTACTGACTCGTATCAAGCTTGCCGGCATAGCAGGCAAATACATAGAGTACCCTTTCGATACCGTCAAAGTTCGCCTACAATCACAGCCAGATGGCATTCCCCTCCAATATAAAGGTCCAATTGATTGTTTTCGCCAATCCTTCAAAGCTGAAGGCGTGCGGTGGCTGTATCGTGGCATAAGCGCACCCTTGTTCGGAGCCGCCGTCGAGACCAGCAGTTTGTTCTTCAGCTACAGAGTCACCCAGGAAATCTTGCAGTCGACTATTTATTCCCCCTCCGAGAAGCTGCCATTTTCGGCCTTAATAACCTGCGGCGCCGTCTCCGGAGCGTTTACCTCCCTCCTCCTCACGCCCATCGAGCTCATCAAATGCAAAATGCAAGTGCCAAGGATGACGGAAGCCGGGCTGCGACCCCCCGGTCCCTTAGCCTTGATTGTCTCCGTTTTTAAACACAATGGATTACTTGGCTTCTGGCGTGGCCAAATGGGAACGCTCATTCGGGAAACGGGAGGTTCCGCCGCATGGTTTGGAGGGTATGAAGGCGTATCTGCTCTCTTCCGAAAATACAACGCGCAAAATTCGCCGGTTGGTTCGTCTGATATGCCGAAACCGCTACCATTATACCAGCAGATGCTTTCCGGGGCCGCTGCCGGCGTCAGTTATAATTTCATTTTCTATCCCGCGGACACCATCAAATCCCGCATTCAAACCGAAGACATTGCCGCCTCAATAGATAATGCTCGAAGGAAAACTTTCTGGGAAGTTGGCAGGTCGCTGTGGCGGCAGCAGGGTGTAACTGGGCTCTATCGTGGTTGTGGTATTACGTGTGCCCGGTCTGCCCCCAGTTCCGCTTTTATCTTCTCCATTTACGAAGGACTACGTTATTACTTTGGTTAAAAGGCATTGGTGTCGATTTAGGGCTGTATCTGAGATATACATTCCTCACTGTTCATAGAATAAGAAAAGGCGTTGCATGAAGAGAGAAGTTATGCATATTTTATTGCTTTTGCGGTTTATTTGGTCGGTTTTATTAGATTTCTTCTGTTGATATTTGATTACAGCTCAAATGCCCAATGATCTAAGACAAATCATCATCTCCCCTTGTGAGCAGCATCTTCTGGGAATTTCTCTTTAAGTTTCCAGGTATTTTTCAACCCCCTGATCTGAGGTTCAGAATGTACGGAGTACGCCAGTGGAAACCCCCTTGGGCATAACAGAACCAGTAACTAATGGTTTCACATATTCTTCTAGTTTTTATTCTTCATAAGCTTAATCAGCACTATCTTGCCACTTTGCCAATTTATTAACAAAAAGGACTTTGGAACACCTCTATTGCAACAAAAAACAAGCTTTACCTCTTATGTATGTATGTATCGACAAATCCATTTATAGAAACATTCAAGTTGCTAACAACAAAATCCCCCAATTCTTCAACATACCTTCTTCCCAGTCGATACAATCTCGAGCTTAATCACCATCCTTCTGCCACTCCCTCCAGTAGATGTCTTGGTCTTCTTGTGGGTCATGTACGTGGTTAAACAGGATATCGTCATTCCAACTCTCAATCAGTTATTCACTATCGTCACTGCTCCAAGGCCCGCGTACTTTCGACTCTGCGTGCCCGTCATAACCTGGCTGTTGTGAGAGGTTGATGCGTTCTCTTGTTTCTAGGATCACGCGATCTTGCCAGAATTCTTGCCCTGGCATGTGAAGCTTTGGGGCATAGACGTCATATAGCCCTGGCAAAAGAGCAACATCATTTGCACAATACTCTATGATTTCGGGTTTCATAGGACGTTCGTTAAATATCTCATACTGGCCACCTTGCTTGGGATCATAAAGGCGGATAACGGCTTGTTTCACAGACCGCCATTTCACTTTTGTTGCCTCGGAAGCAGTGCTGTGTCTTTCAATGCACCTGGATAGTCCAGCAACGAAATCTTTTGACCCTTTCCTTGTTGCAAGCTCCATAAGTTGAAGATCACAGACTCCGTCAAGGGAAATACCATAATGGCTGAACAAGGCATCTGAATCATTACGGACATCGAAAAAAACCTTAGGGTGTGCTGGAGATTGGAGAATGGCTCTAAGGGTAGTGCCTTCAATATTTGGAGTGGAAAATGCAATGTCCCCGAGCCGAAACATATCGATCAGGTATATTTCATTTTTTGGACGGAGGAAGACCGATATGATTGATATGGAGCCATGCCGACCAAGATTAACCCCTTCCAAATCAATATAGATAGAGGGAGGGAGGGTTGGAAGGCTATCAAGACAATCAACAAAAGCTAGGAGACTTTCCACCGAGTCTATGATTGTTGTGCTGTACTGTGCCGGGGGATTAGCCATGATGAAGGTGTGGTTCCAGGTGACGGAGAGAGGAAAGATTCTGGGCCTCCTTACATGGCTATTTATTTCTTTCCCATGATACTCTAGACCATAAGGGTACAGTACTGAACAAAAGAGTTGAATTTATAGAAGACTTCTAAATCTGCCTTATGAAAGTGAAAGAAATACGTCAGCTGAAGAAATAAACTCTCCAGAGATTAAAGAATTCTTTGATTCATAGTATATGTAAATCTGAATCTAAAAACTTCAGATCATACTGGCACTGTCTCACTCACTTCACTCCCGCTTGTAGCCTGTAGCGGCAAACATTCACCGCGCCAAGTGGCCGGCAGCGGGGTAGTAACCGCGGATATCAAAGCCACGGACGGCTTGACACCACCAAGCTCTATAACTCCAGCAAGTCTATTTACCCGCCCTGGTGCTATATATCCCATTCAGTAAAGACCAGAAGAACCCCGAACATGGCCTCCAACAGCCTCACTGCTGCTGAACTAGACACGCTCTCCTCCAAGGCAATCGCCGCGAAGAGTTCTGCGTACTGTCCGTGATACTTCACCAAATACCCATCTGATCCCTACTATCCATGTCTGACACCTGTACGTTTAGGCCCGTACTCAAAGTTCCAGGTTGGTGCAAGCCTCCTCACAGAGGACGGCACATTTTTTGTAGGTGGCAATGTCGAAAATGCAAGCTATCCAGTGGGGATATGCGCAGAAAAGAATGTATTCAGCACAGCCGTGGTATGCACCCATCGCTCTGTTTGACATTCTATCTTTAGCTTCCGTGTTGACGCTCCACCGTAGGTAGAAGGGCATCGTAAATTCAAGGCCGCGGCTGTGGCTACCAATACGTCGCCCCCAGCATCCCCTTGTGGATCATGCAGGCAATTGTGAGTGGCTATGTTACCACCCATCTTTCTTCAGCGCTCATATGTCTTGCAGTATGCGTGAGTTCTGCCCTACGAATTTTCCGGTATACTTGTATGACAAAGATGGGAGGTATGTTGTGAGAACTATTGGAGAAGTAAGTTGTTTTTCATTCCTCCTGGTCAAATTGCTATTAATGTCTGTACGTACTATCCTAGCTTCTCCCTGAGTCATTTGGCCCTGATGACTTGGCTTAATGGGCGTTCTGATGGCAAAGGCTTTGCCTATCTGAAAGTATATATAAGGATCATTACAGCTTTGTAGTATACACTCTGTATTTGAATCATCTACCCCCTGTAACAATGTAAAGGTTCTATTGCACGAGATATAGCAATTAGTTCAAACCCCGCTGTCTACTCGGACGAATCTGATGCTGGTAGAGTACATGGATGAAAACCAGAGAAAAAATGAAAAGAAAAAGAAGGCCAAGTGGGTTAAACACCATGCATGTTTAGTATCCAAGATATAAGCACAAAGTCGACCAAGGGAAACCGGCATCCTGGTGAACCCTATGCACGCAGCCCAACAAACGCCCGAAAGGTCAGCGCAACTCCGTCGCCGGAAAACAGCATACTAAAAAGAGAAACAACGACGTATTGGCGTCCATAGTATATCATAAGGTGTATATGCTTATATGTTCGTTTTAGGGCGGATCAAACCTCCTCGTCCTCGTCACCATCGAAATCGTCTCCGCCAAGGAGCTCATCTTCGTCTTCAACGACCCCGACGTAATCCCCTCTTCTCGCCGCAAAAGCGCTGCGAGACGCATAGGGCCTCGAAGCACCACGACCAATAGGTATCCAGCCGCGCATACTTCTCCATAAGCTCGTTGCAAGCAACGGCAGCGCCGAGACTACAGCAACCGTGGCAGCGATGATGGCAACGGGGATCGAAATAAGGGGTGAATCCCGCGAGAGCCAGTCGCCCGAAGCGCGCGAGTCTCCGAGTCGAATTCGGCCGAATTTGCCGTCCCATCGGGTAAAGATGTAATAACCAACGGCGCCGGCGGCGGCAATGGGTAGGAGAATAGCGAAAAACAATCCGGCACCGCCAAGGCCAGGGTGCTTCTTTTCAAACTCCTTTTCTTTGTTGGGGCATGGATGGGCCACAGAGCCATCGAGCTTCACTCCGCCCTCGCAAGTAGTCAATGGTATCCGGCGGTATCCGGTGGGTTCGTAATACTCTATTGCCTTGGGATCGTCTTTGCATATCCTCATAGGGTCCAAAGGTTCAAGTCCAGCGACAAGAGCACAAGATCCATCAGATTGCCGTTCGTAGTTGTAGTCACTAGGAATATATGTGTAAGCATAACAGTCCGTCAAGCAGCAAATAGAAGGGACTTACCACTCGTAATCTTGCCTGGTACACTGGCAATTAGTAGAGACATTATGCAACTTCTCGAACCTCCCTCCATTGAAGCATTGAGCGTCAGGCTTCTTGCGGTGATATTTCGCGATGTGGCCGAACAAGCAATTATCCTCCAGCAGCGGGTGTTTCGGTTCCCACAAATAGTAATCGTCACCTTCGGGATTCTCTTCCTTCAATACACACTTCTTTGAACGCTCTTTCAGACCAGAGAAATCCAAATTGACAGTGGCAAATCCAGGTTTCGCGCCAGAACCGACTTCCTTACCCCATAGAAGGAAATTTCGCGAGGTATCAGAAGGAACAGTAGAAATGTCCGAAATTTGCATCTCGACGTCTGTAAATTTGTACTCCTTCCAAGTCTTTCCCTCGTCGAGAGTGTAGAAAAGGGCCTTCGTCGGCTTGGCCTCGGGTACGATGACAATGATAGATCCTTGGTCACCAAATTCCCAAATATAACTACCCTTCTTGACAGAATGCCACTCAATCCCGCCATCACGAGTGATAAACGTATCACCCTCGCTTTTAAGGGTTAGTTTATCGCCAACATTTCCCACCCCAAGCATCATCCCGATCGCAGAGGCCGACGAATACGTGTCACGGGGGTCAATACGCTCAGTATAGCCATGGAGATGTAGGGCACAAGATTCTGTTCCCTTCTTCCCTGGCGAACAGCTATAAGCACGGCCATCCGCGTCTTTTGTTGGCGGTTTGAGGAACGCCCACTCGGCACCATCGTTGTGAGTGATCATTGATCTCAACTTCTTGGCGGCCCCCTTTTTCACTTCCTCAGCATTTGCAACGACATTAACCAGGGCAACTCCTTCTAAACCCTGCATTTTCTCAAAATCCACGAAGTCTGCATTATCCCGGTTAACGTTGTTTAAACTTAGAACGTACGACGTTCCATTGCTGTTGCTCTTGATAATGCTGCCAAAATGATGGTCTTCAACGTTATGCACGGTGACATGTAGCCAGACAGAGTGAGTAGAGCTTTCCAACACAGTATACGCTTGCTGGACCGAGACATTGAAATTCGGAGGGAATTCGGCATTGGCGAACGTCTTGCCATCAATACTTGCTCCAAGCCGCAGCGAATCCTTACCAGAACGAGCCGCAACGATGATAAACTCAGCCATTGTCCTAAAGTCCAGGATATTGGCAAAGTGCTCGGTTTTATGAGCAAACCAGTCTTGTGTGGATATGAGCCGCATATGTTTGTCGCCGGCATTCTCGTTGACGTGCTGGGAGCAAAATACCTGTTCGTCCGTCTTGCGGCCGCCTTCTTTACCGACAAACTGACATCTACCAGCGTATCGGACCAAGGTATGCCATTCGTCACCGCCGTCAATAGAGTAATGTGCCACTGAGTGGCAGTCTCCGCCCCGCTTACAGTCATCAGCGCCCGTCCATATGACCCACTCGGACCGTTCTGGATCAGGATGGAATGTAAGGACGGACAGCCGACGGTCTCTAGTAGGTGGAAGCTTGGCATGGAATTCGTGGAATGTCTGGCCTCGATTCCTCGTCAGATACGCCTGGTTCGTGCCTGTAATGAAGTACATGATATCGTTGTTGAACGAGTGCGGCGAGAGTTTTGCAATGTTCTTCTCCTTGAGAATTTCTTTCCAGGATTTACCATGGTCTCTCGTGAGGAACACTTCGAGCTTGTCTGTGAGCATGATAATGGTCTCGTCCGTATCCTTGCTCAGGGCTGGACGTTCCATGTAATAATAGTCCCTGACTTTATTCGCGCCGAAAAAGACCTTTTTGACAGCTACTTCGCCGCTGACAGGGCCACTGGAAGTGTCTTTGCAAGGCCGTTCCTTAGGCTTGTCGAGTTGCGCGCCCCCGTCTTTAATACATTCATTCCCAGGGATCAGTCTGAATCCAGAGGGGCCAACAAATTTGTCCTCTGGCTTCTTACACTGACCATCTGGAACCGGGAGGGATCCGGAAGGTACACATTCCTTTCCGTCTTTGCTTCGCAAAAAGCCGAAATCGCACTCGAAATCCTCATCGCTGCATTTGCAGCGCTCAAATTCGGGCACTGGGTCTTTGAACTCTTCTCCGATGAAGCAGTCAGCCTTGGCCTTTCTTCTCTTGTAAAATTGCTTATGGCCCATCAAGCAATCCGGTTCATTCTTCTCATTTAGTCGCGCTGGCCATCGCTCGAAATCATCCTTGCCGCACTTCCGCTCATGCAAGTCATTGAAGTCGAGCGCAATCACATAATGCTCCGAATCCGAGCCAGACTTGGCCGTTCCAACAAGCAAAAATTTCAAACTCGTCGAGTCCTGCGTCGTAGTAAGCTGCCTCGCGCGAATCTTCTGCGGCAATTCTGCACTCTTCCAATCTTTTCCGTGGTTGATGGAGTACGATATTTTACTCGTCCGGCCTTCGTCGTACACGGCAACAAGAATCGAGCCCTGATCTCCGAATTCATACTTGTGCGCATCATCAAGGGCTTTCCACCAGGTGATGCCAGCGTTATCAGAGACGTATAAATCGCATTCATCATATTGTTTCAATGAGTCTCCAACATTGCCCACGCCCATCACCAATCCGGGCGCGGGACTTGAAAAGACACGACCGCTGTTTCTGATGTGCGTTATGGAATGCAGGTGCAGCTTTTTGTCGCCGGCTTTCACGTCATGAAAGGTGCGTCCATCGTCGAAGGAAATGCGACTAACAACCTTCTTCTTCGCTGTATGCCGTTCCTCGACTTCCTTCCAATTGTCAACAGAATTAACCAGGAAAATGCCTTGGATGCCGGCAATCTTCTCGAAGTCTATAAAGCCAAGATGATTAGAGTTCAGGTGGTCCACATTGCGGAGAAACTGCGTTCCGTTTGAATTGGAAGTAAACAGGGAGCTCATAGGGCTGAGTCGGCCGGCCGTCTTCACGCCGATCTGGATGCTATAATTGGTGGACTCGAGGACAGTGTAGGCCTTGTTTTCAAGCTTATGGCCGTCGAACATTGCCTGATGCCACCGAACAGCATCGTCGCTGACATAGAGCGCCAATTCGTTGGTTCGTGGCGACTTCGCGGCGGCCAGCAAGAATCTCTTCACTCCGGCCATGTTCACGACGTCACTGACGGGGCGGCCGTTATTCAACGGCGCTTCAATTCCTTTCTCACCGGCGAAGTAGTCATCGGAGTATAAGAGCCGCCTGTTACTTCCCATAGGCGAATGCAATCCACTAAGAATACAAAAGACACGATCATCGACTTTCTCGGCGGGGGCGCGCCCCTTGCCAAACTCCGGATGAGCCACCGCCCAGTGACAGCCATGCTGGCTCCGAAGCAGCGGTTTATGGTGCTTAAACCCATCCGTGGTGTAGAAGGCCGGCGTCTGACACATAAACCCCGAGCAACTGATGCCATGCACGATGACCTTATCGGAATGGACGCCGTGGAACGCAAAGGGGTTACCGATGCGCGGCACGTCGACGGGGAGCTCGAAGGCGCGCCAGGACTTTCCGGCATCGTCGGTGGTCCAATGGGTCCGCTTGCGGCCGACGACGTAGGCCTTCTTGCGATCGTAGGGATGCGGGTAGATGGCGCGGACCTTGCCGGCCATGTGGTCGCCGGGCGCCTTGACGAGGTCCCACGATTCGCCGGCGTTCATGGAGATGTAGGCGTCGTACTCGTGCTGGAACATGACGATGTTGGAGTCGTCGAAGTAGAAGAGGTGGCGCGGCTCATGCTTGAACTTGGTCGCGGTGATTTTGGGGCCGTCGCTTTTCGCGCTGGCGAGCGAGGCCAGCAGCAGGCCGCTGGCCAGCAGAAGCCGTGTGAGGATCATGTTCGTCGATGCGGAGCGCCGGGCGACATCGGGGAGGATAAAAAAGGGGGGAGGGAAAGAGGGAGAGGGAGATTGAAGGCCTCCTGCACCTTGAGTCGTTTTCGAGGCGGTCTCTTGGATTCGAGCTGGTGCGGGAGGAGATGGGTGGATGAAGCGATCGCCGGTGGTTTTGTGGAGGATGGGGGGAAGGATAAAACAAGGTGGCCTAGTTAACTAACTACCTGGCAATAACTCCGAAGCGCAGCCGCGGCGGCAGAGGGACGAGATGCACAGAAGCCAGGCGGCGGCGAGATGCCAATGCAAGGGATGAAGCTGAAGCGAGGGCAAGAGAGCAGCCACGGGCGGACAGAAAGCGGCTTGCAGGCGCAGAGAGACGGCCAGCAGGGGGATTGTCTGGCGTCGCCGGTCGTTCGTGGTGGTGCGTTGAAGCCGCGCCCGCGAAGGTTCGAGGCTGACGCAGCACGTGATGCGGCTTGGCACCGACGACGAAACGGGCGAAAGCGACGACGACGACGACGACGACGACGACGACGACAGCTGGCGAGAGAGTGAGTGAGTGAAGCGTCGACGACGGGCGGCGGGCAATCGTACACCTCCCGAACGACGAGGACGAACGAGAAGGACGAGACCGACGAGCATGGTCTCGCGACCGCCATGCTGCTGCGCTCGATCCCCCGACTGACCACGGTCTTCCGCCCCTGCTTCGGCCGTCCGCGCTACCGGCGCCGCGGGCGCTCGTCGCGCGCGCAGCGCTCGCGCACCCTCACGATGCTCGGCCTGCTCTTCCTGCTGCTGGCCGTGCTGACGCCGTTCTACCTCGTGTACAAGCCGCCGCAGGTGCTCATGCGGTATCTGCAGCGGCGCTGGCCGGACGTGCTGTGGCACGTCGACACCACGGAGAAGCTCGTGGCGCTGACCATCGACGACGCGCCGTCGCCGTACACGCCCGAGATCCAGCGCGTGCTGGCGGAGCACGGCGCCGCCGCGACGTGGTTCGTCATCGGCGCGCAGGTCGACGGCCGCGAGGCCATGCTGGCCGACCTCGTCCGCAGCAACAATAATGGGAGCAATGACCATGGGAGCAGCAGCATCCGCCACGAGCTGGCCAACCACGCCATGCACGACGAGACCTCCAAAGCGCTCAGCGACACCGTGCTGCGCGAGCAGATCCTCGCCGTCGAGCGTCTCATCCAGCGCGCCTACACCAGCACCAGCACCGCCAACCACTCCCCGCCTAAATACTTCCGCCCGGGCGGCGGATTCTTCAGCGCGCGCATGCGACGGCTGATGGCCGCGCAGGGCTACCGGCTGGTGCTGGGCGACATCTACCCGCACGACGCGTTCGTGCCGTACTGGCGCGTCAACGCGCGACACGTGCTGTCGCTGCTGCACCCCGGCGCCATCATCATCTGCCACGACCGCCGCCGCTGGACCGCGCCCATGCTGCGCGCCGTGCTGCCCGAGATCCGCCGCCGCGGCTACCGCGTGGTCACCGTGTCCGAGCTGCTGCTGCGCGCAGGCCGTGCGTGATGGGGGTGTTTTTTCTTTGTTTGTCTGTATGTGGTGTGTATGTCTCTGCACCGGGGGTGTGGTTACGGCGTACTATTTGGATCAGCGCGAGGGTTTTTGCATGTATGGATGCGTGGCGATCTGGTGGTGACGAAACGTCGGGGTCGTTGACGTGTGCCAATGTCGGCTTGTTGCGACAGAGTACCTTGGGCGGTCAACTAAAAGGAGCGCAGAGGACGCGTGGTGCGCTCTGAATAAATGCATAATTTCCTTGGTGATCCGCATTACAATAAGATCAATCCCCTGGATAATAATAATTATGGCCCATTACGCAGTCATAGTGGAGAAAATTAAGAAAAAATCCCCGTTTGGAGGCCAGCCTGCTACTAAAAATCACTGCGAGAATAAAAACAAGAAGAATATATGAAACAAAGCTGATCTCAGCAGAACGCAGGATGCACATCCATACTCCACAATACCAAATGAACAAAATTAAAATAATAAAAACATAAAAAACAAGAACAAGAGATTGTTCGCTGAAGATGATGCCTGGATAAGGGAGAAGAAAAAAAGGTCCCAAGTAAATCACCCCAGCAAATAAATAGTGTATGTGCAAGAATATATATAGAAAAAAAGGTTTGGGGAGAAAGTATGTCTTGTCAAAATTAACAAAAGAAGTTTAAGATATAGTTATGTCCCTTAAAAAAAGAATATGTATATATGTACTTCTTTTTCTGTAAAATAAAAAAATAAATAAATAACTTATTAGTCTATCTTCAGTTCCGCCGCTTGAACCGGCGCAGGAGCTTCTTCACCACGCCGCGGTCGTCGTCGGGCGAGTCCCAGATATGCAGATCCTCGTCGGCGGCGGGCAGGTCGGCGAGCCGCAGCGGATCGTCGTCGAGGCGGTGCTCGGAGTCGCGACACGACGAGCCAGTCGTCGTCGTCGTCGTCGTCGTCGTTGTCGCCCCAGCAGCCGAGACGGAGACGGGCGTCAGCGGAAGCGCCGGCGAGGCGGGCAGCGACGGCTCGGCGGCGGTGCGCAGGTCGGGCCGGGTCAGGGTCATCTTGAGGGTCATCTCGCGGGAGCCGATGGCGCTCTGCGAGGGGCCGTTGCTGACGAGGCGCGGGCGCATGGGCGATTTTTTGGGCGTGCACGGGCGGGTTCCTGCGCTGACGTCCAGGGCGCTGAGGCACGGGTTGCTCTCGGACGGGAGGCAGGCCTGCGGCTGCATCTGCTTGTGCATGCTCCTCTCGTCTCCGGTATGATTATTCAGACTATCATCGTCGTCATCAGGCTGGAAGTTCCAGTCGGAGTCGAGAGACAGGCGGGCGTCGAAGCTGTCGCGCAGGTGCAGCGCCGGGAAGCCAAACTCGACGGCCTCGTCGAACTTCTGCGGCGACGCCAGGTAGACGCGCAGCTTGAGACGGGCCTCGGGGTCCTGGTAGTACTGGGCGGGATGGTCGATGGACGACGCGGCAAGGTGCAGGGGCGGCGGCGGCAGCGGGCGCGAGAGGGCGCGGCGGTGGGTTTTGGCCGGCATGGCGGGTGCGGCGGACGACGCCGACGACGACAGGGCCGTGGGCGGGCTGGAGATGGACGCGCGACGGCGGGAGCGCGAGGAGAGCGAGAAGGTGCGGCGGAGAGACGAGGCGGAAGCGGGCGTGGTGGACGCGGTTGGAGCGAGACTGGCGTGGTAGTCAAGGCGCAGGTCGAGCGAGAGGTTGTGGTTGTGGTTGTGGGTTTGGGTGTTGTTGTTGATATCAATGTCGTCGTCGTCGTCGTCGTCGTCGTCAAGCCAGCGGAAGCCGTCGGTCGCGGCGTCGTCCATGGCGACGGCGGAGTCGGCCTGGGCGGTGGAGGCGAGCGAGAGGGCAGAGGAAGATGAAGATGAGGATGACGAGAGCACGGAGACGGAGGCCGAGCGGCCGTGGCCGCGGCGACGGCGGCGCGAGCACAGCAGCAGGGCCTCGTCGGCAGCGTCGAGGATGCCGGACGGCGGCACGAGGGCGAAGCGGGCGCGCTCCTCGCGGCTGAAGTGCTGCTGCTGCACCTTGGGCGGCAGCGAGCGGAACCAGGCGCAGTCGGCGGGCGCGGCGAGCAGGGCCGGGCGGCGGCGGCGGAAGCGGTGCTTCGCTGGGGGGAGTCAGGGAAAGCAACGAGAAGTCATGACGAAGTAGCAGTTAACGTACGCTCTGGGCTGGCGCTGGACGACGAGCAGCCGGTCCACGGGCGCGCGTCGGCGTGGCGCTGCTCGAGGCGGCAGCGCTCGACGTTGGAGAAGAGCTGGGGCGGGTCAGCACAGGCAGCGTACACAGCTAGATACACAATGGACGTACCTTGCGGCGCAGGGCGGGCGGCAGCGCGTAGAAGTCGGCGGGGTCGTCGAGCATCGTGAGACGGAGTAGTCAACAGAGAATAATGAAGAGAATGAAACAGCAGCGCAGATCCGGCCAGCCTGCAGCATCGCTCGCTCTGCCAGGGCCCGGCGCCTCTCATATATGTCACGCCCGCAGGAGCAGCGCCAATCCTCCCGCCAGGCGCCGCATGCGGCCACGCGACGTGCCGGCATCAGGAGTCGCAGTATAATTAGTAGTCGTAGTAGTTAGTTAGTTAGTTAGTTAGTTAGCTAGCTACCCAGCCAGTCAGCTAACTAACTCGCTCGTCGTTGTCGTCGTCGTCGTCCTCCGCACACCCGCTCTTTGTCCTATGCGAGAGCAGCTCAGTAACCAGCCCAGCAGCCACTCGGCCAGCCAGCCTGTCTTTCTCTTTGTCTGTCTGCTCTGTAGTCACCCCGTATCTGCACCCGCAGCAACGGACGGCCGCGCCAAACCCGTCCGTCACCTCTTCCCCGCCCCCGTTGCCTGACCAGACCTGCCATCCCAACAAACCCGCCCCAAGATCCAGTCCAGTCTCCAGCTCAGCTCCGCCGCAGGGGTCCAGGGTGCGGCGCGAATCCCTCCGCGTTGCTCTTCCCGCTCTCACGGCTTTTCTTCGCGCGCGCGTACGGAGCCACGACTGACCACCGGGCCCCTGTTGGTCCTGGCCCTGGGCCTGGCCCGGGTCTGCAGCCCAGGGGAGAGAGAGGCTGACAGGAGCCAGTAGTTAGTAGTCGTTCGGGCGGCCGTCGCTCGGCCCTGCGATGTGGCGCCGCCTTCTTCTCATTATTAGTCGCCCACGCCCGTGAAAAAGGGCGATGTGACGTCTCGACCGCCCGTGCTCGGACCGGCCCAAGCAGAGGAGTAAAGAGAGAGAGAGAAAAGAAGAAGAGAGGAGAGCAGGCACAGCCGCCAGACCCGTCACATTCGCCTCCCCCAGACTCGTATCGGGGCGGGCAGGTTGGCGATCCGATCGCTGCTGGCGAACCTTTATTTTGTTTCTCTCTTTTCTTTTCTGATCCGCTCAATAAGCATAACTGCGGAACTGGCTGATCCAAATAATAGTACTAGTTGAGATTTGCGCCATGCCCGCCCCATCCCATTCCCATCGCATCCACGCCTCCTTGTAAAAAAAAAAGGGTCTGTCCATCTCTCTCCCCGGTGCATGCATCTGGCGCATATTGGCGCGTTAGCTGGCGATCACCGCCAATATCTCGTCTTCCCCCCCAGTGATCTGCCCGCCGCCCCGTGGAAACGCTGCTCCCTCCGGAGCTCGCGGCCTTCCATCGCGCGCAAATCCGCGTCCTCGCCGCTGACGCTCGCTTCTTTCCTCCTCTTCTTCCTCTTCTGTAAATGTTTTGCCGGCGGCGGCGAGGTCTCGCCGGAAATAACCCCCGCCAATCCGCCTGCGCTGGCCGTGTGTGTCCTGACGAGCCAATGCCTGCAAAGAAGACTTCCAAGGCCCGGAACAAGAGCTGCTCATCTTCTGTGCCCTTCTGCAAATCCTTGCGGCCAAGCCAAAAACAACCCCAACAGGAACAAATAAAAAAAGCGCAGGGCGAAGAAGGAGGATAAGAATCGAAACACGGCAGAACATCATCGTCCCAAGATTCCAAAACACGCTCTTCTCCCTCAAACCTAAAAAAGAAAGAAAAGCATCAAACAGTCACAAAAAGGTCCTCTACACTGCGCGACGAGGCCTTCGGACCTCCCCTCTTTCCTCTCCCAATAATGGGCAATGGTTCTTCCACTCCTTCTCCCAGAGGATTTCTTCCTATTATTAGCTATCCAGCACACCGCAACATCTAGAAGGGACGGAGTGTCTCGCAGCAGCACAACCCTGGAGCTTCACGCCTGGTCCTACTATTATTATTCTTATTTCCATTTCCTTTTCCCTTCCCGAATCCCTCGCAGATCTTCCTTGAGCCCTGCAGCGGAACACGTTTGTTTCGCTCACCTGCACGCGTGGGCACGAACATTCCAGAAAGCATCAGACAGGCATCTTCCCTGTTTCCCAGGCAGGTTCGTGAGCGAGCGCGCGCTCTGAGGGAACAGAAGTCTCAGAGAACTCTTTCTTTTTTTTTTTTTTTTCTCTTCTCGACATTTGCTTGTTTGTTTGTTAGGAATTTCTGGAAGGATTTGTTTCCCCCCCCCCTCACTCTCCCTCCCCCCCCCCTTTTTTTTTTTTCTCCCTTCATTATTTTTTTTTATCGTGCCCGTGCAATCACATGGCTCCATCGGACGACACGACCGGCAGTCTGGGACAGCCCTGCCGGGCCCTACCCAGCCCTAGTTAACTAGCTGTCCGCTCGCCAACCGCGGGCCGCGGGATCGGTCAACCTCCACGCCAGATGGCCTTTCTGGACATGTGTCGTGCTCCATGGTAGGTAAGAAGCCGTATTTCATTGTTTTCTTTTCTTCGAAAAAAAGAAAAAATAAAGACGCGCTGTAGATGTAGGTAACTAGTTATGTAAGTCCACTGCTGGATCTACCGCTGCATGCCAAACCAGAAGGCATGCCATGCACCAAAAAAAAAAAAAACGAAGCGAGTCGGTCAATTTTGGCTTTCTCGTCGCCAGGGCCAAACAAAAAAAAAAAAACAAAAAAACCGGGGACTCGGCCGCGGCGGTCGCCGATAGGGCTGGCTAACCTGCTCCAAGAAACGCCTGGTGTGGCGAACCAGGAGAAGTCGGCTTTTTTGAACTGTCCAAGGCATTCAAGCAGGCCGCGGCTGCTGGGCGGTGAGACGAACAACGCATGGCAAAGGCGTTGCCAGCGGGCTTGGGGTTCCACCCGCAGGGCTGCAGCAAATATTGGAAGGGGAGGGGGGGGGGGGCTTTATAAAGAAATAATAATAATAATGATGATGATGATGATGATGACAATGCAGCGCCCGAGTGCCATGTTTTTATTGTTATTCCAGAAACCCCACGGTGATATGCTGCGATGCACCCACCCACGCTGGCTGGCGGACCGGCCCCCAGGCTGCATTGATTAATTATTATTGTTAGAATAATCATTTACCCAAAGACAGCCCATGCGCGCGCCGCCAGCCAACAGGGTCCCCCGGCCCCTCGCCTCCCCACCCCGCCAGACATGCACACATAGATGCGCAACGTGGCATGGTGGTGGTGGTGTGGTGATTGATGGGTGGCCGGGCAAAAAGAAGCCAAGCAAGGAGTCAGTCACATAAGGAGTGCCGGGTCATTGTCCCTGAAACGGGCGCATAGTGAGCGGGATTGTTGATTTGCAGATAGATGTTGTTGTTGTTGTTGTTATTATTTGCATGCCGTAGCATCGTGGCTAGCTGGGGAGGTAGGTAGGTATCGGAGATCCGGACTTGAGGGCTGGGCTGGGCGGAAGCACCCCGAAACATCACGCCGCGCGCAGAGAGTTTGTCCGGCGGCCGAGAGAGGACGAGTAGTAGGAATGAACTAGTCAGGCCGACACGCGCGTCGCCAGCACGAACGAAGGCGTGGTCGAAGATAATAATATAGACAAAGAACCCATGTGTCAGCCAGCCTTGCCGGGAACAGTTGGTGGAGTGTTTCGCCAGAATAATACGGTTAAAAGTACCTAGCTAGTCCGAACCCGCCCGCCCAGCCCAGCCCTGCGACGGGTACAGTTGCCTCCTCGAGTGGACGCAAACGCTGCCGTGCCTAACTAACTACTAACTACTACCACTACTACTAACTACGTGCCCGCCGCCGCCGATCCCGATCCGCATCTGGGGAAAAACGAAGAAACGGGCGGTGACGCAATGAAAGTGTACGGCCGCTGTATGGTCAAAACGGTACGGCGCATACATACACACGGAGTACATCTGGTCTATATGCCATACGAAGGCGGGCGGACCACGTCGAATTAGCTCACTAGCACGCCGATCTGAGACATGGGCGATCTTCGAAACACATTAATAAGAAAAAAATAGCAGTACGGAGTAGAAAACGAAGACGAAGCTGAATCCTCCGTGTAGGAATCTGGTAAAAAAGGAAGAGACATTATTAGTATAGGTAGAATGAATGCCCTTTCCCTGCAAGCCGCCGCCGGGCACGCCAGGGCAGCAACGGGCCCCCCTTCCCCTTGGCCGCGATCGGAAAAAAGAATAGGAGCTGCACGACAAATCGGAAAAAAAGGGGGGGCGGGAGGGTCGCGCGCATCAGGACGCCCCCCGTAGCAAGCAAGAAGAAAAGGCCGAGACAATCCTGGCCCTCGGAGCCGAGCTAGCTGGCGAGAGAGAGAAAGAAAGAAAGAAAGAAAGAAAAAAGCGAAGAAATCGACCAAAGAATAAAAAAGAAAACAAGCTGCGGAGTCAAACCAGACCGTCACTAACGCCCCCTCCTCGCCTCGCCTCGCTCCCTTTTTCGCCCCGGGGCGCGCGCGCTCTGCCCCCTCCCCTTGGCCCCTTCAGCTTCCTCTTCCCCTCTCTCCTCTGCTCCCAACGCTGGCTGGCTGGCTGGCTGGCTGGCTGGCCGGCCCTCGACGGCCCAGGCCGTCACTGCCGCCAAGACTTGCCGCACGCCAGACAGGTGCAGAACAGCGTCATGGGCTCGTCGGCGCTGCGCGTCTGCGCCTCCGTGTACGTGACCTTGCGCTGGCCGCACTTGCCGCACTGCAGGCTGGCGCTGATGCTGCGCTCCGCCTTGGCCACCATCGCCTTGTCCATGTTCTCCTTCTGGATCTTGCGGTCCTCCGCCCGCCGCTCGTCCGACTTGAGCTCGTCGTGCGTCAGCCGCACAAACGCCGCCGCCGTCGTCTCGTTCGCCAGCACCCGCACCCTCAGCCCCGGGTTGGACTTGTTCTTCAGGTTCTGGTACAGGCTGCGGATCTTCGTGCGGTACTGCTCCTGGCTCTCCGGCCCAAACGCGCTGAACGCCGCCGCCTCCACCTCGATGGATTTCTGGAGCACCGTACGCGGCGACACCGTCGAGTGCAGGCACAGCCCGTCATACAGCAGCCCGATGCAGCTGTCACGCGTCTTGTTTTGGGTCTGCGCCGTGTTAACCTGGTCGGCCTTCCAGCTCCTCTTGTCGGGCGCCACAAGGCATTTGGACATCTTGTCGGCCTTGTCCGCCCCAGAGCCCGGTGTAGCACTTCCGTTGGGCGTCTGTCTTGGGGAATCGCTGGACCGTTGGCTACCAGCAGGAGATCCGCCCGTTTTCTGCTTGTTCACTTCCTGCCGCCACTTGTACACCACGTCACCTGCGAGCCGGGCAACTTCTGGATTCCTATGAGTCTTCAGCCGGTTTACAGTGATCCCAATCTTGGTGGCGCGCAGAAGATCCTCGGTAGGTTTAATTCCATTTTGGAGGTCTTTAAGAATAGATATTATGGTAGAAGGAGGCTCCGAAGAGCTTGTAGCCTTAATCAGGGCCTTAGACTTCACTTCTATTTCTTTGACATCCATTTCTAAGCTAAGACGTGAAGCTTTGTTTGAAAGCTTTCACAACCTCAGCAGCTCCAGTCACACCACGTGTGTGTTTTATATGTTGGTGGTCCGCAATAGACAGGGCCGTAAAGCGCGTAAAGTGATAGAAACGACGGTAAGTTCCCTATGCTATGCCTACATGTCGAGTTAATGATCTTTCCACTGTACACAATACAACTAGGGAGGCATTTGACCCCCATCTCAGTAAAGGTAGGTGGGAGGTAGTCTGGCGGCGACGGAGAAGGAAGATGAAGAGAGGGTAAGAAGAGAGGGAGGAGGGGGGGGAGGGGTCTGGCGCTGAAACGGTCTGAAAGAGCGTCCCAATACAAGGTGGCAATGCATCCAGCGTGGTATCACGCAGTAGCATTAAAAAAGACAGGAATGTCCATCCTGCCTGAACAAAAAATTAAAAAAAAAAGGAACCCATCCTCAAAATGCGACAGTGCAAAGAAAGGGCTGTGCAAGACAGTATTATTTGTGAATGCACCGACCAAAGCCAGAAATAAAATAAAATAATAACAAGAAGAAGGAAGCAGGACATGGGGCCATTGCGCCAACTTACCTGCTCTGCGAAGACCACCAATCAATCTAGCACCGGTGCGGGGATTAGCTGGCGCCCGGGGGGAGGGGAGGGGGGGGAAGAATGACAGCACAGCAGATAGGAGCGCGAGACGATAAGCAGTAGTAGTGGCGAGAAAAGCTGCGGTGTGCGTATGTGTGTGTGTGTGTGTGTGGTGGGATTTGGCCGCTGAGCTCGGCGCGCGCACTTTGACAACGACGACAGGTCGTTCTCTTTCTTCTCTATCAAGAGCCAGTTTGGGCGAATCTCGCGTGTCCTGTCGCCGCTTACGTCAGCCTTGGCGAGGAGGGCAAGTGCCGACAACGCGCGCCGGAGTGACGCTCGCCGCTAACCCGCATTGGGCAAGGCGGCGGCGGCCTCTTTTTTTTTTTTTTTTGCATCCGCCTGTGTGTGCAACGCGGGTGGTGAGCGCACTGCGAGTTTTACACAGCTCCAGCATAGAGGACAGTGGAAGGACGCGACGCAAGAGGAGGAAGAGGAGGAGGAGGAGGAGCAGCAGCGGGGAGGGACCGCAGACCACGGCGCTGGATGTCCGTGTGTCCGTCATGTTCGCAGCCCTGTGGTTGAAGGATCGGGGCATGTTTTGGGCAATCCTCCAACCCATTTTACAAGTTCTACGCTTTCAGGCTAGAAGAGAAGGGATATCCAAAACGGGACGGCCAAGACAGGCCGGCAAGTCGCTTGGAGACTGCGCGGTGGAGCCCGTCATGTGTCTAAACTTGGTCGTAAGGCTGATACGTGTCTATTTGTACGGGGTAGTATTGACGTTACAGAAGAGAAAAATGGCATACAGGGTCATATCATCAAGAGGTCATAATAAACGCAAGTGGAGTTTTTTTTTCGGCCAAATGTGATTTGCAGTGGGGATTAGCCGTCGTATTAGCTGTTAGGTCCGTGAGCTCCGAGTCTGCCAATCACGCCCGTCCTCCCGCGTCGTGTCCGGATAGAAACCTGACGGCGGCCACACGTCTGCGGTGCCAGACGGGCGAAACACAGCATTATTATTATTATTTTGTGTCCCAGCAACGCGGTCCGGATCACGGCAGAATGCCTGGAACGCCAGCTCGTCCGCAAATCCAAAATCCTTCAGGCTCTGCTCCCGACTCGTCGCCCATTCATTCGTGTCCAGGTGCGCGAAATTGTCGAAGATCGAGTCGAGGTCGTTGCCGGGGCAGTGCTGTTTCGCCGCCACTGCTGATGCTGCTCCTGCTACCGCCGCATGGGTCCGAGACGGCTTCGGAGCCGTGCTGGGCGGCGTCGAGGCAGGGGTTGCTGGCTGCAAATGTGATGAGAATTGATCAGAGACAGTTGGAGGATCTGCATTGTCGGCCGTCGGAAGCTGGGAGGTATAAGGGCTGAGCACGTTGACGGAATGTGCATGCGCTCGATGCATGCCGATTTGCCGCGGGAGGGGGGTGGGATCAGTAGCGTTTGTGCCAATGTCGCTACTTCGCTCCATTTCGGGGCCTAGGGTAAACACAGGCAAGCCGACACGGCATGCATGTCGAGGCGCGCAGTATTGCGGTGACAATACAATGCGCGGTATCCGCTCCATGTTGTTGTCCACCGCTCGCTGGTAATTTTCAGGTGGTCCGCCGTCATCCATCCTGGTACTTAGAGCCTTCTGAGAGTAGTCACCGTGTAAAGAAGGGGGAGCTTGGCTGCTCGAACCCTTGCTCCCAATTTCCTGGGCAAGAGCTGCGGTCACTGGCCAAATCCCTCTGACGTTTAGTATCTCATGTGCGGTCGAATCGGACCAGGAAAGGATTTGAGACGCATTCAGTTCCCCTGCGGCCCCGCCATGCCGAATGCGGTCAGCAATGATGTGTAGAGAGCACTCGAAAAGGGGAGGGAAGGTGAACTGGCTAAAGGTTGCTCCATGCGCAGCTAGTAGGCTCGGCGTCAACTGTAATAACCGTGTCGTCGGCAAAAGAGGGCCTTGGCCTTGCGTTGAAAATCGGGTAGTGAAGAAACTGAGGGCGGCGATATGAGTCAGGGAAAGATAGATCTGGTGTGGAAGGAGAGCTAAAACACCCTCTGAGCTTGCATTATTGCAAAGCGTGGTCAGGTGGCATGAGACAGGCAGCTTGTGCTCCCAAGCTTGTATATCCTTAAGGAGAGTCCGATGAATCCACTGGGCGTCCACATAGGCGGATTCGTGTCGTACTGCCCGGTTCAAGAAGGTTGCAAGTTCGATCAGCCTGTTGAAACAGCTGCGCGTAAGAAGTGGGCCACGTCCAGGTAAGTGTTGGCCGTGGACTGCACCGGTGGTAGGCAAGAGTTCCATCCAAGGATTCCATTCCTCCAACCCATCTTCTTCGAGTAAGCCGACTGGGGTAAGGTCTTCTGGGCGCATTTGTGGACATCGTCCAAGGCGTGCGGCTAACATGGTATCGACAAGAAAACAACCTAGGAAAACCGCATTGCCTTGCTTGCCATCTTGACACGTCTGCCTGTTGCTGTCTTGTATTCCAATCCCTAGGTGAAGCACTAAGGTTGTAGCCTGGCTGCTCAGAAGCCACGCAGCGGCCCAGTCTCCCAACCCAATATTCACGAGTGTCAAAAGAAGTAGCGCCTGAATGTGCCCGGTTTCAAAACCTTCCTTTTCGTTTGGGATAAGGCTCCTAGCAATGGCGTAGTATTTCTTAGCAGATGAAAGCGGGTCAGTGAAACCCAGCGGCGGTGCGTTTGGGAGAGGTTTCAATTGTGCCGTGGTGTAGCTCAGAATGGCCCAAAGAGCAGCATGGTCACCCGAGCCCGGAGACTTCCTGGTGAGAGCGGGGGGGTCGGTAGAGTATAGGCAAGAAGTTCTTAAGACCGTATGCTTTGCGATAATCGGGAACCAGCTGTGCGTATGCGAGAAGTAGAGATCGAGTAGGGGTGGTGTTTGGACGGGGAGTTGTAGGTGACCGGAACTGCGGGGGGGACCGGGGGGAGGTGTTAATTTAATCTTCTTCGATCTCGTAGAGGCCGATAGCCCTGCTTCTGACTGACGGGAGCAGCCTCGAGTGATGCGGTATTCAAAGGGATCGTGGGAGACGGAGAAAGACTCGGTGGGACCGTTCGATCGGGCTTGATTTTCATTGTCGTCCCTTGGGAACACGCTTTCCATATCACCAGCAGCTAGTAATTTCTCAAGCTCTCGGTATAGCTCGCAGGTTTTCCAAGAGTCGTGAAGTTTTTCGGACACGGACTCGTTTAGCCAAAGGGGAATAAGTTTTCTCCTTTTAGCAGAACCGGGGTCATCACTGGCTGCCAGCAACTCCAACACCCTCTCTTCCAGACCGTCAAGGTTGGAAAGTGACAACGCCCACAGCTTTTCCAGCCCACGAACATAACCCTCAGGAAGCCCTCGTTTTTTGGCGGATGGGTCATAGGAGCAAACGGAACCAGCTGCCTGGCACGCAAGACATGTCGGTCGGGTTCCATCACAGCGATCTTTTTTGCTTCGGCACCGATCACACGCCCTGGAAACACGCTTCCGTCGCCTGCCTATTTGGTCGTGGAGGCCATCCATTGCGACTATATGAGTTTCCCAAGGTTGATTGACGGTATCGAAGGTTCAATGGCCTTGATATTTAAATTGAAGAGTAAGTAAATCCTGCGAGACGCTTGACAGATGGAATGACAGGGGGTACATCATCAATATTGGCAATTACCAAAACCAAGAACTAGAAGCATAAAGCTACCATCGGTTCGAAGGCCGCTAATCCACCTGTCTAGGGCAAGGTGAGAACTTGCTAGGGAGGCAACCCAGGACTGGAAGCCCGTTCTGCAGACAAGAGCAGCCTGCGGCAAAACGTCGTCAGCGTGTACGAGACCCTCGTAAGTTTCTCGTCTCCGCTTTTGGGGCCAAACGGGGGGGAGTTGAGACAAAATATGGGGGAAATTCGGCCAAAAGGCCCAGCAGGCCAGGATCGGGTTCAAAACCCAGCTAACTACAGATGGCGGTCTTGTGCAGCAATGGCGCTTTCCATCTCCATAATCTCCTGTCCTGAGATTCTCGAGGCACAGCGGCCCTTCAATGTTGCAGGTCAGGCGGTTCCGGTATGCCTGTGCAGGCGTCGACCAGTCACCGACATGGCCATAGATCCGTGTTCCTAATCCCCAGCACATCATGTATCCGCGCAAGGCACCGCCGACTCAGAAACTGACTGCTATTGGGTTTGGGAGAGTCAGATCTTGCCGTCAAGGTAACGTGGACCGCCCGCCGCCCATCATGCCGCCAGACTAACCTCTGCAGGCTGCCGAATGAACCGCGGGCTCGGGACTGCGAAACCAACAGAGACATCGGGCTATCGACTGTTGTGCTGCTGTTGTCGCAGTGGGCGCGATAGCCGACCCTGGACACAAACAGCGGTCAGTCAAGCGACCGCGGCCAGCCAGACGCTGTGCTCCGGATGGGCGCGCGCGTAGCGATGCAGGCGACCACTTCAAGCAGAGCCTGCCGACTTCTGCCTGCAGTCGGCTATGCTGCTGCGGCTCGCCTCTTCCGCGACAGCCAGATCAAGATTCATAGGCAGAGGGTCCGTGTCCTCATCACGTAACTACCTTTGAGGAGTGCGTATCGTCTTGGCCCGTGTTGATCTCGGACACCTTCCAGTGCGATTGGGCCCCGTTGTGCCCGCACCTCGCAGGGCTGAGCGCCAGGCCGACGCATGTATAGGTGTGTACACTATATGTATACACAAACGCCCGTCCTTTCAAACACCGGGCCCATTTGATCATCTGCGGTTTCGGTTCGGACCAGCCAAAAGCAACTGACCCTTGACCCAGACAGTCGGGCCCGCTGTCACCATTGTCGTCGTCAACGATTCTCGTCGTGCTTGGCCTCGACTTGTTGTGTGCCGCAGCATGCCTAAGAATATCCACCGGCCGGCCCCAGAGCCCGCCCGCGGCCCTCGCGAACAGGAAGAGGTGTCTGTAGCACTCTGCATCTTCCTGGCCCCGGCTGCCCACTCCTACTAGGAATGTGTCTCACAACTGATGACGACTGGATTCTGCTGCGCGCAAATAGAATCTCTCCGAGTGGCCACCAGCCATGCTTTCGGTGTCTGGAACACTCGCACACCAGACTGTACCTTCACGGAGTTTTTTTTTTTTTTTTTTTTTTTTTTTTTTTTTTGGCCTTGATACGTACACCAGGACTCCGTATATGCTGCTCAAACCATTTCTCGTCTTTTTCCCAGTTCACACACGGGGCTATCCCAGGCCATATCTTGTGGTACGTAAGGTGGTATGCGAGGAAGGACTGGCTCGGACGGGCTTTCCAACGGAACTGCTGGGGAAGCTGGCCTTCGAGGCCTTGCTAGGGGAGAGGATATGAAGTCTGGATATCGGCGTATTCGCACCGGACCCTTGGTTTGGGTCTCAAGTCCTAATGAATCCGTTGCTGTCTCCCTAGGGCACATTGACTTACCTGAAGACTAGGCTCAGAGAGTAGAGCACTGCAGTGCATCTGCACCTTTTTTTGCTGCCCATTCCATTCTTTGAGGCAGTCGTATGATAACTCAGGAGTTGTTATCTTGAAAAGACCAGGCCGGTATTCCGGACCGCCCCCTGGCCTTCTCAGTCGGCATGGAGCAGCCTCGCCGCCAAAGCCGTACTGCAGAGCTTGCGTGACCATCACACATAATAGCCAGATTCAGCCCCTGGCCACCCTCACTTCTTCCTGTCGTTGTTCAGGGTCACTGCTTCGGGGTTGTCGGCGGTTTCTCGCTTGTCTCGATTATGTAAACCGCCGATTAGCTTCCCGATGCGTTAGCGCTGCCAGCTGGCCGGCATATCATGTATTTTTCTGTATGAAGAGGGATGGGAACGGGCACCTTGAGGCGAGCCGTTCAGCCAGGACACGCCCGGCACCACCAGGGTGGCTGTGTGGTGTTTTTCGCTCTCCCATCCTGCCTGACGCCCTCCCTCCTCCACCATGGCCGTCCCCTCTGGAATCGCAACACCACCGTCCCTAGGCGATTCCCAGAGCGCCGGAACCGACAGCGACGGGCATGACTTCTCCCCCACCTCCCCAACCGGACATCAAGGTAGCAGAAGCTTTAGGCCCAATGCATCTCTGGTCCTGGTTGGAATTCGGGGCTGCGGCAAACGATCCCTCGGCTTCATCGCGGCAACGGCGCTGAACTGGCGGTTTATCACGGAGGACTACTATTTCAAAGAGACAGTCGGGTGTTCCCGACAGGAATTCCTGCAGGCCGCGGGTCGCCAGGAGTTCCATCGAATGGAGGTGGAGGTGTTGAGGCAGATGCTGGACAACCACCAGATAAATTGCGTGATTGAATGCGGGCTGGGGAGCCTTACACAGTCCACTCAGGAGTATCTCCAGCAGTACGCGCTGGCCAATCCGGTGGTGCATGTGCTGCGGGATATGGAGCAGATCCAGACGCTGTTGAACCTGCCGGACAATTCAATGCAGCTGCTGCGCAGCACTGACCTGTCTCACCGGAGCTGCTCGAATTTCGAGTTCTACAACCTTGAGGATCACTCGAGTGACTACCATGGCCAGAACGACGCCGTCGACCGAAAAAGTGACACTTATGCGTTCAAGCTGAAAAATGTCCGGGACGAATTTACCAATTTTGTTCGTGTAGTCACCGGTGTAGGCATACCCTTGTCGGGGTTTGATTCGCCCTTTGCGATTCTTGAAGACCAGATTGAATCGAGGCTACACACGCACTCTGTACAGGTGCGGCTGTCTGATCTACTCGATGGCCTGGTCGAGTTCTCGGAGTTGGAAGCTGGGGGTGATGCTCTAGAACTCTGCGTTGATGTCTGGCCTCCTGATGCGCTCTCCACCATGAGCAAATATGTGTCCATACTACGGAGAGTTAACGCTCTCCCTATTATTTTTTCCACTGATATCCGCGCTCTCGAGAAACTAAGCCTTTCTCCTTCAGAGGTCCAAGATATTTATTTCGAGTCCCTGACCCACGGCTTGAGGCTAGGTGTCGAATATATGTCCATTGACTTGAGTTGGGACGCAATCGCTGATCATCCAGCCACTGCCACGCTCTTTCAGTGCAAAAGACGTACCAAAATTATAGGCCATTTCTTTTTGGAGACCGTCAATGGGCCTGCTTGGCAGGAAGACGAATGTTTGAGGCTCTACCAGAAAGCTGAACATCTCGGCTGTGATCTCGTTCGTCTTCTCCAGGTTGCAAAGGACCGGCTCGACAACGAAGCCGTTTGTGCGTTCCGGGTAAAAGTTCGAAATCTTCCCGGGAATCACCCACCGTTGATCGCCTACAACGTTGGTATCCTAGGACGAACATCACAGATCTTCAATCAAGTGCTGACTTGCGTAACACACTCCGCAATAAAGAGGAAACATGATCCCGAGGGTTATGATCCTCTCATCACGCAGCAACATGCCGTTGAGGCACTTTTCCGAAGCTATGTTCCAGACCCACTACAATTCTATGTGATCGGTGAGAATGGCACCTATAATCTCTATCCAGCCATGTACAATGCTGCATTTCAATCGTACGGCATGGCTCACACGTACAATGCTCCTGGCACAACATCACTAGCTGATCTGGATCGCCTTACCGCTAACCCAAATTTTGGAGGCGCAAGCATCGTCCTGCCGTACAGGGTGCAAATCTTTGAGCATCTCACGGCCAAGAGTCGACACGCAGAGACTATTGGTGCTGTAAATGCAGTGCTGCCACTGCGCGTCGATTCCACTGGATATATTTACCCCTTAAAAGAGCAAGCTAATCGACGCAGTCGCGCTGGTAGAATTGGTGGGCTGTACGGCGACAACACTGACTGGGTCAGCATCTTCGTTTGTTTGCGAAGAGGTCTCTCGCCTCGAAATGCAATTTCACCGCTGAAATCCACGGGCCTTGTTATTGGCGCGGGCGGAATGGCGCGGGCCGCCATTTACGCTATGCTGAAGTTGGGTTGTCGTAATATTTTTGTGTACAATAGAACTATTGAACATGCCGAAATCGTGGCGAGGCACTTCAGCTCGTTGGCAAGGGCTTCATCAGCGTCGGCGTCGTCGTCGTCGTTACCTGAGTCCGGGAATGCTGTGCGTGTCTTGGGCCCATCGACGCAACCCTGGCCGTCCGACTTCGCTTTGCCTTGCATGATTGTATCGTGTGTGCCGGCAAACACCATCGGTGGCGATGCTCCTCTCGAGCTCCCTGGCCAATGGCTCGAGAGTCCTACGGGAGGAGTGGTACTAGAGGTAAGGCATCATCATGAGCCTACTAGGAATAACTGCACTGACCTTCACTTTAGCTGGCTCTCAATCCTCCCTATACCAAGCTATTGCAACAAGTTACTCAGTACCGTAGCCAAACTGAAACACCATGGGTTCTCGTGGACGGATTTGAGGTAGCCGCTGAGCAAGGAATTGCACAGTTTGAGCTTCAAACCGGTAGTCGAGCACCGCGTCGGCTGATGAGGCGTCAGGTCTTACAGAACTATCCTTACGGAGAAGGCCCATATGATGAGAATGCTATCAATGCAAGACTAGAGAAGATAAACGGCATTGGGTACTAACCAACTCTGAACTTGTCTCACTGAGAAAGCTGTGAAGCATCATGTATCTGGCTTTTTTTTTTATGAAATAACGATGTAACCAATGAATATATGATCCGTTTTCCCCTTTCCAAGCAGCCTGTCGGATTAGCCAAAGTATTAAAACTCCATCCCCCACAGGAAGTAGGCATAGGGCTGGGATTTGGTCTGCTCTTTTTCCACAACCATATCTTATTGCTATGAGGGCATCGCATACGTGGATTGATGAAAAGGAAGGGAGATGGCTAATTCTTAAATAGTCATCATGCCACTGCGACAGGGGTTGGAGAGATGAATGTGAAGAACTTTTGCTGAAAAACTTAAAAAATAGAATAATCAGGATACTGAGTCAAAGTTCAATCAATGTTGTCACTATTATCTCGTGGATGGTGATAAATCCTTTATTGCCGCCAGGTTTGGTTGTGCCATGGTTAAGCTTAGAGCATTCATGAAGGGAATCAATATAGTTGCAGACCAGTTAGATAACTATATATGACAATGATAGAACATCATGAAGGTGCTACCTGCCGTACACATATAAATAGCCTGGAGAGGGCAGATATTAGATGTGTGAGTTTTGGACGCCGGTGTGTTGGTCCTTTGTTAGCTAGTTAGTTAGTTGGTAGTTAAACCAGACAGCCAGGGCAGCCACTGGCCGCTAAAACACGCCTAACAACGCGCCGGCGTTAGCGGCGGCAACCTAAGAAACCTGCGCACCAGTGCCAATACGAGCAGGCATGCCCCGAGCACTGGGCTTGTTTGCACCCCAGGCTGTCAACCTCAAGTTCCTCACGTCTCATCCTGCCCGTCTCCGACAACCCTCAGCAACACTTTAAGCTGTGAAGATTATTGTTTGCCCAGCAGGACCTGGCTTTTCTCTTATTTATTTTATTGCTTTAGACACCCTTATATACCTATATCAGCTACCAATGCCGGGGATGGCGGGCAGCGCGCCGCCGGAGCTACAGGACAACCCTGTCGTCGGGGAAGCAGGAATGGCGAAGAAACGTACAAGGGGCAATGATGCCGAGAACGAAAGCCATACAACACATCTGTTGTAAGTCGAGCTTCCTAGCCCGTCGTTGGCTCCTATCTTGAGCAGGCCGGGGAGGATATGCCAGTGTTCGTTGGACTAACCATAAAAAAAATGACCAACAGTAATCCAGATATCCGTCAAAATGGCTTCGCAGCTTCATATCCCACCGGCCCTCACACGTCATCTGTGGTGACTGTCATATCCCCTCCAGCGGCCAGCAAGCTCTGCCATGGATCCCATATCAATCTCCACGTCCGCCCTCGTTTACGCCCGTTCGCCCATAAAAAGAAACGCTCGACAGACCAAAATTTCTCCGAGCAAGATCCCCATAGCCAGACCTTTGACCAGGCTACTACAAAATCAACACCTGCACGCCATTCATCCTCCTCGCAGCATCACCCCGAACGACCCTCGAAACCCATTCTGACCCCCTGCCATATCTGCTATCGTCGGCCAACCATGCGTTCACAGTTGGACGCGTATGCTAACTGTGAATTATGCAGCGAACGGACATGCTATATCTGCCTACGAGAGTGTGACGGGCCGGACTGTCGTGCAGGTGTTATGGATACGTCAAATTCGGATTCGTTTCAACATGAGTCCCTGGGACGGAAAATGTGCTCTTGGTGTGCGGTGGAAGGAGTGACGGATTCTGGAGTGGATGTGGTTTGGTGCGTCGACTGCGTGCAGCGTGAAAGAGAAGGCTGCCAGGACGATGCCTGGATGGGTGGATGATGGGGCTGCTTGGCCTTGGTCAAAGAGGCTGCCTCCTTGACGGTGAATAGGTTCTCAGCTACTGCGAGGTTGGCAAAATGCACTCTCTGTGATGCCCTGGATGCGAAGGGCCACTGGAGCCTTATTTCCTCTTTTGTTCCGGCGCTATCAGATGGGGTCTTGGGTATGGCGTTAATAGTTTTATTTTGGATACCTTACCTCGTGCTATTATACTTACATGCATAACGTATACCCCGGCTGCAAGAACCTCCCGCATGGCTTGAGCTTAGAGCCGGACGTTTTTGTTTATAATAAACAAATTCATTGGACAATTTAGGCTTTGGAAAAAATGGGATCAGTTACTCTCTCCCTAATGATAATGCTAACCAGGAGCGACCACGGTTACAGACACAGAAAAGCAAGAATCAAATACAAATACATGTGTATATATATATAGAAGCACCGCGGGCAAATCAAACGCCTTTACCGTCCGAACCTAAACTCGGCCTTCGCAAACTTCCATAGACCTTGCAAAAACCTCTGATATTCCACAGCCTCGCCATCTCCCATGATGCTACTGCTATTATCTCCGGTACAAAAAATCTCCGTTAGTCGAATCTGCCAGGGTGGATATCCATCTAGTTTAACGTAGGGACCGAACACAAGTAGCAGGTCTGGCTCTGCTTTCATTACAGGAATACCCGATGGTTTCTCAACAACAGTTTGATCGGTGTCACTCGTTTCTGAGTCTAAGGTTTCTGGTTGAGGGGAAGTCGGTGTCGTGGTCATGTCGGAGAGCTCGGCATCTATCAGCTTGATACTGACATCCTGGGGAGAAACTTTGCCATTTTGGGCCATTTCCGCGAGTGTCTTTGTAAGATCGACAAGGGTCTCACGGCCGTCGGTAGAAGACAGCAGGAGAACTGTGATAGTATCATGGTTGCTCTTTGCACCCAATGGGGGCGAGGAGGGAGTGTAGATCGCGTGATGAGGAGCAAAAAGGTGAAGGGTTGGCTGTTGAGGATGTGGGCCGTAGTAAGATGCTAACTTGGCAGTGATGATTTGATGCAGCGCTGGGATATAGGATTTTAATGAGCCTATTCACTGGTTAGTTAAATTGCGTGAAATTGCACGGCTTCATTTCGCGGATATACCTGTTTTCTCGTATACACTCAGCGTCGGGATACCGACACAGCTGCTCCAAGCTACCAGCTCAGCCACCTCATCCATTAGTATCTCCAGGGCTTCCTCGTCTTTTCTCAGCGCTAATGCTATGCTCAGATGCTGCGGCAGCCGTCCTAAGTGGCTCACATCCTTCCGAATCAACTCTGGTGTGCGATGATGGTAATATCGAATTGCCAGCACCCTATCAACCACTGCATAGTAGCTCTGTCGTAGCCGTATATAAATGCTGAAGAAGATGTGAATGAGGAAATAGACCAGGAAATGGAGCTTGTTTTTGACGAAGGTGCGGATCGGTTTGGGCCTGGTCTTGCGGAGGCGGCTTCGCGACGGATGGATACGAGGCTCAGGGAGATAGGGCTTTATGATCTGTTCGCGTTCGGCCGACGAGACGGAGGAGAGGGCGCGAGCATCGGGCCTGGGCCCTGAGCTGGGAAAGATGGCCATCAGGATGCAGGGCGCGCTGGATGATGGGCCTGGAATGAAAGACAGGAAATGCAAGCACTGAGCACAGATGGCTAGTTATAGCGGCGATTGAAGGCTGCCAGGCACCACAAGCAGCGCTGGCGGTGGCTCAGAGGCAGGTTTGCGTGTTGCCTGCGATCGGCTCTGCTGCGGCGGATTTTCTCACGGAAGGCCAAACTGCGTCATCGGCGGAAGTCGCTGTAGCAGCAGAAAGCCATTATGGCCACAGCCGCGCACGGTGGGCTGTGCCGCACCAGACACAGTCTTTGCCAGCAATGATGTTCTGCTCTGTCAATCTAGAGCACTATCAAGGACTTCACAGACCTGTCTGTTCTCTCTGGAGTTGCCAGGGTGCCATCTCAAAACAAATGCTGCGTGCGTGGCAATACCCCCAGCTGCCAAACACACAGAGTCTCACGCCAAACTCAGCCCAGCTCACATTCACCCAGCACTAGCACTGCGATTCACCACCATGACCACTGCAGGCTGGAGACGAATGAAAGCAGTGAGACATCCGCTGCAGTGGTGATGCAGTCTTTGTTGCCAACCTCCTCTGATGTCTACGTTCATTGTCACCCGCTGTTATCATGCCGGATCCCACCCCTAACTCCCAGAACGCCCGTCCCACTACGCGCAGATCCATCTTCGACACTGGCCCGACCTTTACGCTCGATACCTTCTCGAACCGTGATTTTATCGTGAAGGACTTTATCGAGTCTCTCTCTGACAGTGCAATTTCATCTACCCAGCGCCGATCCGGTGCCATTGGCGATCAGGCCTTCGACCCCAAACCGCTGATTCGAACCTTTGAGCACGCGCAACGCCGCCTCGTTGAGCTATCTGGAGACCTTGAGCTTCGCGAAAATGAGCTTTCAGCTGCGGTTCGGAGAGCCGAGGCCCAGCACTCTCAGAATACGACAACCTTGGGCCGCAAGCTTAACCAGGCTATTGAGTCTTTCCAGAAACTTGACACTTCTTTAAATGGGCCACGCGGTGTTGTGAGCGACTTATCCGGAAGCGGCAACGCTGCGGTTGAAACCGGCCGGCGGCTGGAGGAGCTAGACCGTCAGAGACGCAGGGCGCTGGATGCGCATTTTCTCATTGAGTGCTGGGATGAAGTCAGCAATCGTGGTGAGGTGACTCTACTGGAAAACATGAGAAGAACAGGTGGAGGAGAAGGAATGGTCAGATCCGCGCACATCGCTCGTCAGTTACTGCGCATCAGTCAAAGGCTGGATCCGTCAAGCTGGAGCGAGGCGAATGGGAATGGCGAGACACCGCGGTTGAACGGCGAGACGAAACAAACTACGCGAGAACTTATCGAGAAGTTCTCTGAGACTTTAGAAAAGGACCTTTTAAAACAATTTGACGACTTTTATCGAAGAGCTAATTTCGAAGGAATGAGGGAGTGCGCAAAAGTTCTGCACGATTTTAGTGGCGGCTCGAGTGTTATTGGCCTCTTCGTCAACCAACACCAATTCTTCATCGACCGCAGCCAGCTGATAAATGATGAAACTGTTGGTGACCCCGACACGTGGGAGAAATTGGCAGATCCCGATGCCGAGCCTCCAGGTGTGGAATCGAGCCTTCAGTCGCTAGTCGATGAGGTTAAAGTGGTCGTACAAGAAGAATCGGGTATCATCAAACGGATATTTCCCTTCTACGAGCAAGTTCTAGGAACATTTGTCCAGCGGGTCTTCCAGCAATCTATCCAACAGCAACTCGAACTGGTCTTGGAGAAGGCTAGCAGTGTCTCTTCACTCGCGTTTTTGAGATCTTTACAAACGGCCCGTGCTTATATTAGTGGTTTGGTGGATGACTTGAAGGCCCACGGGCTGACTGAGCACCCGGACGCAATATCCTCCCAGACAGCCACCGTCTTAGATCAGCAGCTCGAAGAGCTTTTTATTCCTTACTTCACTGGTTATATTGAACGGGAGAGAGGAAATTTGGAAGAGGAGTATACTTCTCTCCTATTTAAGTTTTCTACTTTTCATGTCCGCCGGAAGAAAACCCCAACTACATTCATATCTTCCCTTGCGAAATCCGGTAGCGAACTGATAGCTTCGGCCAGGGATGCCTATTTAAGCCGACTAGATACTTCTGACTTTACACCGACTCAGAGGAAGATGTTGCTTCGTGTTGCTGGCTTAAAAGAAACCGATGATCAAAAACAAGCCGAAATCGAGCTTACGAACGAAGACGGCCAGTTGAACATCGGCTTTGCGAAACGTATGCTCAAATGGCTTGCAGAAGGCGTTGGCCGAGGCCTAGAATTAAACGTAGGCAGTGAAACGCCTAAGGATGTGGCTGGTTTATTGAATATGCTTCTTTCCATGATGGGTGAAGGATATCTCGAAATGGCTCTGGATGCATCCCTCGAGTCCGCCATCTCGCAAGAGTCCGGTAAATCTGAGCCCGAGTTTGAGTATCTCTCGACTTTGCGCACGGCTGTTAACATCACTCACCTTATGCTCACCTGTATAAACACTGTTTTAATTCCGCTGGCCGCCTCCAATATTACGATACGCAGAGATATGGACAAAAAGACAGGGTTTGCGATCAGTCGTATCGAAGAGAAAGTCAATTTAATAGAACAGAAAACAGTAGATGGCGTTCTTGCTTGGATCTCTCGCGTGCTTTCAAGCCAAAAGAAAAATGATTTTCGGCCTAAGGAAGGTCTGGCGGAAACCGGCTGGTTGGAAATGCTGCAAACTCCGGTATGTACACCTCTATCCGCCGTCAAACACACTTGTGGCAAGCCCTGCTAACCCTCATGCTCTAGACATGTGCTTCTATATCCGGTTTTCTTTCTCGCCTCCAGGGCGCTGCTATCACTTCTCTCCCAAGCAGCGACAAGAATATAAAAATATTCCTCACCGAAATTGCTCTCGGAACACGTACCTTGCTCTTGGAGCATTTTAAGAAATTTCCTGTTAATGGGCCGGGTGGTCTCATGGTCACTAAAGACATGACTCGATATACAGAATTGCTTCGATCCTGGGATATCGATGATGGGGTCAAGGGTGTTGGTGGCACCCTTGATGTACTATTGGAAGTTGGTAGTCTATTCGTCGTTGGCCCGGAAGCCCTAAGGGAACGGGTTCGCGCCGGGACTACCGGTGGCTCAGGCGGCGGCAGTGGCGGTGGTGCAGGAAGCTCGCAAAGCAAATCCAACGCTGGTTTGAGCGTACAAGAAGTCCGCGCATATGTTCTACGCCGCGAAGATTCAGGGAGCGTTGCGATGCAGAGCGTTTTAAATGCTCTCTGATCTCTGGGCGGGCGGGTACTGATCGAAGCTGACATCCCGTACTAGGATAACCTGCACGTTTTTTTTTTTTTCTTCTCTTTCTGAAATACATATGTTTAATGTCTACAGCACATTACAGCACATAATCTAGTCTGCCGAACGACGAGCGTTTGTGCGCTTTTCCTTCCCGACTTGGTTCGATCATAGCAAATCAGATTTGCGGCACATGTTGAAGGCTGTACATATTTCTTAAGTGAGTCTCGGTTGGAATATCTGTGCGCTCTGCTTTCTATGATTTGTGCCTACACCTCAATGGATGTAATAGGTACAGTACATTTATTCTAAGTACATTTTTGCGGACTTCACGACGGGAGTGTGATGCATAACAGGGAGGGGTGTACTGTGGATACATACTATTCAGATCTCTAGCAAATCTTATTATCGACCCTTCGTACTAAATTCAGAAATAACAGTCACATCAAGAGGCTCCGCATACTTTTTGCTGGGAGGCCGGGCAATGAAATGGGTGAATAAGCTTAAATCGATTAAGCTCACATAAGCCTTTACTAGCGCTCACTAGCGCAGTAATCAGAGAGCTATGACGTCACTTGTCAGGCAGTTGGCACAAACCAGGTTGTCAATTGACTTCTCAGATGCTGGAAATAGGCAGACTATAGACTTACAGATTTATACACCTCTTCCTTCAAAAAGACTTGCCGGTGGCCAATTCGCCTGTTATCATGGCTTTCAGAACCAAAAAAGTACAACAGGACCTAGATTTTGATATTTCTGTCAAATATTGTCCAGCAACACAGCATCGGCAACCAGCAACGCACCTTGGATCCCATCTTACGAAGCCGAATATCCCGAGGGCAAACCTTGCGGTTACACGAGAATTTCCTCACGGATCGGAGGATAGCAGGAGAAGGTATCAGGACTACGTACGTACCCTCAGCCGGTCACAAAAGCAATGGGTATGCTAATTAATGTTTGTTTGTTTTTCAAAAATAGACAACATTGCAGCAGCACGTTCTCTTCTGGGATAGAGATGGTGATGGTAAAATCAACACTTGGGACACATATGTTGGATTTCGTGACCTGGGATTCAACATTCTGATCAGCGTCCTTGCCGTTATTATTATCAACGGAACTCTGTCATATCCGACAAGGTTGGCATCTTCGTGGCTTCCAGACCCTTTCTTCCGGATATTCCTCAGCGGCATCCATAAAGCAAAGGTTCGTGGTGTCAAACCAACTGATCGCACTCCTCAGAGGCACTGATAAATAATATAGCATGGATCCGATACTGGGGTCTTTGATACAGAGGGCCGGTTCAATCCACAGATGTTTGAAAATATTTTTTCCAAACACAACACAAACGGGGATGGAACACTGACTTTAAGGGAGCTATTTGACGTAATGCACACGCGCAGATGTGCCATAGATCCTTTTGGGGTATGTTGCTTTTCTTAAAATATACTGCATAACTCTTTTGGCTGACTTAAAAATTTAACAGTGGGCTGCGGCACTCTTTGAGTGGATTATAACTTGGTTACTGATCCAAAAGGATGGGAAAATTTATAAAGAAGATCTGCGGCAGATCTACGATGTAAGAAAACTCCCTACCTATTTATTAAACATTGGAGAGAGATAGAATTAACAATCAATCACACATATCAGGGTTCTCTGTTTTGGCGGGTCCGAGAACGTCGGAAGAGAGGCGAGTGGAAGCAGGGTTTTGGCTTGCGCCGCAATGGGCTTTCGCTAAACATTGGAAATAGTAAATTGGTGTAAGCCTCCCTCTCTCAGCCACTGGGAGAAATGCACAGCACTATACCAGCTAAGGTGGAAAGGAGAGTTTTCACGGCGGCGTTCGTGTTGGGTAAACAGAGGTTGCAGGTAATGTTATTTAGGGTTATATGGTAGTCAGTGACACTAGAGCGTATGTATATACATACATTCAGACGAGACAATCACTTACATAGTCAATATTTATGATATTTGCATGCACTATACCTCTTAGATACGTCTTGAGTGAAAGACGAGTAGCTAGAGAGGGCGGCACTACCAATCGTGGCTAAGGTGTCTTGAGCACCTGTGAGGTGTGCGCGGGCCGTTTCCTGCTAGTCTGGCCTAGTTATAGGAGGAACATTATTATTGTTGTGATCGGCCCTCGGCTCCAGGTTGATAGGCCAATGAATTTTCATCCATCAAAACATATCAATATGTATCAAGCGTATCCAAGATACTAGTGTACTTCATCAGGTTGCTGCAAAGCGCTAGTTAAGCGAACATGGTTTCAGTCTCGTTTCCAACGTTACAGATATTTGCCCACGAAAGGTTTCTCAGCCCTCTGGGTACTGATAGCCCTTCGACAGTCCAGCTAGCAATTGCTAATTCAAACACCCAGGCCAAAAGCGTTTTCCCCCAATGCGTCTGTCTACCCCACATCGCTTCTTCCATGACTATTCCAATCCCATTCAGCAAGAAGAATGCAGATATGCGGAGAAGCGCATCTAGCGGCAACAATGGTGCTAAGCCATAAACATGAAAGAGACCCATGAGCATGAAGGAGGCAATGATCCCCATCCCGCGAGCAAAGCTAACGGGAATACCATATCTGATCGGAAGATAACGGCGAAGAGGGCTATAAACAAGTGAATGACAAGGACTAGCAAAAGCACTATGCCATGTGACCCGCCAGAATGAACCAAGTGATGTTGCAGCATAAATGGGGCCAAAGAGAGGGGGGCTAGTCCGGTAACGGAGAAAAAGCTGCATAATCTCCCAAATTATATACACTGCCAGAAGTATTTGAACCGCGAGAACTGTCGAGTTGGATTGAGGAAAAAATTGCTGAAGTATAAGAAAAAAGAGAATATGAATCACTAGGTTTATTGGTTCGGAGAGATTCAATTCAGAGATATTGAAGTGCAGTTTCTTAGGACGTGTCCTAGTACGCGTTTTCGTCGCAGCTTCTTTCAGTGGCGCTGGAGGAGTGCGGACATGATTTGGGGTAAAGGACTCGTAACGAAGCTCTATCAAATAAAGAAGAGCAATTATCCTGTCCGGTGGTGCATTCTCGTTCGTATATTTGGGGGGAGAATGCCTTCGGGCATAGAAATCCAACGATTTCATAACACCAATTGCGACTATGCGATCCGAGTTAGTAAACAGAAACCATGTGTCTAGAACACCAATCAACGTCGTCGAGAAACACTGTCAGCTACAATATTGATTGCAGCTTCAAGATGTTGATACAATGCAAATCACCGCTAAACATTTTATTACTGAAGACTGAAAGAAAGTTTTCATACCACAGAATAATTGAACGCTCCTGATTGCATTGCAAGGTAACACTGTTACCATACTACTAATCAGGAATCCGACTGTAGATACCATAGCGAGCTTTTCAAATAGTTTGATTTGCTGCTTCACCAGAGCATATAGAGCCAAGTAGAGGAACAGAGTTGGCAAAAAAAGAGAGATAAGCCCTTGATAAATACTGTGGGCAATTTCGATCAATGTACTCTGCGCATCTGGTGAGATGCTGGGCAGTGGATATTGCCACTGTTTAAAGTAGGACATGGCTAGTATAAGTATCAATAATTGTCGCGTGTCTTCCAAAAAGATATCTGTTAAAGGAAAACAAAATAAGGAATATCCTCAGATGCAATACCAGAGCATCACTGACAGTGTGAATTGACGATATGATCAGGATTCGATAGCAATTTAGAACAAGCACCGGCTGCGATTTCCTCTGGGCACGACACACCGCAGGTCGAGCAGCGGCTACCTTAGAACAGTCGCATTGTGTGGAATGCGCAATCGTCCATAACTGCAGGATAAAATCATCCAGCCATCAAGTCCCGGAGAACCCTGGGCTCCTGGAGGACGGGACCATGGGAATATAAAAGAGCGACGGCTCGCTGCCCGAAGGTTTGCAACCTTGTGACTGTTCGACGCGGAACTAACTCTCTAGCCAATAACACTTGGAGACCAAAACTCAAGCATATGATCGTCTTGGTTCGCTAGTCGCTGCGTACTTGAGGAAACCGGGCGGTCCCGGGAGATCATCCGCGTTCTGCAGAAACTGTCGGACTTTTCGAGGGCCGATGAAGCATGAGCAAGGAACGAGCGCTGGACATGGTCCGCAAAACCTGGGGGATCAACATTGATTGATGTCCATGCAGTTTCATTTTAAACTGCAGTGCAAAATTCAGAGTGTCTGTGAGGAATATGGCCGACTTATTCAGGGTGTCGCGCTGTAAGAGCACAGTTCGAGCGGTGTCAGGGTGGTATTCGGCCTAATAGTTAGCCATGGGGGTTGTTCAGCGAAGTGGGTTCCTGTTACATCCCGAGAGATGTTCATTAGCCTTGGAATACTCACAATGCTGCGGGGAAGAATGCGTGGTAGTGACAATACGGAGAACTCATTAGCAGATATATTGCAGTCCCTCTCATGCCGACATTCGATCAACTAGCCGCAGCCGTTGAGTTTTTAAACGCCGCGTTGCTTGAAATATTAGCAGGCATTTTGAAGTATCGTGCAGATCGAAGCATGGGGTTGGGATGCCTAGATTCCTGAGCATCTATCGGGCTGTGGTGGCATTGTGTATCGACCCCTTGGCTGCGTAGGCTAGAGCTTGGGTCTTCACGGATAGTTACACCTCACTGGCTACGACGAGAAATAGAAAAACGAATAACTTGAATTGCACTTAGTAGTGCCTTTATATTTTGATTTCTTCGCTGTCTAATGTGACGAGAAGCCCGTTGAAGAGAATCACCAATCCACTCGAATGCAGCAGTGCATGAAGCTAGAGATCAAATAGTTGTCTCCTTAAGCTTCTGGCTAAGTTCATCGACGATAGCATCAGCGGTTTGAGCAACCTTCTCATTCTCAGCATTTTCTGCGTCCTTAAAAGCCCTTTCTGCCTTCTTCTCCACATCTTCTTCCGCCTCGCTTTCTTCCTCTTCCTCCTCACTCTCCTCCTCTAACTCGTCAAGCTCATCTAGTCCCCAATTATCATCGTCATCGTTTTCATTACCGCTCGCTTCCCTTCGCTGGTCAAAAAGCTCTTTTAATGCCACAATACTCTCGTCATCTTCATCAAATTTGTTTCCATTCAACTCAACGCGTCTCAGAACAGGGAGCCCAGTTTTCGCGGCTTGAAGCAAGATTTTAAGACCAGCAGCATTAATATCATTATAAGAAAGTTTGAGGACCTCCAACTTGCTATTATTTCCCTTTGCGACAGCGTCTCCAACTTTGATCCACCCTTGGCCTTTAAGATAACAGTCTCCCAGAGCTAGCTCGCGAATTAATGGCCAGCCTGTTACTGCATCTGCCAGTATGCGCGCTCCAGTCACAGTAAAAGTGTTATCCTGCAGGTCCAGCACTTCAAGATCTGGCGCATGCCGCAAACCCTGGTCCAGCAATTTTGATATGCCATCCTGGCGGATGCCATTTTGCACCATCCTCACAGTTTTAAGACCTTTGCCGTGATCTTTAATAGCACGAGCCCAAGCAGCCATGCTTCCACTTTCGAGTCTATTGCGACCACACACGATTGTCTCTAAATAGGGTATTTCATATTTAATATCAGGGTTGGCACGGGCCTTAGATTTTCTCACACATAACTCTGTTACAGCATCAGCAATTAAATTCCCAGCCTTAGGTCCAAGTCCATTATTATTTAATAACAAGTGGCGTAAAGGAACGTGCGCCTGCAAGAATTCGACGAGGGGCGCTTGTGTATTGAGGCCAAATGCATTGTCGCTTAAGTCTATGGTTTGGAGAGTGTGGACTTCCAGCAGAGCGTTTAATAAAAAGGAGAGGGCTTGAGGAATTTCAGAGAGGAGGCGTGAGGTAAAAATGTCGGCGAGATTCGCGGTCTGAAGTTTTGTCTGGGAGCGGAGGGCTTTGCCTAAGAGTTCGCAGGCGGAGACACCATAAGTGTTCCCCCCAAGACGAATTTCAGTTATCGTATCATGGCTGTCTAGAAGGGGCTGGATATGTGGTTCTAGATCAGCTGCACTATCGAATCTCAAACCCTTGTCCTGGATCGAGAAAATCGTCGATGAAGGCGCCATGGTGGGGTAGGTGAGGAAATTAAGAGATTAAAAGGAAAAAACGCCTCTATTGTAAGGAAAAAAATAATCAGTCTAATAAAGTAGAGCGAAAGAATTAGAGGCCGCCAAATAGTGGTAGGGTACTTCGTGGGGAGAGAAGGGCACGCACCGTGGTCTTTGCCTGTGTTGCTCGCGACTCACTCTGTCTGCCTCAATTTTGGTGGCGGAAAAACGGCCGGGGAATGATATTTTCCGGTGCCGCTAGCTTATCTCACTAGCGGCTCGGGCTTATCGGCCATGAAATTTGATTTGATGCCGCGAAACCAGATTTGTCAAGTAACTAACTGCCATCCCATCCATCCGAATTCATCTCTTGCGTTGCATGCTATTGATCCTACCGGCCCCGATTGCCCTTTAATCGTTTAGATCAGAATGTCGTCCGCGGTTGCGTCCACTGTTCCAAGCAGTATGTTATGCACTCCCCTAAAAAGACGCCACCCTGGAGAGACTTAGAGCTGATCATCTTCCGGCCATAGTCGCTGCACAGGCAGCCAGTTCGTCTCTCAAAACATCACCTTCACAGACGGAGAAGCCAAAGGTGCGCTATGATGCCGCTTTTCTATCCTTGGTTAGCTTTTACTGATGACCCAGATGATCAGCCTTGCTGCGTGTGCAAACCACAAAAGGCGGCTCGTGATGACTGCATGCTGTTCTCAAAATCTGATAATCCAGCGGAATCGGAATGTAAATCGATCATTGACCAATATCGGAATTGTATGGCGAGGTACGGCTTCAAGATCTAGATTTCTCTACCAGCAGTACAGTGGTCAAGTTCTTTAAGGCTTGATATTATGGGAATTGCATTCGTTTGCATACCACAAGGCGTTTTTGGATGGTTAAGATGGATACCAATTGTAACTTTTGTGGTTTACGGGATAGACTGGTCTTCGGGTTTGGGTGTATAATATCTATGGGCCTCTCATCTCACTTAAGTAGTGCTTGACAATTATCAGCCAAGTGCTTTTCTACTCATGGCGGTGAATATTTCTTTAATACTATGTATATACATATATTTCCTCTAGTAAAAACCTTCAATTGGGTATCTCTTTCTATTAAGGTCTTTTGAAAACGACTATATGACGTATTAGCTGATCAGAATGGCTAATAAAGTTAAAAATTTATTGTTCTTTTTTCCCCCCAGACACTTCAGGTATGTGCGACTCCGTTTGCCAGAATAAAATCCCCGTTTTACTGAGTAATTTCACAGTGCACCAGAGGTATATTATGCCGAAACCAGCGGTCCCGATTAAAACATTTAGAACGACCCATAGATCGGGTTTGGTCGAAGGGGTAGGAACAAAGGCCTCGACAAAATGCCATAACACCATTGATGCATAACATCCCAGATGTATAATTTTTGTAAGGACGTGCAGATCGTGAGAGCCATGGGGGCGAGAAGAAGAGTCTTCCTGATTTCGATAAAGCTTCAGAGTAGTAGGGGGAAGCCCGAGAAGATACGCCCAAAGCAGAGTGACAACGAAATACGGAACACGTAGATCTTCCCGCTTGAGCAATGGGAACAATGTCCATGTCCCAAGAACATTAGCGAAGCCAACCCAGGCACGGATTTCCCGACTTAGACCCCCATCCCCACATAGAAGTAGAGTCATCGGTAAAAGGGGTAGAAGAACACTTTTTTCATGTACCTGGAACGAGCAAAGAAAGAAACCCCATGCGGTATTCGACAGAGCAAGCAACAGGAGGCCCGGTCTTGGGTACAAGCCGATCACACTGCAAGGGACAACGACACTGAAGACTGTTGCACCAAGCGACAATCTTTGAAGAGTAGTAGAAGAAAATCGAGTGAGCTTGTAAAAAGTGTGGATAGCACACCAGATATTTGCAACTTTGTCTTCAAAAAGACCGCGGGAAAAGGGAAATATGCGGTGAATGGTTTGGCAAAGCTGGAGAACGGGTGCAAAGAGCCATGAGGACGCGCTCAACGATATAGGGAAATTCTTAAACAGCAACGGCTCAGAAGTAGGCACGGGAACACCACGATATACATCGTAGATTGCTCCACCCACCAAAGGAGCAAATAGAAGAGTGAAAGCGATCGCAGTAATCAGACTGATGCTGAGTAGCCTTCCGAGTCTGATCCGGGGGAAGAGGGAAGTGCCAAGCATGTACGCAAATATTACAGGCGCGTAGTATAATGCCATTTGTTTGAAACCCAGAGCAGCAACGAAAAATACGCAAGCCCACAGCCTTCTCTTGGCCAATATACTTTCTGATGCAGCGACAACTAGCCCAAGCATCACCGTGTTATATTGGAAGTGGCCATGGTCGATGAGGAGGGTGGCGGGCTGCATAAGGATGGCGACAAGAGCAACCGAAGCCACCCAGATATTGACTCTCTGGTCACGGGCATACCGTCGCAGGAAAATGACGACAGCAGGGATATAGACAAGATACTCAGAAACGACCACGGTAGCTCGCATGTACACCTTTAGGAGCGGGTCTTCAACCCCACGGGATTTATCAAGCGCAAACCAGGACGGCTCAATAAATGACCCCCTATTGACTATCAGTTCACATTCTGCCACTATTAGACCTTCGGGATATCGTACAATTTACCCAGAAGCCAGCTATGATATGCAGTGAGCGGAGGATAGTCGAGCCCCCACCAGTCCAAATCGTAAAAGTACCAGGAGGAGATAGGAAGATGAATAGTAAGTTCCATCCAATGTCGCTGCGCTTCGAAGTCACCGTACATCGGAGGTAGTCCTTGTCCTATGAACATAAGAATTAGAATACAGCTATGCGCTGAAGGTCAGAGCGAGTATGATAAACGCTACCTGAATATCCCCACAATCCGACCGCCCAGCGAAACAGTCCAACAACCATTAGGATCGTCGGAAGAACTAGCCATTGGGAGACACCCGTACGAGCTGGCCAGAGGAATGCCACTAGAGGAAACGCTGGAGCAGGTTGGCTTTTGGTGGCGTCTGTTATCAAGTCGACATTGGAGCATGACGCGCTGCCGGTGAGTCCTCGGCGCTTCTTGCGCGGTCGGTGGGAAGAGGGCGAAGACGCCTGGAAGGGCGCCATTGCAATTGCAATTATCGCACGATAGCGACACGGTAGCTAAGCCCGTCCTGTTAGGCTGCTAGATACGCTGCCAGGCATGCTGCACGGCGCATGCCGGGGTGTTGAATGCCCGCCAGGCACCGTTTCTGTGGTGGTGGAGAGCTGCAACAACGCCAACGTGCCGCTATGCCCAAGTCGGCTAGTAGCCACGCGCCGGAAGCGGTGAGGATTTTTAAATTTTCCGTCCCCATCGCAACCAGCCTTCCAGGATTATAAAAAAGTTCTGTTCTCGTTTTCTCTTCATCGCAGACTTCCATTCCTACCTCTATTTTTCGCAAAAGGGGAATCATTCGATTGCCGTGGCTTATCACTTTCTATCTAATACTGTATCATTATCAAAGCTTCTGCTATCAACTCGTACGTATTGTTTTCCTTTTTTGTGGGCTTACTGGGGGCTTCAGACACTGTGGGCTGAGGGCTGTGGGAAATTGCGAATCTATCTGTGGGACACATCGTGGTTCTATAAGCAGCGCAAATATCATTTGCCTGTCCGTCACTGTGGGGTTCGAGACCGAGAAAGTGGGCGTCCGCTGCTTCCCGTGAATCTATCTGAGGGCTTGTTGCTTCCTACGTGGGAATTTCTATATTGACTGTGGGCTTATTGTTGTGCGTGACTAGAAACGTCTGCACACTTTTAAATCGGGTGAACTTTTCAGCCGCACCGTGGGACTTCTGAGGGATTCCAAAAAATAAAACCTATTTTATCTATTTGTGTGGGTATCAGCGTGGTAAGTCTACTTGAGCTTTTTCTCTAAAGTGCTTTATTCCTAACTCCATGGTCTTATAGCAAAATGAAGGCTCCAAAATCCAAGACCAAGGCTCCTAAAGCCGAAGACAAGGTCTTGAGCAAGGTGAAGAATGGTGCTGTGACGAAGCCATCTTCAGCATCCAAGGCTAAGGCCAAGGAAGTTGCTAAGAAGCTTTCCGCTAAGTCTGGCAAAGAGTCGGAGAAGAGAAAGAAAAAGGCTCCCACCCCGTCTGAATCTTCTGAATCCGATAGTGATGAAGAGATGAAGAATGCTAGTTCTGGCAGCGAGAGTGAAAGTGAAAGCGAAAGCGATAGTGGAAGTGAGAGCGAAGCTGAAGAAAAAGCTGCCGCCCCTGTTAAAGCAGCAGCGGCCAAACCTGAGGCCGAGTCTGGATCCGAGAAGTCCTCGGAGTCTGAAAGCGAGAGTGAAGAGTCCGAATCCGAATCCGAGTCTGAGGAGGCGGACTCTGCACCGGCTTCTAAGGCTAAAAAACCCGTTGAAAAGGTTTGTTTCCCTGTTCTAGTCCCTTGTATTCAATGAGCTAAATGCTGTTTTTGCCTTTCAAGAAATCCGAACCTAAAGATTCCGAGGAATCTGAAGACTCTGAAGAAGATGAAGATGAAAGCGAAGAATCATCTGAAGAGTCTCCTAGCGAAGATGAGGAGAAGCCAGGAAAGTCCCAAAAGCGCAAAGCTGATTCAGAAGAGACTCCTGTGTCCAAAAAAGCAAAACAGGAGAGTAATAATGAAGCTCCCGCTGAAGGGGGCAATCTCTTTATCGGAAACCTGTCTTGGAATGTCGATGAGGAGTGGCTTCGCTCTGAATTCGAAGGTTTTGGCGAACTTTCGGGTGTTCGCATTGTCACTGACCGCGATAGTGGACGTTCTCGAGGGTAAGATGATCCATGATTGATGTCTGCAGCCTCGCTAACTTGTATTCTACAGATTCGGCTACGTTGAATTCACTAACGCTGCCGACGCCACCAAAGCTTTCGATGCTAAGAAAGACACAGAAATCGACGGGCGCAAGATCAACGTTGATTTTGCCAACGCCCGCCAGAACGCTGGCGCTCCTAGGGAGCGCGCCCAGTCTCGTGCCAAGAATTTTGGTGATCAGACCAGTCCTGAAAGTGACACTCTTTTCATTGGGAATATCTCATTTGGTGCAGACGAGAACACCATTCAAGAAGCATTCTCATCGCACGGATCAATTCTTGGCATCCGTTTGCCCACGGATCCAGACTCTGGCCGCCCTAAGGGATTTGGTTACGTCCAGTTCTCATCGAGCGATGAAGCGCGTTCTGCACTAAACGCCCTTCAGGGGTCTGATCTTGCAGGTCGTTCGATGCGCCTTGACTTCAGTAGCCCAAGACAGAATTCCGGTGGCAGCTTTGGTGGCCGTGGTGGTGGCCGCGGCGGCCGGGGTGGAAGAGGCGCTCCCCGCGGTGGTCCACGAGGTGGTGGCCGTGGCGGTCGCGGAGGATTTTCCAGCGGCGGCGGATTCGGTGATTTCTCAGGAAAGAAGACTACTTTCTAAAGCAGTCCTGAGGCATTTTGCGAGGGTTTTTTGCTTACTCCATAAATTGTAATTCGTAGTCGTTGAAGGTAAGTAATGTATGACTATCGTGTTTGGTCATTAACAAAAGTTTCTTATTGCTAAATTAAATGTGCTCCTACTGCTACTGCCTTATTATCCTTCGTCAAAACTTTCTTCGGGTCTCAGAGGATGTAACTACTAGTAAAGCAGCCCTGCAAGTTCTGTGTCCATCTCGGATGTTCAGTTTCCTTCTTGCCCTAAATTTTTGCCCTAATCAGATCATCCAAACACAGTCTAGCGCATCCTTAGGCAGATCGAAGCGGGGTAACCCCATCATGTGGCCGACTCTCGACCAATCGATTGGCCACACTGTAAGCCACGCACTATACCCCCTATCGCCACTCCGTTGCTGCCTTCGGATGGTGACGTCGCCCCGCAGGCTCAGTATCTCCACGCCTCAGCTCCCGCGCCAACTCCCTCACTTATCACACCACCACCGATAAGCAAACCTCCGACCGATCCAGTCCTGCTATTTCTCACTCTGTTTCTCTTTTTCAACCTCCTCCTTATCCCATCATCCCTCCTTTCTATGGAATGATAGCTCTGTACTACCAAACGGTGGTCTGCCTTCTATATTGTCCTTCCTGCCCATCTCTGAGCTTCTTGACCTGTATATAAACATCCATACACCATTGTTGCTGGCATCTTGACTTCAGATATCCCTGATCTCGTGCCCGGATCACCTGAGGTCAACTTCTTCTTAGACACTGTCTCATTTTCTCTTTGGAAATCAATTCTTTACCTCCTAAAAAAAGGCTGCAGGCCTGCCTTTGTATTGTGATCCCTTTATTCTCTGGCTTGCCACAACACCTCCGAGTAAGAATTTAGTTGACCTCGCCCTACACTACGTCACCTGCTAGTCAAGTACCAGTCTACACTATTCCCTTTGGGCGGCAAATTCTGAATGCGAGGAAGGGGATGATTCCACTTCAGGACTTACAAAAGACCTGAATAGGAGACCCAGCCTCCTTCCTGTACTGGCTGTTTTTTCCACTCCCCCCCTACCTTTGACGGCGTACAAACAGCCAAACAATATTTGCTCTTTGCCTATATTGCCGCGGGCTCAATGCAAGATACTACTTTAGTGGCCGATGGCCGGCTTGCGAGAAATGACACAATCGCGTCACCAGAGCCTAGCACAGGACCAAGAGAGACAACAGTCGTTCAGCAAGAAAAATCCGAAGGTAAGTAAAACAACCCTATTTCTAGATGGCTATGGATGAGATCTCCGATAGCATACCATCAGCTTGGAGGCAATCTACATTCCCAAACGCTGCGTACAAAAGCAAAGCCTACTTCCTTTCCTCAACATATAACATTCCACTCAAGTTTTTCCACATGTACTCATTTCGTTACTACCTAGATTCCTGGATAGAAGTGGCATCCCAACCTTCCTCCTCATCTTTATCCTCCTCCGCAGCAAATGATGAGATTGTTACAACTGGCCTTAGGGTTCCACCTCGTCGGATGCGTGGAAATCGCCAGGTCATTGCTGCGCAAGATCTAAATATTACATACTCCCATCGACATTCCGTTGCAAACGATAGTAGTCAGGAAGAGTACGAAGAGACAGAGAGCGATTCTGATCGCATCTTGAGCAGCTCCAATGAAGATATCCGCGCAAGCCGTCGTCACACAGTCACTTTTATCCCTGGGAATTCATCTACTTCCGATGTAGCAATGTCCAGCGAAGATGATGACAACCTAACAGCTTTGGGGCCGTCAAATCGATCTTCCTTCACCCCACAACCAAATGTATTCTCGCATCCCCCCGCCTCGCAGACAAATATTCAATCCCAAGCAGCATACCCCTCAGAAAGTCACGCGGCAAACCGCATCGAAAATAGAACTAGAAGCCATCGGAACTCCAGGAGTAGCATACAATCCTCACGCCGTTTCCGAAACCAACATCCACAACATTCCCCTTACAATATTTACTCTCCGTCACACCAAGCAGACCACGATGCTGCTCTCCGTGCGAGTTTATCTACCCTGTTGTCATGTGCAGCGGCAGCTCGAGGCTTGACCAAGAGAGACAGTCAATATCAAGCGCCTGAACGGCCGAGCAGCCATCCTGAACCTTCGTCATTTCGACTTGTTCCTGAAACAGTCGCTGTTCAAGAAGATGCGGCAGGTCAGCATAATATTTCTAATGATGTGCAACACCGGTCCTCATCTCTTTCACCATCAAAACGATCACGTTCACCCATACAATCAACAACAAGGGTGAGACGAAAAGCCAGTCCATCTAAAACCCACCCTGTTGCTCCCACCTCGTCCAAGAAAACTCGTCGCACTACGTCGGAGACTAGTTCTCTAATCAGCCCTACGATAATGACCTGGGTGGTAAGTGCTGGCGTCGTAGTATTGTTCTCAGCAATCAGTTTCTCTGCTGGTTATGTTATTGGCCGAGAGGTTGGAAGAACAGAAGGAAGCCAGGTTCTTTATAATTCTGGAGTAGGCAACGGAATATCAGGCGCAAGAACCAGTACAGGATGCGGAAAGGAAGCCGTCAAGGGGGGGTTGAGACAGTTTCGATGGGTCAGTGGAGGTTCCGGGTCCGCGGTTGCTGTTTGATTACGTTTAAATCACTTTGATAATGATTTACGATTTGCATATAATACAACATGAGTTTTGCTGGAGTTGGGGACAAATGGAATGGCTGGAAAATGTTTTGATGCCCACCCTCTCCTTTTAATGAAGTCACTTTGCTGATTAGTCAATTAGCTAATTATCTTATCATATTCTCATTTTTATGTGTTGCCCCTCGCCTTCCTAGGTTTTGTGAATTTAAATGTTCTGCATGCTTATTTCTCGATATGTTCATTTTATGAAATTGTGGGTGGATTTTTGTGGGTGTAGCATGCATCTCCAGTTTAGCGGTGTTCCGCTTTATTGAATCATCAATAACCACTAGAGAGAAGCTGTTTAACCAATTTTAAGCTGTACGAAGTACATGTACAAGGCACATACCTTCCCTTAAGTTTTCCCATATAAGCAGCACATGACTGAAATGAAGGGGGTTCTTTCGGGAATAAACACCAATAGATAGTGGTATATAATACAAGATTGAATATATGACAATATTGAATGCAGGGAAATAAGTAGTTATGTGTACCCAATGTATCCTGGTCCCCAGCTTGACACAGTGTGGAAGTATGCGCATGTATCACTAGGCTACTACACAAAAACGATATACTTTGCAGCCCTGAGTCTTCATAATAGAACCAAATAGGCATGGAAAATTTGCGTTAAGGCTGCTAATCCAAAATATTTCGTCAAGACCATGAACTGGCGTAGATGATGCCTACAATCCTTTCAAGAAATTAGACTCCTTGATAGATTTTCTTCGCGCTGCACGAGCGCTCTTTGTAATTGATTTTCTAGTATCGATACCAGTCGAAGCGACCTCAAAATTATTTTCGGCGTCCGCAGTAACCGCATTCACTGATACAATGTCAATGGCTTGTTCGTGAAGTGGAATGACTCGAGGTTTAGAAGCAGCAGCCACAGCTGCTTTTTTCTCGTGGCGTTTTCGCTGTTTTCTATTGAGAGCTGCAATGTCAAAGCTGTTAGTAAGGGTGGGTACTAAAAGCTATCGCTTTGTGAGAGGTCGGCAGCTTCGTACAAGACAGATCAACGTTTCCAGCACCACTTCCCAACCTATCATTTGTATCATCTAGGATTCTCCATAGCCAATCTGGATATTCCGCATCATCCAGCGCAATTATATCAGGTTTGTTTTTAAGATAATTCAATCCAAGTAAGCGTGTGCCCGCGGGAACACTGCTCTCCACTTTCATTGTTTTGGCATTTTTAGTACTCGGCGTCGTTGTTATCTCGTTTCCGTCCTTTTGGGCCTGCTTTTGTGTCGCGTCGGCGGGTGTACTGTAGGTTCGGAGTTGGCTTCCAGATGTTATTCGGGAGGGAGAAAGGATTGAGGACACAGGGGAGTAGAATGGGAGGCGAGACAGTATGTGCATGCGGCAGCGTGAGCAGATCATTTTGATTATAAAGGGTGTGAAACGCTCATAGAGGGGGGAGTTGTAGAAAGCTCTTCCGTCAATTGCATATCTTGTTTCTGCGATGGTTAAATGGAATTTGATAAATTAGCTTTCGAGTCACGTGCCAGGCTGTCTGGGCAGGGCTAGCTACTCCTTATCCTCAACAACTCTCAAACCTCACGAACATTAAAATTAGGCAAATTGTGTTGTGTAGGTGTTTCTACGGGTAGCAATATTTGCAAAATACCAGGAATTTACCGCGTTTCCTTGCTTGGTGATGATAATACTTTAATATTGCTCCGTCTGATAAAAGTCGACCGTTAATCGGGCAATATGAGGACAAGTCCTTACTTCATACAGAGTGCCTTACCGCCTGCAAACGTTGACGCTGTTTTTTGGCGATTTATACTTCTTCAAAGACTGTGATGTGAACAGTTTTGGGATTTCTTTTACCGTGACGATTCATTTGCACGATAAGTCATGAAGCTCGTGACGTGGTTTACCCCCTCAATTCGATGGCGATTTTCATTATCGCAAGTCAAATTCGGTGTGAGAACTACCCCATCTCTTGTCATTATACTACCTGGCTCATTCTTTGAGGAGCCCGGATAGTGAACATGTTGGACGTCTTGAGGAGAGGTCATCTTGTCGTGATCAAGTCTCCGCTGAGTAGCCATTGAAGTCTCACTAACAACATCACAAGCAGTATCATCAAGCTCGACTGGTGGGTCTTTAGGAGCAGAGCCTGGAAGCTCCATCGGAGTGTCTGTATATCTGTCGTTGTGGCCATGCCTCGATGAATACTCATATGGTTGTGGTAGTACAACTGTTGAAGGGGATCTATGACGGATGTTTATGCCCCCAGATAAAGAAAATTTCTTCTTCTTGACGTTCTTGCTTTTATGTGCGCTTTCCTGCTGGCCTGAGTGAACCGTTAACCTCCTTATTCATAGCACGTGAAACACATCACTTCTACATCCATATACATACATATATAAAGGCAAAAACTTACCATTTGCTTCGCTATTCATGGCTATAGGACTCCTTGATCTCTTTTCACCCTTGAAAAAACATAAAATTGGTGCCAGAGTAGTCGTCTTTGGTCTGACGGAAGCGTCATACAGCGGCCCCTGCTCTTGTTTAGCATTTCGTCTCTTTCGCCGCCTCAAACAGCAGAAAGCCAATATCAGCAGCAGTACGATTATAACTACTATAGGAATGATTATAGCAATCAACTTTCCGGTGTTATTGCTTTTTGTTTCAGTGGACACTGGGGTCACTATAGCGGGAGTTTCGACTGGGCTTGGTGTGTAGGACTGCGTTTCGAGGGTGGTAGTTTGGGCTGAGGTGCTTGTCGAGCTTGCAGAGGAACGAAGTGTCACGGTAGTAGTACTCGATGTCGTACTTGCTGGACGCTTTGCTAAGGTCATCAACTATTTCAGTTTTTGTCCATATTATTAACGCTAACTTCCTTCATATCTGGAAGGGAACATACCCGTAATACTTGGTTTATCAGAAGGCAGTGGAGAGTTGCTCTCGAACATGCTGAGTGGCTTTAAACACAACCCAGTATCACAGGGATCAGCGCCACAGCATCCCTTGAACGCGCCTTTCGAGCATGTATACCATGAATACCCTTCAGGACAGTTTCCATTTGTCTGGCGGCGAAATAGGTTCGACATTTTTGCTGATTGTGAAGAACAGCTCTGAATCCCTTGTAATGTGCAATCGCAGTCAAGCTCTCTCTTGCACCACTAATGAAATATAGATGTGGGCTGCTGTTAAATCCAAGACATACAGTCAAACAAAGAAGTACGTACATACGAGCTAGAATGTCGACCAAGCGGCTGGTTTTCGGTATACTTTCATTTGAGAAAGGCGACAATAGTTTTGCTCTAGTATTGGATGCCAATCAGGACCTTAACTGTCAACTACTTCCTAGGCCAGGTGTGTAGTTATTGGGAAATGGGGCTGTTTTGACTTGAATTGACTCTGTATTGTCTATTTGCAGCAGTTGGTTGTACAGGCTATGCATACTGAGAATTTTCTCTGTCCTACATGCATCTCCCCATACATACATAACCTACTAACTAGTCAACCAATTTTAGGATGATGCTATCTCCATCATACAAAAAGGCGCACAGTTGGTCTAACTATAGAACATGAGAGTAACTCCTTTCGGTTAGATTTTTAATGTGGGAGTAGTCAGTAGAAATTGATTCTCTGTGGAATCTGGAAACCAATTTCTAGAAACTATGAAACAACCACTCCCTTTTTATAGTGTCAAACTTTATTCCTTAAATCTTTGAAGCTTCAAAGTTTTCATTCCTATCTTTCAATCAGCCCACTAAATCTTGAGATATTGGAACATATGGCTAAAATTAATCCATTAGTATGTTACAACATGTAATAGGTGCTTAAAATAATATGAAACAGTTGATTTAACATTGTTTATTCTTTCCATATTGTTGTGATGGTAGTTTTGGTTACATAAAAGCTTTTATTATTGCCCTTTCAAAAACAGTTTTATCATTTACTATTAAAGAGTGTCTGGCACATTTATTTTATCTTGACAAGGCAATATCATCAATGCGCAGAATCAACTTGACTGTCTCGGCAGCAAGTTCAATAGCACTTGTACTGACGAGCAGTGGCTGCAGCACTCTTTCATCAGCAATATTATCCTTGACTCCTCCACTACGGATGCTCACACCAGCATTCTTCTCACCCATTGCGTGGCGATGACGTAAATCGGTTACTACCTTTATGCTGTTCAAGCCAGCATTTTCGGCCAACGTGACTGGGATGACTTCCATGGCATCAGAAAATGACTTCCAGCAAATAGCTTCTGTACCTGATAGTGCTCGTGCTTGCTTCGCTAATGAGTGCGCAATTTCGATTTCAGGAGCGCCGCCACCAGCAATCAAGGCTCGCTTTTTGACTAGGCAACGGACAACACACAGTGCATCATGGAGAGAGCGTTCGACCTCATCAAGAACAAGGCTGTTAGCGCCACGGGCGATAATAGAAACCGTTTGATTGGCGTTTGCGGATCGAACTCCAGTTACTTTCACATATCGGGAGCCAGCCGAGTTGATTTCTTCAACCAAATCAGCCGTACCAAGCTTGTCCTCCGTAAAAGATTCAATGTTGGCAATTGGTTTGCACCCCAGGCTCTTACAGACGAATTCTACCTCATCACGCTCGATGTCTTTGACTGCCAGTATTTTAACTCGGGAAAGGAAGTTGAGAGAGAGGTCGTTGACAGCATCACGAAGGATAGATTTCTGAATTAGTAGAACATTGCATTTCGTCTTGGCGATTTTCCGAACCATATTTAGAAGGTAGGTGCGTTCTTCTTTGAGAATTTTGTCCATCTGTCTGTAATCATTGACGACAATTTGATTTTCCATCTAGAAAGTATTAGCTGCCGCTTGGCAAAAGAAAGATGAAGGGAGGAAAATACGTCTGGCTTTGGCGGGCTAAGCTGGAATTGAATCAAAGCAATGCGTGCTTTTTCGATCCTAGTCGGACCGCCTGCATTTTTCAAAACAGGCTGGTTAAGAATCAGGCCATCCACCATCTCACTATCCTCTATTGTGCCACCAACTTTCTTAACGATTCGGATGTTCCTGAGATCAACATTATCGGAGGTTTTTGTATCTATAACTTTGAGCACGGAATCAACCGCCATGGGCCCGAGAAGACTTGAGTGTTGAGAAACAATTTTCGAGGAGAGGGAAGTGGATGCTGCTTGAAGGAGCGCGGTACGGTCAGTGAGCGTGATAGGCTGCGACATGTCATGGAGAACCTGCACAGCGGCAGCGGCAGCGCGTTGGAAAGACTCAGAGATGACAGTTGGATGAATCCCTGTTTAGATTGTCAGTATTGACACATTCTGGTGAGAAATTTCTGGTTGGTCACCTTTTGAAAGTAATCGCTCAGCAGCTCCGAGCAAACTTCCAGCAATTACGACAACCGACGTAGTGCCGTCGCCAGCTTCAACATCTTGGGCAGCACTCAAATCAACTAGCATTTTGGCGGCCGGGTGCATCACACTCATATCCTTCAACATTGTGTTTCCATCGTTTGTCTTGACAAGAAATTAGTGGGGGTCAAAAACGCAGGCGACCGGAGACACGCACGATAATAGTTTCGCCTTTGCCGGTTTGAATCTGGTTATTTGTCAGTAAAGTCAATGCTTAAGATAAAGTAGTAGAAGTACCATCTTGTCCATGCCCCTAGGTCCAAGTGACTTGCAAGTGTTAGCCCCGCTTCCTCCACACATATGGAAATATCATACTGTTCTGATAGCATCCGCAACAGCTTTAACAGCGTTAGCTTTGCATGTGGAGTATGAAGGTTCCAAAATTACCTCGAGCAGCCATAATATTGGCGGTGCGGACGGCCATAGGCTTCTCCTTGTCCTGATATACTTAATTAGCACTGAGCACACACGTGAGAAATAGGATGCAAACCTTGAATGCATTGGATGCAGTATTTGCCGGGCCGCTTAGAGCAGCCGCCATCTTGATATAGGAGTATATAACGCACAGTATGAGATATGAGAAGCAAGTGACGTGGGTGAAGTACGCTGTTGATTGAATTTCGATGCTGGATCTTTCGACTGCAGATGCTTGGCGTGCCTGGCCACTAGCGTCGCGGAGCTCTGACGACCTAAGCTACTCCCATCACTGAATACTACTGCCATCACTTACGACGCAACATTCCCAGCAGCCGTTTATCTTTTCCCAGCGCCTACCTTTTATTCATTGCCAGTCTGTATCCCGTCCCCGGTTGCTTGGTTTCTAAAATTCGCGCCATCTCCACTCGACATCATGCCCAGTGCGACGGGCCAGAACTGGGAGAAATACCGGAAGAATTTCGCCGATGAAGATGAGACGGAGAAGAAGATAACGCCCCTCACTGATGAGTATGGCTTTACGTTTTTCTCAGCGGTGTGGCTAGCTAAAATCTTCCCAGGGACATCCAAGTCCTCAAGACCTACGGCGCCGCCCCATATGCAGCGGCGCTAAAGAAGCTCGAGAAACAGATCAAAGATAAACAAGCAAGCGTGAATGAGAAGATCGGCGTGAAGGTAGTATCCTTGTCTCGATTCAACCTTCGCAAGCGCTCATAAACTTTCTAGGAATCCGATACTGGCCTCGCGCCGCCACACCTTTGGGACGTCGCTGCCGATAGACAACGAATGTCGGAAGAACAACCATTACAGGTTGCACGGTGCACAAAAATCATTGCCGACGAGAAGGATCCCGATAAAAGTAAATATGTTATCAACGTCAAACAAATAGCGAAATTCGTTGTGAACCTTGGGGAAAGGGTTAGTCCGACAGATATCGAGGAAGGGATGCGCGTTGGGTAAGTATGATGCTGTGTCAGAGGATTGCACGTTCGTTCACTAAGATTGGCTTTACAGTGTTGACCGAAATAAATACCAAATCATGCTACCTCTTCCTCCAAAAATTGACCCGAGCGTTACCATGATGACCGTTGAAGATAAACCTGACGTGACGTATGGAGATGTTGGAGGATGCAAAGAGCAGATAGAGAAGCTCCGAGAAGTTGTTGAGATGCCTCTATTATCTCCAGAACGATTCGTGGGATTAGGCATAGACCCACCAAAGGGCGCTTTGCTATATGGCCCTCCCGGTACTGGCAAGACTCTTTGCGCCAGAGCAGTAGCCAATCGAACCGATGCAACATTTATCCGTGTCATTGGTAGCGAATTGGTTCAGAAATACGTTGGAGAAGGAGCAAGAATGGTACGAGAGTTGTTCGAAATGGCACGAACAAAGAAGGCTTGCATCATTTTCTTTGACGAAATAGACGCGATCGGTGGCGCTCGTTTCGACGATGGTGCAGGTGGAGATAACGAGGTTCAGAGAACCATGCTGGAGTTGATTACACAGTTAGATGGCTTCGACGCCCGAGGCAATATCAAAGTAATGTTCGCAACTAATAGGCCGTCTACCCTTGACCCTGCTCTAATGCGACCTGGCCGTATCGACCGGAAGATCGAATTTTCTCTTCCAGACCTTGAAGGACGGGCGAATATCCTTCGAATTCATGCCAAGAGTATGTCGGTTGAACGGGACATCAGATGGGAACTTATTTCGCGACTATGTCCTAATTCCACTGGTGCAGAATTAAGGAGTGTTGCGACGGAAGCAGGCATGTTTGCTATAAGAGCACGTAGAAAAGTTGCTACAGAGAAGGATTTTCTGGCTGCTGTGGACAAGGTGATCAAAGGCAATCTCAAGTTCAACTCCACTGCAACATACATGCAATACAATTAGGATGTTCGCGAGCCCTGTTGCATTACTTCTTGAAGCTAGACTGAACTGGAATTTATGTGTACTGTACAATGAAGCTAGGCATATTAACTCACGGTCAATAATGGATAGAAACCTGATACTCTTGTTTGTTTGCTGCAGTTTCGACGAACAGCTGATATATATGGTTGTCACGTGCCATCCCGATGGAGCAGCGGGCCATTTCGGAAAGCTGACCTAACAAGGGGCTCTCATTGGCCCATAAGCAACAGGAAGACCTCGGGAGAGCCTAGTCTGACGGCTTATGTAACAACCTGGAGCAACCTATCTTCTACATGAGGCAAGACGACGACCAGATCGACCTAGCGAAAAATTGCCATTCCCTTTCACGGTCTGGGGAACAATTAACTCGTAGCATTGAGCTCATTCCCTGTACTGATTCCAAGTCATCATGAGTTTCAGCGGGCTACGGAGTATTGCTCCGGCTACCAAAGTACGTCCTGCTTCACTTGGCCGCCTTTGTCCTCAACCGCCACAAATCTAACTCAATCTACTGCAGTCAATCCGCTCATTTAGAAATCAGAAGCGGCCGTTTTCATGCAGTCGACCTGCAGGTATATTTGACCTCTAAGCATCGCCATTGGCAGATATGCTGACTTCTTTAGCTCGAATTATTGCCAGTCAACCCCTTCGTGCTAAAGAAGCTTCTCCCTTTCTCACCACAAAATACCCTGTGATCGTATGTGATCCCCCAATAAGTTTAGGATGTAGCTGTGCCGGTCCAGGTGCTGAAGGTATTTGCTGAATATAGGACCATGAGTACGACGCTGTTGTTGTGGGTGCGGGAGGCGCCGGCCTACGAGCTGCTTTCGGCCTTGCAGAAGCTGGATTCAACACTGCCTGTGTGACAAAATTGTTCCCTACAAGAAGCCATACGGTCGCTGCACAAGGCGGAATCAATGCTGCGCTTGGAAAGTATGGTTCCCGAATTGGATCTGGCACATATTAGCATGGCTAATTCGAATGCAGCATGCACGAAGATGATTGGAGATGGCACATGTATGACACTGTAAAAGGATCTGACTGGCTCGGTGATCAAGATGCGATTCATTACATGACCAGAGAGGCACCCCAGAGTGTCATTGAGCTTGAGGGTTATGGCTGCCCATTTTCGAGAACAGAGGATGGTCGAATCTACCAACGAGCTTTTGGCGGCCAATCGAAGGATTTTGGCAAAGGTGGTCAAGCCTATCGATGCTGCGCCGCTGCCGACAGAACTGGTCACGCTCTTCTTCATACCCTGTATGGCCAGTCCCTTAGGTACAACGCAAACTACTTCATTGAATACTTTGCCATGGATCTTTTGATGGAAGATGGAGAATGCAAGGGCATTCTTGCCTACAACCAGGAAGACGGAACCCTCCACCGATTTAAAGCCCACCACACCGTCCTGGCTACAGGTGGCTACGGACGTGCCTATTTTAGTTGCACTTCCGCGCATACCTGCACAGGCGATGGTATGGCTATGGTTGCACGTGCTGGCCTACCCAACCAAGATTTGGAATTCGTGCAATTCCACCCTACCGGTATTTATGGTGCCGGCTGCCTGATCACTGAAGGTTCTCGAGGCGAGGGCGGCTACCTCCTCAACTCCAATGGTGAACGATTCATGGAACGATATGCAGCTACTGCCAAGGATCTTGCTAGTCGAGATGTCGTCTCTCGATCTATGACCCTCGAAATCCGTGAGGGCCGCGGTGTTGGCCCCGAAAAAGATCACATTTATCTCCAACTCAGCCACCTGCCTGCCGAAATTCTTCATGAACGTCTCCCAGGTATTTCCGAAACGGCTTCTATTTTTGCTGGTGTTGATGTTACCAAACAACCAATTCCAGTGCTGCCAACTGTTCACTACAACATGGGCGGTATTCCTACTCGCTACACAGGCGAGGTATTGACGATCGACGAAAAAGGCAATGACAAGATCGTCCCTGGTCTCTATGCTTGTGGTGAAGCCGCTTGTGTCTCGGTCCACGGCGCCAACCGCCTTGGGGCCAACTCTCTTCTTGATCTTATCGTGTTTGGCCGTGCTGTTTCCCATACCATTCGTGACAATTCTACGCCACAGAAACCCCACAAGGAGATTAGTGCCGATGCCGGTGCTGATTCTATTCGTGTTCTTGACCAGGTTAGAACCGCTGACGGTCCAAAGTCAACTTTCGACATCAGAAACGCTATGCAGAGAACTATGCAAACGGATGTTAGTGTTTTCCGTACACAAGCAAGTTTGGATGATGGCGTGAGAAAGATCACCGAAATCGATCAAACATTCAGCCAAGTTGGTACCAAAGATCGCAGCATGATTTGGAACTCGGATCTTGTTGAGACTCTTGAGCTGAGGAATCTGTTGACTTGCGCGTAAGTTCACTCTTCTCAAAAACGTCCCTAGTTCCCCTTCATTTTCTGTCGGGACTTTAGACTAACGGCCTTGTAGGACTCAAACAGCCGTTGCTGCTGCTAATCGAAAGGAATCTCGCGGCGCCCATGCTCGAGAAGATTACCCTAAGCGCGACGACCAACAATGGATGAAACACACCCTTACATTCCAGAAGGAGCCCCATGGCAAGATCGATTTAACTTACCGAGCGGTGACGAGTACCACCTTGGACGAAAACGAATGCAAGCCAGTGCCCCCGTTCGAACGCACATACTAGATGGCCTTCTCTATATCCCTTTTTCGTTCAAAAGCCCCACGTTTAGCCGGAGTTTTGTCTATTCTCTAGCTGAGGGACATGTGTATAAGGATGACAGGTTTCATTGCTGTATATAAACACTTTGCATTTATCTGATGGGAAATTTTGATATTTTTTTGTGCACTGCGCAACAGCGGTGTCGTTTTTGTCGTTTGGAGTAATGAAACAGCAGATGTCCTTTTTTAAGTATTGGAATGCCGCCAGATAGACGTATGTATGTATGTACAGTATGATACTCCCTGCCTCTGCGGCTAATAATTGCAAGGTACCTGCTTGGGGGCCTTCGGGCCACGTTATCTTCACGTCGAAAAGAAGCTTCGTGCCAAGCCTCCCCGGTTCTCCAAACGACCTGGTGTGTCTGAAGATGTGTAAAAGCTGACAGCACTCAATCCCTTTAATCGTGAGGACATCAATACCCCTCTGCAGCATGTGAGGCGATTTATTCAATTTGTCTATGATTTTCTGCTCGAGGCTTGTGCAGTCTGCTGTTGTTATCCTTCAGCGTGGATGCGTGCAGCCTGCTCCCCTGGCCCTGGTACCCCCCTAAGCTCTCCACCAACATGGATACCGAGAAGCGTATCGGCAGTAATGAGGAAACCGAGCCTCTTACACGCCGAGATGCCGAATCCAGAGATTCGATTGATTCCGCTTCGATTGCATCTGCCTCCCTCGTCCTGATCGACCACGCCAACAATACTTCTTCACCATCGAGTCGAGACATTTTCCAGGATGGGGGAAAATACCGTGATGCTGAGGCTGATCCAGAAGCGGTTACTCCAGTTTCCGCCGACGGGATGTCGCCACCGAAAAGAGTCAAACTTTTATTTTGCTTCGTCGTTGCAATATCATTAGCAGGATGGCTGGTTGCCTTCTTTATCTTTGCGGGCAGCCGCAAGGACAAGGGAAGTGAGGTGGTTGCCCAAAATAGCGGGAACAATACACCATCGGAGTTATCAGGCGGGCAAACCAAAGTAAGCCTGGAAGATGTGCTTCGTGGCTCCTGGAGGCCGATTACTCATGATATTTCCTGGCTTCCGGGCTCAAACGGGGAAGATGGGCTTCTTCTGGAACAAGATGAAGCGGGATCTAAAGGTTATCTACGCGTGGAAGATATTAGACATCGAAGGTCTGCGGATAAAGGAGATGAGCAGGTTATCTTGATACAAAACCCAACATTCAGAGTCAACGGGAAGCTTGTTTACCCAAGTAAGGTCTGGCCTAGCCCAGATCTTAAAACCGTACTTGTTATGTCTGATCGACTAAAGAATTGGCGACACTCGTATTCTGGAAACTACTGGCTATTCGATGTCAAGACGCAAACTGGACGGCCACTCGACCCAGCATTGCCCCATGGAATGATACAACTGGCGTCCTGGTCACCGAAATCTGATGCTGTGGTTTTCACAAGGAATAACAACCTATTTATTCGAAGATTGTCCTCGGATAGTACTGAACAAATTACCACTGATGGAGGTCCCGATTTATTCTACGGTGTCCCGGATTGGGTATACGAGGAAGAAGTTTTCTCTGGAAACAGTGCTACATGGTGGGCAAAGGATGGCAAATTCATTGCATTCCTCCGAACAAACGAATCGAGCGTTCCGGAATACCCCGTCCAATATTTTATCAATGAGCCAGGGAAACTCGCGCCCCCCGGAGAAGAGCATTATCCAAATGTTCGCAGGATCAAATACCCGAAAGCGGGCGCACCAAATCCTACTGTTAGTATTCAGTTCTTTGACCTAAAAAAGGGCAGTACTTTCTCGGTCGACGTTAAAGGGGATCTACCTGATAACGATCGTCTCATCAATGAGGTTGTTTGGGCATCCGACGGAAACGTACTAGTCCGAGAAACCAATCGTGAAAGCGATCGACTCGTCGTACTGCTGATCGATGTAAACAAACAATCGGGCAGAGTGGTTCGGACCCTAAATATCTCGGATTTGGACGGAGGATGGATAGAGCCATCCCAGACCACCCGCTTCATACCAGCCGATCCTGATAATGGAAGGCCACATAATGGTTATATCGAAACCGTGCCGCACAACGGCTTTGACCATTTAGCCTATTTCACTCCATTGGACAACCCTAATCCGCTCTTTCTTACGTCAGGCAATTGGGAAGTTGTCGATGCTCCGTCAGCAGTGGATTTGAAGCGGGGACTTGTCTATTTTGTTGCAACAAAAGAGAATCCAACAGAGCGCCATGTGTACACTGTGAAACTTGATGGCTCCGAGTTAAAGCCGATAGTGGATACAAAGCTTTCGGCATATTACTCTATCTCGCTCTCCGCAGGCGCAGGATATGCATTGTTAAGATACGAGGGCCCTGGGATTCCTTGGCAGAAAGTCATAAGCACACCGGCAAATGAAGAAAAATATGAAGAAAGCATTGAGACAAACACAGGCCTTGCAAATAAAGCCAAAGAAGTAGCGTTACCTTCCCTGCACTACCAAACAGTGTCCGTTGACGGATATACTCTTCAAGTGGTAGAGAGAAGGCCTCCTGGCTTTAATCCAGACAAAAAGTACCCCGTTTTATTCTTTTTGTATGGAGGACCAGGGTCGCAGACTGTCAGCAAGAAATTCAAGATCGACTTCCAATCGTATATTGCATCAAACTTGGGATACATAGTTGTGACAGTCGACGGAAGAGGCACTGGTTTTATTGGTCGCAAAGCTCGTTGTATCGTCCGCGGCCAACTTGGCCACTATGAAGCCAAAGATCAGATAGCAACCGCGAAGGCCTGGGGAACCCGGCCGTACGTAGATGCTTCCCGAATGGCGATATGGGGCTGGAGTTATGGCGGCTTTATGACCTTGAAAACGCTCGAGCAAGACGCTGGTCAAACTTTCCAGTATGGAATGGCTGTCGCGCCAGTTACTGACTGGCGGTTCTATGGTAAGCCCTCGACGAGTAGATCCTCCCACTTATGCCGCTATACTAAAGGGAATTTGTTACAGACTCAATTTACACTGAACGCTACATGCATACACCTCAGAACAACCGTATGGGGTATGATCGTACCGCTATTTCTAACGTCACTGCGCTTCAGAGTACTGTACGATTTCTTGTCATCCATGGCACAGGGGATGACAATGTCCACATGCAGAACACTCTCACTTTATTAGACAAGCTTGATATTGGCGGTGTCAAAAATTTTGATGTTCATATTTTCCCAGATTCTGACCATGGAATCTACTTCCACAATGCATATATGATGGTGCATCAGCGTAAGTTCTCTGGCCCTCGCAAACGACTGTTTCAGCTAACTTACGCTATAAGGCCTCTCTGATTGGCTCGTAAACGCATTCAACGGCGAATGGGCAAAGACCCGCGATCCCACCCCTGCCATGTTCCTTGTACGACGCGTGATGCAATTTTTCTCCGGGCTTCGCAATCATAATAATTATTGAGTGTAGTACGGAGTACTAAATTGGCGTTTTCGGGGGACTTGGAAAACTTTTGACTTTGTTTGGAGTCCACGGGTGCAAAGAAGTATATATCCTGTATATTGGTACATGTACCATTGAGTCTCGATAGCCTACATTTTTTTGAATATTCCGGATAAAAGATTTTTTTGAAAGCAACCCTTGTATTAAAGTACCATGATGCTGTCAATTTTTGAGTCTGCGTTTGGGTCTCTCTGTCCCCCAGCTCCTTCGTTCATATTAGCAAGCTCCAGTATTCGTCATCCGGATCCTGCCTGCGCCCGGCATGACGCACAAAATCAAATCTGGCTTAGGATCCAAGATTACACAGCAAGCGAAAGATAATTTTAGTCGGGCATTACAAGTATTTTCGAAGCCAAATAACAAACATCTTACCTAGATCGCAAGGAAGTTTCACGCCCAAACCAAGCTAATTAACTAGTTACCTGATGCAGCTCGCTACGCTATCTTGGCTCTCTCTGGCCTTTCACCCCGCAGCCAACCGGCGTCAACGCCGCATCAACTCGCAGGCGGGGCGGGGGGCCGTTGCGCCACACTGACGACTCGCGGGCTGAAACACCCACACGCAAAGCAAGTAACAAAAGCCACGGAGGCACTGTGAACGTCCCGTATCTCTTCTTCAATCACCTGCACTCGACTCTATGGCGGCCATAGTCGACAACCAGTACAACTTCGCCTGCTCATCCTCTGCTCCTTTCAAACTCACCACCTTCAAGCCGTTGGTGCAATCCCACCTGAAAAAGATATACGACTCTCTACGTCCGCCTACCTCCAACTCCGACCCAGAGGAATCATCTGCACACTTTCTACACGTCGTTCAGCAAGAAAAAAACTCTGATCTGCAACATGCTGGCGCCAGTAGCGCCGACGATGCCACCTCTACGCCTGTACTCACCAACTTGGAGTCATTCATGGATTACATGTCCACTTCAACTGCGATACCTCAAGGAGAAAAGAAGGAGGATTTATCTCTGCCAATTACTAATTACTTCATAAGCTCGAGCCATAATACGTATTTAACAGGCAATCAGTTGTACAGCGAAGCCAGCACTGAGGTCTATAAGGATGTACGTATTAATGGTTTCATTTCCATCATTTTGTCCTTCGTCTCCTTTCTGGCGCTTCTTTGCGTGCACATCCTTTTGAGATAGTAATTATCTGGATAAATGCCGCGAGCAAAGCCCTGGTACGCTGTCGATCCAAATCCTGTCCAATACGCTTCATTTCCAGACACTGAGTTGGCTTCCATTTCACTCGACTGTCGAAAAGCAGCCATCACTCCCCGCCGCCTCTTTTGTCATAGGATATGCAGCTGTCCGCCCTGTTAAAGAGGGCTGCAACGTTGATCGACAGAGGCCATTTCCCTGGCCCTAAGTCCAGGTTAGAGATACTATGCATTTACAAAATCAACTGACCCGTCACATTTGTGATTGGCATACCGGAGAAAAAAAAAGACAAAAAAAAAAGAACTTAGGCTTGCATTGTATACTATATTGAGCGGCAAAGCAAATTCCTTTCTTATTTTTTAATGTCTTGTTTCCGAACATTCCGGGTGCACGGAGGTTGATCCAGCCGATACAGTTGCTTCCATCATTGTAGTAGCTCAAGCTGATGTTTCATAGGTTCTCCTAAGGGGCTGTAGATGTCTGGAAATTGATGTATGGGATGGCGAGGCTTCCCCGGCCGACTCTTCTGACAATGACGATGACGATACTAAGAAAAAGAAAAAAAGTGACGATAATTTGTCCCGGGCGGATAGTAAAAGTCGCTTCAACCTCTCTTCTCTCTCGGATCGCCTGGATCGACTAAAGAAGGATACATCTACAAGTGTGACGGCTGCGGCGCCATTGCAAGCGACGGCTGTGGCTGCAGCTGTCCCGCCCCGACCCGAACCCCGAGTGCTGCATGGCTACACCCTGACGAAGGAAGTCACTTTTCGCGATGTATGCTATGCAATACGCGACAGCGCATTCGTTACTAGTGATTTGCCAGTGATTGTAAGTTTAGAGGTTCATGCTGGTCTTGAGCAGCAGGAGACAATGGTCGAGATTATGACAGAAGCCTGGAAAGGCTTACTTGTCGATTTTACCTCAGAACTGGCTTCTGAACTGGAGAGTGATGATTATAAGTATCTTCCCACCCTCGATTCCTTGAAGCGTAAGCTTTTGATCAAAGTGAAGTGGGCTTCTGGCCAATTGAAGTCAGAATCTGGCACATCCATCGCGGAAACGCCTTGCCCAGAGACTGGCGCAGCAGGTGACAGCAAAAATCAAGCAGCCCAGGCTCAGAAAAAAAAGCCTGCCAAAATTCTGCCCGCACTGAGCCGCCTTGGCATATACACTCGCGGATATACTTTCACAGAGTTCAAGCAGCCTGGTACGTGAATATCTCAGGTGCACGCCATAGGTAAAGCAAAAAACTGATTTTGTGATTAATGCACAGAGGCAGCACTTCCGACCCACATATTCTCTCTTTCAGAGGCAGCAGTGAAATATGCGCATGAGAATGAGCGCAAGGCCCTTTTTGACCATAATAGAAATTATATGATGCGCGCTTACCCATCGGGAATTCGGGTGGACTCCTCGAACCTTGACCCTTCTTTTTTCTGGCGCCAAGGCATTCAGATCGTGGCATTGAATTGGCAAAATTGTGACAAGGGAATGATGCTCAATAAAGGAATGTTTGCGCGTTCCAAGGGTTGGGTAATGAAGCCTGAAGAATATCGAGGAGATTCATGGACAGAAACACAAAGCCCCAGTGGAAGCCGTATATCGAACCATCGTCATACCGTACATCTATCTATTCAGATCTTCGCGGGTCAAAACATCCCGCTACCGAAAGGAGATGATCACGATAGAAGCTTTCGCCCATACGTTGTGGGCGAGCTCCACGTTGAACGGCCGAAGGACAGCATCCATTCGAATGGCAACGATGATGGCGCGAGTGTAAAATATAAGCGTCGTACCACAACCTGCAATAGCGCTGATCCCGACTTTGGCGGCCAGACAATCCAGTTTCCGAGCGCCTCGGGGGTTATTGAACAATTAAGCTTTTTAAGGTCAGTGTGTAGTTATTTCTTCTTTGACGCATTACCCTGCAGTTTTCGATTCCATCCTGCGTTGTTCGAGCAACAGTTATCTGAAGGCATAAGTTACCTCTTCTATGAGCTGTCACCTCAATGGTTTGGGCTTTCCTAAAGCTTGTACTCCGTATTCTAAAGCCCAAGACTTGTCAAATAACCCACTTTCCGCAAAAAGTTCTCCAGGCTGCATAAGCTCATAAGGCCCGTGACAAGTGGCGGTTGTTTTTCTTTTGGCCACTTCTCCGACTCCTCGGGGCAATTTTGCTTTGGGCGACATCTGCTGTGCAACCTTCGCTTCTTGCGCTAACTCTATCGTAGAATCAAAGTAAAAGACGACGAGTTTGGAAAAGACGATTTAGCCGCTTGGGCATGCCTTAGGCTGGACAATATAAGACAAGGGTTCCGGTTCATCCGGTTGTTTAATACAAAAGGCTCACCGACGTCGGGAGTCATTTTGGTGAATATCTCGAAGGAAATTATCTGATAGGCTTAAGGAAGATTTCTGACTTACACGTTACTGATGAATAACCACCCAGTCGCGTAGAGCGGATAAAGTCCATCCATCTACCCAGAATTGTAGATGTTCATTTATTTATTCCAATATGCTCATTCCTGCCAACGCGACTGGGTTCTTATGGTAAAAGTAAGTAGCGCATTCTGTATGACCATGCCATGTATTTCTGTTTAACGGGATGCAGTGGGCTTGTTTTTTTTCGAATTTTTGATACTTGGAATCGAACTGCATCTCTGACGTGGAGCGAGAGAACCTTAGTCCTTAACAACTAGTTATATATCGTGCGGAAGATCGCGAGCCTGTGTATTGTTTAACTCGAAGATCAACATAAAACCGGCTCCCATTCGATAGGCAGGAAAAGCGGAACCGCAGGGCGTTGTCCGTAATTTTCAAGTGGATTTCGGGCTGGCCTCACCGTGGTGTTTTTAGGTGGAGCGTCCGATTCCGCGCAGGTGCTTTTTTTGAATGAGCCGTCGGTGAACCCCCAAGCCACTGGAGCTCACAATCAGATATCAGGGAGAAGCTTTGAACTAACGAGTCGTGCTTTGCTCCCCGCGAGATCCCTAATGGTCGACGCAGCTTCGGCTTCGACCACTCCAGAAGCAAGGAACCCAATCAACAGCAAAGATCAAACGATCGTAAAGACTATGTTGGGCGGAAAGCAGACTTATCACATTTGCGTGATCACACTTGCAGGTATGCAGGTATTAAGCCACTTTCAACTCGATAGGGTGAATTCATTGAGCCGAAAGAGGAAATTTGAAATTGCGCTGAATCAGGACAATGGGCAATCCTCGTATGTATGTAGTTGTACGAAGAGTACACACTTTGGCCTATTTGGCGAGCTTATCCGGGGTTGACTACCTGCAGACAAGGAACATCGATGAGCGCTTAAAGATGCATGCTCTACGGGGTACTAGAGTAGCGATTCCTAGTAAGGAACATCTATCCCCGTTAAAGGGAAGAATTACCAGCAAATATTTAAGAAAATGGTAGTGGCAACAATTTTGTCGGGGCAATACCTGACATCACTCCGGAAGTACTTTTCGCCCCCCGCTTGTCTACAGTATTTGTGTGACTAGGGGGGAAATGCTTTAGCGTTGGTCCTTCAGATTCTATCAATCGTTCCTATTTAGCTCAGTTTAAAAAGGCGTTGTCTTTTGGAGGGGTCAAAACCTCTGGTCCTGAGCTTTGGCTCACGCTGCAAGGCCTGGAATGTATACGCCTAAGGTTTCGGGAAGCGCAGGATCCTTAGGTTGATTGGATTAGGCGTTTCCGCTTCGTGGACGGTAATAATAGAGTCAAAATTTCGGGCGTTCTTCCGCAGGGAAATGACACCTATACGGAGTAGTTTTCAATTGTTCAGCGGTCTAAATTAAACTTTTTTTTGACCGGAACCGACATAACGGCGCATAGTCACTCTAAAATACGAAGTGGACTCTGCAATGAACAGGTTCCTTTGCGCTCTACTGTCGCCGTTAGGACGAACCAAAACCGGGAGATATGCGCTCAAGCAGCATTTATTATCGGACTGACCAGAGGCGAGAGTCATATGCAAAGTGTACAGATGCTGAAATCCTCCCGTATCTGGAAAGTCAAAAGACCAGCGCGAATAAACCGCCTAGTGGCGGTAATGAAGCGTGGGTCCTAGCATTTGGCATTCGTCGATCTTCAACATCCGATAGATTTTCGAAACTGTTGATACTCGCAAGGTAGCATTGAATGATCCATACACTTGGCCGCATGAAATAATCCTATTCACGGGCAATGGTCTGCAGTGGCGTAATCGAGCGGGAGATCAGCTTGTTCTTTTGTTTGAAAGAAAAAGGTCGTAAAGAGCGTAAGGAATATAAAGCCGGAGCTATTCCATCTAGCCCTGATTGTTTCCGTTACATCGCAGGTTTCAAAAATATACTTTCCAAAGGTTCATATCCAAACAGCATTCACCCAAAAGTAATCTCAGTAAGGATGGCCGGACTTGTACCTATGTTAGCCACTATCAAAAAGGGCCACAGGGAATCGAAGATAACAATCAATGCAATGTCTCCTGTGAGTGCTCGCCTGGATAAGATGTATACATCAGTAAACTAACAACATTTAAAACAATAGATGCCCGGTGTACGCTGCCCTAAGTGCGAACAAAATGGCAGTGAAGTGTGGGTCATTCCCGGAAAAAACTGCCACGTATGTGGCAATCCATGTTAATGAGCTAAATGTACGGAGTATGTGTTTCGATCAGGACCATGATGAGGGGTTAGGCTGTCTAATGAAATGAGCAGGAATTTTCCAAATCGAACCCAGACTCTGAGGCAATAATGCAAGGCAGTGGATAAAATAAAATGAAAGAAAATGATGGGATAATTTCAATTTACACCATAGCGAAATGATTTACCTGGCATCATCTCGTGAATTTCGGATTTAGTTGCTCGGAGTCCTATTTTCAAGACAGAAATCACAAAATAAGAAAACAGGTGGAGAAATTGCAACCGAAGAGCGGGGAGATCACTTTCTGGAGGGAGAAACTGATGGCAGCTCTCAGAGCTAGTTTTCAGGGGAGTCGTTGCTATGCTATGCGTCCATCTTATTTTCGCATCTTGCAGTCAAATGAAGATCACCGTAAAACGAAGCAATAATCAATAATCTTTTGAAAAGCAAATCGCAGAATCTAAAATAAAATTTCCCACTAAGCCACTGTCAAAAGGTCAAGCACCTTGTTTGAAGCTTGGAACATGGGGGAAGGACGTTTAAAAAACGGTTGGAAGTAAATGTCGATACTTGATACTGCTTGGGCCATCGCCTGGCGTTTGCTTCAGACTGTAACTTGGGTGACTGACATAGAGCCGTTGCAAAGCTACCAAGAGCATTGGCCTAAGAAAAGCTGAGCTGGGGGTCATAAAAATCTCTTCCAGAGACAAACTAGGAATGCCCATGACCATGAGGTCGGTGTGGCTAATGATATGCAGGTTCCTAGTGGCAAAAATGGGTGGGGTCCGCGTTTCAATTGCTTTTTGAAAGTGTAATTTTCCCGTCTTGCTGGGAATTGACGTCAGCGTTCGGCAGTGTTGGCGGAGCGTGTCAGAGCCAAGAGAGCTGGGGGGAGGGGCCCGTCCCGTTCTAGAATTGACACTGTCACTGCTCCAGTGGAGCTCTTGGGAGCGTGAATTTGGTGGGGAAGATCCTTTCAACAGCGCCTCCACCGATCCGGACATAGTTCCGTGGAGAGGGAGGACAAGCTGCAATCGCCGCCTGCAGTCTAAACGACTTTATCCTGCAACCAAGAAGCCAGCAAGCCCGCGATCGGGCATCGCAACCAGGGCATAGGCTACCGACCGCAGGGTTTTCTGGGGACGAAGGTTGATTGCCGCGCCAAACGCGGAGGTGGTGAAGATGTGAGGTCGTTGGATGGTGGTCGTCGGCAAGTCGAAGGCGGTCGACACGTGAGTGGGTGCTTTGTCAGCAGCCAGGAAGGCGATGCATGCATGCTAAGAGTGCTGAGGCAAGCGGCGGGAAAAACATGAGATGACGGCAGATCCGCGAGCCACCCACCACAGGGGGGCTGAGGTGGGCAACCGGCAGCGTCTCGGGCTTTTGTGGCCCCGTACGGTCGCCCCCAGGACTCCAGTTTTGTTTTTATCTGATGCATTCAGTGATTCTCCCATTTATTGCCACTTGTGATTTAGTTAGTTGCGCTTTCAAAGCACCCTACTTAACATTCGTACGCAAGATGTATGGGGTCTTGACGGAGCCAGGTATTCCGGGCCAAGGGTGGATGCGTAAGTAAGTGAATACTCAAGCGAGGCAAAAATCCGTGTTTTTTTCGTTTGGGCGATATGGGACGTATTCGCAAATGCCTTGGATTTCAACGGCAGTATGAACTTATTTTGGGAGGCTACAATTTCCACTGATATGCAGCAGGCTCACCTCCCATTCCTTAAATATTTTCGCACAATCTGGTAGAAGACCGTTTCTTGCAACTAATACCTGTTTTATCTCCTCGTAAATATGTGGCGGGAGTGGAAGTTCTTCTAAAGAGGTCAAGGATGCGACTCCAATTTCCGGATTAAGTAGGGTCGATATATCAGATATAGATCTGTAAAACACCTTGATCGCTTGTTGAGCCTCTACTACAATCAGGCCATCCGCCCCATTTCGATCATGGGCGGTAACTTTTTTTCCGAGATAGGAGTAGCGGAGGTTAGGGTTGAACACCCAGATCTATTAATATTAGAAACTGGAGGACCGAAGACGTCACTTTCAGTACACTGACATACCAACAAACCGCTATTTGTAGTTTTCCCGTCATCAGGATGAATAATATAACGTCTAGCGCCAGTTCTCTCAATCTGCTCTAACAGCTGCGCAGATATTATTTCATCTACCGAGCATACTTCCCCTGGCATCAATTTTTTGTCATCAGAGCCGTCTAGCATCGCTATTGAAGAATCGGACTTCGATAGGGCAACTCCATGAATCGACGGTTGCCTCTCGCCAACTATTCTCCGGCAGCTTGTACAACGTAGTTGCACACGTGCCTCAGGTTGCCCTGCCTGACTGGCATATGTAGGTCTTGGTATATCTGCAGAAAGAAACTAAGACAATGACCCAATTAGCACTCATACCTCATGGAAACTTAGGAAAATATAGCAACAGGCGTATCATTAAAGACTGATCAAGAGGAAGCGGGCTAAAAGCTAGTACAGGGGGAACCAAGAAAGAATCAGTCTAATTTTAAGCATCTAACTCCGTAGATTCTTTGCAGGAAGTACTAGGCGGATTTTACGTCGCTACATTTTTTCACTTCCTGCGGGATTTGGTAACGAAAGGTAGCACCTCGGCCATTATTTCGGGGAATGTAGCCTTTTTTTTTTAGAAACACCCAATCTAAAATAAAAGAGCGCCCGGGTGTTCGAGTTCCGATTCTGCGTGATACAAGCCAACCAAAACCAATATTGACGAAGGTAAGGCTCACGAGACTAAAAACGGGTCAAAGCGGGCGAATCCATCTGACAAATTCTATCGTCGAGGATAAGACTCGCTGATACCCCCCATGCATCCTTAATAGAGAACGGCTCGCCAATGACAACGAGGTTACATTGTCATCGTTACTTAATCTCGGGCAGCTGTATCGGAAACCAAACCATGGAATGGTAGCAACACCTGTAGGTGGCGGTATAGTTTCCTTCTTTCTGCCCATAAAAAACGGCACTGGTCTATTTATACAATAGACTAAACTCAAGTTTTCAAGCCTTCAAATTTCATGCCATCGATAGACAATAATGGGATCGGGTAGATAAAGAAAGGCGAAGTAAAGGGGACTTACTGCATTCTCTACTCCGATGGAATTTGCGTTTGATAGATAAAAGTTCATAACATCCACAAAAACCGTATTGAGTTGGCAAACCGTTCGATTGGACATACCGTATCCCTTTGCGTCCGCGCTGATGCTGTGGGCAAGTATATCAACTTTGTTTGGTGACTCGATGCTATTTTCTTCGGTAGCTACGGGATCGGGTTTATGGCAATGCCACATGTCCATCAACTCTGCCCAGTTGGCACTTGGCAAGTCCTTCCATTCAATTTCATTGGCTCCCTCAGCCGCTAATAGCATATTTCCACAAAACCGACATCTTATCCGTGTTTCTGGTGACATCTCTTTTGCAGACCATGGGATCCGGACACCAGGGGGCTGCATATCACGATCGATCTCATTAACGGGGAAACGAAATAATAAGTCTTCCTGCTTGGAAGTCCCATGGGATTGCTTATTGGCTCGTTCTAGAATAACCGGCGACATTCGAAGGGATGCTAAAGACAGCCGCGCAGGGAGGCGAAGAAGCTGCTTTTGGCCCTCGGAGGATATAAGGATCTGGTCTCGCGCCTGAGTAACTTCAAGGGTACACAGTGCCGGACTCTCATCGCCCCAGTCTCGTGTTAAGGAACAATGGGGGAGTGTCACGTATATGGTGACTTGACAAATATTTGGCAGTAGTTCGCAATACGCACGTGTATTTGATAATTTCTTCATTTCTTTGTCTTAGATGAACTCAAAAGCAACTTGGAAACAGATAATTGAATGAAGTATGGAACAATGGGGTCAACGCGGAAATCTGCGGCCGAGCAACAATTTTCTGACCCAAAAAAGATATAGATAGGTATGTCTGTAGGTATGTGGCCCGTACCTACTAAGCATAGCGTAGGGATATATATCCTATCTCATCCTGAAGGAAAAATGCACTCTTAAATATCAGAATAAGTGAGAAGTCTTGACAGCTGAAACACGCCTCCGATGATGAACTGCAAGTTAGGAAGGTTGTCTTTGGCAGGCCCTAACGTCCAAATGCTTATTCTGCGCTAAACCTCTTTAGTTCATGTATCACGTGCAGTAACTCATTACCTTTCCCGGAAGTCTATCTACTCCGTACAGGTCTTAAATAAGAAATCATTGTAAGTCACGATTGTTAGAACATCGTCTCACTTCCCGCCATTTAATTAGTTTATTCCAATTCTTATGCTGGTTGGTCGTATTCTATGCTACTAACAATAATTCTTGTATTCTTTTTCTCAATCTAGTCCACTCCAGCCCTTAAATTCATCTATAAATTTCACCGCTGCCCGCAAATAATAGCCATCATGATACTTCCAAGTCTTTCCTGCCTCTATTAATGTTCGGAGGGACTTGGTGTAATGCATGGAAATAGGTGCCGTGTCCCGTAAAGCATGCTGAGTCACCCAAGCCCAGTCCCTTCCCCCGAGGTCATAGTTCTCAATTTCGTCAACACTCGACGCACTGACCTCAGGTCGGAGCTCAGCAATGTATACTCCCAGTGCAAGAAGCCACCATTGCCTGAGTAGACTGATATGATACTGTGCTGGGATCACGGGGAGAATAACACGGATGGCATGTGTGGTGGTCAAAAGCTGAACAAAGAAGAAATCATGGGACTTGCCGCCACTGTTCACAAGTAAAGCGGTTGCTAGCCGTTGGATATCCTCGAATTGTTCGGTTGCATCAGTGATGTCCCATGCTGCCCAATGCTGCAGAAGTAGACTCTCATGAGTTTCGAGGAGTTTGCCAAAATTTGAAGCAGAGGCCTCTTCGAAAGCTCCATTCAACGAGCGGTCGCTTCGTACTTGTCCTATTATCTCTAGCAGAGAATTTGTTTTGTACATAGAAGCGGATTGTAAGTAAGTTGGGTCGTCCAAATATTCATGGGTATTGCTATAGCATGCCGCGATCATCGATAAAGCTTCCATCGCTACCTCACGGCTGTTCATTTCATACGCATAGCCGAGATGAAGAAGTGGGTGTCCAACTGTAAACAGTCAAAAGGCACATTCTGCAGGAAAGAATCGGGATTAATATACTCACAGCCCGAAACGGCGCAATTGATCAACGGCGTTTTGCGGGAGAATAGATACTTCTCCAATACCCCCTTCCAATCATACCCACAACGGACAACTTCATCTTCAAAAAAATCCAAAAATGCACGCTGGTAATCTCTCTTCCCCAAAAAATCCCTCCAGTCATCGTCGCCAATCTCGCCTGGAGAATCGGCCCATGGCTCTAATTCCGCCGATTCAGATTCATACAAACGATTAAGGTGCTCATGATCTGCACCGAACAGATACGCCGTTGAAAGTAACTGTACCTAATTAGCAAGATCTTTTCTATAGGTGACCAAGAACTTAAACCTTACATGTGGTATATGATTGTAGAGCATCAGCCCGTTGTATAGAAGAGAGAAGTTTGCATGATTCAGCTTCAACAAATGTTTTAGAGCTCGGGCGGATTTCTCCCGGGCGGTTTCTACATCATAAATTTCCGCTGGAGCGATATTAACAGTGTGCTCTTTTGACTGCCGAGTGTAGGATTTTAGCGAAGGGACGAGTGACGACAACTGCGAAAACATGACGGACGACACGACAACCGTTGGGAGGGCTCAGTACAGCCTTGTGAGAAAAGGATAAAGCTAAGATTAAACACTCATGCTACAATTGGACCAGTATTCGTGATACGAGAATCGTATGCACCGCCGGCTCCGACGGAAGCGATATCAGGCGAGGGTTATTAAGTCGGACGATGACTGTCTCTCGCAGCTGGAATTCTCACTAGGAGGACAGGGCTAGTAACAGGGCACGGAAAGTCACACCAAGGTATTCTATGGACGATGACGAAAGAGTCTGGGCAAAGACCTGTGGACTTGCATCTGATATCAAGTGCCTTTAAATAGGTGTTTATGCGCTGTCACGTGCCTGCGTCAACGCCTTCCAATATAAATTGGCATTGCATTACTATACTCAGTTTGTATTACTTTCTAAGGCTAGCATGATGGGTACCTTCGAAGCTTATTAAAGTGTGTAATTTCCAAAATTTAAGATACATGGTATATGCGATATGGATGTATTATACTATAGGTTCGAGAATTTAGGATTCTGAAGCCCCTGTTGACGGAGAACGGGTTTTTTCCGCTGGCGACTTTAAATGGTCTGTGCGGACAATATACTCATCTTCATCTTCATCAGTGGCCACTTTTAGGCCATTCGCAGGGCCATCGGATTGTTCGACAACGACTCCATTCATGTGGGGAACCGACGTTGAACCATTCGTCAGCACTGATTTGTTGCCAGGTTTTTTTACAGTATCGACAGATTCAAATGTGCGGCGTACTCGTTCGAAATGTTCAAGCTCTTTTGTACTACATAACGACAGTTAGAATTAGACATCTATTGGACGGAAAGCAACAGAAATGCCTTACCTAACACTGGGCACCAACTCCTGCTGCGCTGCAATAAAATCTTCTTCCGTGACAGTGACTGCAACGTCATCCGGAGTGGCCATGTGATCGAAGAAGTAAGCGGTGGTCACAGGCCCCTCCGGAAGTGCGTTAATCTTTTTGTCTACTGCTGAAGCCTGGCGGGTAATTGCTTTGAGCATAGCATCTGAACATAGCGCGTATAAATCAGCACCAGTATATGTAAATGGCAACCGCTCCGCAATCCGATCCAATGAAACACTGGAATCTAAGCTGAATTTTCGTGTGAGCGCTTGCAGGATAGTGCTCTGTTTGGAATGGGTATCTGAAACACCAAGATACAGCATTTTATCAAAACGGCCAGGGCGGAGTAGAGCAGCATCCAGAAGATCTGGTCGATTTGTTGCTCCAATGACGAAGACACCACCGCCATTTTCATCCCCACTGCTCATACCATCAAGTTCTGCAAGAAGCTGGCTGACAATACGGTCCATAACGCCTCCACTGTCTCCTTGATTTCCACGTTTTGGTGCGACTGAATCAAGTTCGTCGAAGAAAACAACACAAGGCCTTGCATCTCGTGCACGTTGGAAAACACGGCGCACATTCGCCTCCGATTCACCAATATACATGTTCAATAATTCCGGGCCCTTTACCGAGAAAAAGTTGAGAGAAAATTCCGTAGCGATTGCTTTTGCAAGCAGTGTTTTTCCTGTTCCTGGAGGACCGTAAAACAGGATGCCACTTCGTTTTTTCATGCCTTTGGCAAAAAGTTCAGGACGTTCTAGCGGTAGCTGGATTGTCTCCATTACGGCATCCTTGACGTTGGTGAGGCCGCCAACATCATCCCATGTTACATTAGGAATCTTTGGAGCACCGATAGAATCGGCGAAATTTTTGCGTGCTGCCTCAACGGCTACCTCGAAGTCAATTCTCATGACACACCGTGCTACATCTCCACCAGATATCTTAACGTCTGTGATTCCGGGTATTGATTCATCGGCACAGTCTCTGGCAGCTTTTTCGGCAAGATTCTCTAGTCTCAGGGTCCGAGCGGCGACGGCCCGCTCTACTACATCCACCAAATCACCAGCAACAAGTGCAGCGGTTTTTACTGCAACAGAAGAGAGATCAACCTCGCTCGAAAGCCTAACGCCCAAATCTGCCACAGCATTTTGGAGTATGCCCTCTCTCTCTTTTTCATCTGGGGCACTCATCTCTAATTCATGAGTAAATAAGCTGCGAATTCCTTCAGGGACCTTTTCGACATCGGTTGTTGTTGCAATGATGGCCCTGGAATCAGACACAATATCTTTCATAGCTGTTACCATCCTATCCGCAGTTAAAACCTCGATATGCTGAATGAGGAGAGCGGTACAGTCAGCACCACATGAAAAAGCTCTGTCGGCCCGTGCTTTAAGATATGCTTCGGTTTTCACATCCCCACCGTTCGCTCCGCCCTCAGCAAGAATATCGTAGGCATCAATCGTGAATGTATGCAATCCAATATCGGCACAAGCGCCACGAGCAACAGCAGATTTTCCAATATTTCGTTGAGTGGAAGTCAGGAGAATGACTACTGGTTTCATACCAAGGTGAATTGCTCGAGGGCTCGTGGCAGCGGCAATTAGCTCCCGTACCCGCCTTTGTGTTTCAGATATATATTGCTTGGATGGTGTTAGAAGGGATCCCCGCGGCCCTTTTTGCTCTGTATTTGAACGCGGAAGTGCCTTCGTACCAAGCCAGTATTCCCAGGTATTTCCATGGGTCTTTGGAACGGTGCTAATTTCACTTCCTGCTTGTACCATCCTGGTATTAAAACAATCGATACTGGCTACACCACCCCATTGATCTTGTTCAAGGGTGTCATCCGCTTCTGTGCTCGGCATAACAACGCTGCTGACTCGGAACCAAGCAACTCCGATTTTTTTAGCTGCGCCTGACGTACGAACGGGGCCATCTAGAGAAAACCCAAGTTGTGCTGTTATTTCATCATCTTGAATAGTACCTTCAGGTGCTTTAATCGCCGAAAAAATGGTTTTACCCAATCCTTCATCGACACTGATACCAACGATATCACCGCTCTTAACCAGGCGTCGTCTAGATTCAAAATAACGTTTCAAAGCGCCGAAAAGGGCAGGTTGTAAGGTCCTATCCATGGAAAGAGGAGTCGAAATCTTCAATAGGGTCACCTCTTTGGCAATAGGCGGTGATTTTTGAGCGTTGTTTCTAGGCTGCGCCGAATTTAATCTCGAGGACGGATGGGATAATTGCGGTATATGCACTGCTAACGGCGATAACTTTAAGTACTTTGGGTCCTGCATGTTGTGAAGGAGAATGGGTGGAACAAGGACTGTTGGAGTAAGCCTTTGCTGCGGCATATGCGAAAGAGTGGTTCGTCGATCATGGTTCATTGGATATCGTATCTTAGGTGGCGAAAGGCCAGAGATCCCAAATACCTTAGCTATCCTCCAGTTGTCGGGTTCGCTGCTGTCTCCCAGAGCATCTAAGCTGCCGAATTTCACAGACGCAAGCATATTACGTTGGGGTTCTTCCGACGCTTCAATTCGAACCCAGTCCCCCGAAAAGCACCCAATCTTAACAAGGGTGTGCACGTCCACAAAAATAAACGCTTCTGTGTCATCATCTTCCCGCGGTTTAGGGTGCAGAATCTCATTTGGGATCCTGTCGAGCAGGCAGTCTGCACGGAAAACCTTCCCCGCATGTCCTCCTTGGCGCGCAGTGCCAGATGTGAAACTAGACATCACCGATCCTGGGGTATGAACTTCAAATCTCTTTCCACCTGCCCGAGGTGTTGCGGATGATAGAGTCGACATTATACCGGAAGGCTGCTGTGGCAATTCGGGGGCAGCGAGGGATATCATGTCATCCAGCGAGTCATCCGAGAATTCACTCGCACTATCCACTGACTCATTTGAATCAGAATCATTAGGAGGACTTGTGCTTTCAATGTCTGTTCCGCTCTCCAGAGGCTTCTCCTCAGCCGCGGAGTAAAATTGCTCATTCGTATCCTCGGCTTCGTCTTCGGTCAGCTGGTTTAAAAAGCGAGGCCGCGAGGAGCTCAGTCCTTTCATAGTTCGATACTGCTGTTGCGACTTTGCTTGGAGGAGCACAATCTTAGTTCTAGGTACTAAAAACCCCTGAGAAACGGGCTCGCAGAAAGTTATTCTAGCTGGGGGAGGTGGGGTATGCGTGATTGGGTGAGATGGAAGTGGAAGCTGAATAACATCTGCTTCGTGTAGAACTTTCTGCGTAGCAAGGCCACCTCTAACTGCGACCATCAATCGTTCCTCTTTCTCGGAACGCGTTTCCTTCGAGCCCCTTTTTGTTAACCGTGCTGGGACAGCAGAATACGGTTTGCCTTTTCCATGAGTTGCCATATACCCACCACCAAACCGATTCTGCACTTCATCAATGTCATTTAATAGATTCCTCTCCACCGTTACGTAGATCGTGTCAAGCTGGAGGGGAGAGACATCTAATACGTATATCTCGATGCCCCGGTGGGCAAGAAGGGAGTTTCTTGACGGATCGACGGCTTGTAGAGCTTCAATAAAAGCCTGAATCGAGTTTCCAGTAGCTGGAAAATGTACTGAGGAGGGCGCAATCGTCAGAGAGGATTTGAGCTTATCGCTCGACTGAAGGCGCAATGGAATGATCGTCCAGGAAACATCCTCGATGGCAGGCAAGCGGGGTATCCACGGAGTTACAGCAACGTATAAAATATCGGGAATTGAACCTGAATCTAAGCATATGGAATCAATAATCATGGGCGCATCCATGGTGACCAACTCCTGCTAAAACGTACCTGTAAGGTTGATATGCGGAAATAGATCCGACACCAAATCTTCCGAAACCACTCCAATATCGCCCTTTATTCTATGATCAAGCACCAGCCGCGCAGACAGAGGCTTCTTGCTCACCGGTCGTCGCTGAAAACATGCCTTTCGCCGGCTCTTTCGCGATGCAGTCACATGCCTGGAGTTATGAGATGTGGATTCCATGGCGGCCAGGTATATGAAAGTCGAAACAGGTTCTCGTCAAATTGGTTGATGCGATTTTAGCACCAAAGAAACCTCCGAACCGCGCGCCGGGGGCTTGAGGGCAACACTGAGTGTCTGGAGGACTTGCGACGAGGTTCGATGGAGAAAGGTGGATGGAAACCTTAATTGGGCTACGAGCTTCTGCGATGTCCGATGTCCAATGCCGAGGTCTGGAGCCGCCGAATGCCTGAGGAACCATTTCACATAAGGCAAAAAACCGACCGTCATGGCTGGGAATTTCTAGCTTCTGCCATGGCACCGCAACGTGGTGTAAGTTTTATTTCTTAGAGCTACTTTAGCGAATAACACCCAAGCTGTAACGGGCTGACTATATTAGAGAGTGCCTTGGAAAGGCCTGCAACGCTTGGACTTAAATCACTGCTAAGACGAAGGCAACTGGAGAGTACATAGCTACATACTAAGCAAAGCGTTGTCGTGTTGAGCCATTAAAAGGTGTGGCTATCATATGTAAGAGTGTCAATGAACAGGCCATGGCGATGAGTTCAAAGTGTCATTGCATGTAATCGATATAAAAATGTGAACGGCTTATATATAAAAATATAGCATCAAGCAAAGAGAAAAAAAAGAAGAAAGAACAGTATGTATCTCGAATATGACATTCCTGTCCTGGGTAAACACCAGTGTTGACATTTTACTGTTGTATGGCATTGTCCATTTTGTCAAAATACAAGCATGGCGTCAGTAAATACCCTGGCATTAGAATGGCCTAGGAAGAAAATATGTTGCAACAGATTTCGCATATAGATCTGGCGGTCTTCATGAATGCAAGGGCCAACCTCAAAGATATCAAAGTGAAACAAAAATATCTGTCCAGAAGGTATTTGTGACCGATCCTCCGGCACTGGTCGCCCTTGTACAAGGTGTTACTGAAACCAGGTTTTCACATATATTTAAATCGAGAAATTTCATGGAAAGTAATCAGGACAAGAATGCAGATAGAAACACTTAACGGTCAGGCATGGAGATGCAGTAGACAGCCCGGCGAGGTCAACTAAGAAAAATGTCAACAATAGAGGAGGAGCAAAGCTTTGCAGATAGTGGAACAAATGGGGTGCTACATTCACACCTGTTCCTAAAAATGGGGGGCGTACGGAGTAGTCAAATCCTGGAGGATTGGGGTGAAATTTTTGTTAGCCCGCAAGTTAGTATAAGGGAGTGTTTTGTTCTTTTCCAACTCATTTGCCAGCGAGTGATGGTGAGTGTGTACTCCGTATGTACTCCGCAATATCGAAGAAGTCGAACCCGCTGAAGTCAGTTGAATCAAGATAATCAGAACTCAGTTAAAAAAGCGACGTACAAATTCCAAGGATAACTAACTCATGTACTCTGTCGTGTCTAGGGACCTTTGGGACTGTTCAGCCCGCCCGCCAAACCAGTGTGAGAAATGCGGCTGAAAGTGAAAGAATCAGAGAAATGTATGCCAATAATAACGGGATGAGATCGTCTGGGAGCGGAAGAACCCCGAGGGCAAAAAGGGCGTATGACCCAGGTCGCCAATGTCACCCCCTGCAACGTCCGCCGTCTGTCCATCTCCAATGTACTCCGTACTCCGTAGTTACAGAGCACAGCGGTTAAAAATAATACTATAGATCGGCTGCGGGCAGAGGTAATGCTGGCGGCGCAGGTGGCACGGACGGATCCGAGGAGCATTGTGACCGTTCATGGATCGGGCATGCCCGCCAAGTCAGATGTGAGAATGCGAGGCCATTATCAGGCCGGGTTGCTCGCCAGCTTTCCCCCCTGTATGGCCCAATGATGGCGGCTCCTCTCTTCGAGCGGGCACCCCCGTCGTTCTCGTTTTTGCCTCAAAATTGGGGCGACGCCTGAGCCGGACGTGGTGGTGTCTGGACCCCGTCCCATCCGGTTTGTTGGCTCCGAGTGTCTCCGGGGTTCGCGAGTGACGGGATGCGTGACTGCTTAAACCTCCCCGGGCATTTGTGCAGCAGCAGGAGGGTAGGATCATCTCTGTTTTATATATTATTATTCTTGAGCTCTCTTTTTCGACGCTTCCGAGGCGCAGACCCTCGCTCTCCGCGCCACGACAGCCCATGTCCGCCAGAGGACTCCATGGCCGGGCAGACACTCCTGTGGCATCCCTGCTACCCCCCAAGCAAAGTGGCGTTGCTGGCGGGTTGTCCTTCCGTGTCTCGTTCGATTTGGGCTGCGAGCTTCACTGACTCGCTGGCCACGCAACGCACACACTACGAGCCGGCCGGGGATGCGCAAGCATGGGCAACGGGCAGCCGTGATAGGCGGGCGTCCGAGGCGGGCGGCCCTTTCGGGAAGCTCGACAGCCGGCTGGACGCTAGTCTGCTGCCTATGGCGGGCCGGCCAATCACGGCAGCGCAGCCAAGGTCACGGTTTGCGCCTGCCCCATTCAGGCTAGCGTTGACAAATCGAGCGGTGCCACTTCGGGTCTAGCGTGTCTCACGCGTTTCGGTACGTTGAGCCGCAGCGACGAGGCAAGCGTCGTATCCAGCTCAGCGAGTGCTCCCAATCGACGCGCCACGTTCGCCCGAAATCCGTCGAAATCACAGCAAGGAAGACCCGGTCAAAAACAGAAAGCTATGGAGTGAATTCGACTAGGAACGCAGGGGCTGTCAGTGCTCCGTCACCTTGGTGGGCGGTGCAGTTGGCGTGTAATAATGCTATACCGTTAGTCCGCGAGCATGACACGACATCTGGAACGTTTACCATCCGACGCGTATAAGATACAGCTTGCTGCGTCGCGGTTGTGCCGTTCAGTACCGTACAATACGCTGACAAAGCACCCCGTGGGCGCCTTAGGCCTAATACGAGCTAGCGCACCCTGCCTGGCCAACCAATAGGGGCCGCGTTGCTTCGTCAATCAGGCAGACATGAAAAAGCCCGTCTTGGCAGCGCATGCCCGCCCGTCACCCTCGCTCCCCCTCATCACCATCATCGCCTTTTATCTTCACGGCCTTCCCCGGCTTTGCTCTCGACGTGACTTCCCTGTGACTTAAAGCCAGTCTGGCTGCCCAGTTAGCGTGGCCCTTCAACACACTCTTTGTCTCTTTGACGGTGCTCTGATCTTGGCCCATTGCTCTTTTATGTCTCCATTGCTGTCTAGCAATTTCTCCCTCCTTTGAACCATCAATTGGAGCACGGGCTCTCCGGCATTGGTGGCCCGTCCAGTGCTTGCTATAGAATTGCTCATCTGGTCCTTGCGGTGTGCAGAAGTGCCAGGCTTTCTGCTCCGCTCCGGCCAGTATTTTCTTTGGGTGGCATTTTGTAAGTACGATATTAAGTCTAATTTATATCTGGGTTGGTGTTTCTGCATTGTTTATGTATTCACTAACCTTGCATTCTCCTAGGCTACATATTTTGCCCCTATTCTGATTTGGGATAAATCTCTGTCCTCTTTAAGCCAACTGTGAGTCAGAGGTTCGGAATTGGTTTCCGCTACCTTCTCTAGCTTTCCTTTTCTTTGCTAATTGGATGGGCTTTGGGTTTCTTGCAGAACCGTGACTTGCTGCTTGGTCACACAGTATGTCGGCACCCAAACCCCATCCTCGTCGGCGCCCGTGTAGAAGGTCGGCAGTGCCGGCGCTTTTACCTTCAGATCAGAGTCAATCCCTCGAGGAATGTATTTCACAACCTCGCCGTATCAAATTGAAGAAGGGAGCAACCTTCCATTCGTCATCCACTCCGGCCAAGGACTCAGATCCAACCCTCTGCATCCCAGCTTTACCGCGACGAGCTCCCAGCTGCTTGAGGACGTTTGAGAAAGTCAAAGCGGATGGCGAAAAACGTGTAGCCGCTCTCCTAGGCAGCGTGGACAGGAATTTTGCTGGTTCAAACCGCGACATATCTCATAAACATTCTTCTTTTTCCGATAATAGTTTTCCTGTTCCGCGAGGGATTCTGGACGCCCACATCGCCAATACTGATTCAACAGGTGACCCAGCTCACACTTTCCGATTTCCCTTCCCAAATCGACGTTTACCTCCACTCGATCAAAAGGACTCACGTACTTGTGACAGTGGCATTGGCTCATCAGTCAGTGCCCTCTCTCGACGCAAACCTGCCTTTGGTGGAGGTAATTACTCCCCCTTTGATAATAGAGTCCGTTTCCGAACCCAATGCTAATTTTCCTCCCCCAGATTCAACGCAACACAGAAAAGCTTCTTCCCAGAACGCCATCACAAGGTCAATCTCTTTCAAGAGTAAAGTAACAGGGTCATCAAAACCTACCTTAGATCCCAAAGCTTTTAGACATATTGAGCGTTGCGTGCTCATCCCTGTTCTGAATGAAAAAATTTTAAAGCCATTCCATCCACTTGTTAGGAGTGTACCACAACGTGTCAAGCGCAATGATATCACCTGTTTGCGTGATCTAGAAAAGACTTTGTTGTTTTCAGCACTGGTAAGTGAAGCAACGTCTTATCCAGTGACTGGACCCTGGCTTATTTTTCAATCATAGAACCAGGAGGTTACATCGGCTATATTTGTCAAGTTCTGCGAGTTTACAGTGCAGTGTATTCATACTACTGTTCCTTTTCTCAACGAACGCGACCTCCAACGGCCGTCGGACCGCCCATACACCAACGGGTATTTCCTTGATCTTGTGGAACAAATCAGGCAATACGCCGTCCACGTAGAACAAAGCCGGCGAGCACGCGCTGCTGGCGAACGTGACAAGAATAAAAACCAAACTGACTATTCATCGTAAGTTCATAAAAGATCCCCTTTGGCAACGAAATATTCACAGCTTTATAGGAGCGAGGAGCTTGTCCTTGAGGGCGGACTTAGCAAAACTGGTCGCCCAGCTGAATTAGTCCGAAAGAAGAAAGGCGCTGCTGCTATCTCTCTGAAAACAGGAGAACAGTACGTTGAGCCAAAAACATCAATGCCAGCCATGAAACGCTCTCTGAGTGTTGATTCTGTCGACGATAGCGTCGTACGATCTATGGCGCGTCGGAAGAAAAATGAGCCTCCCCTGAATATTAACAAGAAATGTGACCACTGCGACAAGATCTTCAGACGACCTTGTGATTTAACGTGAGCTTCCACTTCCCCAGTTCACATCTCAACACTAATTTGAAATAGTAAGCATGAAAAGACCCATACCCGGCCCTGGAAGTGCTCCGAGTCCTCTTGTAAGTATTATAAAGTTGGATGGCCGACGGAAAAGGAGCGAGACCGCCATGTCAATGATAAGCACTCCAAAACCCCTGCTCTCTACTGCTGCCAGTTTGCGCCCTGTACATATCAGTCAAAGCGCGAAAGCAACTGCAAGCAACACATGGAGAAGGCCCACGGCTGGGTGTACGTCCGATCTAAGAATACCGGAAAACCCGGCCTTCAGCCCGTGAACCTCCCTCCATCACGGAGTTCCAGTGTTAATGCCCCTTCCAGTGCGGCCCCAGAAGCATCCACTCCACAAAGTGTGGAGCCTACACCCCCTTACATCTCTTCATCCCAATCAGATTTTCGGCCGGAAACAGTGGGCAGTCAGCCTACCCATGATATAAATGCCATCTTCGCAGAAGATTTCCCATTGTTCCCAGAAACTACAGCTGGCGCGTTTGGTGACAGCGCAGACTCTTTTGCTCGACAATTTGACTTTGATGCATTCCACGCCAGCCTCCGGGCTAGTGATCCTGAACAGTTTGTCGCCGGATTGGACCTTGGTCTTCCAGCGATTCCTAGCCCCGATGCTCAGGATGGACTTGGTATGGATATTCATAGGCGCTTAACTTTCGACCATCTTGGGGACCGCATGGACGTTGACCTCGATTGGGAGGGTTTTGATGCCTACGATCCAACGATGAGCCCGCAATCGGCCGAAGCGGCGACCATTGAATCGTATTCCAATGCCTCATCCGTTGGGATACCCTCCCCCGAAGAGCCCAAAATTCCAAGCCTCTCCCCTTGCGGCCAAGGCAACGTCATGCTCTATTCCCCAGACTCAGAGCTGCCCGATGAAGGCTTTTGCGATCTCTACAATGTGCATAAAAAGCCCCCCCGCGATTTCACATTATACGCCAATGGCGCCCTCGGCCAACCCACAGACTCTCAGTCATCAGAATCTTCCAGCTCACTGTTTCATTCGCTCAGTGCTGTTGGTAGTCAGCACAATGGCTCTGATTGGCCAGTAAATACCGGCGAAGGCGGCTGGGAGTTTGACGAGTATATGAAAGGTGCCTAGAAACAGTCTACACTAAGGGCACCTACGGCGATGTACCCTATTGGGAATATATATATATATATATTCTGCTATCTGAGTCATATAGCAGCACTTGAACGATCTAGATCGTGGTATATACATACGACAGGTCGTGAGTGCGTGGTGTGTACCCGACCAACTCGCTTGTTTTTTTTTTTTTTTCATTTTGGCGGATTTTATCTGGCTGGCATAGTCCCATTGAGGCTACTAAGCAACATTGAAGCGTTATAATCGATCTTTCTTGGATCCTGTACCCCAATATATCCTCCACTCCTTTCAACTTCGCTCCTACATCTGATATTTGCCCTACTTGCGGTTATCAGCGCTTTTTTCTCTGTTCGGGTTTTCAGTTTGGGGTAGGGGGTGTTGAATTGTGGAAGAAAATAACATGAAAAGGTCGTTGACAGGGGACAATCTTGTGCCTGATGAGATGTCGCCTAACGGTGCTCATTGCCATCTATGGTCGTATTTTTTTCATACGTTTTTGGATTCCTTTTGGAGGTAATTCAGTACATATTCACCATCCAGACCTAATACATTTTTCTGATGATGAACCTCCTCTATTCTGTACCTGTTTCGTAGATGCCATAAGGCCCAATAGTAGTATCAAATAACAGAACTTTCGGCGCGTTGGATACTTCGCTAGTTAAGCGCTGGCCATTTCTTTATCTTAAAAAGCCAATATGGCTCCCCCGCATTGTCATACACCAACCACTTCATTTCGCGGCATATGCGCGACAGTACTCCGTACATATTAAACAAAAACATTACTTTTGTTCTTTGAGAGCTCAAGGTGTAAGAACCAACAGGCTGTCATTTCTTCAAGGCAAAGAGGCCACTGGAAAGAGAGAAACACCAGAAAGACAAAATTTCAAGCTTAGTATGTATGAGTTGACCACTCATTCCACCTTTTTTTTTGTGTTTCTTTCTGTTTAGAGGTGAAGCTGTGGCTTCAAGATAACATCCAGCATTGCATTTGTCTAGTAACGGTTGTCGTCAGGACCTTCTTCCTGAAATGACCGCACACAAGACAGCGAGAAGAAACTCACATAGTCAAAGACATTGTACCCAAACATCCAAGGCCCGAACTCCTGGTCGGCCCATTTATTGGGAGTCCAGTCAGCAGATTTCTCTGCCCGTTCAGATACGCTCTTCAAGGCGCGATCTCGCGCGATTTGCTCCTGGCCATCCGGTAAATGCCACATATAGCCGTTTTCTTGTGCTCCGGCTTGGATTCTCTCGCAGCGCGGCTTTCTGATGGTCTCGAATGCCCGGAGGAGCTTGGGGATGTCTCGCACAGATTGAGCCCTGTCAAGACATTCTCCAAGAGCAGCGCCGTCTTCTATGGCCATTGCAGCGCCCTGTTCAAGTGTCAAATCTCCAGCTTTCTACTCTAAAGAATTAAATGTGATGGAAAACCCCTACCTGCGCCAGATAGGGGACCATGGCATGGGCAGCGTCACCGATTAGCACCACCCGCCCGCTGGAGCTGACCCAATTCGGCAGCGGTGGCAGGTCGGCCAGCTTCCATTTCAGACACGAGTCGACCTTCGCAAGCACCCGGGTAATCACAGGGTCAAAGTTCGCGTACAGCGCCCTCATCTCGTCTGGGTCGCCGGGCTCGTTCCATTTCCCCACGCCAGCGTGGCCAGGAAACGCAAGGACCATGTTGTACACGGCCCCCTGCCGGATGGGATACGCCATGATATGGCGCCGATGACCAATCCAGGAGTTAGCGTCCATGTCGGTCAGGAGATGCTTGACTTGGTCGTCAGCATGCATCACTGCGGCCGGAATCGTCACGCGGAAGACGCTGTTTTCGCTGGCATTTGGCTCGACTTCCTTTCCCCGGATCACTGCACGCCTCGTTTTGGAACGGATGCCTATGTTGAGCCGTATGTCAGGCCGTCTTCATCAAATGAAGACGGAGGGGTAATTTTGACGTCTCTTTCTTTACGTACCATCCGCACCAATGATCAAGTCTGCGGTTATTCGGCGACCGTCAAGCAGGAACGCAGCTGGAGCCCACTGGTCAACATATTCAAGCGGAGCACCCAGCAATATTTTAGCTCCAGACTCTTGGGCGGCGTCAAACAGAATACGTTGATAATCGGCACGGTGGATTAGCCAGTATCTGCCGTGCTTCCGTTAGTTAATCCAGGATCGTTAACAAGATCGTCGAATTACTAGTTACATACGGAAACCCAAATTTATCCTCCAATACGCCTCTAAACGGAGTCGAGGAGAGAATCTCGCCGGTGCAATATCTTCGAAATTTGAGATTCCTGGGATGCACCACCTTTTCAAGGAACTGGTCTGTCAAGCCGTACGAGTGCAAAACTCTGGTGCTATTGGGAGGAATCTGAATTCCAGCTCCCACTTCGGACAACTCGCGGGCAGACTCGATTACCGTCACAGAATGGCCCTTTCGAGCCAAACAGATGGCGGCCCCCAGCCCCCCAATGCCTGCCCCAATGACAAGAACTCGGAATCGACCTTGGCCGGTGGGTGGCATTTTGAGGCGTGAGCCTGGTGATTAATGAATAGATCAAAGGTCTAAAACAGTATGAAACAAAGAAGAAAACTCCGCGGAATTTTCAGCGAAAGAATTTCTCTGCACCTTTCATTTACCAAAAATTTGCGAGGAGAATCATCTGTCCGTCAGCCGGGCAGGATCCCAGGGGTAAGAAAAACCAGCGGAATTTGGCTAGGCTGTCGGGGTCGAGGCCCTGTCGGGAACGGGCTTGGATTGATCGCGCAGAGGCCGTCCGGAGCCACACTCGGCTGCTCCACCATTGTACATACGTTAGCTCCTTAGCGGGAGCTTGACTGAAGACGGACAGCCCAGCGAGATTAATAACAGGGGCCCACAGGTAGGAAGAGTGTTATGATTGTGAGCTCTCTCCCGCGACCCGAGGGCAGGCAAGTTGACTGCACACACCCACCACACGCACTGTCATGCAGAATGTTGATCGGTGCATAACTCCTACAGGCTCAAGAACAGAAGATGCGTGCGGTTTATCCAATAATGGTCTTTCTGCAAGGCCTTGCTTCTTACACGACAGGTCGATTGTCGTGGCTTGGAATAGGATGATTTGTCCTCCCGTTCAGTGGTTGCGGAAACCTGGTACGTGCGGTACCCAGATCCATGGGTCCTGATGGCCATGAATCGCCAAGCAGAGTTCTCCATCCAGAGAGCCGGCGAGAGTTGAAGCTATGTGCTAGATGATGGGGAATCTAGCTGGCGAACCAGACTCTCTGCCTTACGATGTATGTAACTATGTGTGCAGGCAGTAGGATTTTTCTTGATGGCCCCGGATAATCTATAACTACGGAGTAGAGTATTAGCTACATACAAGCCTACTACAAGTAGTAGCCTGGTCGAGGGTCCCTCCCTCAATGCTCCAGTCTCCTCCGTAGGATGCCGTGGTCAGCGTTGACTTGTTCATAAGGGGCGCCAATGCGGCGTTTGCGCCCCATCAATAGCGGCGCCGGAGATGCCCGGCGCCGTGTCGGCTAGCCGTGTTAGGGGCGAACTTAGGCGTGAGCTAACTAACTTACACAGCCAACGGCCCGCGAACTGACCGAAAGGAGTCGTTATTGAGTACGGAGTAGTTAGTCTACCATATCAGTTAGCACGAATTGGACAACATCCTGCCTCGCTTCATCCGCAGCAATGCGGATTCAACGAAGAATAAAACACGCAAGCCTATTCCACGAAGGTCTTTCCCATAATCCCAACTCCAGAGACTACGGTACAGCAATGGCCGTTTGTGATAACTCACAATTATGTACCAAGGTACTATTATTCCATCGCCAAAGGATTCCTGCCCGATGATACCTCCGGAAGCACTGTGGCTTCACCGTCGAACCTTGTAGCCGCCCATGCTGCCCAGGCCGTCCTTGGCATTCCTTTGCGCTGTAAGGGTGGAGCTGAAGGACAGTGTACATACATACTCCGTACCTCGCGTGCTAAGACAGAGCATCACCAAGATGCACTCTGAGTGTAAAAGGTAGCATCCATCAAGAACTAACCAACTAACTCATTGAAAAGACCAGCATGGCGGTTTAAACACAGGCGAAAGCACGGCTACGTTGACTGCCTACCAAGGTCATTCCTAGCCCTGGGCAAGCCAACGGCATGACAGCAGCACAGAACGATGCCTGGAGGATTGGCTCGGGGAAATTGAAATGGCAGTTCGTCGTGGTTATCATCGGCGAACCCGCGCACAATTTTTTAGGGCTCCACCCTCCGAATGTTGCATTCTAAGGAAGATAAGGACCGGCGTTAGGGCTGGTTAATGGCCACAGGGGTTGAAAACAGCGCAAGCTGAAGCGGCCGGGCCACACAGGGATCAATGTAAGCACGCAGCTTGGGACACGGCCTTGTCCAGCCTGAGCCCGGGGTAGTAGTCTTGTCTGTTATGGCTGTGGCTCTTACAGCCGGTCCAAGCGTGGTGTGTACGGATAGATAGCTGGCTCCGCGGTGTGTGTATTGGCCTAGCGGGATAAAAATAGAAACTGTAGTGGAATTCCCACCAAGAAATCTGGTCTCTGGGTACGGAGTAATTAATAATTCTTAGCTAGTGAGATGGGGCCGTAGCTACTGTGGTATCACAAGTATCGCCCTCAGCCCGCGTCGGACGGGCCTGCAGTCGCATCGGCAGGACAGCCCGCGAATCAACCCGTTAGGCTTGTCGCGATGCACGCTCGCCCGGCAGCTCGCGAGCGCGTCTTCTGCCTGAGCCTGTGGCGCACCGCGTGGCTGCCAGCGATCGGCCCTGGGGCATTACGTATGCCCTGGCGGCCGGCCGTGCCACTAACTAACGCTGCGCCAGTGGGATCTCAGCTTCCTACGACCATCCAGAGCCTGGGGCCGCCGGGCTGCTATTCTTCTTATTTTATCATTGTCGATTCCGCTAGTTCTGATACTACTGCTGCTGCTGCTGCTGCTGCTTGACTCCTCCAGAATGCTCCGCTGCCTCTCGCTACCGCCCGTCGTCGCCTAGTCGCGTCCCTCCTGCACGCTCCCGCATCGCTTCTTCCACGACCAGCTGCCCCTCCCCGCCGCCGCGCGCGCGTTTGCTTTTGCTCTTTCGAGAAACCTGCTGCCTGAGGCCATTCTCTGCTACCGATCGTCTTTTCTCCAGCTCAACCATGGCTCTTGGAACTGGAAACGAGGAGGGCGAGATGCCTGAGGACACCCAGTTGCTGACTGGCAAGCAGGAGCACTGTAACCCTTCCTCGCGTGCCGTGGCGTCTCTTGTACTGGAACAATACTAATGTGTGCTTGTGAGCAGACCTGAAGCGAGAGCTGATCAACTGCCAAGTCCGCAGCGAGATCGCAGAGCTCAACTCGCCAACCGCTCTGCGTCGCTTTGGAGCGCCCTTCAAGTCGGAGTACGGAGAGGTGGCCCCCGTCGACTCGGAGCTGCCCATCCTACGCTTCATATTCGTCAACCATGTGCGAAATTTTCCCTTTCTCGACCAGGCCAAAGAGAAGGAGTTTTGGCAGGAGAAGTTGCAAGTCGTACGTCGACTTTCCCCCCCTACGCGTGCCTAGTTGGCCTGTGGCAGTCGTTGACTTCCCGTTCGGATTAGTTTTTAGAATCTTTCGCGAACAAGCATATTTCTTCCTCTGAGGATCGCCATGAGGTGACAAAGCGCCGGAAGCTCGCCCTCAAATGCGAGAAATTGGTGGAGCTGATGATGGTCTCTGGCATCCGCACCTCGTCTGGATATGAGGAGCGAATACGTTTCTCTGAGATGGAAGTGATCGATCGGGGGGCAAACGAACAAGGCTTGCTGGCAAATATCCCCGATGGCCACCTGATAAACGGCTGGGATGTTAATGTCGCTGGTGTGCGAACAACTCTAGTTAGGCGGACGGTCAGGTACCATCAACATGCGGTATGTTTGCTTATTACCATCCATGAAAGTCTCAGAATCATCTAATGCTTCTTGTGTATAGGAATTCATACTCAGAGTTCGTCGTCAAGACAAACCTGATATTTACATTGGTCGTCGTTTCGGAGACTTTTCCCAGCTGCATAGGAGACTGCGAACAGAGCTGCCGGGCAAGATTCTTCCCCCACTACCAAGAAAAAACAAAAGTTCTATGTCGACCTTTCTAGGCGGGCCTGATGATGATGCTTCCTCTGTGTCTTCGATGTCTACCGAAGTAGGGCCTCCGGAAGACGGCGGTTCTTCAAAAAGCCTGCTGTCACAATCATATTTCAGCAATTCCACTTCACGCAGTTCTTTGAAATCAAAAGAATCTCCAAGAGATTCCAGTGAAGTCAAGACGGAGCCTGTAACCCTATACCGTGAGCAGCAGCGTGTTTCACTGCGTGCCTTTTTACGGCTATTACTGCAAAACGAAAGGATTGCGTCTTCGAAGGCAATGGAAGATTTCCTTACCGCCAATCCTGTACAACTAAATGAAGAAGAAGAGATTGATATCCAACGAAGAAAGGATCTAGACGCGAAACGGATAGAAGAGCAGAACCAATTCTATGAAATCGCGCGAAAACGTGCCCAGGAACTGGATATCTATATGGAACAGTTCCGCCGGGACATCGTTGAGAATAGTATGTATATCCTTTTTGATCTAAACCGTTACATTGGCAATGGTACTGATACCGCTTAATTCTACAGACGGCTTAACAAAGCTTTTCCAAGAGATCCGTATCAAAGAGACAGTGGAGGATCTTAGTCCTCAATATCAAAAATTTGCGGAGTGGCTTCGCATTGAGTAAGTTATTCATCCGTTTCCTACTGCCATTTAGCCTCTAATAGTCATTTTCTCGCAGAGTGGCTGCGACTTTATATCACTTATTCCTCGCAGAGGACAACTCGCCGGAGTTATTCGCACAAGCGAAAAGAATCCATTCTCTCATTCCATATACAATCATGAAGAATGTAATTCGAATAGCAAACCCTGCAGCTGTGATGTCTGGTGTGCTAGATCTTTTCCTAGCCCAGCCTTTTGGCTCACGATCGCTTCTTCAGCGGATCTTTTCAATGGCAATTCACGATGGTATGAAAGTATTCCAAAAGTCAATTGATGCTTTGGCGGGCAGAATAGGCGACGACGTGTTGGTCGAAAAGCTTCGGACATTTACATACGCAGATGAGGATTTGAAGAATTATATAAGGCAAGAAGCGGAGGATGACGGGGTAGACATAATCGTGGCTATCCTACGCTCGGAACAAATCCAACCAGAATTGAGTACTAGCCAAGTCGAGAAAGTATTCAATTCATATGTTGGCTGGGTGAGCGCTGTGGAAAACGTATGAGGCGCCCCGTTTGTCTAAGGTGGCGATTGGATACGTACTGACTCGATGCATTTAGGTCGAGGTTGGAATGCTGCAAGACGCCCAGTGGTTCGCATACTTAAAGCAGCTCTTGAAGCTGTTAACCAGACAGCGAGACAAGGCCATGATGCTGAGCATCATTGAAGAGGTACACAACATTTTTGCAGTTCTCTACACTACGCTGAAGGATACTAACTCTGAATAGCCTGTAACTCTTCAACTATTCCGAGACCTATTTACTATATTCTACGAGCCACTGGTTCGGGTGTATAAGTCAGCCAACGTCTACAACAGTATCACTGATTTCGCAGCGTTTGCAAACGATGCCATCACCGTGATTGAACACGCACAACGACAGGATGTTTCTGCAGACCCGAATCAAACCGTCCAGGCCTTCATTGACTTGTGTGTCCGCCATCAACACAGTTTCTATAAATTTGTACATGAAGTCCACGTTCATGACAACGGTCTCTTCGATGCGCTGATGGGATGGCTGGAAGATATCCTGCAGTTCCTCCGTGAGGGCCCCAAGACCACTTTGGATATGAACGCACTATTCCAGGGAGCCATCTCTGTCAAGTTAATAGACAAGGATCTGGCTATCGAGGAAATTGACGCCCTGGTGAAGTGGCATGCAGACAGGAAGAAGTGGCACCATGACAAGACCAAGCAGAAGATGGCCGCCGACGGCATCGTTCTGGATTCCATCCCTGGAAGCGCAACATTCAAAGGGAGCGATTTTGGATTGAATGAGGTTTGTCTCCAAGCACTAAAAGGCAAAGCCGACTTCATTTCTGCACAGCCTTGCTAACTTCTGATCGACAGGCTGACTTGGAAGACTTGGCGATATCCGACGAGGCGTCTGACGAGTCCGACGAGAACTCCGAAGACGATGACCTCGACCCTATCGCAGCGGAGCGCAAGCGCCGCGCGAAACGACAAGATCGTCTGCGGCGCACGGCTGGCGAGCCGGTGAAACCTGACATCCAGGAGCTGTTGAAGATGAAAGACCTCTTCCTGCAGATGCTGCGGCAGGTGCTGGCGGAATAAAGGGAGGCAATACGGGGACCGCTTGGCTCTTTGCTATTCGTGGTATTCTTATAGACGGCTGTTTTGGACTCGGCTTGGTATTTTATTCATAGAATAATGCGGGGTTTTCTGCGGCCCGGGGCCTGTTGCGTAATAGTTAGTTTGTGGGTGACTTGGTAGTTAGAGACGGCGAATGAGAGATGTGATAATTGCGAGATTCACGATGCACGGCTCGTATCGCGGGTCAGGCTGCCAGACTCCATCCAAAAACCCCATGCGGAGTACATACGGAGAACAACCATGACTCGCTCGCATCCTGCTGGTCGCATTCCCATGGCTCCGTTCAAACAAGGCTCAGCCCGTGAGTTAACTAGTTAAGGTTGTTGCCGCAGCTACATAAGCTCTCCGCCGCCACCGCGAAACAACGGTCAACGAAGCTCCATGCCGCCAGAGCTACAGATCTGCGCGCACAACCACCCCTCTTTGATGACTTCCAGCTCGTCGTGATGTCCGCGGATGACGCTGGGAAATATGAAACCGCCAGCCTCCCACGTGGCCTGTTTGCGAACGGCGAACTGCACTGCGACTGCAACCCTCGTCTGCCCGTCGCCCGTTTCCAGACAAGAAACGGTGGCAAAAACCAGGGCCGATGGTGTGAGTTTTGCGCGATCGCAAATGTTTGGTTCTCTGCTTTGTCGGCTTACTGACTTCGAGTCTGCTGAAAAATTAAAAAAATACAGTCTATACGTGCTCGAGATCTAAGCGCAACCAGTGCGGGTTCTTCCTCTGGGAGGATGAGTCGACTCGACTCTGCCCCGGGCGGGCAATGCTAGCCAATTCGCGATCGGACGCCCCCGGCGACCAGCCCGAGACACCATCTATACATAGAACGAGAGATGCGCCTGTTGCAGGGCTGCTGACCCCAGAGACCGGGGGAAGGAGGGTGAGGTTTACAGATGATAGTCGGCAGGGCTCGAGTAAACGACGGCGCGTTGCCGGAGCGCAAAGAAGCAGCTCATTTATGTTGGACTGGCTGCAGAAGGGGAATAGTTCCTCTGAAGGAGAGAGCGAAGGCAACGGAGGCGTAAGAGTCGAGGACCAGCCGGCTGTGGATCTGGCTCCAGACAGGGAAACAAACCCTGGGGATGCTCCTGCGCCAGACCAGCAACCTGATAATGCAGCAGACGCTGCGATTCCAAACAAGCCAGTAGAACAACTAGCCAACGACACCGAAGAGACGCCTCTCATCCAACCCTCGGCGCCGCCAGACCCTTCCCCACAGCCCAGACCGCCGCTCCGTCCACCTATTCCACTCTTCTCAGCAAACGGCGGCGCACGGCCGGCCGACACACCCGCTCCCGCCCGTTCCAACGGGCCGTCGGCCTTTATAGGCACATACAACCTCCGCTCAAAAGAGACCCAGCACTGCAAACTGATCTCCCAAACCCTTACTCTGCTCGCTGCTCACGGCGTGGTGCTCGACGAGCCCGCCAAGGACGACTTGATCAGCCTGCTGGACCGGTATGATCTGCGCACGGAGGGGATTATCAGGGGCAGGGATATATCACGGGCGGCGAACCAGGCTCGCGAGGAGAAGATTCAGATGCTGTTGGGAAGGATTAAGACTCTGGAGGCGGAGAAGGAGGCGCGTGATGTGATAAAGTGACGAATGGCTAAGAGGTATATACGCTTGTTCATTTCTCATTTTTGGGCATTTTTTTTGTCTCTGACTTTTTTTCTTTGGAGTTCATATGGAGTATGGAGTAGGATGAGCGGTGTTCTTAGATTCCCCTAGAATACTCCATTCTCCTTGATCAAAGGTCACAGCCATATCAGAAAACCAGTCCGTACTCGTTTTGTTATCGAGAAGTAGATATACTGTTAGCTCTAATCCTGTGACACTGAACGCTGTCTTGTTCGGGAAAATGGGATACTTTTTGGCCTTCTGCCCCAACCTTGTTTCCAAGACAACACTATATTCTTACATCAATAAGTACCCTTTTTTCGAATCTTGAATTATAAAGCCCTTTATCTTCAAGCCCTAGGATTTTTGTTTCCTCTTCCTCTAGAGCACGGACGAAAATATCCAAATATTTGAAATATCGGCTGGCAACTTGGGGCCCTATCACCCATGCAGTCCACTTGGTTAGTTATAGTTTTGCGGGGCACACAAAGTAATGTTCTAGATTTTTAAGATATAAATAAGGGTTCATGTATCCACATGCTAGGTCGGTGCATACAGCTACCTAAGTATTGCCAAAGTGTAGCCTTCTCGATTGTATTGTGTACGGAGTACGGAGTAGGGCTTGGCCGCTGTGTCGATCTCCCGCTACTAGCTGGCACGTGAACTGCGTGGGAATTTTTTGGCAGATTGGCTATCGCAACCTGATCAACCAGCGCAATGCAGCACCAGCGCCTTTTTAAATTGAAAACAAGGACTTTAGCATGAAAGTATGCAGATATGTTTTACTAACTAATTATATTATATTCCTCCCATCGCGCCCTTTGGCCTGACTACCTCCGTTATTGTACCGAACATCCCGGCTAAAAATACAACGGCCCGATAAACTCCATACCTGATGTCCCTGAATTCCGATATCCAGGAGACGCCCCCCGATAGCTTCTCCTATTTTACCTCCGAAATGTTCCGACCCCCTATCAACCGCGCAATGCGCGTACTTGACCGGTCATTCTTCAAAAAAACCGTACCCCTCTCCGCCGCAACGGTTCTAGAAAACAAAAACATATCTAGCATAAAAAATCTGTTAGTAAAGAGCAATGATGTCTTGACTTTACCCAGAATTCTGCCCATTAGAAAGCCGCAGACAATCAAAAGTGAGGCGGATGAAGGAAGGAAGTGCTTATTATTAAGAGAGGACATCAAGTCTGACGGTACTGTCTTTGAAACTAAATAAGGATTAGTTGATTACACTGCTAATTGTTGAAATAGATGCTTCCACGTGGTCACATACTATTAAAGAACTAGTCGACGCAAAATCTGTGGAAGTAAACCCGTTCGACCTACACTTAGACTATGACTATTGGACTTACCGTAAGTTGATACCTTGGTTTCTAAATGGCCTTCGCGGGGAAAAGGCTGAACTGGCTAACCGTACATGTGTACGAATATAGCGGAAATAATATCTTCCATACTTCCTGAAGCCGACGCTGGCGAGGCTCCTGTTGGATTTTCGCAAGTTGGTCACATTGCGCATCTGAACCTCCGAGACCAATTTTTACCCTATAGGCACCTAATAGCGGAGATATTAAAGGACAAAAACAGCAATGTCAGAACCGTAATTAACAAAATCGACGATGTGGGAGCAACAAGCGAGTTCCGAACCTTCGCCTTCGAGGTTCTAGCTGGTGAGAACGACACAAATGTGATTGCGCACGAGCAAGACTGCGAGTTTTCGTTTGATTTTGCCAAGGTATATTGGAACAGCCGACTTAGTACAGAACATACTCGACTGGTGGAAACCTTTAAAGAAGGAGAGGCAGTGTGTGACGTTATGGCTGGTGTTGGTCCATTCGCTATGCCCGCCGGTAAGAAACGTGTGTTTGTCTGGGCTAACGATCTTAACCCCCATGGATACGAAAGAATGGTTCACGGCATCAAGAAAAATAAAGTCCACGGGTTTGTCAAGCCGTTTAATATGAATGGAAGAGATTTTGTAAAGTACGCTGCGAAGGAGTTGTCTGAAAACGAACCCGCAACAGTAACAATTAAGCCAAAAGTCTCTCGCAACACACAAGGAAGGAGGACGTCAGCATCCCCAGGTCGAAGTACGCCTCCACCCCAAGTTTACACTTCTCCTATCACTTTCGATCACTATGTCATGAACCTCCCTGCTTCAGCGATAACGTTCCTCGACTGCTTCATTGGCGTCTACGCTGGTAAAGAGCAGCTTTTCACACCTCACACTAATCGCCGCCTACCTCTTGTTCATGTGTATTGTTTCTCAACGAATAGCGATGATGGAGAGTTTGAAAAGAAGGAAATCTGCGAACGGATTTCAAAACAAATCGGATTTACCGTCACTCCTGAGGACTGTGAGGGCGGCTCAGGGAACCCGGAGAGGGAAATGGACATAAAAAATGTAAGGCTGGTGTCGCCAAATAAGAGGATGTTCTGCGCGAGCTTTAGGCTACCGCCTGAGGTCGCATTTAAGCCTGACCAATCCTAGTTTTATATCCAATTCCCTGCTCTTAGTGCCTATATATTATTTCCATATGAGAATCAAGCCCTGGCGCCTGGGTTCAAATTATTTAGAGTTATATTTCTATCATTTCAATGAAAACACCCAGACCTCGAAAATCCAAGTAGTATTCCATTAGTCTAGTTTCCCCGATTTCAAATAAATATAAACCACGGGACGCCGTTTAAGTTATGCAACATTTTTCAATATTAGGCCCACATTTGATCAGCTCGACTCGACGATTCGCTGGGTTGCAAAGCTATCGTGAAAATGCCCGCATCGTTGAAACTAGGAGCATTACGTGTTTCTGACTCCGCGGAAGGTATTCCTGAATAAGGGCGCTCACAGATAGAGACGGCGAGTATCCTGTTCATCAGGGGAGTTCCCATAAGAAAGATAATTGCTTGCCACGCGAATTTATGCTGGTAGAGAATTTCAGTCGTTTATCCTGGACAACATCTTGCAGACAAGATATCTTCAACCCATTTTATTCAACGAAATTTCTCAGTTTCGTCAGCTCGTCTAATAGCTCCTGCAAATCGTGGTCCGATATTTTATTTCCAATACTGGGAATAAGAGCCTTCGCTTCCTCGGCATTATCGCAACATAAACTACCTGTTAAAGTCGCAACGGATGGTTAGTTGGCGACGGCTCTTTATCCAGCGCGCAGGGCAATCTCACCTAGCTGAGATCTCTCAAAGAACTCTAGCTCCGTGTGCGCGGAGAGTAACCGCTCAACGGCTTCAATATTTTCCTTCTCCTTGAAACGCGCAAATACTTCGAGATAGTCCTGAGTTTTTATCAGGGTCCTAATGGGTGCAAGAGGTTAGCAATCACGGCCAGCGCAAGTATGCTTGTGGCCACGTGAGTGCGGCCAGGGTCTCCTTACTCCCTCTCCTCGTATTTATTATTAGATTTCTTTCTCAGATCAAGCACTTTGTTGATGACCAAACGCGCCTCAGAAAGAGAGAGCGTAGGGACATTTTGGAATTCACCAAGCTTCAGGTGCGAAGAGGCTTCAAGTTCATTCTGGGGGAGTTCGCGCTTGCGATGCGTGGGATCTGGGATGGGAGTTGAACCCATGACATCGGCCGTACTTTCCTGTCCGCAGATCTCAGTCCTTTCTTCTCCAAACCTCTCCTACGCTGTGACGGAGGAGCAAAGACGTGCGATTGCGCTGCGGGCGAAGGAGATTCCCAGACACTGAGGTATTGATTAGATAAGCGGATAATAGTTTATCCTTTGTCACCGGATTGGGGCTAGCGCGCGAATTCATTCTTCAACGTCAAACATCGAGACGTGAGAGGCTCTTGTGAGACCAGCGGCTGGCGGTAGTGGCCATGAATGGGAGCAACAAAGCCAGCTGGCACTAGTACTGCCAGGATATTAGGTTGGTTGGTCTTCATTCTGAAACACGGCTTTTTTGCTTAGCTTTTGCGATGTTGGCGTGCCTACTCCATACGGAGTAATCCGTATATTATTGGAATGGAACTGTACGGCGAAGTAGATTAGAGCGCTAATCCAGCTACTTCAGTGTGAGGTATGCAGCTTACATATATTCACAAAATATTATGAGCCAGTTGAAGAGGATCTGCTCTATTGGTTTCTCGGCTTCAGAGATAATGGTAACGACCTGTGCGGGGAAAACAGTTGTTGCACGATTTGGGCCGAGGATATGCTTACCCACGCAAAATGCGGAGTAGTAGTATGTGTGGAACCGTGGAAGCGCTGTCAAAGTATTTCTCAGGGCCCTCCCGTATATTCCATCGGTAATTCCGAAGTCTCGATGCCCGCGTTTGAATTAAGCGTCATGTTAATTCATGGGGTGGCGAAGATAATGGACCAACTAAACTAAGTATAAGTACAGTACATATTTCTAGGGAAACCCCGATAAGTTAACGAATTTCAAATTCCCCCATGTCAAGTTAATAGAATATTTACATTCCCAATGGCAGCAACCAAATATACTGGACAAGGCTCGCCCGATATCCGTAGCAAATATATACCAACAAACGAGCACATCTTCCGGAGTCCTTACGGCCCATTCCCTAAGGTTGACGAGAATCTGAACGTGCACGATTTCTTGTTTCCACAGGATGTGCCACTAGCAGCCGACTATGACCTGTTCATTGACGCCAACAACGGGAATAAAGTAACACTACATCAATTCTACCGCCGAGTGTGCGCGCTCTCGCGTGCATTGCGTCATGATGGGCCTAATCCAGTCAGACTTGGGCCATCCCCTCGAAGCGATAGGGAGGATGGAGAGATCTTGGGCGTTTTCTCGAGAAACCACCTGACATGGCCATTGATCGCGCACTCGTGTTTTCGAGCCGAACTGGTGTTTGGTGGCATAAGCCCGAACTCTACTCCATATGAGCTCTACCACATCATGCGTAAGATGCAAGTCACTTCGGCTGTCGTTCATGAATCACTTCTTCCAGTGCTCCATGAAATGTTGAGAAATGGGCAACAACTGGGCGATGATAGCAACCTGATCTTCATATTGGAGCAAAAGAAGATCATCGTCATATCCGACGACCAAACCCTGGACTATGTTGAAGGGTATCCAACTGTGGAATATTTAGTTCGGCAGGGAGAGCGGATGCCTAACCATAGTGTCAAACTCCAGGGAGGAAACAATTTATGCTACTTATTTCAGTCATCTGGCACTTCTGGATTTCCAAAAGCCATGATGATTTCGCATAAGAACGCGATCCACACGGCGATGCAGGGTATGATAACTGCATTCAAAACAGCTCAGTTTGTGAGTTCTTTGAATTTTAACTTTCAGCTGTCTATTGGTTAACGAAACGCAGCTTCGTGTCCCTCCAACGCATTCAGTTGTCCTAGGTATGCCTCGAGACTCTGAAGAATTCATGTCATGCCTGATAACTTACCGGACAATTAGGAATTGTGCCCGCATATCACTCCTTCGGCATGATCCTCTGGACACTCCGTGTCAATCTTAGTTCATCGACTAGTATCCTGATGTCCAAATGGAATTTGGAACAGGCTCTCCAACTTATACAAAAGTATAAGGTTACCTCACTGCCTCTTGTTCCACCCCTTGTGAGACAGCTGGCTCAATCGCCGCTCACAGGCAAGTATAATCTTTCCTCTGTGGTGGCAGCTGGCAGCGGGGCGGCATACTTGCCTCCAGACGTTGCACGCGCATTCGGCCGCAAACTGCCTGCGAAGACTCCGATTCCTTCCGGGTATGGACTCTCTGAGGCTGTATCAATTGCCAGCCCAATCCCGGAAGGAATGTTTGGTCTTTCAGTGTCTAATCCCGGAACCATTGGGCACCTGCTCCCTGGTGTTGAAGGCCGCATCGTCGATCCTGACACTCTGAAGCCGGTTCCCAAAGGAGAAAAGGGCGAATTATGGGTTCGAGCCAACGTAGTCACGCCTGGTTACTTTCGCGATCCGAAAGCGACTGCGGAATTGTTCGCAGAGCCGGAATGGCTTAGGACTGGCGATCTTATCATGCGGGATGCAGAAGACAGACTACATTATCTTGATCGTCTCAAGGAGATGATCAAGGTTAAAGGACTTCAGGTGGCGGCAACGGAAGTGGAAGACACGCTACTTTCGCATCCTGAGGCCCTTGTCAAGGACGCATGTGTGGCGGGTGTAGACAACGGACGTGGCGACGGCAGCTTATTTCCTCGGGCATGGGTAGTGCTTTCAGAAATAGGGAAACGCCGCGATAAGAGCGCAGTTTTGCAGGAACTTGACGCGTTCGTGAAGAGCAGACTATCGAGACATAAGCATCTGGCTGGCGGGATTGAGACTGTCGAGTCGGTGAGTGCTGATTCCACCATCTTGGATTCTAGGCTACTAATAGCACTTGGGGGCAAAGATCCCACGAACGCCGTCTGGCAAGATGCTGCGACGTGAGATGCGCGATCGATACCATGCAAGACTCAAGGCAGAGCTAGTCCGAACAAAGCTGTAGGCGGCCTAGTTGTTAGTCTTATATACGTTGTATTAAAGAGCGCATTGCGATGGAGCTGCCCAGGCCCGGGTACCTTGATGTATTTGCCTCCGGGTGCAGCCGCTCGCCACAGTCCAGAGTGGCCCGTATCCTATATAAGGCAGTAGAGCTTGTTCCGGCGGGCAAGTCCCTAAACTTTCAGATGCGCTGCCGGTGCCTGCAGGAACCACAGTCTGTGCCCCTCCAGTGCCGTCGCAGACAACTGCCAGCGCGTGCTGAAACAGGCCAGCCAGCCGGGCACAATGGCTGGTCACGTGCACCGCTTAACGCCCGCTCGATTCTGCCTAGCGGCACCCACTAGCGCGGCAGGGAGACTTCAACGCTCGCCGGCAGCAACAGGACAGCCTCTCCTCGCCCATCACCCGCCCGCCTGTCTCGTTCGTTTGTGTGTTTTTGTGTGCTGCCATCACTCACTTTGCTGTTTCCCAACACACCTGGTGGCCCTGGGCCTGTGCTCCCCTCCCCTTCACCTGCAGACACGCCGCCTCCAGCTACTCAGTTTGCATCGGTGAACGAGGGGGTTAATTAGTTAATGTTCCCTCTGCATGCCAAGCAACTTCGCCGCTCTCTCAGTCTCATCAAAGCGCCGGGCAGCTGTTGTTCAAAATCTCTCAGCTGCTGGCCTAGCACCTCATTGTCATTGCTGTTGAACCTGAGTGCTACTCTTTGTGATCTGGTGGTGTTGTTTGGCCATTCTCGCGTCACTTCTCGCGTCATCACATAAACACTCCCTTTGCTTGACAAGCTTCTTCTGTGACAGATTCCAAGCCTATTCTGGACCTTCCGGAACACTTTGCACTCTTGTGCACCGCCGCAATCATTACAGTATCGCTGTGACATCCTGTTGTGGAGACGCTCATTGAAAGCACTGAGTGCTCGTCGATCATTGACCCTTCCCGCTTAGTAGCTGGTGCATCGAGACTCGCGCGAATTCCCTCGTTTCCTCGATTTCCCTCCCTTTTTCTATTTTATCCATACTTCGACCACCTCTTCGCCAGAGATCTATTCTATCGAGTGTCTTCACCCTGCGAGCCCAGAATCCCGCCCTAGGTAGGGGAGGCCGTCGCTCGCGGAGATGCCTCCACCGCCTGGTCATCAAATTCCCCCGGAATTGATTCCTGGCGGCGCACGAAATGGAGGTCTACAGACAAATGTGAATGCGGGGGTGTACGGTGATGCCTATCAGAGTCATTCACCCACAGACATAACTGATGCAAAGACTGGTGCTCCCTGGGCCACACCGGCGGCCTCAGGCCCGGAACAAGGCCAACAACAAGAGAATCGTCCAGGGCGGCCCCAAGAACCCGGATCTGGTCCAAGAGAGAAGTCTGCGCCTCGAGACAGATCCCGCCCAAATGTAGGAAGTGGTTCAAGAATTTGCCGCAAGTGTGGAGAGTCCCTCTTGGGACAGTTCGTCCGTGCTTTAGGTGGCACATATCACTTAGAATGTTTTCAGTGTCATGTAAGCATTGCATCATAAATACGCTACAATATCGTTACTGACTCTTCGTGCCAGGACTGTGGAGATGTTGTCGCTTCTAAATTCTTTCCCGTGGATGCTGAAGATAAAACAGGACAATATCCCCTCTGCGAAACGGACTATTTCAGACGTCTAAACCTGTTATGCTTTGAGTGCGGCGGTGCTCTCCGTGGATCTTACATTACAGCCCTGGACCGAAAATATCATATTGAGCATTTTACCTGTTCTGTTTGTCCCACCATATTCGGTGCCCAAGATAGCTATTATGAGCATGAAAGCAAGGTCTATTGCCATTACCACTATTCGACACGATTTGCCCAGAGATGCAACGGATGTCAGACAGCTATCCTTAAACAGTTTGTCGAAATCTTCCGTAATGGTTCAAACCAGCACTGGCATCCGGAATGCTACATGATCCACAAATTCTGGAACGTCCGTTTGGCCCAAAATGGTGAGCAGTATGCCCCTCCAGAATCGGAGCCAAACGCGTCTCAAGAAGTACGTGAGCATATCCGAAAAGAAGAGGACGAAATGGAGGAGAAAGTCTATCGTATTTGGAGTGTACTGTCCGCCTTCGAAGAGTCGTCAGCACAGTGCATTTCAGATATGCTGTTGCATGTCAGCAACGGTGCATATGTAGATGGAGTCGTGGTTGCTAAAAAATTCATCTTCCACGTGGAGATTTTATTCAAGGCGATCGATAGACTTGCTTCTATTGTTTTGTCTAATGGCATTCAAGGTAATTTTTCAGTCTTGCACGATTGCCGTAACCTGCTAACGTATCCCCTACTATTTAGATTTCTCATACGCTAGAGAGGCAAAGCTTCTTTGCAAGAAGATTGTTGCATTCTTTGCACTTCTGTCTAAGACTCAAGAAACTGGTGTTCGCAAACTTGGCGTGACTCAGGAGCTGCTCGCACTCGTTACTGGATTAGCCCACTATCTCAAACTACTAATTCGCATTGGATTACAGGGTGCTCTAAGACTTGAACGGGAAACCCAGAGTTCACGAGAAATTTTCAAATTCCTTGAGCATGTTGAAGATCTAGATGGTATTGAAAAAATCACCCCAAGCGGGCTCAATAGTAATGTTGAGCGACTGGCAAATCAATTGTCCGATTGCTGCGCTGCCTGCGAAGCGCCAATTGATGATGAGTGCATTTCGCTGGGAGAGAAATTATGGCATAGGAAGCCAGCCCATCTTGTATGTGGAGCTTGCCATGATGACCTCACACTAGATCTAGCCAGAGCTCGTTGGAGCGAGAAAAACGATAGACCGTTCTGTCGTGTCTGCGCTGAACAAAAAGGTCATGATCTTCAGGCTGTGGGTGGGTTCGTCTATGTGACGAGGCTGCAGCAATATATTTTCTTACTCCGTGTAGCTCTGGCAAGACTGCTAGGTGTTTTGCGATCAAGTGGAGCCTTGCCTCACACATCTGGTACGATATTCCCTGAATCTCTCCTTTCTTACTTGGTTATTATATTAACATAGTATTTGTGTATAGATGACCCGAATCTCAACCAATATGAGGCCAACGATGGACACAGGCTCTCTTCCACAGGCGAGCTGCAATCCCCACCCCAGAGGTCCAATACCAGATCCAATTCATATGCTGAGAACTCGATGGAAGCTCTTGGGCAATCTTCATTGGAACAAACTGTTGGAGAGATGAGAAGACTCCGGTCTACCAGGAACGAACGAGCAGTTTCTACAACGTTCAGAAAAGCTCGAACTTCTCGAATCATTGATGGTCCACAGGGAAGCAGTGCTAGACCTGGCTCCTCTGGGGCTGATGGCGGCGATTCTCGAAATTATGGTTTCCAAATTGTTGAAGAACGAGATGTTGATGGTGAACCAATTACTGACCTGACATTCGGAAATCAAGATGCATTGACACTTGATGATATTCCTCGCATTGTTGCCGCTGAACAGGCCAAGGAATACCGACCCAATGCGTTTAAGCATGCAGGCACCGGACTTGTTGCTTCTGGTAGCCAGGCTCCCAAAATCAAGCAGGGTCATCAACGCGAAGTCTCGAATGCCGACGATCTATTAGCTCCCCCGCCTAAAGCGACAAAATATTTCTCTGAACTGTCTGCCCTTGAATACTTCATTGTCCGCCATGTCGCTGTTGTTTCCATGGAGCCGCTGTTAGAAGGCCATTTCAATCTCGAGGAGCTTCTTGGGTTGATAGAATCGAGAAAACCAACGATTTGGAATATTTTCAATAAGGCATTCAAAAACGATGGCCGTAAAGGTGGTAAGAAGAAGGGAGTTTTCGGTGTCAATTTTGAGCAGTTAGTCGAAAGGGACGGCACGGAATCGACCCACGGAGTTGGACCTGGCACCCTTCGTATTCCTACATTCGTTGACGATGCCATCTCTGCTATGAGGCAAATGGACATGTCTGTTGAGGGTGTATTCAGGAAGAACGGAAACATCAAGCGCTTGAAGGACACCGCGGACTTGGTCGATACGAAATACGAAACAGTGGATTTGAACAAAGAGACCCCTGTGCAGGTTGCGGCGCTGCTTAAAAAGTTTCTTCGAGAGATGCCAGACCCCCTTCTCACTTTCAAACTACACAAGCTGTTTGTTGTTGCTCAAAGTAAGCTTCTATATTCTTGATGTCCACTCATTGTGTCTATGATGTTAACCTTGCACACAGAGATATCTGACCCCCAGAAGCGAAGACGTGTTTTACATCTCACTTGTTGCCTGTTGCCAAAAGCTCACCGCGATACAATGGAAGTCCTATTTTCTTTCCTTGGGTGGACATCAACATTTTCACATGTTGATGACGATACTGGAAGCAAAATGGATATCCACAATCTTGCCACGGTCATGACTCCAAATATTCTTTATTCCAACAACAAAACAGCTGGTGTAGATGACAGTTTCCTGGCTATTGAAGCTGTTACATCATTGCTTGAGTACAATGACACCATGTGTGAAGTGAGTCTTTTCTCTATTACAAGCTAGCATTGCACAAACTGATTATCTACAGGTGCCCCACGACCTACAATCTATTCTTAATGATACTTCACTCTTTAATCGAGATGCTGAGATCACAACCAAAGAAATTCTCAAACGCTATGCCGAAATCTCTAAAATCCCTGCTCTTCAGCGCGCCCCTACTGGAATCGATTCGGCTCCTGCACGATCAGGATCAAACCGCGGAAGTAATACACCAGTCGCAACAAGAATTGATGGTGATCCATCCCAAGCTACTGCTTGGCAGATGCAAAGCTCCGTTCGACATGTTCAGCCTCAGCAAGCTAATGATGGGTCTGAACTTCGCCCCCAACCACAGCCCATTCGCAGCGATAGTGGTGATAGCTATCATAGCCAGGGTTACCATTCAAGACAGCAGCAACAACAAATGGCGTATAGGTCTCGACAGCCTATCGGACAGTCAGGCATTTAATGCCAATTGCTAATCACAAACAAAAAACGTTCCCAGTAGCATATTTGCTTCCCTTCTTTGGTAGGCGTTTCAAATCAGGATGCTCTGGTTTCTTCGGCTCATTGGCTAAGATGGCGTTGCTCATGATTTTCTTTTCCTTTTCCTTTGTCACTTGATTCTTTCGGACGGCTAGGTGACTTGTTTATCGTCAACCAGGCTGCATCATGGGGAAATTTAAGCACTAAATGGGATTTGCCTATTGATTATGTCTCATTTCATTTTCTCGCCTGTCACAAGTTCTGGTCTTTCTCCACTATGCCTCGAGTCTACTCCCTGTCTTTCACTTCCATTTTTCTTGCATAATTTTCTTTCTTCTACCACCTTCTATGGTATCCCCTTTTATTTCTCTTCTCTCCACTTCTCTATTCACTTCTATTCTGCCTTACCGCCCCTTTTTAACCATATCCCCTTTATTCATTCTGTATGAGTCTTAATGATACCATTTACACTTCTGAACCGCCCTGCCTGCAGGGTGTTCAGTTTCACCCCTCCACTTCCTTTCTTGTTCGCCCATGATTCACGACTAGCAGCATCATTTCATGGTCTTGTTCCTCTGAGAAAAAAAGCCCATAAGTTGTTTTGTTCTCATGCTTAACTACTTTGACTTTGAATGCCTTTGGGTTCGCACCTATTTATCCTTTTGTTAATTTTTGATTGAACAGCGCATTCTACATATGTTCAGAGTAAAATAATGGAAATTTCTAGTTTTCTGCCTTGACCTTATCTCTAGTATCCTGTGCCATATATCAACCGCAATCACTTACTATAGAATATTGCAGTATTTGTAGAAACCCTATATAACCAATGGGGGATGGAGGCATAGACTAGTTTTATAAAGTGTAATATATAGGAGGAGCATCAGAATTTGCTTTACTATAAGCATATGATATATCTTGATCGCAATCGAGCTAATTCCCTTCCTTCAAATGCGACCATGACGTCAAAGCTGAATACAGTTGCCCCAAGAAAACGCCCAGTAAATAAAAAAATAGAAGGATTTCACGGTCTATTACGAAGCACCCTTCTACCCGTTTGAGGTGCTTCAGCGGATGAAACTTTGTTTGGTCCGGTGGTCGCCATGAGCTTTTTCTTCGCTGGTGCCACCTGGTTTTTCGAAGCGGCTGCTTTCCGTGTGCCTGTCAACGTGCCAGTTCCAGTCGTAGACTTTTTCGTCGTGGTGGTACCTGAGCGAGTAGATCTAATAATTGTGGTTCCAACTGACGTATTCGACGCAACAGTGCTTGTGCTAGCAGCCCGTGTGCGCTGCTGACGTGTCGCAGGTCGAGACACAGGTTTGCGAGTGGTGCCAAGTGCCGTTCCTGGCCGTTTTGTAGTGCTATTCTTCGGTCTAAAAGAAGCAGCACTGGACGGCCGGTTTACTGCCGGGCTGCTTTGAGGGGAGAGAATTTTTTGGGCAGCACCCCTTGCCCTTGTTTTGGAGTTCTCGTCCGAGTTTCCGATGCTGGATTTGAAAGATGAGGCATTGTGTGGTTTGAAAGCCTGGGGTTTTACCGGCGACTGTTTTAAAGGAGATTGCGGAAATGTTCTAGAGTTTGAAGATTTGGGAGACAATACACTTCCTTGTGTATGCTGCGAGATAACTCGTGCAGTACCCCCAGTTGCACCTGTCTTGCCGCGTTTCTTCGGATTGGCAAGAGGAGGCTCTATTGAGTTGTGACGGACGACATTTTCTTTATCAGAAGAATGGATCTCATCACTACAATCGGTTAGAATGTCCCTAGAAATCCCATTCATCAGGTAAACGTACGTTTTCCGCCCAAGGACTCGCGCAGCCTTGACGACTGGTTTTTTCCCGCTAATCCTAGGCGATTTATCGGCTCGCTGAGTTGAACCGGTCGTCTTAGGGACGATTGCTGCTTTTTTGAACGGCGAAGGAATTCCGGTGATTGTTGAAGCGTTAGGCCTTGCCTCGTCCACAACAGAGGTTTCCTCATATTTTGCAAGCAGATCGCCCATCAGCTTTTTACGTAGTGCCATCGGAATACGGTTAACTCGTCGCTCGATTCGTGATCGTAGATCTTGTGCTTGGAGAGCATAGTGGGCTCGAAGTTTACGAGCTCGTTCCGTTACTGAGACACGCCATAAGCTAGATGGATCAAGACTAAATGTTCAATTCGCATACCTTCTAGTTGTAGATTTTCTATCAGCGCTTGCTTCTGCTGTTGTGTGATCCTCAGTTTCTTCCTTGGTGGACTATCTAAGGGCGTTCGCGCGCCGTCATCGAACGCGTCTTGTTCGACGATCTTCCGCTTTTCTGCGACGCTCATATTTGGTTCTAATATTTTGAATGACGGTTTGAGTGATTTTAATTTTGTGAAGACCTCAGTATGGGGTTGACAACTTAGTTCCCCCAAGTATCTGTGAGTGTGTGCGTGTACGTGTCATGCAGGGAGAAGTGATGATGCCTGGAGTTGAAGAAGCGGGTGTTGGGATGTAAACATGCCAAGACTTTACCGGCAATGCTGGAGCTTCGTGGTCTAGGCCGAAACGGGAGTAGCGCTAGCCAGGCACTTCTTGAGGTCAGCTACGACAATCAAACAATCATATCACTTGCTACTGATAACTCCCTTTATTCCCACCATTTTAGATTACTTTCGCTCAAGTGACGTTTTCCTTGATTATTATTTTTACAATAGAGGTGGTCAAATTCACAAGATGACTCTCGAGGCTACAATGATCATGTTAGCCGGTCTTTCTTCATTTGTCATCCCTGGACGATGAGCTAACTCAACGGTGCTAGTGTTGACAACAGTGAAAGCAGTAGAAATGGAGATTATCTGTAAGTAGGCAAATCTGCTCTGATGGAGCTAGTATGCTCATTATCGCTGTTAGGCCAACGAGATTCGATGCTCAGGCCGATGCTATCAACCTTATCCATTCGGCAAAAACGCAAGCAAACCCCGAGTCCTCTGTTGGTTTAATGAGCATGGGTGGCAACGGTCCAGAGGTTCTAGTTACATTCACTGTGGATATCGGACAAATATTAGAAGGTCTTCATCGGTCAAAGATTCGGGGAAATGCCCATCTATCTTCGAGCATACAGGTTGCACATGTGAGTGTTGGAAAAATACTTAGTACCAGCATCTATCTGAGGTTGTCTAATGCATATGGTTCTCCTTTAGTTGGCTCTGAAGCACCGAAAAGAGAAAGCCCAGCGACAGCGAATCATCGTGTTCAACTGTTCACGTGTTGAGGAAGATGAGAAATCTCTCATTAAGCTTGCACGGAAAATGAAAAAACATAACGTCAATGTAGATTTTGTTGTTTTTGGCGATCTGGACTCGGAAACAACGAAGAAGATAAAAGCCTTCCATGATAACGTCAACAGCACCAGCAACAGCTCTCATATGGAAATAATACATCCCGGTCCGAACCTGTTAAGTGATTCGCTCATTGCCACACCGATAATAGGCGGAGAGGCAATGGGTGGCCGCGAGGGAGATGAAGGAGGCAACGGGTTCGAATTCGGTATTGACCCGTCTGCAGATCCCGAATTGGCTTTCGCCTTACGGATGTCCCTTGAGGAAGAAAAGGCTCGACAGGAAAAAGAGAAGCAAGAGCAAGAAAAGCAAGGAAAGGAAAATCTCGAGGGTATTCCAGAAGAATCGCAGCCTCTTCTTGGCCAAGAGTCATCCGGTGGTGACAAAAAGGACAAGGGGAATGATGGCAACAAAAAGGATAAGGGGAACGATGGCGACAAAATGGACACCTCATGATATGCCGGCGCAGGCCATGCTTTGAAGCCACTAGATTATTGAATACTTCATGCCACGTTCGCCGTTTATATACGGAGTACAGCTGTGACATAAATCTAACTTCTAAAGTGCTGTGTAGTTTATCAACTGCGGCTTCTCAGCCATGCCGCCAAATGCCGATCAAATGCCTCACATCTCACCGGCATTTCCATCTGATAGAATGGGTTTTTCATGACATAATCTGCATATAATTCGTAGATCTTGCGCATCATAACATCAACATTAGGCATGAGCGGATCGGTAAATAGAAGGAATTTGGTGCCAGTGATGGTTTGGAAGCATGTTAATCTAAATTTCTCCGTTTCAAGTACTTCAAGCCCGGTTTTGGGCAGGCCTGGATTAGGGAGGCTAGAAAGTCCCGGGGAAGTATTATTACCGGCAGCTGTGGAAGCAGAAGAGACCTGGGGTGTTAGAGAGCGAGTAATAGCGTGAACACTAACAAAGGTCATCAGTAAATATGTGCCATCTTCACGGCAGCAATAAGAAACGTACCCGTGAAATGTGCCGGCTAGGACGAGATAGTCATTTGTAGAGAGTTTCTGTAGTCCAGATTGGAAGTCGCGCTGGTAGATTAAGCCGCCAGCTTTGTTAATGACGACGAGGGAGTATACGACCCTATATCAACATTAGCAACAACCAGGCAATAATAATGTTCAGAAGAACGCAGCGTACATGGTGAGGGGCTATCAGGTCATAATTTATCTCCCACGACGCAAATTCTCATTGCTGAGAAACAGAGCCGGAAAATGCCTCGAAATTGGCGGCGCCTGCAGCAGCTGGAGTTCCTGTCCTTGTGGTGACGTTGAAACTGTCTGTATCGGAAAGGGGCTTGGCGACACCGGGCTAAAACCTAGGAATGATTGGAATGACTAATAATTTTAGTGCCTAATATGGCAATACTGCAGGATATTATGCACTAGTCCCGGTAAACCTTATAGTATTTAGCGAGGTCGGGCAGCGGTGTTTATTATATGTATATGCAAATATGAGGCCATAAAGCGGCGGTTTATTGGATGCAGTCTGGGATAATTCTCTTGTAGTCATTTATATTTACGTATTGTTAATCCCATAGAAAGTAAGACTAGCAGCTCAAGAGTGCAGCTCTTCCGCTAAGAAAGCACTTGCATATCAGGTGTGGTTGAGGTATAAAAAATGGGTCGCATTGATAGAGTAGAGTGGCCTCGAGAGAGAACAGAAATAGCCAGGTGATAGGGGAGTTACATAGAAGCTTTAGGTGGCAGTTGGCTACTTATTCCCAAGGTAGCAGCAAGGGTGCATTCCAACATGTGAAGAACATCTGATGCCCAGCTCCAACCAAGCCCCTACAGCACAGACACATATAAAAAGGAAAGCAGTTGCGCTTGTCTTGCTTTGATGTTCTGTTCTGTTGGTAAGGCTGAAGAACGTTAGAGTTGGCCATTCCCGTCGCGGGCTAGCGCGGGTTTAGGCAACCTGTGGAGCCTAAAAGCGGCTTGACTTGATCGCGTCGCTCACAAGTACAGAAGCTAATGGCATTTCCCTTCCTTGCCATTTTCCTGCCAGAACTCGCTTGATGTGCCTTTGATACATATACTACCCCGCCATCCTTTACGTCCTCTTAGTAAAGTGAACGGGAAAGCCGAGCCATGCTCCAGCACCAGCCTGCCTGCTGGTTATATCCTTGGCTACGGTGATAGCATCAGTTAATACAGGACTATCCCCTCCACGGATAAAGTTTACCCACTCGAATATTCCCTAGCCTTCTATGTGCACTACATCAGCTTCTAGATGTTGAAAGCTTTATTGCTCCCTATTGAAACTCACAAAATTCTATCTACCCCTACATTAAACTTACAATTGCCTTTTCTGGCTGGTTATGAATGTGCTACTTTGCTTAGTTTAATTTATACGTTCCTCGTCAGTGGTCTGCATCTTCAAGAACTTGTGGCCCAGATAATTTTGGAATTGCCTTTGAGATAGGCTGACTCTCGAAATGGCAAACCAGGCAATTCTTCGGATTGGGCGGGTAGCTATTCCCCTTACCTACACTCACAAGTTACTTTGATTTACTCTTTACTAACCCTAACATGTTTATGAACTTAGGAAATAAGCCAGCTACAGCAAGGGTCAGATTTATGTAAGCGACACTTTTAATAAGTTATGACTTCTCCAAAATGCTAAATGCTATATATAGCCTTGGCTGTAGCTTGCAAGGAAGAGGACATTCAAAATATTAAAGCCTTAATCATCGGCCCTGCCGAGACACCATATGAATTTGGGTTTTTTGAGGTCTGACGTACTCAGCTTATTATGGGCCGTAAATACTGACATGGATTGTAGTTCGATATTAAATTTCCCAAGGGTACTTTTCAAAACACTGAAATTTAAGAGTACATTCTTCTTATACAATTTTGTCCATAGAATACCCCGCAAGCCCTCCCAAAGTAGAATCTGTGACTACAAACGGGGGGCGAACCCGCTTCAATCCGAATATCTATGCCTGCGGCAAAGTTTGTCTGTAGGTGCATCATGAGTCCCTGATGCTTGGTTTAAATCTATTGCTAACATAGAGCTTCTGCAGATCCACCTTAGGGTAAGTTATCGACTTGTTTGGTGTACTTGGAAATTCGATAGCTCATTCGCAATATTAGAACCTGGCGTGGTGAGAGTGGCGAGCAGTGGTCATCAGCACAGGGCCTAGAATCTATTTTGATTTCAATCCAAAGTCTGATGTCATCAAATCCATATGAAAATGAGCCTGGATACGAGGATGCGAAAGGCGAGGCAGATTTGAAAGCAATGGCGAAATACGTTGAAAAGGTGAGAGCTTCATATATAGCGCATTGTTTTCAGTTTACCTACTTCTCTTCTCATAACTTTTAGATCTATCACGAAACCCTACGTATCACTGTTATACAACGCCTTGAAGACGCCTTGGGGATCCAGGCAGATGGAGCTGTGATTCCACCCTCTCGCAGCTTTTCTGATTCCGACGAGGACGAAGATGCAAACCCACCTTTTGAGCCTTTCCATGATTTATGCAAGAGGCGATTCCTCTGGTACTACGACTCTTACATGAACATCATAAAGGAGCAAGAGGCCAATCATCCCGTTGGCTCCCGCTTTGAGAGAATGCCTTTCGAAGTCGGTGGCAATTCAATGGATGGGCGCTATAATTATCCACAGATGAAACAGCGAGTGGAGCTGATTAAGGACGCTATTATGCAGGAAACTCATGGCTGGGTTGCCGAGGGACTGAAGGCTAAAGCCAATGATACCAGAATATCAGTTAGCCTTCAACGACAGTACGAGCAAATTATGGAGGACCTGAAGTTAAAGAAAAATTTCACCTTTGACATTTCCCTCGATGATGGCAATCCTTTCGTCTGGCAGCTGACCTTCTTCGGCCGACCCATGACTCACATGGACGGTGGCATTTTTCGTATCAAAATCTGCCTTAGCCCACACTTCCCTGAAGAGCAACCTCGCGCTTTCGTGCAAACTTCTATCTTCCACCGTCGGGTTTCACAAGCTGGTGTCCTTTGCTATTCCTCTAAGAAGCTAGAAGATATGAGGTCGCATGTTGAAGCAATTGTGGCTGCTTTAGAAGACGAGTCGCCGACATATGACCCACGCGCGACGGTTAATCCAGAGGCATCAAAGCTGTTTTGGGGCTCAGCAGAACAGAAAAAGCAGTATAATCGTTTGCTAAGACGATCAGCACAACGTAGTATTGAGTAAGTGAATTTCAAACAATTAAAGGGTTCCATAAATGCCCAGCGTTTGCTGAAGACTGACTTAATTTTTTACCCAGAGAATAATGTTCGTATATCTTTAGTTTACCATTTCCAAGAATAAAGCTTCTGGCATTTCCTGTTCCTTGTGTGCTACCATTCCTAGACCCGAAATTTCCGTCTCTTTTGTATTCTCTTTTGGGTTTTAATTTCAAATTTGCCTTTTGTTGCCCAGCATGCTTTAACATCTTTTCCAATCCATCATTCGTCACATATTTAGTTTAACCAAGAACTTCATACAGTTTTATATGCGAAACTTAAACAAAGTATTATTTGGCGTACACTGCTTCAGGCCAAAGTATAAAAAACTATCAACTTCCAAACGGATTAGCCTCGTTTCTCTAGGAGATGAACCATTTGGGTATATCGATGTCCGCATGGTAGGCCTATAGTTGCTATGCTCCGTCTGTCAGAGTCTGTGAAGAGCAAAAGCACGAGGTGATTTATACTATATTTCCCAATGAATAACGAGCGTTCGACTCTACTACGCTACCAACAACAACAGAGCAGCTTGTGTACATGTATGCAGGCCTTTGAATAGAGTCAAGACAATGAACGATTCGACAACAATGGGGGGTGCTAGTTACATACAGCGTTAGTGGCTTTAGACAGCGCTTTGTATGCAAGCTTGCCTGCTGCCTAACTACTCTGTACACACACCAACATGCCCTCCCTCTAGTGAGCTATCCGTCCCCGAAAGAATCCTATGGATGCGTGCAGCTTTATCTCTTAAGATCTTCTGAATAGCTGGTTTTTGATTTTCGTACACCGCTCCTATCACAAATGATTCCCAAAGACTATCGATTCTACAGCCCCGAGGGACGCGTATATCCAAACGGTGGCCCTCGTTCCTGGGTTGTCATTGATTTTGACCAGCGTCGCTGCTTTAGAATCGCAGGCCCGGCTGAGATCCTCCCTGACCATGAGAGTGCAGAGAAACTTGTTGCGCAATATGCTGATCATGTTGGACCAGAAGTGCATTTAATACAGTTGTCTGCCGATGGCAGCCTGTTAAGTGTCTCATCGGATAATGACCCTACGTGGGAAATTAGATATTCAGACGTCCCCGAATCTGTCAAAGACAGCGAGCTGGTGTGTAGATCGGAGTTAATTGAGGTTGACAGGCTCCATGTTTGTACAGATGTTGTTCAACACCCTCAAAGTAATGAAGTCGTGGCATTCAAATATGCCATTACGCAAGAAAACGTGCCAAGTATCTGGGATGAGCTACATATACTCAAAGCATTGAAACATAATAAATGTTTTGTTGACTTTCATCGTGTGGTCATTGACGATGTTTCCCGGAAGATCCTTGGGTTCACATCGAAATTCATATTCGGCCCCACGCTTGAGCACTATCATAGCACCTTCTACTTCCACTGGCTGGAGCAGCTCACCACAGCCGTCGATATTTTGAATCTTCAATTTGGAATTATGCATCAGGATGTCGCACCCCGGAACATTATGGTTGATTCAATGGACTTGAAGCTTTTCGACTTTGACAAGGCAGTTCGTATTGGAGGTCAGGAACAGTATCCCACGCTCAATGATGTTGATGGGGTTGTTTTTACTGTCTACGAAGCTCTCACGAAGGACGAGCATTTTCGCCAGGTAGATTTCCGGGAACGGGATGCTCACGTTGTCGAATCATTGAAAGAGTGGGAGTTGGTCATCCCGTTAGAGGATGGAAAGAGCATTGTCGAATATCGAAATCAGCTGGGAACATGGGCCGCCTACCGAAGACAAAACCGAACGATTACTCACCAATCTGAGGCAACAAACCCGATTGTGTGGCCTGAGTACAAAAAACCCCCTACTTTCAGAATTCCTTGTCCAAGTGGAGAAATTGAAGTCTCTTGTCGACACAGAAAGGATGCCTTGGCTGTTGGAGATTATGTCACTCTTTGGGAAAGGGCTTCGTCTTATCAAAAAGTGGAAACAAACTCCATGAATGCGACGATAAAAAAAAGCCAATGCACGGAAAGCAGTCTATGAAAATAGGGTGACACCGGAGTTGTTAAGGAAAGCTACTTGCAGTTAATAAGTATAATTTATCATGCGGTGTAATAGCAATTGAGAAGTTTCATGCGTACAAGAGACAGAGGCGACGATACTGACGTAAAATTCTCATATTAGAGTTCAATAAGAGCTGCATTAAACCCCACACATACTTAAAACAACAGTATCGGTATCCTCTTCGGCGTTCACATCTCCTATATATCCAACCCAGCCCTGCCCAACTTTAGCCCAGGCAGTCGGGGTTTCTTCAAGATTCGTAATTCTTTCCGGTGAGAATACCAAACTTTGAATCCTACTCTCACGTCCCGGAAGATATATCGCGGCAGCATGGCCAACATTTTTCAAATGAAGGGCTTTCTGGCTATAGCAACTCGCTAGCTGCTGAGACGAGCCAAGGTTCTCCGCGGCCACAGGGTTCAGATGAAAATCTGTTCGATGATAGGACGCACTCTCCCACGGCAGGCCAAAGTTCTTGCGGAAAAGGGGATGAATTTTCAACGGAGGAGCAAAGGAGCTGAAATGCCCACCAAAAATTATCCTTCCTCCGTTAGATACATATTCTGTGAGCTTTGGTAAGATGCCTGTCGTCTTGCGTCGTATAAGGCCGGCATCAGTAACGAAGATGGCGCTGGGTATATTGTTCTCGAGGAAGTTTAGAGCGCTTTGTGTTGTCCGCGCGCGCACAACGCGAGCTCGATCAGAGAGAGCATTGAGCAAACGGTTATACTGCTCGTCGAAGAATGCTTCGGTTTCAATCGAGAGTAGCATAATGCAAGGCCGGTCTTCGGTTGATGTTTGCTGTTCAGGACCCATATTGAAGCAGGCAGCCGGCCGTTCTAGTGTTGGAAAAGTGCTGTGAGCCTTTTATCAGTCCTAAGGTGGTGTATAGAAGTCATTGAAGAAACATAGCTAGGGAAAATAGAAAGCAGAGGCGTTATGTTCTCTAGGACATCGCGCTCTCATATTGCGGTTCTATAGGTAGAGTCATTGCAAGGAAATTCATACTTGTGATCAGAGCTTTGGGAGGTATCAGTTGTCAAACCGTTGTGTTTTGTAGACACCACACCAAGACGGTTGAGTTTTGAAGTCGGACGGAATTGACTTTCTCAAGATCCCAGGCACAACCACGCGCTCCATCAACCAACAGGTATGTCACCTCCACTCCAGACCCCAAAGCAAAAAGCTCTCTGACTGTCTCATTTATTCTAAAAACTTGCTGACCCGCAACCTTCACTTCCAGCGTCACATTTTCCTTTACAGAAACTACGATGGCACCTCAACGAAGCATCGAGCTTGGCTCCGTCCTTGTAATCGGTGGCTGTGGATTCCTGGGAACGCATATCGTTGACCATTTGTTAAATTTCCCTTCCGAGAACTCCACGAATGAGGCGTCTCACATTACCGATGCCAACGGCCAGCCAGATAAACGCTTCTCATATCCTCACCTTCGAGGACGATATCCCGTATACAAAAACACAAAAGTCTCAGTGGCGGACCTGCGGACGTCAAATAATCGGCTTCCTGGTGCAGACTACTATGACGCCGATGTTCTCTCTGTCGATTCGCTGCTAGAGGTGTTTCGTGCGGTGAAGCCAGATGTAGTAATTGATACGGTATCTCTGATGCTCGAGGGAAATCATGAATTGATATATAACGTGAACGTGAATGGGACAAGAAATCTGCTGGAGGTCGCCGGAGGCCGCAAAGGAGATTGGGGAGGAAATTGCAAAGCCTTTATATACACCAGCTCATCGTCCGTCGTGCATGATACTACGAGTGATCTGATACATGTGGATGAACGATGGCCGAAGATTACAGGCAAGTTGCAGCAAGAGTATTATACAGAAACGAAGGTTCGTGAGAGCGTTCAAAGATGATGAGACAGTTTCTAACGGCCTAGCTAGGCCATTGCCGAAGACATGGTTCTGGAATGTAACGGCTTTTACCCCAATGGTATGCTTACGGTGGCCATTCGCCCTGCAGGAATATACGGCGAGCGTGATACTACACTGACATTTAAGATGGTTGAGCATGCCGCCAAGTCCTCGCAACGAATTCTCAACTTCCAGCTGGGTGACAACAACAACCTTTTCGACTTCACCTATGTTGGTAACATCGCATACTCCCACATGCTGGCCGCCGAGCTTCTACTGGCTACGAAAAAGCGAATTGACGCGGATGCAGCCCGGCCACTTGACTATGAGCGGGTTGATGGCGAAGCGTTCAATATCACAAATGACAGCCCAGTGTACTTCTGGGACATGGCACGTGCGATCTGGGCGCTCATGGACCGCTATGTCGAGCCGCATCAGGTATTTGCGCTGGGAGAGAGCACCCTAACCATCGTTGGGGGGATCCTAGAGGCAGCCTTTGGGCTTTTTGGAAAGACACCTCGCCTGCGGAGGCGTGAAGTGAGATACTCATGTATGACACGGTACTATTCCTGCGATAAAGCGAAGATACGACTAGGCTATGAACCGATTGTTCCACTTGATGAGGGTGTAGCACGGTCTGTTGCATACGTGCTTCAGAAAGACAGTAATCTTCGGGCAAAAAAGCAGCTGTAGGAGTATGGGGTTGGATATTTGGTGGGAAAATCTATTTCTTCATGTTTTAATAGACAATAGTCATTATTTAATGTAGTCGAAAGCGTGTCACGTTAGGGGATGGAGTCCGGCTTACATCATTGCGCCGCCGACTAAGATTGCGGAATATAGTATCTCCGCGCGGAGCCGGTTAGGCCGGCCATCTTGGCACTCACATCATGGATCGGCCAGCAAATAATGAGTGCCAGCACAGGCGAACAATGAGAGAGTGACAGGCGTACGGAGTACTCCGTAGTGGTGAAACCATGGTGGGCGTGCGCTGGCGCTTGGGGCATCTATTCCGGCTGGGGCTTGGGCCTGGGCTGGAGGGGGCATGCCGGAGACCAGGGCTTCTCGCGCATCGCTCCGGCCAAACAAGACGTAACTAACTAACTGGTGCCGGATCTTGTAGCGTGTTTGCCAGACGGGTCGAGCCCCTCTCGGACTGGTGCTGTTCCGTACGGTATTGCATACACACCGTTTTGGCCTGCTCGGCGCCTGCGGCCCAAAGAACGCGCAGTTATTGGCTGACTGGGTGGGGTAGAGTACGGCCAGCGTGTTTTGCCGGTGACCAAAATTTCCGAACGGGCACGCGGACATGGGAGGGTTGGTGTCGCCAGAACGTCGTCCGCATCGCCAGCTCGTCGCCCTTGACCACACGCACTGCCAGCCCATGAGGTGGAACGGGTTCATTGAGCGGTAGTCCTAACCGGCCTCACTTGCTCCCTTGTCCGTCCTCTCTCTCTCCTTACTGTCGACTGTTGTGGTGGTGCACTCTGCTTTCACAGGCATTGCTAGCTCTGCATCTTTGACGTCGAATTGAGCCCGCACAATAACACGTCCCGGAACTTCTCGAAAGCTGGACTGGAAGGGAAACCTGGACGCATCTCACCTGAGTCCCTGTTTTTTTTCTAGGCTGCCCTGGTCCTGCTCTCATTGACCTCAGACCTCGCTTACAACATCGGAATTCGTCCACCACCTCCTCCCCCCATCTCTACCCTTTAACTTCGCATCGAGTGATATTTGGAGTCATGGGCAGTTGATGTGCGGCGACCGAGTTACTTCGCTGGCTTGGGCACCGCTCTGCCTGGCAGACGGGTCTGTCTCTCCGCTAACCCCAGAGCTGTCTCCCGCTACGACTAAGCCGTCTGCCTTCTGAGTCCGGCTATACAATACCTCTTCTTTCGCAACCTCCTGTCTCTAGTCCCCCTAGTCATCGATAGCCAAACAGTCGAAACAATGGTGGAAGATAGCACAACCGCCTCCAGCGTTCCTCGATTCCTGGAACCTCCCGCGATTACCGCCCTCAAACAAGAAGCGCGCGATGCGCCTCCACCTGGCCCCGTTCCGATGATCCGTTCTATCAGCGAGGATATTAGGGAAGAACGGCTAGATCTACAAGAAGCTGCTGAAAAAACTGTTAATGTCATTGTGGATCTAGCGTTGGATGGACGAGTCAACTGGGTCAGCCCTTCGTGGGTTGAAGTAATCGGAACTCCGATTGAAGATGTCGAAGGTCAATACATCCGCGATCTTATTATTGATAATAAATCTGCCTTTGAAGATGTGGTCGACTCCATGAAGAAAGATGATTCAAGAAGTAAGATCATTCGGTTTGCTGTCCATACTGGCTCTGCCTCAATTTTTCGTCGGGATCGGATCCAAAGACCTACGGCTAGCGGTGAAGTTTCAGGTAAAGGAGAAGAAGAGAATAAAGAAGACAATGACGTTCTTAATCTTGAGGGCCAGGGAATTATGGTATATGACAAGCCTTCTGGCGGAGATGGCCATGTAAGTCGTTATCCACCCTAGCCCCCAGTGTATCTTCCTGTTCGCCCTACTGAACAAAATTACCCCCATCTAGACCATGTGGATGTTACGACCGTCATCTCAACCACGCGAGGTTACTATTGGCCTTCCACCCTTACTTGTCGAATCGTTAGGTGTCGGTGCTGAAGTTTTAGCGAACTACCTCACCAAACTGGCAGAAGTGGGGATCGACGATCCTGCTCACCATCCTCCTCCAATGCCCGTCTTATGCCGCATCTGTGAGAGACAAATAACGCCTTGGTGGTTTGAAAAACATTCAGAACTATGTCTTCAAGAACACCGGTCCGAAATGGACGTTCAGCTTGCGCAAGATAACCTTAATGAGCACCGTCACTCTATTGTCAGAGTTTTGGATGGTCTCGAGGCTCGAAGAACTAGACCAGGTCCTCTTGATCAAACTGGACCCCAGGCTGAATACAAGGGCCTCCCCATTGGCCCCAGCCCATATTCATCTGCTCTAGTCTCTGGGTCGTCGTCATCTTCAGGAACGCCTCCACGCTCTAGAGATCCCTCCACTTCTGGCAAGGGCCATAGTCGAACTCGCTCCTCTTTTGCTGTGCGAAGACCGCTTGCTCGAATCGTTGAGCTAATTCTGGATCTATGTGATACTGCTTTGGAGGTTAGCACTCCCGCACTCAAGGAGTCTAGAACAGATTTCGGCGACGAAGTTCGAACACAATCTCCACAGTCAGAGTCCCGGATATCCCAAGTAATGCAGTGGCAGTCGCCGAGTAGCAACACTCTGGAGCAGGAACAAGGCTTGGCTGCCTTATCCGGAGATACTGAACAACTTGCTAAGGCCAAGATCGATGCTGTTTTTCGGCATCGGAGGATCATTGAATATGCAGAACGTATTCGTGTTGAATTTGCCGTTCTGGTAGAGGAATGTGTCACTGCCGCTATGGATAAAGCTGAACGAATAGCAGCGGGCGATTTGGATGACTCTACGAGTTCTAGTAGTAGCGACGAGGCAGAACAGCTCGAGAGGAGCGAGATTTCTTCGCAACAATACTCGCAGGAGTCATTGCCGTTAGTAATGGCCCCTGTGGCCGACCTTGCGACGCCGGAAGCTGTTGCCGAACAAACTCCACGACCACAGCTATCTCGAGGATCGTCATCTATCGCTATTTCAACCCGTTCCAGCAGCCCCATGGAGTGCCCAACTCCTCGTTCACACAAGAGCGTTGGTATTTTAGGCCCAGTAAAGCGTGGCTCCCTCCTTGCTGAAAGCGACGCGGCAGACAGTGATAGCAGTGCACCATCTTCTGCCATGTCTGCTGAACGCTACGCCGAGTCACCATCATCTGAGAGAGCCTTAAGCCGTGGGATGAGCACCAGGGAGAATAAACGCCGAAGTCTGATTCTAACCGGACTTTCGTGCTCTCCACGTAGGGAATCTCCTGCGCGTAACCCTCCTTTATCACCCTTGCGGTTAACCAAGCCGCGTCTCTCCACTGGAGAAAGCTTACCGTCGCCCACTACCTCTCCCATCCTCACATCAATGGAACTTGGACCGCAGAATCCTTCATTCTATCCGTCTCAGCATCGCCATCACCATCGCAGACAGTCCTCTACAAATTCGCCGGAATTAGGGAAAACACCAGTTTCACCTCACTTGAGTTCTGTTAGCCATCCACCGCCGCGTGCTGTTACACCGTCTATTAAGGACTTTGAGATCATCAAGCCTATCAGCAAAGGCGCCTTTGGAAGTGTGTATTTGTCCAAAAAGAAAACGACCCAAGAGTATTTTGCTATCAAAGTTCTAAAAAAGGCTGATATGGTTGCTAAGAATCAGATCACTAATGTGAAAGCTGAGAGGGCGATTATGATGTGGCAGGGAGAAAGTGACTTCGTTGCAAAGCTCTACTGGACATTTGCAAGTAAAGATTACCTTTATCTTGTCATGGAATATCTTAATGGAGGGGATTGTGCTGCCTTGATTAAGCAACTGAACGGCTTGCCTGAGGAATGGGCAATGAGATATACTGCCGAAGTCGTCATGGGAGTTCAACACTTGCATAGTCGTGGCATTGTCCATCGAGATCTTAAACCTGACAACCTTCTCATTGACGCTCGAGGTCATCTAAAGCTTACCGATTTTGGTCTCTCGCGCATGGGTCTTGTTGGCCGACAAAAACGAGTTCAAAAGAACCCAAATGATTCTGCACCTGATCTTCTTAAGCATCCATTCCACTCATCGCTGTCATCTTCACGGTCGGCGTCTTTTGACTTTCCTACATCACACTCTCCGCATTCTACTCCAGTGCTCAATCCTGATTCCGGGGGTCCTGGACAGCCGTCCTATTTCAGTTTAAAAGAGCCCCTGTTTAACCGTGATGTGCCGAGAAGAGCGTCTGGATATCGCAGCGATAGCGGCAGCAGTGATACTTTGGCTGCCTCTATCAAGGGTTTACACTTATTCGAGCCTGGCGAAATTCCATACTTTCCACAGCACACCTCCCAGCCTCAGCAGGGCACGTCAATTGAAGAGGAAGCAAAAAGTGAGGCGAGTGATTCACCGCGACTCTTTCCCGCTCATCCATCGATTAGCTATCAGCCATCGTTTACTTCATTGCATGCTACTCAACAGCAGCCAATACCCCCGGCGATGGCTTTGTTTAACCCTGAGGAGCAGAGCCAGGGTTTTGTTGGAACTCCTGACTATCTTGCACCGGAGACCATCCAAGGTGTTTGTCAAGATGAGATGTGTGATTGGTGGTCTCTTGGTTGTATTCTATTCGAGTTCCTCTACGGATACCCCCCATTCAACGCTTCAACTACCGATGAAGTATTTCAGAATATCTTGGATAGGAAAATAAATTGGCCCGAAGGCTACGAAGAGTTTTCTTCCGAGCAAGCTCGAGATCTGATGAATAAGCTCATGAATTTGAACCCCGAAGAGCGGCTGGGATCAAATTCTGGAGGCGAAGAAATTCGCAATCATCCTTGGTTCTCGAATGTTAACTGGGATACCCTGTTGGAAGACGACGGTTCTTTTGTTCCAACCATCTTGGATCCTGAGGATACGGAATACTTCGATCAGCGGGGTGCCACAATGCAAGGCTTTACAGAAGATACTGAAGACCAGCTATCGCCTAAACCGACTTCAGGCGAATATCCCGACAGACCCCATGATGCTCTTTTCAAGGTCAAGTCTCAAGTTAGCTCCATAAAACGCGGGTTTATACCACTCCATATTCCACCTCATATTCGCGATGGCCGTAGCCGCAGGCTCAGTGAACCTGTTCTAGCGGATGATTTTGGTAATTTTAATTTTAAAAATCTCCCTGTGCTAGAGAAAGCCAACAAAGACGTTATACAAAAGCTCAGACAGGAGGCCTTGCAAGCGCAGCAGCGATCTGTACCATCGCCGTCGACGACGCCCTCGACAGCGTCCGCCCCTTCTCTGGAAGGAAGCCCAATGATAGCAGGGCCTCTCAAGAGAACCATGTCGCAGAACAAAGCTACTAATAGGCCAGCGTCCCCGTCAAGTTTGAGTCAAGCTAATTCGTCCTCTCCAAGTCGCCCCTCGCAACCATCTTCTCCACTTTTGGTTCAGTTCAGTACAGGGCAGCACCATCATGAGAGACGCAAAACGTCGGGATCTTCTTCAACCTTTTCACATCAGTCCATGTCGTCGTCACTGCAGGCTAGTAGCTATGAGACCCCTCGACTAGCTACAAATTTGAAAATGTCGGCAACAAGCGCGTCTTCTCCGGTAAAACATCCCAAACTCCCATCACCCGATAAACTGGCCGGACTTCATCGCCAGAGCAGTGCACCCGCCTCCAGACAAAGATCACACACGATTGGCTCCCAAGATAGCGACCTGGCATTGCCAAGAGAGCCCTTCATTCCGGGCCATCACAAACGTAGAAGTCAGCTTGGTGATATCTCACCATCTTCATCTGATAATGAGGATGCACGAGCGAAGGCCCTTCTAAAAGTTCAGCGACGGAGGCAAAGTTCACGACGACTGTCACAAATCAATTTTTCGGATGGTCCTTTTTTCCGTCCTCTTGACATTCTTATCTGTGAGGATCATCCGGTATCCAGGATGGTTATGGAGCGCTTATTTGAGAGGCTACGTTGCAGAACTATTACGGCGGTCAATGGGATGGAGGCGATGAGGTTTGCTTTGAGCGAGGTTCAGTTTGACATTATCATGACTGAATTCAAACTTCCCCAGATGAGCGGTACCGATGTTGCTCGTATGATTCGGGACACACGAGGTGCTAATACCCATACACCTATCATTGCTGTCACAGGATATCTTAAGGATCTTCCTGAAACACATCATTTCGATGCCTTGATTGAGAAACCACCGACGATTGAGAACCTGACCAATTGCTTGTCCAAATTTTGTCAATGGAAACCACCGCCAAGCGACGACGTATTGGCCCATCAACACCCGATTCCTACATCTGCACTCCGCCATGGTTCGATTCGCGCTGAAGGTAGCCCTAGCTCAGTCTCTTCAGGCTTTGGAGTGGCTCCTACTAGTTCATACCAGGGGTCAAGCAGAGACGATTCTCTTGGTAGCAGCTACTTTGGTGATATTGAGTCATCGAAAGAGGATGACGCTCCTCTTGCCCTAAGCAGTCAAGCCCAGGAAGACTGGAATACTATGAAGGCTGGAGGTCTTTGTATTTCTGAAGAGCCTTCAGTTTCCAAAGAAGGCTTTGTTGGACCCACTAGCCCTCCAGCAATTCCTAGTTTGCTCACCGCAACTTCAGCCCCCGCTGCCTTTAATTTATACAGTAAGCGACCACTTCGCAAACCAAGCTCCATTGACGGCATCCACACAAAACGCGAATATATGGATAAAAAACCATACGAGGGTGCTGAGTCGGGCGATGATGAAGACGAAGAGCTTGGTCGTGCACACACTAGGGGTGCCCGCGCCCCTGAATTGGCTACAGGAAAACAGCGAAGATCCGGTTCAAAACTTGGGACTGAAATGCTAAGAACAAACAGCCGTGGGAGTGTCGTAAGCGCAGGCGACGATATCCTCAAGGAGCGCGAGTGCGAACTCATGGATACAGCTGTCGGCAAGACCGCAGATCCTATGCTGCTACCTCCACTAGAGACTAGCATGGAGCATTTATTCATTGGCGAGGAGGCTTTGGATCCTCTGCCCGAGCTACCAGAGAAGGAAGAGACATGTACTCCACCGCAATTGGAGCCAACTGACACTGCTGCGCAGTGTAATACAGGCGGACAGGCGATGGCGGGCACTGGTGCTACTCATCTTCAGTCTCACGCCACCTTGGGCATTACACCAGCGCTCACGGCAAATTTTGAGCCACGGTATATGCCGAAGTCGCAACAAGAAGACCGCACACCTCCAGGTACAGCGTGTGAGCCGAGCTCTGTAACACCAGAAACACATCGTTCGGGCAAAGCTGAGGATACGGAAAAGACTCCGAAAGCCGCTCCTAGTAGACACTCCGAGCTACCTCTGTCGGACAGAAATGATATCGACAATGATTCCTTTGCAACAGATGCGCGCCGGTTACATACAATAGAGCGCGTAACAGGGTGGATGCGCCGCAGCCACCGCTAGACGCAACCGTCTATTATTTTTTTATGATATTGAAAACATTCATTTACATTCTTCATTTTTCTTTTTGTTTTTCTTTTTCTTTTCTTTTTTTTTTTCTAACCCCTAAACACTGGCATTTTATCTTTTCTTTACAGTGAGGGCTATCTCTCTTCTGGAAGCGATCCCATATTCGGTTGGAATCTGACATCTGATCTTTCCACTCTGTTTTCCTACATTTGCTTTCTCTATCCTATTCTCCCCTTGTATAAGTCACCTTTGCACCAACATTTTCCTTTTTCAGTTCGTCGGTTCGGCGAGCCATGGTTTTGCCATATGGAATACCGTTCTGTTCTATGTCGTCCTCCACTCCGGCCGGTCACTGATCTAACCGTACACTCTGCATTGAGAATCTGCTAGAGATCGTATGCGAGCGATAAAAGGTAGCTTTTCTAGCTGGAAGACGCATGCTTCGTATTGATGCTCATGTTGGTGAACGCATGGCGTGGAGTGGCTTTCTTCTTCTGCTGCTACGTATGGCGATGTCCTGGGGGTTTCCCTTTCCCTGTTCATATGTAATGAAATAATGAGACCAAATGCAATGATAAACAAGATCTGTGTGTAGAATCAGTAACTAGTGTAGCTAGATGCTTGAGTTGGCTTTTGCGTAATCTAGATTTTTTTCCGTCCCATTTTTTCATCAGGCCACCAAATTGTGCCCTTCCGTGGCCCCTGCGATATGTAACTACTATACGCCCCTAACAATGTAACTCCGGTCTTCTTCTTGTATATTAGGAGGCTTACCTGTTGGTTTCTCGTTTTTATTACCCTTGTCCTGTGCGCGCGCTTTTCTCCGAGGCTCAGCTGCTATCAAAAAAGAGTCACCCCTGATCTCCCCGATGGCTACAACCACCCTCACCACCAATATGCCAGCTTCTGAGAGCTCTGCCTCTGCCATTACCTCTAAAGATTCACTTAGCTCTGCCGCAAAGCAATCCTGCGATCTGCTGGAGGTACGGCGCCGCCTGCACCATGAAGCCGATATGGTAATCGTAGGGGCCGGAATCGCCGGATGTGCAGCAGCAGTGGCTTTTGGGAAACAAGGACGCAGCGTTATATTGTTAGAAAGGAGTCTGAAAGAGCCGGAGAGAATAGTCGGGGAACTGCTGCAGCCCGGTGGCGTGAGGGCGCTCGCAGAGTTGGGTCTCGCAGGTGAGCTACGCTTTCACACTACGGAGGCCAGCGGTGATCTCCTGATGTCGCAGATACAGGCTTACATATTTCTTACTAGACTGTCTCGAAGGCATCGACGCTGTGCCTTGCTACGGATATCAGGTTTCATATCATAAGGAACCTGTCGACATCCCCTACCCACCTACTGCGGACGCGCCTGAAGAACGGCCGGAAGGCAGGTCGTTTCATCATGGTCGATTTATTCAAAAGCTACGAGAGGCGGCGAAGCGAACGCCTAATGTTACTATCTTTGAGACTCGAGTGACGGAGGTGGTTCAAGATACGCATGGCACGGTGCTGGGAGTGCAAGCAGAGACTGGGGAAGAGAAGAAAAAGGACTGCGTGAGTGTGCTCACCCAAGGAGCCTCTTTGCTCAATACTGACTGTACCAGTTCTTTGGCAGTGTCACCCTCATAGCCGATGGCTTTGCCTCAGAATTCCGCAAAATATATCTTCCCAACAAGCCGTCTGTTCGATCCAAATTCTGGGGCCTCGAACTTATCGACGCTGACCTCCCTCGACCTTATCACGGCCACGTAATACTTTCTAACGCCCCCCCGATCCTCCTCTACCAAATTGGCACTCACGAAACCCGCATCCTGATTGATGTGCCAGAAGGCCACCCATCTGCCCAGCCCAGCGCTGGCGGAATAAAATGGCACATGCTGAATGTCGTACTGCCGGAGCTGCCAGCTGGCTGCCAGCAGAGCTTCCGTGATGCTGTGGCACGCGGTAGGCTCCGAAGCATGCCTAACTCCTTCCTGCCATCGTCAATTCAGAAAACCCCTGGGCTGATTATAGTGGGCGATGCCATGAACATGCGCCATCCGCTTACAGGTGGTGGCATGACTGTTGCGTTTAACGACATTATACTATTATCGAAGCTCCTAGCACCGGATGTTCTGCCATCCCTGGATGATACAGGCGCAGTTGTACAGCAAATGCGACGTTTTTACTGGGGGCGGAAGCATGGCTCCAGCGTTATCAATATCCTTGCTATGGCCCTCTATGCCCTCTTTGCTGGTGAGGATACCTCGCTCACGACTCTCAAAAATGGATGTTTCCGCTATTTCCAGCGCGGAGGCCGTTGTATTGAGGAGCCATGTGGTATGCTTGCAGGCCTGCGAAAAGCACCGTCATTACTTATTGAACACTTTTTCACCGTTGCATTTTATGCCATTTGGATTAGATTGTGTGAAGCTCCTCTCTGGCAGAAGCCATGGGTCCTGGTGGTTGAGTCCGTTGTGGTGCTTTGGAAAGCGTGCATGGTTATCGGTCCGTACTTGCTCTGGGAGGTCAGAGGATAGGCCAACCAGGTTTGTGCGGTATGAGGCTTTTATTAATGATATCCCTTAAGCCCCTTCAATTTAGATATCTATACGGAGTAGGTATGTACGATAAACCAGCGAAGATGAACTCGCCCACTACTTAAAATGAGTTTTTTGAAAGAACAATTTGATTATCACTGTTGATAGTCAATAGAACGCTTTACTTCCATCTAAAACCAGGAGCTTTTAGATTCCCGTTGGCTAGCAAAACCTCATAATAAAAAACCCAACACTCACACAGACCATCTTCATCAAGCTAAAACGTCAAATAGGAACAAAATTGATTATTCCTCATCCCCATTCTCATTCTCATCGCTCTTCTCCACTTTCTCCCCAGCGTCCTCATCTTCTTCAAACGTAGTGATTGGTACGCCATAGAGGCGAATTACAGCCTTGTTAGGATCTTTCACAAGAACAAATTTCTTAACCTTCTCCTGCGAATCATCCTCGTCATCATCTTCAACACTGTTGACCAAATCGATGATCGTTCGCACGATACCCCACCCATTGCCTATGTTCAAATTCATCTGCATGGCAAATTCACGAGGCTTATATCCTACAACACCAAGGACGACATGCGCCGCAGAGGAACGTGGATTAGCACGGGCAACGAAACCGAGCTTCATGATGTCGGACTTGGCGAGAATGGCCTGCGTGGTCCAGCGGGCAAGTTTGACGTTGTTGTTCTTCATTTCGGTGGCGACTACGGCACCACGCTGAGAGTAAAGTTTTGTCCGCCAATCTAGAGCACCACCAGCGCCTTGCGCTTTATAATCGAATTCATTAAGAGCCTTAAGAGTGACATATTGATCATCGCCGCTGATATTGTTCTTCAAAACAGCATCAACTTCAGTACGCACGATAATGTTGACCGGCTCGTCGTCCTTCTCTAGTGAAAGGTTAAATCGGCGATATCTGAAGCCCTTGGACGCTAGGGGCTCTGTTTCTTCGGAAGGATTGTAAAACGGGTTTGGATTGTTGAAATCGACCTTGGCGCTCTCGGATTCCACCACCGTTTGAAGGGCAAAGTTGTGATTAATGATTGTGGCTTCGAGAGCAAGGGCGCTGGGAGTGTTAAGGGTATCATGCTTGGCTCCTGCCTGACCTTCTGGGGCCTCCATCGGAGCATCTGCAGCATTTTCATTAACAGTAACAAGATCGATCGAGGCATTGTCGCGTTTGTCGAAATAAATCTTATTTCCATGCTTGACGATAACAACATCCCAGGAATAGACACTTCGAGAAGCGCACATCAACATGGAGAGAATATCAGCAGAGGCAAAAACGGTGGCCTCGTCTTTTTCAGCAAGTTCCTGGATCACAGGGTCAGCACTGGTTGTAACGTTGTATGCCGCACGCTCCAGAGCTTGTAGTCTGCGTTCTGCGTTTTTAACAGGAGCCTTGTCGTATGAGCGGTCATAATAGTAGAGGAAACCATAGTTATCCAGATCTTCGCCGTCTGGGGTATCGAGGTTGAGTTTCGAAAGTCTGGAGAAATCAATTTCCTCCAGCATGGACCATTCTGGACGGATAGTGACGGAGCTGTCGCGATTTCTCTGGGGCTTATCATAATCTTTCCAGCCAAAGCGGCGACCCCGATTACCGCGTCCACCACGCTGGTCGTAATATCTATCGCCGCCGGTATGTCCACCTCGGCCACCAGTGGTTCTCTGAAATTGTCCCCCGCGTCCCCGCTGGGTGCCACCTCGCTGACCACGGCCTCGGAAGATAGTGCCTCCACCGCGTCCAAAGCCACGGGTCTTCACGGAAGTTCTGGTATTGTCGACAACCGAAAAGGAAGATTCGTCTTCAGCAACCTGAACAGCAAAAAGGCTGCTCGTTCCAGCACCATAAACTTGCTGGTCTAGACGATGTTAGAAATCTTGACTAACTCAAATCTCTTCGTCTCGTGGTGTTTCATGGAATGCTAATACCTCTAAAGTTGCGGTTATAAGTCTGTCGCCCTCTATCGCGAGCATCCTTCGAATCGCTTCCCCAATCGGCCATGCGGCCAAGCTTATCACCCTTAGAGAACGGTGCATAGGGTACGCCCTCTAGGGTGTTGCCAGTTGGGACGGGGGGGCCCCAAGCATCCCCCTCGGATGGGAGAGCAGACACGATGTCTGCAAGAGAAAATGACGCCATATTGAAAGTAGAATGACACTGGTTTGAGTGCCTGATAGCCCTTGTACACTCTCCAGCAGAAACTGGCGTGCGCGCTGAAGTTCCGAGAAATCGATTTTTGATGTGGGAGGCAATCTTGGCCTATTTGCATATGTTTGCTAAAAATTGCTTACGTAAATGATATTTCGCGGCTTGGCATAATTGCTGTGTTGTTCGAGTCTCGTTGGATATTCATTCCACATCAACCATGAAACGGCTCTTGAAACAGGAAACGTTGTTACACGCACTTATAACTTATACAGTATGTAGAAATATACGGAGTGAGTACTTCCAAAAATAAAAGAGATTGGTATCAATGAATATAAGTTAGTACGTGCACCAACGCCAAATATCAATATGTCCAGCCCGAATTAGAAACCCAGAAAAATGATTTATGAATACATCGAATAGTCCTCTGCTGCCTGATTAAGCCGGAGTGGTATATGAGAACAGCATCCCGCTTGCGTTGCTGAGAATTCCAGTTTACTTCCCAGCACGCCGTTCAATGCATCTCTGAACTCAAAATCTTCGAGGACAGCGCCAAACCCATAGCAGCGCACTTTGGCGAGAAGATCGTCCATCATGCGTCGCACATCATCCTTTGTCAAGAGGTGATACATCTCATGATCTTTCAGCGATTGAAGTGCCATGATAGGCGTGATTTCGTTGTCCGTGACCAGCTGGCGGCTGAGATTAAGCAGCGTATTGAGATTAGCCGGCGGCAGATCGTATGTTTTGACCGGGTATTCGTGACCTCTTGCAGCGAGGGCGACTTCTGAAGGTGGCGGGCAGGTTGCCATTAAAATATGACCGGCAACAACGTCTTGCTCTTCGTCGTCATGAGCACGCCGGCAGAGCCGCTCAATGTGATCTCGACATGTTCCCTCAAGACTGTTTTCACATCGCGTTAGACAGGGGAAGCTCGGGAGAACAGCATTCAAAACTCACGTTAAAATGAACTCCACTTCCAAATGTGGTTCCTTGTCAAACACACCAGGCATATCCGCAACGACGGGGCTGTTATCGCTGGACATTATGATGTCACCAGAAACGCCAAGCTCACTACCATAATGGGTGTGAGGTGCTTGACTTGAATACACCGACGAGCCAGGTTTCGCGTCTACCAGTTCTGCACCTGTTGCTATAGGGCTTCTTCCCGACGACACAGTTGTATCCGGAGTCACATATTTTGTGTTAGGATAGCTCGTCGTTTGCGAGGGAGCGCTGCTCTCTTGATAGCTTGCTTGGCTCGGGGCACGACCCGGAGACCTACGGCGATCTAATTCAACTTCAACATTGATACCGTGTGTTGTGAGAATTTCCCGCAAGATTCTATTCTCCTCTCTTTGTGCTTCCAAGTTCTGGCGATGTTGGTGGATTGAAGCGTTAGCGGTGGTGATATCATTGGCGTATCCTTCCCGAAGTCGCGAGATTTCAACTTCCAGAGTTCGGATGTATTGCTCTTTTCTTTCTCGATGAGTTCTGCCGCTCATTGTTAGCAGGGGCGGAGACAGGAGGTACGTATTTTGACGCATACCTCTGTGCTTGCCGGTTAAGCTCTTGACGACGAGTCTGCGCTGGCTTGCTGTCTGGTTTGGGGCCTCGCCGTTTAGGGGGTTGGCCATCTATCGTCGTATAAGCTTCGGGTTTGAAAGCGGGGTCAGGGCCTGCAGGGTAGTCATACCTCTCGTTTTCCTTTGGGTCGTTGGCCCTAGGGGTTTGAGAAGAGGCATTGGAACAAGAGGTGATTGTGCTTCCATCGGCTTTGGATTCTCGCCTAGAAATGACTTGCGCTACACTTCCCCAATGAGGCTGCCAATGATCAGGTATCAAGAGTCTACTATCCCACCTTGCGATAAGGATAAAGACACCTCATACTCGGTCAATGCGTCCCATTGACGGAAGATGGCGCGCCAGGAGTAAGCATCAACTATTTCAGTGTGGAAGAAAGAGTGTATGACAGGGGAACCACACAAGTGAAAGGAGAAAGTTGGAAATTCCTCTCAGGGGTGGAGAGGAGAATCTCGAGCAGACACACTCGCCCTAGTATTGACCTACTTGGTGGCCCTTTCAACGTCGAATAGCCGCGAGCTCTGCGATATGATAAAACAAAACACCATTTCGCCTGATGCATACGATAAGAAAGAAGGTAAATCAGAACCCACCTGGACCACCAGCACCGCCGCTGATACGGGGCTCGCCACCCGCCATCCCATGGTTACTTTGACCGCCAGAGGGTGGCTCCATTGCAAAAAAGCCGTAGTCGTACATGCAATCCACACGCAGAGAGCGTTGAGGCCGATGCCAGATGCCAAAGCAGTCAGTTCGGATGCCGGTTGTTTCGCCGTCCCTTATAAAAGGCACGCATTCACTGACGGACTGGGGGTGTCGGGCGAACCCAATCCAGAGCTTGGGCGCCGAAAGCTCAGCAATAATAGGCCAGGAGTCCGCACGGCACTACGCCTTGGCGTCGCACAGGGATGTCAGAATGAACGAGTCGAGTCGGCAATGCAGCCCCGGGAGGAGTCGCCCTCTTCCAACACGAGAGGCCACAGACCTGAAAAGCACTGCTAGTGGCAACCCAAGCGCTTGAGGATGGAGGTTTGCCGACGAGATGCGGCGATGAGGCGGCTGAGAGGCAGGCCGCGGGTGACTAAGCGGGCCAGGCGGCACGCACGTGATGGGTGACCGCCGCGGCTTGTGGGGCGCGAGCGCGCGGTTGATTGGTTCAGTGGGCGGGCTTGGCCCGTGGCCCGTTTCACGACTAGTGGGGCAAATCCCGCTAGCGCAGTCACGTGAAGCGGATCTTCTGCAACACAAACACTATTATTAAGCAAGGTGGCATTACAGTCGCGCTAGTCTATTTACGGCCCATCGCCGCCTCCACCGCCGCGAGCCCAGCCAGCACTTTCTCGTCAAAGAACCGACGCCCGACAAGCTGCAGGCTGACCGGCGCGCCCTGGAACCGCTCCGGCCCCGTGTACAGCTCGTGGTTGTACCGGTCACTGTCGTTGCGCGGGACATAGCCCTCTTCGCGTGCATCCTGCGCGGGGTCAACCTTGGTCACCGGGAACACAGCCGCCGGGTAGTCCAGCAGGTTCCACTGCGAGGTATAGCCCCAATACCGGGCGCATTCGTGCGGGGGAGCAACGCCAGGAGTCGTGGGGCAAAGGATGAGGTCAACCTCGCCAGTCGTCGACCTCGCGGTGGCGGACCAGTGTGCAGCATACTGGTCACGGTAACCGTCGCGCTTAAGGCAAAGCTAATTAAGAGCATCAATAATGGGCCCGTTCTAGAGCATTGGCGTCGGCATACCTTCCAATACTCCGCCATGCTATGATCCTTGACCATCGGCTGGTCCAAAATAAACTTGGTCAGTGGCAGCAGTGGCTCTCCTTCTGACTCGAGGAGCCCAATGACCTCCTTTCCCGCGTCGGGCCAGTACAGCTCCGAAATTATGTCCCAGGCCGTTCGGTGGTCATATGGCTGCCAGTCAACAACCTCCATGCCAGCTTTCTTGCAAGCTTCCGCCACCTCTCGCAGTGCGCGGAGGACAGGGGGATGTGGCTTGACCACCCCATCGTCCCATTCAATGGCAATTTTCAGGGGTTTGGTGGTTGTGACGGGAGTCCAGGGCAACGGAGAGAGAGAAGCGTCGAACCTCCACGGCTGAGCATCGGCAATCACCTTCATGAAGAGATCCATCGTTGGCCGAGAGCGGCATAACGGTCCAAATGTGGCAGCAATTGCATCTTTCCCCTCCATGGGAAGCTTAATCCCACCAACTGGGAGCCGTTTGCAGGTTGGTTTAAAACCATATACCCCATTGTTACCAGCAGGGTTGCGAACACTACCTCCAATGTCGCCTCCAACACCCTAAAATGCAATGGGTTAGTACCTGCATAAGCCCCACGTTCTAGAGAGTTTGCTAACCAAAACACTCCCTCCAAAAGCAATAAGCGATCCTTCACCCCCACTGCTGCCTCCAGAAGTCAGATTGCGATTATGGGGGTTGACAGTGCGGCCATAAATGTTATTTTCGCATTCGAGATGCATTAGCGCCTGTGGGCCCGTGGTGCGAACATAAAAGACGGCACCCGCATCATAAAGGATATTGTTGAGGAGGTTGTCATCAGACTCGTCATCAATCCAGGCAATGAAATTGGCATGGACCTTCTTGCCCTTCATCCCATGGTGCTCCTTGACCGAAAGAGGAAGACCATGAAGAGGTCCAATCGGCTTTTCGAGTGAATCCAAGTATTTTGCGCGAGCAATTGCCTCGTCCCACATGAGTTCTGTCACGCAGTTGATCTGGTGAGTGTTAACATCCATGTCAGCACTTGAGCCATGCAAATTCAGGTAAATGTTACAAACCGCTTTCTGTGCCAACGCTGCTCTCCTGAGAAACGCTCTCGTTACTTCTTCTGACGTTACTTTCTTTGAACGCAGCATATCAAGCAACGCGATCGCGTCATAGTTCTGCGTGAGCTCATACTCTCGCTCGGTGAGGAACTGCTTGGGGAGATCGAGGGAGTTCAGCGGCAGAGGCGTAGGGAGCTCTTCCAACGCCGGCTCGACTTTGGCGAGACTTGCGTCGCGATAGTCGCGAACCTTCTGTGCCTTTTGCTCCCACGGTGCGGTTGTCATGGTGTCGCTGGGCTGTGTAGAGTGCTTGGATGAATAACTGGGCTGTCAATGGGGGAGCCAACAGAGGGCAATTGAAAGGCCAGTGTTACCCACGGCATCTCTGTCGTACATATATACGTATCTCCAATCAAGACGGACCGAGAGAGGGGAAGGCGGCTTCGTCTTTCCGAAGTCGAGCTTCCCCGCAGAGCTTGGTGTAGCTATCCGCGCCCAGGGGCTGCCGTGGCCGTTAGTGATACACCAGCAGATATCATATATCCGTCTGTCCGTAGCCCGTGTTCACTGGCCCCCTCATTCCTCTGTCGGCTTTGGCTGAAGGCGATTCGCGGACGCTGGTACCACGGTTCGCTGTGGAAGCTAAGCGGGTGTCGGCTGGTCGGCATCGCTTCGATTTCAACTCTCGACGTGCAATTCGCCAGTTTGCAGGCTAGAATGAACGGCCCCGGCAGTTGCTGTCTCGGGTTTCGATTGAATGGCTGATAAGCGCGGCCGAGTCGTGGCCCGAGTTGCTGGTAGCTCGATCGCGAACCACGACGGATGCCTAGTTTCGCCGCGGCTGAAAGAGCGGAGTGGCCATGCAGCAACTATACACGCACAGATCTGTGGCTCGCAGCTACAGAGGATGTCATGAATTCATCATTGTATTTATATACCTCCATCGCTTCTGTATGCAGTGCCTGTATATTAAGAACGCCAAAATGCAGTGGCATCACCCCCAATCCATGAACCAAACTCCTCCCGAAGAATAATACCAATTCTATCGCATCGATAATGCGCCCATCGTCTAATCAGAGGGAACTTCGAACAAACCTTCCCTCTCCCAGTCAAACCATCTTGATTACCGTCTCACCGCTCCCGTCCCTCCATTCCACATCGGGAATTCCCTTCACCCGTTTATTACTAGCCACATAAAGTAGCCAATATATATGTGTAGCAATCTCACCCCATGCGTATATCCTCACGTCCAGATTTCGTATTAGCTCGGCTACGGGCTGGTTCTCCGCTGAGTCGCAAAAACACCAAACCCCCCAGCCCGCTCGGCCTTGGTCACCCACGAAGACAGAGAGATAGTCCCAGAACCGAAGAAAGAAACTAGGCGTCCACTGCTTAGAGGCTCCTATGTCAGTGCCTGCCGTGGATCTTGGCTGTGAATTTTGGGTTTCCCCGTCCACCGTTATTTCGTGGTCCTCCACGGCAATTGGAATTTGGAGCGCCCAGTATCCGCGCTCGAGAGGTCCCAACTTCCGTGTCTGATAGGCAGGCTTGAAGGGGTGCCGATCCCCAACTGTTTCAGCAAGCATTTGTAGTGTTGGTGTGATGTGTGTTTGGAATTCAGTGGTATCGGAGGGTATCGGACGTGGAGCATGAATCTCCATTCGCAGCTCAGGTAAGCTCAAAGAGTCAACGGGGTTCGAGGATGGCACTTCTCCTGCATCAACAAACGCAATAGTGGCGTTTTTTACTGTATCAGAAGTATTCTCCACCACAGAGAGACGCCGTCGCTTGGACGGGAATGTGAAGTGTTGGGAGGATTGGGATTGCAGATCGTCGATGCGCACCGTCTTCACCGGCCCCATTCTGGGACTGTGATTTTTCTCTGCATCCCAAGTAGATATAAAAGATGACTGCGATTCAAATACATACTCTGAAACCGTCCCGAAAGAGCTAAAGGTCGCCAAGTTTGCTTTTGAAGGCGTCGTCTCCATGCCCTCTTCCTCTGTGTCGGCGAGCGGCACCAAGATACTTATCTCCGTCGTAGTTCCTTCGTCCTCACAGTCAATATTTCTTCCAAAGCCCCATGTAGGTGAATATGAAGGCTGGGAGTCCGGTACTGTCTCCGGTGGCGTAGAGAAGGAATCCGTGTCGTCCGGTCTGCCAGGAGTAGAAACCAATGCAGCCATATTTTTCGCCCCAACAGCATTGAAATGGGGCGTCTGGCCGTCTAATGCATCGTAAAAGATAGGTTCACCGATTTTATTTTCATAACCGGGATATTGGTTTGGCAAAGTCGGGTGATCGCACGCTTCGCTGACGCGGCGATTGACAACCTCCTCATTCTTAAACGCACCATCACCATCATCGTCATCATCATCTTCTTCTTCAGGGTATATACTAATTCTATTTCTCGGCTCGAAATCGAAATATGCAGCTGCAAGCTCTCTGTAACGTGCATCATCTTCTGCGCCGCTTGGGGCGGACACATGGACGAGAATTTCCACCGAGGATTCCATTGCTCCTGGAGAAACCTGTCAACTTTGGGCGCAACAGTCGTCGGCCATGGAGACAAGAGGCTTTCTGCGTATTCCTAGCTGGGAGAATACACGACTTCCGTGTGACTTGACTGGACCATCTCGGGAGCCTTGGAGCCAGGTTTGTTAGCCGTTCAGTCGTTGGTTGGCTCAGGGGATTTCTTGTGTTGGCCAACCAACGGATGGCAGCAATGACTCACAAGAAACGTCGGCCGCCAACAGACAAATTCTATAGAAACACACACATACAAAGCACTCAGGCACTATGGCTTCTCTTCCGCAAGTAGGCCGTCAGGTCAGCTCGACGCCGGCTCAGCGTCCTCCCCAAACACGGATTTCCGGCCGTCTCATCGCCCTTGAGCCTACCACAGCTGCGCATTCGCGGGATCTATTCTTGGCTGTCGGCGGCCACGAAAACGCTTCACTATGGGCTTACATGCTACATGGGCCTTTTGACTGCGAAGACTCCTTTAGAGCGTACTTGGAAAACCGGTTACTTGATAAGGATTCGGTATTCTACACGTTGATCGAACCAGCCAGTCAGAAAGCGGTTGGACATTTTGCCCTGCTACATATCGATATCCCCAATCGTGTCGTTGAAATCGGACATGTTATATTCTCGCCTACGTTGCAGCGCAGCACTGCAGCGACGGAGGCTTTCTACTTACTAGCTAAGCTGGTGTTTGACGATCTGGGATTTCGACGATATGAATGGAAATGCAACAACCTCAACACGGCCTCGAGAAACGCTGCTACTCGACTTGGGTTTTCATATGAAGGCTTGTTCCGTCAGCATATGATTGTCAAGGGGCACAACAGGGACTCTGCTTGGTTTTCAATACTTGATTCAGAGTGGCCGGCAATCCGAGATGCCTATGAAAAATGGCTGCAGCCTTCGAATTTTGATTCAAATGGGAAACAGATTCAGACCCTGGCTTCCATGAAAAGAAAATGAATTTCTTGTTTTTATATTTTCACGTTGCCATCAGTGTGCCAGGCGCCACAACAATATGCTAGAACAATAAGAGCCATACTATAAATATAACTATATCTTAAAAGGGAACAATGCTAGACCTTCATGGAGTGTGGTGTGCATATCTTCTAAAAGAGACGGATAAATCACGCTGCCAAAAATGCTGATAGTAAAAGTTATGTAGGTACAGACATATATCATAAGGATCAAAACATGCAATCGTTAAGAGGTCAATCGTTGACGAACCCAAACCACTGTCGGAAAGCTGGGTCATTGCCCATCTCAGACTCACGGCGGTAAGTGAGCGGAAGTCCTGCCTTTTTGCGCTTTTCCATGGTCCGCATTTTCCAGTCCAAGTAGTCTTCCCCGTCGTATTTGACCAATCTCTTGGTGATATCAATACAGGTGTAGAATTTGCCATTTATATGGAGTTCAACCATCGCAGCCTGTTCAAACATGAAATCCCCATATGTCATGACTACACTCCGGATCGTGAGGAAGGTCATCAACTCAATCCCTAGGAAATAGGCGAACCATTCTGGACGCAGGTAGCAATCTCTCAACCAGGGGTTTTCAACGCCGTCGCAGAATGGACGCCGAGGCTCGTACCAGTGGTGGAACATCAGGTCCTTAGAAAGGATTTGTCGTAAGTGAGGGTCATTTCTAGTATCATCCGTGTCAACGAAGTTCAACACCAAATTTTGAACGATAGTTCTCCTCTCTTTCTTTGGGGTTGTAGCGTTGACGGGGCCGTATTTGAAGAAGCGCTCTAGCAAAGCGTAGAAGCACCAGACAATATGAGGTGGGCCTCCGTCACCGCCAGCAAAAGAATGATAACGGTACTCCTTTCTTTTGTATAGCCCCAGAACTCGAATTGTTGCGACCACATTCTCGACATGGTCGGAAAGAGTCGGGACACAAAGCCATGTCGGCAAGACGTAGCGCTCGTCCATCAACACCACGTCGAGATGGTAGGTAAGAGACTTGCGCATGCGAGCAAGTACATACTTGGTCTCAGCCGAAAGCTGGCGGTTCACCAGAAGGAGAGGCAAGCCGGTGATCGAATACGCCCGGTCATCCTCATACAGTGTGTTTGTATACCCGAAGCTCCACGCCATGCTCTCATGCTCGCGCTCCGCCGTTTCTGGTTTTCGTGCCTCTAGCTCGGATCTTGCGGGCGGAGAGGACGGAGTGCACAGTGCGAGCTCGAGGATGGCCTCGCGGAGTTCGAGCGGGATGCTGAGGAGTGACGGCATGGCAACGGAAGCTAGCTAGGTAGTTACAGCGGGTGTGTGTTGAACTATAACAGTCAATGGCAGAATACAACCAGCGGAATTGTCATTATTGCGCTAGCAGGAACAGAAGCAGTCACGGCACATCCCAGCCGGACGTCAATGAGAGAATGGGCTGGCGAGGAGAGCCTTGTCTTGCTATCGCGGCATCCCGAGGCATTGCCCCTCGGCGTTGGTCACATGGACGGTGGGGATGCTCGCTTTTGGAGAACTCCTGTCAACGCACGACGAAGCTCCTTCGACTAGTGCTCTTGCAGGGATCAACCGAGCCATGTCCGCCATGTCCTGTGCTTTCCGGGACTGCTGCCTGGGACCTCTTCAACACAGATATCTCGCTGCTTGCATTCCTCCAGCATTGTTTTTCTACTACTACTGAAAGGGGTAGCTATTCCTCGCCTCCTCGCCAACCCTTGGCTCGTACGAGTACCTGATCTCGAGCTTAAAAGATGTCAAGCACGGCTACGGACGGCATTCCTGGATTCCACTGCATTGTCCTCGACACGGCTGGACTGCGTTCTCACCCATGCCTGCAGTCACTGCAAGCAATGGTCAACGACGCCTTCAGAGAGAGTGAACACAAACGATTCCCAACCACGGCTTCTGTGATCGCAACGCTGGGCACGCATGGACGGTGCAGTGTTATTTTCCGTGATGAGGACACTGCTTTGATTAGTCCTGTAGCTACCGCGATGGTTAAATATTATAACCCCAGTGCGGGTCTACCAAGTCAGACAGCAGGCGGAGAGCCGAGCCATGGCACCCCTACCCATGACTCGCAGCCTGGTTTGTATTATGGCTTACTTCTTTGTTCGAGTTAACTGCATATGCGAGGTAGCTAACGATCAATACCCTTCCAGGCTATGACAAGGAACCTGTACACCTCTTATCGATTCAAGACTGGGAGCCAGCAGCAGTTGCAGTTTTACCTGGTGATTCCACGCTGCAAAAGTTAGGCCTAGCAATCCACAGTGTGGCACGGCTGGAGCAGGATCTATTGTCGCGATGGAAACAAGCAACCAAAGAGCGAGCCTTATCGGATACCAGGGATGGGCCATATGGTTTCGGACATAATACCAAAGTGACATCATTAAAATTCTGGATCAGAGCAAAGGAGAGCCATGCGCCATACTGGGAGAGAAGGGGGTACAGGTTCGTCCACTCAAAAGTGTATCCAAAGGGCGTTTGGGGGTCAGAAAAAGAACTTAGAGTCGTCACATTAAACAAAGATATTCCAATACTAGAAATATAAAGTATCCAACAAGTCATATATCAATTCGTTCCTGGGTTTCAGGACATAGCTAGTTATACGAAATACATTCCCGCTAATGCGTGACCGATACACACATGGGGAGGATTCAAGACAAACTTTTAGCTATCACTTCCAAAAGACGGAAGAGCTGCCCGTCTTACATCACTATCCTTGCAGGGGGCAAGGTTTTGGTACATACGAATAAATGATTAATGAACAGCCCCAGAGAGGCTGTGGTTGCCTGGCGCAGACGCGGGGTATATATAAGCTTGTTCCAAGATCATGGAGAGCAGGTTAAATAGAACGAAGAATATCAGTCCAATTGACTAGTTGACTGCTGGAGTAAAGCAACATCTTTTCCCATCCACCATGGCTCCCAACGTTATCACCCAGAAAGTCCATCCCTGCCTTTGGTTCGACACCCAGGCCCTCGAGGCCGCAACCTTCTACACCACCATCTTCTCCCAGGCACCCAACAGCTCCTCGGATGCCGCCACCACCAGCAGCAGCAGTAGCTCGCGCATCCTCTCCAGCTCCAAGCAGCTCGTGACCTTCTCCCTCGCGGGCCAAGAATACTCCGCCCTAAACGGCGGCACGTACTATAAGCTTTCGCCGGCGCTGTCGCTCTTCATCAGCTGCGACGACCAAGCGGAGATTGACTACTTCTGGGAGAATCTGCTGAAAGACGGGGGCCGGGAGCTCCAGTGCGGATGGCTGACGGATCGATTCGGAGTTTCGTGGCAGGTGGTGCCCAAAGTGCTGATGGAAATGATCGCGAATGAGGATAAGGAGAAGGCTGAACGCGCGAGGAATGCGATGCTGAAAAGTCAGAAGTTCGAGATTGCAGCTCTACAGGCGGCGTTTGAAGGGCAGACGCAGTGAGTTGTGGACTGGAATATGTTTATTAGAGGAGAGAAATGCGCTGGTTTCATGCCTGGTAGCGATAATCCATATTAATCAAGTACATAATACATATCGCATTCGAACCCCCCCTTTGGGGATCCTATTTTAGCACCCTAAGTTTGAAATGAAAACAATCAACAAAGTTCCGTAGGCCGCATTCTGGAAATTAAAACAATACGTAGCGATGAAAGAGAAATGCAACAAATCCCATCAGTAAAGTTACAGCGCCATGGGGGCGGCGCGGGCATTAGTAGTTGAGCTCTCCATTTCCAGCACCTCCAACGGCATCCAGGTCTTCGTAGCTCTTGAGGCTTCGGCCCTGCACAGCTTCGCGCGGTCCCATGGCCTGCGGATTTCCAGCACCGTCAACCCAACGTCCGCCGGCGCCGGGCCCAAAACCACCCATGCCAGCAGCCAGCGCGGCAGGATGGCCTGCTGGGATGTACGCGGCTCCGCCGAACATACCACGAACAGGACTCAGGCGGCCACTACTTCCAGCGCCAGTGCTGCCTGGAAAGCGGCCACCACGCCGATCATACGGGCTGCTGCGATTGAAGTGGCGTCCACGGCGGATCACACCCGGGTTATGAAGGCCTGTAGCACCGCCAGCATTGGCCACTAAGCCTCCGGCTGCCCAACTGCCGTTCATGAAGCCTGGCATACCAGCACCCGAGGAAGCCATTCCTTGGAACGCACCTCCAGGCATGGATCCATTGGCGTTGAAGTTGAATGGCATGGTTGCAAAATTGAATCCACGGGGTGTACCGGCCGGTATATGACCTGGTGGGAACGGGAAATGGCCGTTACTCGCAGCATCGGATCTCGACGGCGAGATGTGTGCCGGATCAAGCACGTAGGCATTGACAAGCGCAAGCTATTCACGTTAGTTTAGTCCAACATATCATTCTGCAGTACAGACAAAACATACCTCGTTTTGGACATCACTGAACCACTCCGGATGACGTTTTTCGACATGCTTTCGCCAGAAATGCTGACCTTTGAACAGTTTTGTACATTCGGGAACTTTGCACCGAAATTTAGCTTCATCCTCTTGCTTGACGAACCTGTTCAACTCCTCCTCCAATGCATCCTCAACAGGCTTGCCACCAAGCTTTTTCAAATCAGCGTTTTCAGGCTCCAAGATTTGCAGCAACTTTTCTTCAAAAGTCTTGACCCAGTTAAACGCTCGGTAGATCTGTTGCTCGATTTTTGATGAGAATCGCGGGGGCTTCTTCTCTTCGCTTGGAGAGGCTTCGGCTTCTCCTTCTTCAACCTCCTCCTTCTTCTTAGAAGGGTATGATTCTCCCAATGCACTGGCTCTAGCAGCTGCTTTCGCGTGGGTGCTCAACCCGGATCGGGGACGACGTAAATGCCCACCAGGACATTTACGAACCAGCTCATGCACAGAATCGCTTTCAAAAACACAGAAAAAACAGAAATTGTGAACACGTCTCAGATACTCAACCATCAAATCCAACAATTTCTTTTTGATGAGAAGCTCTTCGCTGTCAGTCTCGTCGTCGCCATCAGCGTCTTCGTGCTCTTCTCCTTCCTCTGCCTCTCCGTCTTCAAGTAGAACCATTTCAGTATCCGGATCAAAAGCCTTTGGATTTTTCGCCTTCGTAGGTGCAGTAACAGGAGGCTGCAGCCAACCCTTCTCTCGAAGATCTTCCACGCGCTGCTCAATTTTGATAATGCCATCAGCAAAAGACGTTTGGCTGTCTAATTTTACGACGATGCGTTTCACCAACTCCAGGTCCCGGTCGATACGTTCTGGGGCTGAGAAAAGGTCCCATAATGCCTTTTTCTTGGGGTTAGGAGGTGGAATATGGACACCAACATGGCATACAAAGTCTCCACGAACAGTGTCGTAGATGGTTTTTTCGTTTACAGCCTCCAGCGCTGTTTCAGCCGCGGAGTTGCCGTTTTGCGTATTATCTGCGGTACCTGCCTCTGCTTCCTCTCCCTCTTCCTCCCTGCCATCTCCTCTTTCAATTACAGCATGAGATTCAGGAGCCGGATGAAGCATTATCCAGCCAATACGATGGCACTTTTTGGAAGGGTTTGGATCACTTAAGCTCAACCACTTGAAGCCACCATCCGATTCGCCCAAGTGCTCTTTACAGAACTCCTCAATCTTCTCCCGGCTGACGTTAGGAGCTAAAGTTTTGATGAGAAGAGCGGGCTGCAACAATGATTCATCTCGAAGATCTCCACCCCGCGTCGGTAGAAGATCTAGAACACCAAGTGTCTCGCCCACGGCTGTGGCTTCCCCTTCTTCCTTCTCCACAATGCCGCCAGCACCATCGCTTTCGCTTTTATAGATCCCTTCAAGCGTAAATTCGTCAAAGAGACCAGACTCTAGATCTTGAGTCCATCGTTCATAGGCGCTTGTTCTGAACTCCATTAAGCGTTGACGAAATGGATCTCGAATTTCAGGAACGTATCGCTCTTTGAACCACTCCTCATTTCGATGACGCTGAACAAAGCTACGAGCCATTTTGACCTGGAACTCAGATTTGTACGTATCGTATGCCATTTGAATCAAGGCTCTTTCTTTCTCTCGGTTTTCTTTGGCTTCGTTTTCTCCTTTTACACGGTCAGAGGGGCGACGACCTCCGTGCTTTGCCCTCTCTTTTTCTTCTTTAATCAACTGCTCCGTCCGCCACCATTCGGCATACCAATTAAACCCGACCTGGTAGTCAAGTGTTAAAGGGTTTGGAAGGGGGTTTGTGCGGATGATAGCCCTGCTGCTCTCCTGACCTGGAACGTATCTGTCGATGTTCGCGGCTGTAGGCGAAGGCAGACGTCGACGATCCTCTCGATCCCTGGCAGCATGATCTCGCGAAGCAGTATAATATTCGTCACGGTTGGTGCGATCACGATCTCCAGGCTGATATCGATCGATGGTTACCGGCGAGCGAGATCTACCACGCCCACTCACTCTACGGCGATCTTGAGCTGCTAACGATAATAATAATTAGTTCAACACGGTTCTATGAGAAGTCCAGATATCGCTTTGATGAGAATATGAGGTCAATTCAAGAGAGCCATACCTGGAGACCTCCTGCGGTATGAATCGACGGCGGAGCGCGATGAAAAGGTCTCCTCGTCGCGAGTCCATTTTGATTCAGATTTTCCAGACGGAGGAGGCGATCCAAAAGTGTCGTAAGGGTCCATAACGGGGTATGAAATGGCACTAGGAGACTATTGGATGAAATCTGATCTAGGAAGAAAAGAATCCAGCCTTCACTATCCGACCCGGTGAATCCCACGGTGTTATGTCACGGCTGCGTTAAAGACGGCTCGGGTGCGGAATAAGGTAGAGCTAGGTATCGACATGATTGAGCGTTAGATCTTCGGGTTTTGAAAAGGTGGGAGCGGTACGTTGCGGGAGGAAGTAAGGGGAGAAGAGATGGATTGCAAATAGATAAAAGAAGAGGGGCAGTCCAATAAGCTAATAAGATGAAGAAACGAAGCTACAGATTGGCTGTCGTTGACGCCAGGGATGGGGGGTTGAGGCTGCGTTTCAGGCTTGGAAGGGATATCAGCCGGCGAAGGCAAAAAGGGAAGAAAAAGAGGGATAATATCTCAAAGAAGCAATGAAGAAAGTGAGTCTAGAGATAATTGAAGGAAAAGAAAGAAGAGAGTAACAATCCTGAGGACGTTCTGGAGGGCAAAAAAAGAACGGGCTTCTGGGGGTGGCAAATTGCAGTGAGAAGAATAGGGAGGATAAATGATCAAGGGTAAGGCAACCTACAAGTAGCCCTGAAGAAGAATAGTAATGGAAATAAAACCCCAGTTCTGCAAAGCAATTCAAGACAGGCCTTGGGCGGGGGGGGGGGCAGAGAGACGCTGGAGAAGGCTTGTCAATGGCAGCTTTGATGGTGCCGGGTCGTGATGGGAGGTGAGATCGCGAGGCGCCGAGCCAGCCGGAAGAGGGAAGGTCGGCTGCACGTGACGCAGCCCGGCGCTAAGCCGTGTTTGGGCGCGTACACGACGACGGCGAATGGCCATCTTGACGACGAGTGTTTGATGGCGCCCTACGGAAACGGGTCGAATCGTCTGGTGAAGGTTCCTGTTGGTTTTACGGCGAGAGCTACGAACGATTTGCCCACGACGTGGTGACGTGCGCATCTTGAGCAATCTGTGTTACGGGTTGGATGCCTACATGGGCGATAGCAAATAATAACACCAGAGGCATATCAGAGCTTGGATGTGTTATTCAGTAACTATGCCTTTGAGCTTGCTCCCTGGGGTGTCGATATGCTGCGAGAACGTGGTTTATACCCACCCCTTGATCTAATCGCGGAGAACACCGGGCTTCCCTGGTACAGCGGTCTCTCCTTATCCTTGCGATGGATTGAAAAAAAGCATGTCCGGGCAACTGCTACAATGGCACATGCGAAGAGCAATATCTTCTATCCCATCATTTGATACTTCCACAAGCCAAATGATAGTAATATCTCTCCTGTCAGGAGTATACTACACTTCGTCTTTAAGCCTCCCGCGCCGACAAACTATAACGCTCGGGGCCCCCCCTTCAGATGCCTGCAAGGCAGCCGCCTCATAATAAAAACCAGCCACCTTTGGCATATCGCGCATCACCAGCAACTCTTCTTGGACCAAATCTCTCAGAAACCTCGGCGTCCATGCCCCTTGCCCACCCGGGCCTTGATCCATCAGCCTGCTAAGGCTGGTCAACGATCCCCCAAATTGTGTCAGGGTGATTCAACCACCCGCGCGAGCTTCGACACGTGAGAAGGGACCGTGCCTTTTAGCATCCCCCCGGGTCTGTATCAAGCTCTGATGCTGGAGCTGATGTTGCATGCTTGGCTATATTTTAGAAGTGCAATTGCATGCATATACTCCGTACCCATATTAAGTAGAGTAGTCCCCACATCTGCGCACGCCAGGCGACACATCATCTTTTTGTGGTGGTTTTTACCCGCGCAGGACAACAAGTATGTAACTCCATCAGGCGGGGCGTGGGTTCTGATAATTAGGGCTCCAAAAAAAAAAAAAAAAGAGCAGAAATTACCATGACAAATTTCGGGGATTAAATCGTCATTGAACAAAGGATTCGCGTGGAGGATTCTCCCCCGTGCCTGAGGTCATTTCGGAGCTCTCCTCAGGTACTCCGTAAATCCCTCCGTGCTCCGTAGTAGTTGCCAGCTTCGAGACGCGTTTGCATCAAAAAAAAGGCCCAAGCACTCAGACACAGTTCACGTGATGTTAACGCCAAGACGCCAGCCATGCTCGGTACCGCGGCTTCACTCTCTCAACTTCTTATCAGATTCTTCTTCCTGGCGGTTGCTGCCGAGCGCCTCTCGTGCTGCTGAAAACGGGAATATACGATGGGCAGTTCCTGAAGCTTAACGAGAGAAAAAGGAACAGCGGTGTACTCGCTACCCGGAAAAGGGAGGAGATAAGAGAGAACTTTTTTCGAGCTTCGGGTCTCGACCAGAGCCGAACAAATCCTACCTTGATTTCCTTAGTCAGGCATCCATCGATATCTCGCCCGCCAGGCCCCGCGTTGGGCGTCTAGATGTTGCGCCCACCCGCCTCCCCCCCCGTTTTTTTTTTTTTTTTTTTGCGAGGGTGACGACCAAGAGGTCGAAAAAATTCAGGGTCCGCTTTATTTTCGTGGAAGCGAAGGAGAGTCTTTTGAGCTTAAATTTTCTTTTTCTTTTTTCTTCTTATGTCGACCCCCACGCTCTCATGATGACGGTTTAGGGGAAGGGAGGAGGGGACTTATTATTATTATTATCCAAGTCTACCTAAGCTGGACATCCGGGAGTAGTCCGTTAGCTAGGGAGGCAAGCCGCGGGGCGAGCGCGCGCGTTCAGGGTACCTATATGTGAAAGGAAGAATACCCTCCCCCCTCGCGTTTCACGTTCGCTGGGTCCGTTGAAGGGATGCGCAGAAGTAGTATGTAGGATTGGTGCTCGTGGTGCATGGAGGTGACGGTGGTGGTGGCCGCGTGGCGAAGGGGCGGGGGGAGGGGCCCTTGTCTGTCTGTCTATCTTTGTTTTTTTTCCCCCTTTCCTTCTCGATGTTGGATTTCTTTTTCTTACCGTTGCGTTGCCGAATTCCCTATATTCCGAGAGTATACGGAGTACGGAGTACATTATTAGGTACGTTTTGTGGACCATACATACATCATACGCAGCGAAAAGCGCGACAGGCGGGGAAAGCCACGACGGGTATCGGATACCCGTTGGGCCACGGCATGCATGAAACACATGGTGGGGATGTCGCATCGTCATGTAAACTAACCTACTACTACTGCTCATTCTTGTACGTGGCTACCAACAAACAGCTTGCCTGCTTGCTGGGTCTGGGCGCGCGCGGGTGACATCATATGTATGCAGAGTACGGGGTACGGCCTGGAGGGTTTGCTTGGAAGAGGTGCGTTCAGCAGTGCGAAAAAGGGGGATTCGAGACAGCTTGGATTTAGAAACTCATGCTGGGTATTGAAGACAGGTTCCACGTAAGGTGCGGATGAGAGGGTTGGCGTTTGGTGAGCGCTTGGTGGTGCGATGGTGAGACCGCTGGGGAGGTTGGGATGCTGGGGTAGATCTATTATTGTATTGTGTGGATGATGATGATGATGATGCAACGAAGACGTCAGGAGGTCTTCTATCAATAATCAAACAGGCACGGCGTGTTGGGCAGAAGAGCTTGTCCAGCTGCACCAAACAGCCGTTTCAAGTCACGAGAAGCAGTGAATATCACGATGATAGCAAACCGATTGGTGCGCAGCGACGCTTCTTCCGGGCCAAGGCGCGGGCAAATCAGAAGGCCAGAATGCGCAATTTAAACATTCCACGGATCTGCCACCAAGCCAAACCCTCACCACAGACCTTGTTCCAACGACGACCCTTTCCTCCATATAGACTCGATCGCGAGCTCCCAACCTTCGAGAGAGCGGGCCAGATCGGCGATTTTTTAAAAAAAAAAAAACGCAATCCATGTTCGTCACAAAATCCTCGGAGGGACCGAACGCCGCACGCACGCACCCCTCCCGGCCAAAAAACGGCCGCTCCAAACCAGGACCGCTGGTGTCCTACCAGTTTGATGATGTATGTGTGGTTCTAGCCTTCCGCGGCGTTCCTATAGGTCAAAAGTCCGGAATTTTGGGGAAGCATGGGTGCACATACCTGGAATGGAGGGGAAGGTAAGGCGAACGACCTGTGGGTGGCCGGAGGTCCGAGGTTTGGTAACTGGAAGAACCTTACATGTAGAGTTAAGTTAGTCTGTCTGTATCCCACGGACCTCGATGACGATGAAGTTTGGGAGCTCTTTGCCGCGCGATCAGTCCAATCAACACGTGGACTAGAGCGGCGTCTTTTTTTTTTCCAAGCATATTAATATTAATTAATAGGAGGTATAATTATATGTATTCGTTTTTGGCAAGCCAGTCGCTGGCCTTGTTTTTGGGCTGCCTTGGAAATAACATCCAGCAGATCACAAATCAGAAAGGATTCTTTTAAGAAAATAAAAGAAAAAAAAAAGGAAAACGGCCTGGGCAGGAGACCAAAAAAACCGGGCGAAGAAGCGGTTGATAGTCACAGCTCGTTCGCTAGTCAGTCCATGGAGCGGGCAACGCAAAATAATGTTGTCGTAGCAAGGGCGCGACAAAAACCGGGTTTGCGAAGAGGGCGCATGGGGCGCCGGCGCCTATCGGAGGGAGGGAGCTCATAGTGCAAAAGCGCTGGTCTTAGGAGAACAGTGCGGTGTGATGCTGGCCCGGCATCGCCGGTCTTGACCCATAGTCAGGAAGTTAGGCAGTTTGTTGGCTACGTAGGTATCTTTGACATGAACACCCACCACGCGCCGGCTGGCTGATAGCGCTCCACGAGCAAAATATGATTATTATTATTGTATGGTTAGATCAAGCGCGAGTGGGGAACAAAGAAAGGATATAAAAAGCAGCTCGATCAAAGCTTGAGTTGGGTCGCGTCCGCCAGCCAGCCAACCATCGTTATGTCCTCGGTCCTCCGCGTGGTTATTATTCGACGAGACCAAAGCGCCCGGCCGCATCCTTTGTGTGGAAGAAAATAAAATGATAATAGGCTTGTTCCCACGCCGCGCCCGCGGCCCGGGGAGGGCCCCAAACCCCAACCCCAACAAAAACACCCAATGGCGCGAGGATCTGGCCGCGGAGGAGAAAAAAAAAGGGCGGGGGAGCTTGGGATGGGATGTCCGTTATTATTATTGGGGGAGAGGTGCCCAGCTGCGCGTACGGAGTGGTATTATTCGATAAATATAAAAGAAGCTAGATAGCAATAATCAATGAGTCAATTCTCTGGCTCGATCGCACGACGATCCACCGGCCCCCGCCGCGGTTGCTCGCGATAATAATAATCTCTTTTCTGCCAGCACGATTGTCATTATTAGAGTTTGGCAAATAATGATACTTTTTTCCAAAATTGCATCCGGCAAATCACATTGCCGGGCCATAGAAGAAAACAAACTGTAATATTTCGGACCAGGGCTGGCTTGACGATCAACGAGCCATTATTATTATTATTATTTTGTGGAAGCTGGAAGCGCCCACGCTGGACATGGCTTGTGACGAACCGGCCCGCCAAGCCGATCGCGCGCGCGCGGGCGGGCGAGAAGTGCTTTGCGCGGAGTAGCCCGGCGGAGCGTTCGGAGGAAGGGCGGTGAGATGGGGAAAGATGCCCGTGAGGAGACTCCGACGACTACTACTACTACTATTCGATATTACGAAGAGGATGAGGATGCGGACCATACGCGCCCAGCTAAAAAAAAACACAAGCCATACGAAGGACTCCGGACTACTACGGAGTACTCCGTACTTACTACTACTACCACTCCGTACCTCGAGGCTGAGCGCGGGAGGCCGTCTTGGGCCGTTTGCTTCGTTTTGTTATTTTTTTCCTGCGCGTTTGGGGTGTGCTGTTTTGGGGAATGCATCGTATCGTCTGAGAGCTTGTACGGAGTATGTATATGGATGGGGTGGTCGTACAGACAGATCGCGCCGATCGCAGAAGAACAGGCGCGCGGGCGGACATGTAGGTGCTGGACGGCGACGGTGAGTAGTTGGTCGTAGCTTGCCGGTGCGTCGGGGGAGAGAGAGTAGTGAGGGGAGAGAGAGTAGTGAGGGGAGAGGCGTGGTTTGCTTTTTCGGGTTGGGGTTTTGGGATCCCGCGCCGCTTCGCAGGCTGGAGGCATTATTATTGAACTAGTTAGTTAGTCAGTTGATATCGGCGGGGATCGGAGCGTGCGAGAGAAAAGAAAAAAAAAAAAAGACAAAAAGATTTCAAATAATCCTTCAAGATCGGGTTGAGCAGAGAAGAGGAAAAAAAAAAAAAAAACAAAAAAGCAAAACACGGCTTGTCCGACGCGGAGTCTGCCTGGCTGTGACGGCCGTGCAGCAAGCAGCGTGTGTGTGTGATGGGCGTTGTGTTCGCGCGCGCGGGATGCTGGCAAGGCAGTTCGTGTTCTGTGCAGTGCTGGCGGCGGCGGGCGCCACGGCGAGAACGAGAGAGAGAGAGAGAGAGAGAGAGCGAAGCGTAATCCGTACGGCGGTACGGCGCTGGCGGTAATTTTGCGACGAGCTGAGGCGGCAGGGAAGGCTGGGGCGGGTCCGGTGCCGATCCGGTTTTGCGACTGGCTGCGCGGCGGGCGAATGACATGGGTGGCGGGCCGGGGAGGGTGGTTAGGGGGGCTGTGCGGCCGTACGGTACGGTAAGGAGTAAGAACGAGAGAAGGACGACAAGAGAGCAGAAGGAGAAGAGAGAGGAGGCGGGGGCAGGCCGGCGTGCGCGAGGCAGCGCCGGGCGAGGGCGAGGCACGGGAGCGCGGGTGGGCGAGCGGTGGGCAGCGTTGTATGGTCACGGCGGCGTACGGGCTGGTATTGGGTGCGGCCGAAAGCGGCAAGGCGGCGTGGGGCGGGGGCTCACCGCCTCGCTTACCCTGGTTGGCGGCTTTGTCGCAGCCCGCGCGCCGTTTCTACTGGCTGGCCGGTAGAAATATCCCCCCCCTCCCCAGCGCGGCCGTCCAATTATCGACTTCGTGCCGCGAAAGCCTGGCTCTTCTCCGCTGACTCAGCCTGCACTCTCTGGCCGCTGTCGCCCGCCGCACCCCCCGCTGACTCAGCCCGCCAATCAACCTGCATTCGATCGCGGCCCCTCTCGCGCAGCCAACCAGCTCTCTCGATCGCCCCAGCATTAAGGTACGTCTGTTCCCTCAGTTCTGTCTGTCTGTCTGTCTGTCTGTCTGTCTGTCTGTCGCCGGGCCCTTGGCGGCCGCACAGCAACGGCCACCCGTTAGACGGAGAATCATGCTGACGGACACCTAATTCATGGCCGGCAGGCTGCACTCCCGATCGCCCGCCCCCGAGTCGACATCGTATTCGCGCCCGCAACGTCATCCGGCGCGTCGGGGCGTGTTTGTTGTTTGTTGCGCCGCCTCACGTGGGTGCTGTGCTGTGCTGTGTGTGCGCTGGCTGCCAGCGCATCCGCCGCGGTCTGGCTGTCAGTCTGCGATCCCTGGCCCGCTTCGCTGGAGACGATAGCTGTCTGTCTTGTCGCTCTTGCCTGGCTCCGCCTCGCTGCACTCCCCGCCAACGCATCGCCGCCCAACCGCCGCTCGATCTATTATTGCCCATCGTCCGCACGCGTCACTGAGTGCGTGAGTCTCTCTCCCTGCCTGTCTGGCCGCTCGTCCTCTACGCTCTCTCTCTCTCTCTCTCTGTCTGTCTTCCACTCGTGCAATCCTGCCCTCGTCCGCTCTCTGCCAGTCCGGGCTCTCTGCTCTCTCTTGACGTCCCCGTCTGCCGTGCATTAGCCTGCTGCTGACGCGACCGTGCCGGCCTGCAGCCCGCGCCCTCGAATCACAGCGCCTGGTCGACTGGCCTGCCTGCCCGCCCGCCCCTCCTTTCTCTCTCTATCTCTCTCTCTCTCCCTCCTCCCCCGCCCGCCGTCCCGATTGGCCGGCCGACACGCGCCGCCGCCCCCGCGGAGCCGCCGTCGCCGTGATGGACTACCCGCCGCCATACGCGCCGTCACAGCAGCCGCCGTCGCACGCGCCGCACGCCAACAACCCGCCCTCCGCGCCGCTGCACGCCCACCAGGGCTCGCCCATCCTGCCCTCGCAGTCGCACTACCCGCCCGGCGCCGCCGCACCGCCGTCCGCCGCCCAAGTGCAGCAGCAGATGAGCTTCTCGCAGCCGTACGTGGCCATGCCACCCGCCGCCTACGGTATCTCGCCCACCCAGGCCGCCGCCATGGCCACCGCCGCCGCCTCCGGCCAGTTCTTCCCGCTGCACCAGGACTCCATGGGCGCCCTGGCCGGCCCGCCCGCCCGCTCCTCGCCGCGCATGGCCCACGTCTCCAAGGACCGTCACGCCCGCTCCCCACAGCAGATGGCCGCCGTGCCCGCCGCGCTGCAGCAGCAACAACAGCATCAACAACAGCAACAACAACAACAGCAGCAGCAGCAGCAACAGCAACAACAGCAACAGCAGCAGCAGCGTCGCATGAGCCAGCAGATGACTAGCCCGCACGGCCAACCGGCGACGCTCACACACGCGCTCACGCGGCCCGGCGCGGCGCAAGCCGGCATGCCTCCACCGTCCGCAGCAGCATCCGCAGCGGGCCACCCATCCGTGCAGCAAAGCCAGCCGTCACCGGAAGTCGTCACGGCAGCCGCAGCAGCGGCAGCGGCAGCGGCAGCACCGCCGGTCGAGGAGTCGCCGCTGTACGTCAACGCGAAGCAGTTCCACCGCATCCTCAAGCGGCGGGTGGCGCGGCAGAAGCTCGAGGAGCAGCTGCGGCTCACGTCCAAGGGCCGCAAGCCGTACCTGCACGAGTCGCGCCACAACCACGCGATGCGCCGCCCGCGCGGGCCCGGCGGCCGCTTCCTGACCGCCGACGAGGTCGCCGCCATGGAGAAGGCCCAGAATGCCAGCGCCACCGGCGTCGAGAATATCCCCGCGCCGCTCCACGGCATGCCGGGAGGCAAGAGTGGTTCGTCGGCCATGGGTGGTGGTGGTGGTGGAGTGAGTGCTGGGCCGAAGCGTAAGGCGAGCAGCACGTTGGTTAGCCAGACTAAGAAGTCCAAGCAGCCCGGCTCGCATCAGCAGCGCATGCAGATGATGGGCGGAGGTGGCCTGCACGACGATGGCGACGATGATGGTTGAAATGAACATGCTTATGACCGGTTTTCTTATTCTTCTTCCTTATATTTTCCTACCTTTTGTTTTTTATCTCCTCTCTCAGGCTCTTGTTGCTACTCGTATCCCCGGTATATGTCATCTCTGTTCCTGTTTTTTTGTTTTATTTTTTAATTCCTTTTTTTTTTTCTATTTTTCTTCTTGTTGAAAGGGAATACCATCAGAAACTGCATGAGCGAAGCGGGGAAACACAAAAAATCTGGGAATTGCAAAAAAGGGTCTTGTTGAACACACACACACTCACACACTCTCTCTATCTTTCTCCATCTCTCTCTCAAATCCATCCCACTCAATACGAACATCGACGATCTATCCTCATGGCTCTGTCTGGGGGCTTCCCTCAGCAGACGGCAGATCCACGGCATGCAGTCACAGTCAGTCAGTCAGTCCTGCGCAGCTGCCACACCCTCCCCTCCTACACCTCCTTGTTTTTTTTATTTTTATTACGCTCGGAGCGATCCTACGTGCTATATGCCTTCTTTACTCATGGTCTGTTCAACCCTTTTTTTTCTCTCCTCCTCCTTTGAATCCCATGTCTATCATAGCACCGCACACATACATTACTACCTAGTCCTTTTTATGAGCTGTTTTCTCCCCAGAAACTGATTTGTTTCTCTCTTTTTTTTTTACAAAAAAAACACAAACTCGGGCAAAGATACAAACGAATTTGCTAGTCTGAAGATACCAGCTCTGCCTATTGTTTTTTTTTTTTTTTTTTTTTTTTTTTTTTTCCGTTTTTTTTTTTTTTTCGGTTTTTTTTGTTTTTTTTTTTTTTTTTGGGCTTTTTTTTTTTTTCTTTTTTCCTCCTGTTTTTTTTTTTTTTCTTTTTTTTTTTGTTTTGACAAATTTTTGAAGCAGCCCCCCCCCATGATGGCGATGGGGTTTTCCTCATGGACTTTT